TTCGAGACTGGTTTCTCGGAGCCATTGGCTGACCCATTTGCGCGACGGTTTCGAGGCATATCTGCTGGGTGGCTATAATATTCGGTCAGTGTTGTGGATCTCAACATTCATTGCGCGCGGTTTGGTTCATCTTGCGAATAAGACATGATATATAAATTGCCGGATACTCACTGATTACTACTCGAACTAGACGCCGACATCTTCCTCGCTTTCGCACACAAAGCTTCGAGACACAGAGCAAGACTTTGAACTACCCTTGGCAGAACACATTCAACTTTCCTCCCTTCACTATTTAACTGAGCCCTGGAGCCCCTTTACTACTCGGATTGTCACCCACCGAAAACCGTGTGAAATTCGGTTCCCGTGCTCTCCGCGGTCTCCGCGGCGGCCTCGGGCCCCACCCGCAATACTTACCCAACAGGAAGTTGTTTCATTTTATTTTCTCTCTTTGTATCCAAAAAAAGACCAAGCAGAGAGAGAGACAGACAAAAAGTAAAATAGGGAAAGGAAATGCCGCAAAGGGTATGCCCACCGGCATTGTTGTGCCTCCGCCCGATATAAGGACATTGCCGATTGTCTGTATGCACCACTCTCACCGAAGTAACTTAGATTAAACGTGGACACCGAACTACCGGTCAAAGGGTATTGATCGGCTCCGTACAGCACGGGGTTATCCAGTCAATATTTCCTCGTTCAGAAAGTTATGCATCGGACTGGTCACAATCCCAAGCCTGGTCACCGAATAGTTACTACCTGGACAATAATTAACAGACGTATCGTTGGAAACATGGTTCCTTACCGCCTTAGCTTATCAGCGCACGATTGACTGGTTTTATTTTACTTGCTATTAACAAGCCAGGATGACCTGCTAGTACCCTACCTAGGAACAGAATATGAGCAACTTGGGAATTTCGTCATATCAATATTACTCTACTTGTGAAAAATCACATTGGGTGGCCAGATTCGGTGCTGTCTGCATGGCAAACCCCATGAACGAAAAGCTGGTTGGATGGTCACCTTCTACCCTTAGTGGACATCCAATGACTACGAGCCAATCTACCGCTGACGCGCGGGCTAATGCAGTCAACTCTGCAGTGTAACGCAATATCCTGTCAATGGGATTCAGTGATGTTGGCCGACGCAAGGTAAGAGTCAAGTCTCCAAGGGAGCTATTAAGGCCTCCCATGGTCACCGGCCTGCCCACTGCGCTTCTCACCATGACGTTGGACTCATCTACTCTGAGTATCACCAGGGAGAATGCCCGACTGTCATCACGATGTACAGTTTAGGCTCTCTGATCCTCCTAGCGGGAGTTCTAGGGCTGTATGCCCTGTTGAAGTCAAAGGCATCACGAGCCCCTCTCCCACCGGGTCCCAAAGGACTGCCTATTATCGGCAACATTGGTAGCGATCTTCCGCGCGGCGGCAAAGACTGGGAGCATTGGCTGAAGCACAAGGATTTGTATGGTATGGACAGTACTCCCGGCCACGTCTTACTCTGCGTTGAAATCCTTATCTGGATCGCCGCTAGGACCCATTAGTTCGATCACGACGGCGGGGCATACCCTCGTTATCCTAAACGACACCAATGTGGCAATGGAACTGCTGGAGAAGCGATCGGCGCGATACTCATCTCGACCGAGATTGGTGATGGCCAATGAGCTGTAACTACCTCTTGCTCCATCTCCTAGACTATATACAGACTACGCAGGGGCTGTTCAATTGTGCGTTGCTAATACCTGCGTACCTCCTTCCCTAGTTCTGGAGCCGACATCTTTCTCACCACGCATACTGAAAATGCTCTCGTTCGTGAACAACGGAAACGCATACTTTCACAACTGCGCTCGGAACGCGCATTATTATCGCTTTACCCGCAGGTGGATACGGTGGTCCGACGCTTTCTGCTGCGGACGTTACAGAAACCAGAGGAGCTGGTGGATCATATCAAAACGTGAGCACAACGCAGCCCTGCTACTGGAGGTCTGGTAGTTATCGGCTAATATGATCCACAGAGGAATCGGAGGAGTCATACTAAAGATCGCATACGGTTATACCGCCGAGTTCCATGGTCGGGATCCCCTCATCGATCTAGTGGAGAAGACATCGTTTGCATTCGGCATAATAAATCAACCGGCAGGTTGGCTGGTGGACAGTATTCCCGCCCGTAAGTCACCCTCCTCGGCGTATCATGGGTGGTGGCTGACCAGCTGTGTCAGTGAAGTACATGCCGAGTTGGTTTCCGGGGGCAGGGTTCAAGAAACAAGCCCGAGAGTATCGACGCGGATTTGATACATTGGCCAATTGGCCGTTCGCCTTTGCTCGGCATCAGATGAAGGAGGGCAAGTATGAACCTTCATTCGTTTCCAGGCAGATAGAGCAGACAAACTCGATACTTAACCCCAAGGAGGAGTTGAATATCAAATACTCGGCAGCTGCGGTCTTCCAAGCCGGTTATGATACGGTACGTGCAGCTAGCAAGCAAAGCGTCACCGCGGTGCCATGCTGATTGAAGCTATAGACGGCATCTACCATCACATCCTTCTTTCTGGCAATGGCGCTATTCCCTGCCGCACAGATCAAGGCCCAGGAGGAAATCGACCGAGTCATAGGAGCGAGGCTCCCTACGCCTGCAGATCGGGTGAACCTACCCTACGTTAATGCGCTTATCAACGAGGTCATACGCTGGAACCCGGTGGTGCAGATAGGCATCATGCACGCAGCTACAGAAGATGACATCTACGAGGGCTACCTGATTCCTAAAGGGGCCCCGATCGTCCCCAACATTTGGTGAGCTGCTTTCCCTTATCTACGATGCCGTCCATTCTAACCCCATGCCTCATCACAGGGCATTTGCGCACGATCCAGAGGTATACTCTGACCCCATGTCGTTCAGGCCCGAGCGCTTTTTGGCATCGGACGGACACACCCCAGAACGTGATCCGCACACACTGGTCTTCGGATTTGGACGCCGGATTTGCCCGGGTCGTCCGCTGGCGGACTTCAACAACTTTCTCACGATCGCACGGTCACTCGCGGTCTTTCGAATTCGGAAGGCCATGAAAGATGGCAAGGAGATCGACCCCGTCGTAGATTATCAGGAGGGGATCGTCGGTCACCTATCGCCGTTCGAGGTGAGCATCCAGCCACGAAGCGCAGAACACGAAGCCCTCATCCGTTCCCTTGAGGTTGAAGATCCCGGTTCACGAAGCGACTTGACGACACTTGAGTCAGTCAGGGTGTAGAGTATATGCGTACCCATACAGACTGGATTTTCTAGCCTTAGTGTGACTTTCCCCTTATATTCGAACCATTGCTAGTTTGATTCGTTAAGCCTTATCACCTTTGACGACAGTAGAATTATGTATCCCAATGACGTTTCTGGCAGGTATCTGTCCAGAGCAGGGAGGCTAAATGAGGCGGCGATTTCAGATATCTTGAACCAACTATCTTTCTAGTTCCGATAAGTCTTCTCTGGAGATACAATAGCCTGAAGATCAGTATCATGACGGGCCCAAGTTGTGCTCTTGCCCACCTCTTGCCGAGTACTGGAAATATTCCGTTCTGTGCAGGCTACTACAATAGATCCTAAACCACTGGCTATTGACTATCTACTTTTGTAAACAGTCTTCAAAGTAGTAGTAGAACTTCAAATTAAAAGCTTCATTTTGTACGAGCGTAATAGCCGACAGTCATATACAGTGGGTCTGCTCGATCTACAATGATAGTTCAAATTGTTCAATAGTTTGATACGCCAATGTCCTCTTCGCCAACTGACTGGATATCACCCGATCAATACTCCGTAGTCCCGAGAGATCAGCAAGACCGACGTATCGACTGGGTCTTGGCCGGTTCACCACCTCGCTTCAACACCGTCGATCTCTCAATAATCTTCAGTTACCTGAATTGCAAGCCCCGCATTGTGTCTGGCTTAAGAAAATTTGCGGGCAATATGGAGTAAGTGCGTACACAGCTGCGGGTTTGGAAGTCAAAACAGGAATAACTACCGTTGCCCACGCTTAAAAAAGTGGTGAGAGAAACTAAGGTTACAACCCATATGCTGTTTGAATATAGTTAAGTCCTCGTATATATATAAGAAAATGAATTTGTAATCAACGTGGGGTTCAGCTTGGCCGCGTTGGACTATCAAACCTATTGCTGTATAGTGCATACTGTAAGCCCGGTGGAGCTAGAGCGCAGTATATCACATATTCTTCGACTCAAAAGGAGCAGGAACAATATAGGGCAGGTAAATATAATCAGAAACACCCAACTTGAAGAATGTTTAAAACGTGAGTTGCCATGTCTTTTGACTTCTCGAGTCTGACTACATTATACGAAGGGCTATGAACAGAGTTCTATACCCTTGAGCTTCCGAGTATGGAAACAAAAGGAAACCGTAGGTGTTGTCTCGGACGCTATCACTCAGAGATACTGTCTGTTCTGAGCTAACCATCAGGCGTCTATTAAGTCAAATTAAACTGCCTGTATATACAGGTACCTATACGCACCGGATTTTCCAGAACGACCGCAGATTTCCTACTTTGAACGCCTTTGCTTTAGTGAGGGTGCTGAGGGGCCAGACCGGTAGCCTTAGAGGGCCACTGAGCAGCTACTTGGATCTATAATTTATATTTAACTGTGTTCACTCTATCTTTACAGTTACTTACCGCATAGGCTATAGTGGATTGGTCGTACGGCATTCTAATTAAGAATGTTATCCAAGTTCCCGGTTCTGTATTGTGTCTAGCATCAACGATATAACAGCATCCCAGAGAAACTTTGTCTTATAGATTACCTCAAACAGGGTGTGAATCCTTGCTTCAATTAGCTTTTTTTTTTTCTGATTCCGTGATCTTTTATTAAGACCCACCTGTCTTCGGTACCCACTGCCGAAGTAATTTAGGTTAAACATATTGCGTCGCCGTCATTTAAGCATTGAATAACCCCAGCGATTCTACTGCGTATCCTCATAATTTATTCAGACCTACAAAATCGTACATTATGTCAACAGATCAATATGAGTACCTGTTCTTCCACATCGACAAAGAAAATGCGATCGAGTCCTCCGCCAAAAAATACAAACAGCTGCGCCTGCAGGCCCTATCCGTCGCACCGACTTCTTTTTCCTCTACCTACGAGATCGAATCTTCCCTCACAGACACCGAATGGGTAGACCGCCTTTCAGCGAACGGACGAGAGACTTTCATATGCGCCGCAAGACCTACACAAAACAATGCACCATGCTCGCAGACCACAGAGTGGGTCGGCCAGCTAACCTTGCGGGGCCCACTAAGCCCTGAAGACTTCATCCTACCTGAGGAATCCGGACAGAAGAAGCCCACCCAAGAACGGGGCATGGAACTCTGGCAGATGCTCAGCTTATTTACGCTTCCCGACCACCGCGGCCGTCGTCTCGGGAAGAGGTTGTGTCAGGAGGCATTGAGGTATCTAGCTTCGTATAGGGACTCTCCGCGCGAGCTCTGGGTGCGGTTGATGGTAAAGCCAGAGAACCATGCTACCGTAAGCTTGTATAGGGGGCTGGGGTTTGCGGAAGCAGGAAAGTGTACTCTCGTTGAGGCGTTGGTTGCGAACGGTGATCAGGATCTGCTGCCGGAAAATATTAGTGGCGAGAAGTATACTTCGCGGAGTGGATTGATCATGATGTTGGAGATCTGTCGCTCGTGAGTCGTTGGAAGGGGCTTGGTTTGGTGAAAGGCTCAACGAAGGCAGTGCCATTCGAATTTGTTTTTAAGTAGCCACGTTGTGTAGGCCAGTCATCTTTCGGCAATAGACTAATGCCCATGTTTTAAAAAGGGTGAAATATGTCCACTACTTGTCTTGTAGATAGGGCCGTCGGGGAAACACATGAGACTCTGACTCTAATGCAATGTCCCGTCTTTCGTGGTGACATTATGGCTGACGGTTGAAAGTCGGATCATCGGATATCGCGAGGCTGAATGCCGCTTCAACGTCCAAGCGACGGAATCCCGGTGCACAGCCTAAACATACACCCCTCGAGAGGAGTTCTGCTCAAAATGTACCTTTAGCGTTTCTGCGTATCACACGTTCCAAATAGGTGGAGATAACAAACCATTGAGAAATAGGTCCACGTTGAGGATCTTGGCACTCCGCCGCTGTGAAACCAGAGAGGGCTCAACCTCTGGACATAACGTCATGTCCCTGGACGATTCAAACGAACTGACTTCCGACAAATACAGGAATGACTGTGCCCCTCCAATAACAAGTCCATTCTCTTCAAGCCAGCCCTCGATATCCCGAGGATCGAACCATGTTTCATCATTGCTCTTGGACGGCGTCTGTGGTCCTAACAAGACATTCTGGACAATGCCAAAGTCCGCCGGCCGATTTTTGTAATGGGTTCCGGCGCCACCCAGTCCATAGACATATGCCGTCCGGTAATCGGCATTCGTCCGTAGCAAGATGTCGAAGGTCGAAATCATCGTGTTGGCGTCCGAGTAATGGAATGAGTACTGGAAAACGCGCGCGACTTCGGTCCCGTCCGCGCATGGGTTGGTGAGCAGGCCGTAAGCCCGCTTGATGCAGCTGAAATAGAGCCGCTGGGCGAAATTTCTCGGCAGCGGGATTTCCATTCCGTATCTAGTAGATGGAAGCCCTAAAGGGAGCGTATGAATAGGCATTGGCGTTTCCAGAGGTACAGCGGCTGGTAGCGGCAAGTCTGTCGTGCAAGAGGTGTAGATATTGGAAAAACAGACTGGTCCAGACGGGTTAGGATCACCACTTGAGTTGTTGTGGTAGGGAGGATGTCCATTGTCACGTCTTGACTCGTTGAAGGGCTCGACAATCTGAGAAGCAGATAAAAAGTCGCGCGTAATACTCTGGAGCTCGCGCGTGAGATCCGGCTGTGTCAGACCACTTTCTGCCTCTGTGACGTGGGATAGCATTTCAAAGAAAGACTGTTTCATATGCTGGATTCGGTTTTCAAGAACCTGCACGTAGTTCGTACGCAAATCATCTTCTTCCTCTTTTCGAGACCTGTAAGTCCGTTGTGCTTTCCGAACTTGCTTCCGGCGCCTCTACGCTCCAGTCAGATAACCAGGCAAAGCATAATGAAGATGGACTGAGCAGTAGGCTTCCTAAACACACCTCTACTAGGCCTTCTTGCGTAGGGTCAATTGGGGGTCTGCCTCGCTTTCCTGTGCGTAATCGACGAAGGTCATCCGAGCATCCCTCACCTTCACCTGGTTTTCCAGGTAGACTATTTGAACCTGCTTCTGGAACAGGCCGGCCGGAAGACATAGTGATCATATATGGATCTCCTGAATCTACTCACCGCGTTGGCTTCCTATCAGATTAGTCGCGGGGCTATCCGATTATCCAAGTTTCCAATACAGAAATGGGTGGGCTGCGGTGCGTTGCGGTGCTGTACCCACATCCCGCAGTCTCTCCATCGGGAAAAGCCAATGAAAGCGCACCCGAGTGCTACTAGCTGTGTAGTAACAAGATTGGTGTCCTAATTGGAGCCCGTCGTGATAATTGATTGATCAGTGACTATCTAAACTATTTACATTAGAGACCTATGAGTGCAAAGGCGAATAGTGGGTACAGCACCTATGTTGGCGTTGACATGGAGCAAAGCCGAGGAGAGAAAAAAGCAAAAGGCCTTAATCAAGATCGCGAGGCAAAAGATAACAAAATTGATGAATTACCTTGGCAACTTCAGTGAAGAAGAACGAGATAAAGACGTGACAGAAGCTAGTATCCTTACTGTCTTTTATTTCAACGTCCTAGGTTTCCTATATCCCTGGAAGTAGGTGGGTTCAATATAGTCCTCCGGACTCTGTGTGCTATGTAGCATCGAAAACGGAGTATTGCGGAAGATATTGCAGGCCACATGGAGAAAGTAAGCAAGGAGATCTACCCCGAGGTACCGAGTTAGCTTTCAGCTGTACTATATATTTTAGTCACGGAGGTTACCATGCCAGAGTATTGTAATGTTTGATGTCGATATGCCCATACTTATACTGGAGGAGAAGAGAAGCTATACCGCCTCGGGGCTAGTGGAACGCTAACCCCAAAACAGACTAGAAAGCCATCATCTCCCTTATCACCCATTGATACCATCAGCTTGCATACGCTGCGTAGTTCTGGATCAATCTGAGCGATTTCCCTTGCAACCTAGTGACGAGTTCAAATTGTTCACCATGCAACGTGGCTTCCATGATCGGCAATGACAAAGTTTCTAGATAAGGACCCTCCCTGATACGACGTGCTTGGATTCTCCGAGTCTATTCGCACGTCACGCATTCGCACCCATGGTAGGACTGGGTCTGCAGGGGGCAAACGACGGCGAGACAAAAGTCTAGACAGACCTCTCCATTCGCCTTGCGCGACGATTAACATTCTGATGCAATCTTGATATCCAATATGACCTCCGTTGCTCGTTTCACTGGCTGATCGGTCGATCATGACGCAACAGGGTCAATGGGAAGTTGGATGAATGACGTCGACGGCTTCCTTCCTTGTTGGGAATGGGGGGAATACCCTAACTTACGGGGATAGGTACGATGGGGAACAGTTAAGGACATCCAGAGTCGATAAAATCTCTCATATCACAGTGTCGTATAATGCACACGCCGTTCCAGTCTCCCCGTCCATACCTGCTCTCATATCATTCGGTGTGGAGTGAAATTCATTCCTCTTCTTCTTGCCCTAATATCCGGCTCATCTTAATCAAGTAACTTGCTGAATTATTCTTCTATCTACACTTCTATATCCCTCTACCATCGCCGCCACGCGTCAGAGTACATCATGAGAGACACTAGACGCACCGGCCTCAACATAGCCTTTATCTACGATCCAAAGGATTACTATGAATCCATAGGATTTTCCAAGAGCGAATGCGCCGATCTAGCGGACGATGTGACCATCAACGGCGTAGCATCAGCCCTCGAGAGTCTCGGCCACCGCGTGGTCCATGTTCCCGGGATCAAGACGCTTGTCAAGCATCTCTCAGCAGAGCATCACAAGCAATGGGACCTCGTCTTCAACTACAGTGAGGGCGTGTTCGGCTCCGCTCGGGAGTCGCAGGTCCCCGCCCTACTAGAGGCCTATCAGATCCCTTTTACCTTTTCCGACGCTGCGACGCTCGCAACGGGGATCGATAAGGGAAAGACCAAGGTGAGTTATACTCCGCAGCGCTCACCAAACCCTAGAGTATCTGATACTGATTGGCCCCCTTCGCATTACCTAGATGCTATTAGAACACTATCGAATCCCAACGAGCCCATTCGTCATCATCCCCCGATCCGGCGAACACGTGGACTACGCCGCGCTAGAAGACCAAATACCGTATCCGCTCTTCGCGAAGCCAATCGCCGCATCCACATCCAACGGCATATCACCGTCGAACAAAATCCTCCGAAAAGAAGATCTCCAAGACGTCGTCGAGGACCTCCGCGCCCAGTTCAAAGACCAAGAAATCCTCCTCGAGAAATTCCTAGACGGCCGTGAATTCACCGTAGCCATCCTGGGAACCGGCGAACAAGCCCAAGTACTAGGTGTCTCCGAGGTGACATGGTACAACCCTGCGGGAAGAAAAAGCGACGACCTCTCCGTCGACTTCGCGACGAGTTTCTCCAAGGAGGGCAGGGGTGACGGGTATGACATGGGTCATGCCCATGCGGACCTGGCGGATCCGCTGGTCAAAGTGGTCGCCGAGATCGGATTCTCCGCGTATCAGGCGCTCGGTTGTAAAGATGCAGGTCGGGTCGATATCCGCCTGGATGGCGCCGTGCCATATGTCATCGAGGTATGGTTCCCACACAAAGATACAATAGCATGCCCTCCCTAACCCGCAACAGGTGAATCCGATCTTCGGACTACGACCAGATTACTCCCTGTTCACTTGGATCGCGAAAAACAACGGAATGGAATACCAGGACATCATCGCCGAGATCGTCGACAATGCTCTACTGAGGCAGAAACCGGTGATGGTGCCGAATGGTTTGAAGAATTGATCTAATACCGTAGAGACTCTATCCTTGAAAAAGAGCCATTAATAAACAATACCGGGGCCAGAGCAAAAAGGGGGGATGTAAGTGATATTTACTAAGGCGTTGGCGTTATTCAGGTGTTCGGTTTGGGAAATATAATAACGAGATCCCCACGGTATTCATTCGTAGGCTTAGAGTAGATAGTCACCTGATTGCAACAGCATAGCTCGTCGTCGCCGTTTTCCGGATATGATTTGATCGGTGCTTGAAAGGAGCCACACGTCTAGAGCTGATAACGGTCCTTCCCATGTGCGACAGATTGGGAACATTTGGTTGTAGTTGGAAAGCCCCGATGCGTTATTGGGGGAAGAAGAGACGCCACGTAGAGACAGAAGCTGATTGTCATACACTGGTTGTGGTGGTTTTAATATTTAAACATATGCCATGTCCCCTAAACTTACTTCCTAACTGGGCAGATATACGAGCAGCGATACGACTAGTTTAAGAAGTTTTAAGCACAATAGAAATGAATCAATGTAAGATTATTGTTATTTTCATGGGCACAACCCTGAACCCATTTCCCGAAGAGCCTGTCACGCAGGCAAATCAACAACGCCAGGCACCATCCATGCCAAACCGAACCCTATATAATGACATCACGAATTATCCCTGACCCTAGCGCCAACTTGAAGGGTATTTGTATCCAAAGCACGACATTAAACATAGGCGCGTTATGTCTCCACAGGAGACGGGCCACGAGAAGAAGAAGAAGAAGAAGAAGAAGAAGAAAAAAAAAGCAAACTATTTAACTGCGGAAACTGTACATGCGCACTTCGCAATCCTCACTGCCGGTTGCAAACCGACTGTCGCCGAGACCGATGCAGGTCACTGGGCCTGAATGGCCGGTGAAGGTGCGCTCGCATTTGCCGGTTCTGGGATCCCAGATCTTGACCATCCGGTCTTCCGCACCGGACACGATCCGGAGGGTATCGGCACCGAGTGCCCAAACGCCTTCGAGATGGCCGAAGAAGGTACGCAGGCAGCGACCGGTCGTGGTCTCCCAGAGTCGGATGGTAGAATCTAAGGCGCTGGTAACGATGTAGCGCGGTGGGGCTGGGCGGCCATTGTCAAACGAGGGACCAAAGACAGACGTCTCAGAGAAGTTCGACTCCAGTCCAGGCGCTGCCTGAAGGGCGGCTGGCTCCGTATCTCCCGATGTGGTACTCATGTTATCGTTATCACATTCGGCGTCGTGCTCTTCGAACTCGAACTCCCGGGGCAAAGGAATCACCTGCTGAACTTGGCCGACATGACCATGGAACGTGCGTAGACAGGCCTTAGTGTCCAAGTCCCAAAGGCGAACGGTGCAGTCATCCGAAGCCGAGAATACCGTCCGAGAAGTCGTGTCCACTCGGACAGCGTTGACCCAATCGGTGTGCCCGCGCAGGAGAAACGTCGACTTGTCCTCAAAGTTCCAAATCTTGACCGTCTTATCGACGGAGGCTGATGCAAGAATGGTTGCGTCAAAGTGCAGTCCAATTACTCCTCCACGGTGACCCGTGTAGGTGGAGATACACTCGCCCGTACGCCAGTTCCACACCTTCAAACTGCGGTCCATACTGCCGCTGATCAATTTGGTGTCGTCAAACTGGAGACAGCGAATACCAGATTGGTGTCCGCGGAGGGTACGCAGCTCTTCTCCAGTCTCGGTATCCCAAATCTTGATAGTCGCGTCATATGAACCAGTCGCCAGAATGTTGTCCTCGAATTGCAAGCACATCACTCCGTTAGTGTGGCCTTTGAACACCTTGGTGGAGCACCGTCCATATTTCCAGTTCGTGCCGACCTTGAACCGGTCCTTGTAGACCTCCTTCCACGGCCGGTACCGAGTCGTGTAGTAGTCATCATCTGGCTCTGATCGAGCATCCAGCGAGGAACAATGCCGCTTCACGATTGCTGTCTCCTCATCGCTCGAATCCGCCTTTCGTTTTTGGGTATTCGAATCGTCCGCATGAGTCGCACTGCATTCGGCACCTCCTGCGTTCTGTGCGGGTCCGCTGACGTCCCAGTTCGTGGCGCGCAATTGAATTTCGCGCTTGGACTCCCGCAGACGTTTCCGCTCTAGAAGAGGGAGTCCCCAGCCACATTTCTTGCATTTGCGGTGGATGTGTTGTTCGCACATACGATGCCAAACCACATCATCATCTGCAAGTGCCCGCCAGCGGCTGGACACCTGGGCGGCTTTGCACAGCGAGGTGGTGTCGAGGTAGCACAGAATTTTAAACGAGATCTCCGGTGGAAGAGCGGTTAGGAAGTCGATTCGGATGAGGTCTCGAACGGTAGCGGACACGAACGAAAGTTGGGGGAAGCAACACTGAGCCATAATCCCCTGCAGGATCAATTTGCGGTGCTTGGCCGGAGCGGCCGAAAAAAGAGACCATACATGGGCAATGCCCTGTTGGTCGCTGGGAGGCAGCGTTTCCAATTCCTATAACCCATTAGCTAAGAGAAACACGACAAGCCCTAGAAAGCCCTACCCTCTGTAGTTTATCCATAGACGGCTCGTCTGCCTGTCGTCTGCATTTAAGGTCTGGCCGGTGGCGATAGCAAAATTTCGAGTTTGGGCTGCTCAAATCCTCCAGCTTGTCGGTTCTTCGTGACCCTAGGGGACCGTACTGTTCGGGGATGTGTTTGACGAGAAATGGTGCAACATTCTCGTTTGCAAGCTTTGCGGGAGTCGTCGCAGCGGCACCGAAACTGTGGGGCTTTCGATGGTTAGAAACGGTCTCGGGTTCAATTTCCTCAGCGGTGTCCGATGCGCCGCCAAAGATGGACTGGAACGACTGTTGCTGTTGTTGTAATGATTGTTCGTGCGAGCGATGCGTAAATTCTCCCGTCGGTTGAGCCATTTTCATTAAGAAAGTCTGCGAAGAGTCGCTACCTTCACGCACTGATCGGTCGTCGGCCTGCATCGTGTGACTGAGACAAGGTCCTACCGCCCGCGCGCTACCGTGGTAGCAGTCGTAATGAAAGGCAGAACGGAACGTAGAGAAAAATCCAGAGGACGACGACGAATATTGCGCCAGCAACCACCTTCGTGCAGGTTTGTTGAAGTCAAGGTCAATATTGCGGTACCTGGTCGTGCGCCGATAGGGGAGTGACACTGGCGACCGTCGGGGATTGATGGGTCAGGGCACAAGATAAGCAGGTTAAGTAGTTGATAGGCGGGCGGGGAGAGGGATGGCGACAGCGGCAGCGATCGATAGAGAGAGACGTTCTTCCCTTCTGTTTTCAATGGTCCAGCCAGATCCGAAACACACGTGCAGAAGGATACGCCTGAGAGAGAAGAGTTCAGGGGGGGGAAGAAGGCGACGAAGATGGATTGTACTTGTACATCGACTACCTTGTTGGCTGGCCTTCGATCACGCAAGCGCCATCCAGCGTATCGTGCTGCGCTAGTCCCCGTGCGGTATCCCTCACGTGACAGCGATGGCGCCATAGACGCTCTTAGTCGCATCAGCACAACATCTCGACCCGCCAAAGAAGACGACGAACTGCTTCTGTGTTGCACAATTCGTCGCCATTGTCCGCCCTTATTGCGGATCCCCCAGAATTTTCAGACCCTACTCTGACTCTGTATTGCGCTATTCTGGGATCCATTGCTTGGCGCTAAGTTCCCCGGTGGGTTGGGTGCCAGCAGCGACGTACTCTCCCCGACTACTCTCAGGTCCACCATTGGGCCGTCGTGCTTCTGACCAACCATTGCTCACCCAGACCTACTCTGTTCACGCTTGCTAATTGTTCTTCGATTTTTTTTTTTAATTATGGTTTTTTTGCCCCTTGGGGTGATTACTTAAGTTCGTACCGAAAACAGCCTCATCACCTCATTTTGACTACCCCCGTTTCGTGGCGAGATTTCTAGAAACGTGAAACATCACATCATCTCGGCTTCAGAACGCGGCAAGATCAGACGGTTCTTCCATAGCGAAGGCTTCCTGAGACTCGATTTTGATTTGGACGCCTCACCGCTAGAATTCGAACCACACTAGTCCCTGTTAGTCGGGCAATTGATGGTCGAAACCACTGGTTGTTTAGGAAGGGATAAACGTTGCTTGGCCTCTCCAATGGAGTGATGATGGCCTAAGTCTACGCGCTTCTCACGCCAGATTCCCTGCTCCTCTGTATTTCTCTGCTCCAGACCGGTCGCTCGGCCGCTCGCAGTGTTGTGCCGACCATTCATTGGACGCCCAAGCTCATCGGCGAGTTATCTCATGCAAATCACTTACGGCATTTTCCCTCTATCATTTTGCTTAACGGATTGATCTGGAACGTCCTCGACCATGTCAGACTCAGAGTCATCCGCGATATCCAATAATGCTTCTCCTGATCCGGATCACTCCCCGGGACAGGAGAACTCAATGCCTCAACTAGAGACACTCATCTCGCATTTGGTTGCGGCGAAGCGGTCCCTGTCGTCCATTAACCACGTCTGGCGTGCTAATGAGATCGTCACGGCCGCTCGCTCCGCATTGGAAGAGAGTGTTGTAGTCTCGGCGCGAACGGGTTTCCTTCGCCGGGGGCTGAATAATCAGTTACGCCTTCTGTATAGTGTCCGTGCCGAGGCTCAGGAGGTCTCCTTGCGCGGCCGGTCAGAGTTCGCTACCGTGCTAAAGAGCCTTGATACTGCAGATTCAAGACTGAGAAAGACGTTGGGTTTGTTGCGAGAAACGATTGTCCACGCTTCATTCCGCCCAGAAGGCGAAGAATCCAAAAGCTTACATGACTTTGTCGATGAGCGTGGGGTGGAAGAGCTACATACAACCCTCAAAGGCTCAATCGATCGGACCAACGCCGCTCAGGCGGACCTAGAATCGTCTAATCGCGCTTTTGACGATGAGTTGCAGTCTATCAAGGAAGCACTCGGCAATTACCGGGCAGCGACGCAGCTCGCGTCGTCCCGAACGTCCGCCTCTTCGTCATCGCAATCGACCTCGAACGCTAGCTTGCCGTCTCTCTCGTCAATTCCATCCATGCTGCATTCCCTCGAGATGCATGCCCAAGAAATGGCTAACCTGCTTGAGTCGTTAGTGCGCCACTTTGACCTCTGTGTCACTGCGGTCAAGCACACGGAAGGTGGCGGAGCAGCTGCCCGATCCATTACCGGTGACGTGCCCGCTACGGTGCATGTCAACGGGCGTGTTGGTCCCAATATCGAGGAAGGCATCAACGCCAACTTGAATGCCCCACTTGACCCGCTAAGTGACTCGGAATATCAAGAAATGGTAGGCGTGCTAATCAAGGATGCGGCCGAGGCAGAGGATGTGGTTATGGAGATTCAAGACCGCATCGGCGAGATGGAGACGGTGTTGGAAAATGTGTTGGCCCAGCGGGATAGTGTCCTGTCGGTATACAACGCGACTACCAGTGTCTTCAAACACCTGTCAACACTCGCCTCGACCCAATTATCGGGATATATAACTCAGGCGCACAGCTTTACTTGTGCCTGGCACGAGGAGTACGAGAAAATACAGAATGGCTTGGCCGAGCTGTCGGACCTCAACACACTGTATGACGGCTTCCTGGAAGCGTACGACGGGCTCATCCTCGAGGTTGCGCGCCGACGGCAAGTGCGGCACCGGGTGGAGAAAGTCCTCCGCGACGCCAAACAAAAGCTCGACCAGTTATACGAGGAAGACGTGAATGCCCGCGAGTCATTCCGCGTAGAGCAAGGGGACTACCTCCCGTCGGATATCTGGCCTGGGATTGGCCGAGAGCCAATGCGGATTGAGTTCCGTCGGATATCCGGCGGTAATCTAAAAAGCATAGCTGCGGAGCCCCCTGACCAAGAAGTCCCAGCAATGGATCCCAAAGAAGAGACCCGGGCAGTTTCCCCGGGGGATGGTGGGGAAGATGCTGAGATTATTCCGGAACTCCCAAAGGCCCTTGTTGAGGAAGCTATCGACCGATTCAATGCCCGAATGCGACATCTTCCCTGATCACAAGCTGCGCCATGCTTAGATGGCTACCCGTCTTCCGTCCCTAGTTACGGTCTTCGGTTTTAGGTGGTATCTTTTCAGAAAAGCCAGACAAAGTCAGGCGGCTCGCCGACCAAGCTTGGGCTCGAAGGCACCGTTAATGTTTCGAGTAGGCATTCTAGTGCCACTACATGATCTAAATGATGAATTCCAAAAGCAGGCTTAGTCCTAGTCCGATAGACACGCCAACCCCTTCACTCCATAGCCACCACGGACGCATACTCCATGTTCGCGATGTAAGCGCCGATTGGTACGGATATGTGATGATTGGGTGGTTGATATGAGGTTCAAAGAGAGCTCTGATAGGTCATGGAACGCTTTGATTCTTTTTTTATTCTCTTTGCAAATCTATATGCTCATGTGATGGTTCTTATATATGCGTCGAACCATTCTCTCTATCCATCAAAAAATCTGGTCATAAATCTCATGAGATCGTGCGCAATAAAACCCTGTCCTAAGCCCGTAATAATGCTGAAACTTTTATTGAACCCAGATAGAAAGTAACGAAGCGGAATCGCGTTTATTTCTTCTTTCGTGAAGAGGTAGACACCAGACGCTTCTTCATGTGCTTTGGCATCTTGCTTGCACGCTTTTCCCGCTTCTCTTCCTTCACCTTCTGCTTGTGGTCGCGCTTAGTGTCTTTGTCTACGAAGCGCTTTCCGCGCGGAGCCCCCTTCTCAAAGGGGTCCTTTTCTTCGTCGTCCTCTTCGTCCGACCCAGAGCCCTCTACGGAGACTCCGCCGCTCACATCAGAGCCGGCATCGCTCTCCGCGTCGTCGGGTTGCGCAACGGATTTGCCACTGGCGAGAAGATCCCGGTAGACAAGGTCTTCACCTTCACCCGCATGGACTTTCTCGGCATCACGTTCGATATCGTAAACCTGTTCTAGAGTCTGGGGGATATACTGTTGGCGGAAGACGGCAGTGTCTAGTTCCTCGTCGGGTATCTCGGCTCGGGCCACGAAGAGCTTTTCAATAGCTTCCTGCATTTCTTCGCTCTGGTCCACAGTGGCCGGGCCTTCGGCTGAAATAACATACTCGAAAACCATCCGCTCAGGCAAGACGTCGACGGATTTACGACGGAAAAAGTCGCTAATGTTCTTGATATCCATACGCAGGAATTCCAAACTCCGAGGGTGGTCATGCTCGACACTCTGACTGACATCAATGATGTGGAGCTTTTTCTTGTGGTAAAGCATGTTGTACTCGCTCAGATCTGCGTGAACCAGGCGACATGTCTGGTACATGACACGCATGTAGCCAAGCAGATCGACGTAGAGCTCACGCCAGCGGGTCTCAGGGTTGGGGATATCAAATTCGACGTCCTTCAGACGAGGCGATGCGACTCCCTTGGAGTTACCTAGGAATGCCATGACGAGGACATGAAGTCGCAGGTAGACCGGCTCTGGGCAAGGAATTCCGGCCGCATGGATTCTTCGGAGATTGCGCATTTCCTTCTCGGCCCACAGTTTCACCATCGCCCGGTTGTTGCTCTTACTGTAGCCTTGTCTGAATCTGAACTCGCCACTCACGTACTTGTCTCTGTCCTTGAAGACCAGAATGCTGGTTTTGTAGACTTTGATGGCCCGGTGCACGGGAGTGGCATCCTCCTCCTCCGGGAACAACATAGAGTAGTAGACGTTGGCTTCTTTACCTGTTGAAAGACATCCGTGAATTTCCGAAACGATGTTGCGGTTGATCATCTGTAGCAGAAGCATTCGTGTACGGGGATCTAACACCTGCTCCGAAGTTGCTCTATCGGCTCGGTCATTACCGCGGTCACCGCGAGCCGCCAATCCGGACTGCACATCGTCAAGCTTGAGCTTTGTGGCATGGCGAGTCAACGACTTGATCTGGTCATCAACTGATGCACGGGTGTTGATGCTAGGCTTTTGCGTATTGGTCTTCGGGTAAGTCCACTTGGGAGCATTCGGGTCGGCAGCGAGTTCGTTCACTTTGCGCTGGCGGTTAAAGGCCTTCGTTAGATCGGCGGGATTCGAGGAGGAAATGTTCTCTGCCTCCAGGTCATCGTCTTCGAAGATATCATCGTAGAATTCCTCCTCCTCGTCCTCCTCGTCTTCCTGCAGCGCAGGATCTTGCCCCGCTATAGTGGGGGTAGTGCCATCTTCATTGATATATCCTTGGTTTGGGATGTAGGTGTGCGAAGGTGATAAACCATCAGCCAGACCAGGGGCCTGGGCACTTGGATCCGTCGACGCCATGACGAGCTTCGAATTCCGAGAAAAAACGGTGGCAAATCGAGTCGATCGTGGGCGCTGAAACCGGCAAAGGAAAAAAAAAGTTACTGATATATTCGATTAAGTGTGGACCTTGTGCGCTCACCGCCCGGCAGAACCCCGCGGGCCGCAACGCGTAGGGAAAAGAAGGCAAAGCGATCGGCCACGCGTGCCGTCGCAAGTAATCAAGCAACTGTCAACTCCGTGCTCCAGCGCCTCGGACTTCTACACAAACTGTAGTCCGCCCTTGCTACTCGCCGTCAGGGCATCGGCTCCTGATCTCTACCATCGGTTGCGTGATGATCTGGTTGTGCCTGCCATAACTTCCCGTGTCAGGCGCGCCTTGTCAACATGTACGTCAAGCAAATCATTATCCAGGGCTTTAAGAGGTAAGTCGCGCAATATCTGAAGTGATCACGGGGGCTTTTCGGACATCGAGACTAACTGACCATTATCTCCGCATAACAGCTACAAGGATCAAACGGTCATCGAGCCCTTTTCTCCAAAACACAATGTTATCGTTGGTCGCAATGGCTCGGGCAAGAGTAACTTCTTCGCAGCCATTCGCTTCGTTCTCGGCGATGCCTACACTCACATGGGCCGAGAGGAGCGCCAGGCTCTCTTACACGTACGTATCCTGAAGTCTCCGTCCGATTACGATATGCTTATGCTGAACAGGAAGGTTCGGGTTCCGCTGTGATGTCGGCCTACGTTGAGATTATCTTCGATAACTCCGATGATCGGTTCCCTACTGGCAAACCCGAAGTCGTGCTCCGTCGTACTATTGGCATGAAGAAAGATGAATATACGCTGGATCGTAAGAATGCCACCAAGAACGATGTGATGAATCTGCTCGAGTCGGCTGGTTTCTCGCGGTCGAACCCTTACTATATTGTCCCCCAGGGTCGAGTGACGGCCTTGACTAATATGAAAGATTCGGAGCGACTGAATTTGCTGAAGGAAGTGGCCGGAACACAGGTCTACGAAGCGCGCCGTGCAGAGTCTCTCAAGATCATGCATGAAACAAACAATAAGCGGACCAAGATTGACGAACTCCTCGATTTCATCAACGAGCGTCTTGCAGAACTAGAAGAGGAGAAGGACGAGCTGAGGAATTTCCAAGAAAAAGATAAAGAGAGGCGCTGTTTAGAGTACACGATTTACTCCCGCGAACAACAAGAGATCTCCAGCTACCTTGACAGTCTGGAAGAGCAGAGACAGACTGGTGTTGAGGATACCGACTTGAACCGTGACCGTTTCATCCAAGGGGAGAAAGAAATGGCGCAGATTGATGCCGAAATCGCCGAGTGCAAGCAACAAATCGAGTTCCTCAAGGTAGACAAAGCGCAGTTGGAAGACGAGCGCCGCGAAGCATCCAAAGCGCTTGCGCAGGTTGAGCTGCAGGCTAAATCGCTCACCGATAATCAAGCAACTGCTCAAGCCCAGAAGTCCCGCCATGACGAAGAGCTGAAGTCCGTTGAGGCTGCTATACAAGAGCGCGAGGCGGAGCTACAGCAACTCATTCCAAGTTTCAATTCCGCCAAAGACCAGGAGGATGCCGTCAAAGCACAGTTGACCGAGGCCGAGACTTCCCGCCAGAGATTGTATGCCAAACAGAGCCGGAATTCCCGCTTTAGGAACAAGTCCGAACGAGATAAGTGGCTGCAGGCCGAGATTAAGGACAACTACACATCCATATCTACCGTACAAGGAGTGATGGCTCAAACCCAGGAAGATATCAAAGAGCTCGAAAACGACATTGCTCTCCTAGAACCGGAAACAGAACTCTTGCGAAAGCAGATTGATGGTCGAGGCGACACCATTCAGTCTGTGGAACAACAAGTCCAAGCGGCGAAGGATGAGAGGGATCGCCTTATGGACCAGCGAAAGTAAGTTTCTTCGTGTTCTTGTCTTTTCTCTTCCCCACCTTGGCAGTCCGCTAATAATTCTTCAGGGAACTGTGGAGAGAGGAAGCAAAGTTGGATTCGATTCTCGTGAACGCTTCAAACGAAGTAGACCGCGCAGATCGCTCTCTATCTCAGATGATGGATCACAATACTAGCCGTGGTATTGCGGCCGTTCGCAGAATCAAGCGTCAGCACAATCTTGAAGGTGTTTACGGCACACTTGCAGAACTCTTTGATGTCAACGACCGGTACCGAACAGCCGTCGAGGTCACGGCGGGTCAGAGTCTGTTCCACTATGTGGTGGACTCGGACGAGACTGCCACCAAAGTTTTAGAGATCCTACAACAAGAGAAGGCAGGAAGGGTCACGTTCATGCCCCTGAACAGGCTAAGGTCAAGGCCTACCAACATGCCCAGAGCTAGCGACACGATACCAATGATCGAGAAGCTTCAGTACGATCGGGCATATGAGAAAGCATTTGTTCATGTATTCGGCAAAACTATCATCTGTCCGAATTTGCAAGTTGCCGCACAGTATGCCCGAAGCCATGGTGTGAACGCTATCACCCCCGAGGGTGACCGTTCAGATAAGAGAGGTGCCCTTACTGGTGGTTTCCACGATTCGCGCCAGTCCCGTCTCGATGCAGTTAAGAATCTGGCCAAGTGGAGAGATGAAGTTGAAACCAAAAAGAGCCGCGGTAATGAAATTCGAAAGGAACTTGAACACCTGGACCAACTCATCACGAGAGCTGTGGGTGAGTTGCAAAAGCTGGAACAGCAAAGACACCAGGTACAGAACAGCAGTGGTCCAATGCGGCAAGAGCTGCGGAGCAAGCGTGACCTTATCCAGAAGAAAAACGATAATCTCGAGGCTAAACGAAGGGCTCTGCGCAATATCGAAACCAACTTGGCTGCTGTGACAGATCAGGTCGGTGCCTTCGAGGCGGAACTTAAGTCGCCATTCCAGAAGGCACTTACCAATGAAGAAGAAGCGCGCCTGGAAAGTCTCAGTGCTACCGCTCAAGACCTTCGACGACAGTATCAAGAACTCTCCAGCCAACGCAGTGAACTGGAGGCCCGCAAGTCTGTCCTAGAAGTTGAGCTTCGGGAGAATCTCCACCCTCGTCTTGATCAGCTGGTGGGCCAGGATATTGATATGGCTGATGATGGCAGTCAGGGTAACCTGAAGGAGACCCAGCGCGAAATGAAGCGTCTCAACAAGGCGCTCGAAAAACTCGGTCAACGTCTCCAGCAAGTGGATGAGTCCATTGAACAAGCCAATGCTCGCATGGCTGAGCTCGGGCAAAGAAATGCAGAGACCCGGCGGGAGCTGGACGAGCTGGCCAAGTCCATTGAAAAGCACCAACGACGGATGGAGAAGAGCATGCAGAAGAAGGCTGCCCTAACCAAGCAGGCCGCCGAATGCGCAGCAAACATTCGTGACCTGGGTGTCCTTCCTGATGAAGCTTTCACCAAGTACAAGAACATGGACTCCAACGCCGTCGTCAAGAAGCTCCACAAAGTCAACGAGGGTCTCAAGAAGTACTCACATGTCAACAAGAAGGCGTTCGAACAGTACAACAGCTTCACGAAACAACGTGAGACACTCACTACTCGAAGAGAAGAACTTGACGCCTCCCAGAAATCGATCGATGATCTCATTACCGTACTCGATCAGAGAAAGGATGAAGCCATTGAGCGGACCTTCAAACAAGTTTCCCGTGAGTTCCACAATGTGTTCGAAAAGCTTGTGCCTGCAGGTCGTGGTCGTTTGATCATTCAGCGCAAGACCGACCGCGCCATGCGGCAGGCAGACGAGCTCGATTCCGAGGACGAAGAAGCCCAGAATAGCGTGGAAAACTACATCGGTGTTGGAATCAGTGTCAGCTTCAATAGTAAACATGATGACCAACAGCGTATACAGCAGCTCAGTGGTGGCCAGAAGAGTAGGTTCTCCGTAGCGCATTGGACAGTGACATATGTACTAACCTTTTGATAGGTCTTTGCGCCCTTGCGTTGGTCTTCGCTATCCAGGCTTGTGACCCAGCCCCGTTCTATCTGTTCGATGAGATCGATGCCAACCTCGACGCCCAGTACCGTACGGCAGTGGCTCAAATGCTCCAATCGATCTCGGATGCCACGAATGGACAGTTCATTTGTACCACTTTCCGGCCCGAGATGCTTCACGTGGCCGAGAAGTGTTACGGTGTCAGCTTCCGGCAGAAGGCTAGTACAATCGACGTAGTGTCAAGAGAGGAGGCATTGAAGTTCGTTGAAGAGCAGAAGTCATGAGAGGAGTAGGTGGGAGAGATCCTCTTTGATGGGTTCACGTGTCTTTACTACTCCGTTGCCGGGATAAACAGGGTAGCAGGCGTATTATGACGGGCAATTTTCTATTTATCGCTTTTTCTTTTAATTATATCACTTCCTTTGTATGCGGAAGATTTCTTTGGTCCCTTTCTCTGTATTTTTATTGAATCGTCGGGCTCTTGCTTTAAAATTCCCAACAGTCAATTATGGAACATCCGGATGGCTTGATGCAGGCGCTACGACTTATGTGGAACTTTTGCGTTTATCTGTGACAAACGTAAAGTTGGTATTCTGGTCTCTGTAGGCTGGTAATCTGGGACGTGTCGTGCCAGATACCTTTGTCTTCAATTAAGCAATTCTAAACACTCGTAGCAGACCGGCAGACCAAGCGTTATATTTCACTACAGCTTGGCAAGGCCTTTGGCTTACCAATTCCTCGGGCGCGACCCCCGCCCCCCTATTAATGGTGGATGTTAACGAGTGCCCTTAGGAGTTTCTAAATGATTTTTATATTTGTATTTATTTTGTCCTGTTTTTCTTTTGTGGATCCGGGAGGCCCGGCTTGTGTGGTACCTCTCCTTGGGGATGAAATATATATCTCCCCTTCACCCGAACTATTGACACGAACACGAACACCATAGAAACCACACAGGAATAGAAACAACCATAGATGACTTCATTCAACGTGGTGCAATGCATCTATACATCTCTCGATGCAAAAGCAAATCTACATCTAGCATCTAATTTCCAAATCCAGCCGAAAAGGAGCCCTAATTTTTCAAAGGTTCTCCAGTCCACTCCTGCAAAATATGCTCAGGAACCCCCCTCACCAGAACATGCATATGCTCCAAGCTGCGCACACTCTGCAACGCAGTCCAGTTCTTAAACCAGAGGACATTCGCCTTTGGATCCGAAAGCTTCAAGTTCCCCTCCTGCGCAAGCCGCGCGACAAAAGTGCGCTGCACGAAATCCTCAATTAGCGCGCGGGACTCGTCAGTCACGTCCCCATTCTCCGGTTTCACAGGGACAGGAGTCCGCAGCCACACGACGAGATGGTTGATATCCGGGGTGACGCCGTAGGGCCAGTCGTTGCGGAGAATCTTGTAGTCGGCGGGATCGGCAAAGGGGATCGGGTTTCTGAAGGGGAAGACCGCCCCACTGTCTGTTGTGGCGCCGGTGGTAGTGGTGGTGTCAGGGTCCGGGAGGTGCCAGCCTAACCGGCGCTGACAGATGTAGTTTGTGATTGTGCCATATTGGGCTTTGATGTCGGCTGTCCAGGCGAGATAGCGTTTGAGATCGGAGGGTTTCCGCTTTAGAATTCCGAGATCATTCCGGGCTGTTTTGGTAGTGAGTATGTGGGGGGATAAATCAGTCCGTGAGGGAAGGTGAAGAGTGCGGAGCCATGAGGAGGGGATTGGAGATGAAGCGTGAGGGGAAGTTTGATAGAAATTTATCTTTTTTTTTTCAGGTTTATTTTTATCATAATTTTTAAAGATCAGAAATAAGAAGAGAGGACCTACCGATGATCGCCTTGAGATCTTCCCAGTCATGGAGGACAAATTCCTCGTCGGTCTGTGCAAGGACCTGACGATCGACGTCGGTGAGGTTAAAGGCTGGAGGTGCGTCTTCGCGGGTCATGGCTATAAGGACTATTTACTGAGATAGAGTCTATTGGGGGAGGGTTGTCTATGGAACTCAAAAAAATTGGAGGACGGATCGGAATTCTGGATCGGGAAGGGCAAGAGGAGTAAAAGTCTCCATTCGCGCGGAACCTGAGGCAGACACAGGATATTGGCATCGGGAATCTTTACCCCAGAAAAGCAAAACCCCCCAACAGGGACTCGGGATGTCGACTCGGATTGGTTCTTGGACAATGGTGGGTGGACTCGTCTGACTGGATATGCTTAGATTAGACCATGATCTATTGATCTGACACCGGAGGCCACAATGACTCCCTGGGTCGTACCATCTCGCCCTCCGAATCGGAATCCATTGGGACGGTGAATGGTCTGCTTGAGGTAATTAATTGTCTACATACTACTCGTATAGGAGAGATCCCCGCACACATGACTGCCCGAACCCTCGGCGTCCTGGTTGTCTCCCCCGTGATTTTTTGAAGTTCAACCGATCAGTCAACAGTTACCGTAAAATTACCGTCCTCGCCGAACGAAGAAAACGAAGATCTGCCGATCCACTGTGCCTGCCTCGGGTACCTCGCCGGTAACGGCCCCGTACGGCGGCCCATCCTAAATCTTTCCGCTATTTTGTTATCTTCCGCGTCTTTTCCCTCTTCCTCCTCCTCACTCTCTCCTCCATCTCTGTCCTCCTTTCTCAACGTTTGTATCTCTTACTATTCCCATTCCCTGGGGTCGTTAGAGGAATTGTCAACATGAGGTTTGTGTTTATTTCCCCGCGGTCACTTGTTGCGCAATGACTGACATTGGCCATCATCACAGTGCCTTTGCTTCGGAGAACATGACCTCCGCCCTCCTGGTGGTTGGCACAGCCATTTTCGCTGTTTTGGTCGGCGCGAAGCTGCTTGGTGGCAGTGGTAGTATGTCTTTCTTCCGAAACCTCAGTAATACCCCAATCCGCATCATATGATTGTGCTGACCGCTTCCTTGCCCGAACCAGAAGCCAGAAAGGTCTTGAACCCTACCGAGTTCCAGAACTTCGTCTTGAAGGAGAAGAATGAGATTTCTCACAACGTTGCCATCTATCGCTTTGCCCTGCCCCGCCCCACCGACATCCTGGGCCTGCCCATTGGTCAACACATCTCTCTCGCTGCTACCATTGAAGGCCAGCCCAAGGAGGTTGTGCGCTCCTACACCCCCATCTCCTCCGACAATGAGGCTGGCTACTTCGATCTCCTCGTCAAGGCCTACCCCCAGGGTAACATCTCTAAGTACCTGACCACCCTGAAGATCGGCGACAACATGAAGGTGCGCGGCCCCAAGGGTGCCATGGTGTACACCCCGAACATGTGCCGCCACATTGGTATGATTGCCGGAGGAACCGGTATCACCCCCATGCTGCAGGTCATCAAGGCCATCATCCGCAACCGCCCCCGTAACGGTGGCAACGACACCACCCAGGTGGACCTGATCTTTGCCAACGTCAACCCCGATGATATCCTGCTGAAGGAAGAACTGGAGCAGCTGGTCAAGGAGGATGATGGCTTCCGTGTCTACTATGTGCTCAACAACCCCCCCGAGGGCTGGTCTGGTGGTGTTGGATTCGTTACTCCTGATATGATCAAGGAGCGCCTCCCTGCACCGGCCAAGGACATCAAGATCATGCTGTGCGGACCTCCTCCCATGATCAGCGCCATGAAGAAGGCGACCGAGTCTCTCGGATACACCAAGGCTCGCCCCGTCAGCAAGCTCGAGGACCAGGTGTTCTGCTTCTAAGCATTCCTGCCTGTTTGTGCTTGACAGCTTATATAACAGATAAAAAGCATGTCTTCCCGTCGCGATGTTAGCTCGGATGGACGCGCGGAGGCTCATGTTTGAGATATGCCATGCTATGTTGGTGTTGAGCCCGGAAAAAAAGCCTTTACCGTTTCGGGACGATATATTTAGATGAGTCACTCACTCTAGTGGGTTTCACTACCATTCAAGTACGCACGATACCTAGAATTTGATACGATGATCTCACTTTCGCGCTGTCACTTGCTTGCAGAGCTTTAGCGTTGCAATCCACTTGTACGAACTCGATGTAAAAATGCCATCTGCTTGATTAGAGAAATCGTTGTAATGCGACTTCGATGCAAACCCTACCTAATACGTTTAGGAAGTATATTCATGCTCAAGTAGTTTGACACATTATAACAATGCACGTCATATAGCATAGGGGACTTTTTATGGTTCATAAACTTCCATGATGGAATCCACCAAAGCCAGGAACTTCTCCCGATACTCATCAGCGGTCGTAGTAATCGTCATCGGGCCTTGACGGCCAATTACATTGAACGTCTGGATAACTCCCGTCATCGCCTGCGCATGCAGCTTATGCTTGGCCCAGAAGAAATCCAACAGCACCGCACGATACTTCCACTTCCCATCCGTGGACGCTAACCCAATACGCCACTTACTCCGCTTCCCGATCACATCGGGAGCGGAGGAGGCTGGGAAGCGAACCAGAAACAGAGAGTAGTCCACCGCGTTGGCCGACGCAAGAAATGCCGTGTCGGCCTCTATCATCCACTTCATATCGTCGTAGTCCGATTGAGTCAGCCGGATCTTATCTGGAAACTCGTCCGCCAGTCGACTTAAGGTTTCTTGGCTGACGAGTGGATCGGGGACTAGATCCCGCTCGGGAAAGAAATAGTCAATTGGCTTCAGGTCGTAGGTCTCCCACTTCTCGGCGGCTGGGTCCTTCTCCTTTCCGCAGAGCATGTTCTCCATGATGATATGGTGCGCTGGGGTTGTTTTCACGAGGGTTCCCAGTGATGTGTACGCTGCATAGATATAATCCGTAATCCAGACAAGGATAGAGTCTGGGTGAGTGCTGATGTATTCATAGTATGGTTGGAAGAGGTCATGGCGGAAGAAGGAATGTTCGAAGTGCCGGGGGAGGCTCTTGACGAGGAATGCGGAGTTTGACGTGCTGAAGAATGTCTAAATATGAGTTAGTTCCGGGATCTATCCCTTATAAGGAAATATTGCAAAGGGTCGATGGGACATACAGATCCAGAAAAACCCAGATCTCCCATCGGAAGTAGAGGAAGCGCCTTGTCTTTTCCACTCAAGAAGCAGGCACTATATTGCTCCTCCGAGATTTCCCAGATCTCATTCCGCAGCTTTCGGAACACATCTGGCTCATATCGAAGAAGCTTCAGGTAGAATATGCTGAAGAAGGCAATGATCCGTCCAAATAAGGTCTTGCGAAAGGTCTTGGGGTCTCGAAAGAGCGCAAATTGTATACTCTTGGCGAGGGCTACCTGGCGACGACGACCCATTGTTGCGGCGGCAGTGAAGGTGAGAAAAGGGAAACAGGTATACACATCGTGAGTACCTGATATATGTACATCCTAAAGAGATGCATGGTCCAAAGCATGGTCAAGACTAGGTGTTGACGTTCCAGCATGGTGACGTCAAATGGAGATGAGACATATACCCAAATAGGGTTAGGGTGTGATAGAATCAGGTGATCATCCATGCCACTGGCAGACCGTGACTCACTCACCGCCCTAGGTGCAAGCAGAACTGCCGCATTGAGTCAACGAAGGACGGACAAAAAAAAAAGAAAAAGAGGGAAAAAAAGTTCCCCTCCAGCGCTTGAATTCCCCCTCCGTTTATGGGTCGGTATCTCTTTAGCGGGGCCCGGCGATTTTCCAGCGCCATTTTCCAGACTGTGCAGTCCTGCGGTCCACAAAATAATTGCTCTCCCTTATACAGTCGTCCCCGTCCCCTCTCGCATTTTAATCCCAGGCGCTCGCCCTTGCTTTCTCGACGTTTTAGTACGAGCACTCCAGTCGCAGCTATGGCATCTGCTGCGGACCTTACTGTCGCCGTGGAGGGGCTCAAGCTCCAGTCCACCACGGAGACCTCGAAGTTTCCCAACTCCTTCCCTTCCTTGAACCCCATCGATCTCTACAGAGAGCATATCGCCGAGAAGCTGGGTGCAGCTAGCGGCATTGAGGCCGAGAAGATCTATACCCGTCTGCAATGGAGTAGCACATTGGACAAGGGTGATCTGTTGCTGCCGGTACGCTATAATACTAAATACGCTGCTGGGCTATGGATGTGCTGACGCGTGTTATGCCGATAGGTCCCCGCCTTGGGTATCAAGGGCAAGAAGCCTCAGGACCTGGCTGAAGAGCTCCGCCAGAAGTTCCCCGAGTCCGACCTCGTCCTCCCTCCTACTTGTGTTGGTATCCACTTGGTGTTCTTCTTCAAGCCGCAACCCCTGACCCAGACTGTTGTGAGCCGCATCTTGAAAGAGAAGGCGGCCTACGGTACGAATGGCAACCAGGGTCTCCGTGATCCCTCGGACCCTTCCAAGGGCCAGAAGAAGATGATTGTCGAGTTCTCCTCGCCCAACATCGCGAAGCCTTTCCATGCCGGTCACTTGCGTAGTACCATCATCGGAGGTTTCCTGGCCAACCTGTACACCGTTATGGGATGGGATGTTATCAAGATGAACTACCTAGGTGACTGGGGTAAGCAGTACGGTTTGCTTGCCAACGGTTACAAGCAGTTTGGTAGCGAAGAGGCGCTGAACAAGGACCCGATTAACCACCTGTTTGATGTTTACGTGAAGATCAACCAAATTGTCTCCCAGCAGGAGGGCCCCATCAAGGAGCTGAAGGAACAAATCAAGGCCAAGAAGGAGAAGAATGAGGATGTTTCCGAACTCGAGCAGCAACTGCAGAAGCTCGTGGACGCCAGCGAGGACGAGAGCGCTCGTCGCTACTTCAAGAGCATGGAGGATGGCGACGAACAGGCTTTGGCTCTCTGGCGCCGTTTCCGTGAGCTCAGTATCCAGAAGTACCGTCAAACCTACGCCCGTCTGAACATTGACTTCGATGTGTACTCTGGCGAGTCCCAGATCAAGAACGAGAGCATGGCTGTTGCCTATCAGGACATGGAGAAGGCCGGCGTCTCCGAGAAGTCTGAGGGCGCCGTCATTGTTGACTTCACCAAGCATGGTGCCAAGAAACTTGGAAAGGCTATCATTATCCGTAAGGATGGCACTCCTCTATACCTTACTCGTGACATTGGTGCGATCACGGAGCGTGACGAGGCCTACCACTTTGACAAGATGATCTACGTTGTTGCTGCGCAGCAGGATCTCCATCTAGCCCAGCTATTCAAGATTACCGACCTGATGGGCCACAAAGACCTGGCTAGCCGTTGCCAACACATTAACTTCGGTATGGTTCGTGGAATGAGCACTCGTAAGGGTACCGTCAAGTTCTTGGATGATATTCTGGGAGACGTTCGTGACAAGATGCACGAAGTCATGAAGAAGAACGACGAGAAGTACCAGCAAGTCGAGAACCCCGAGGAGACGGCCGATATCCTGGGTATTACTTCCGTCATGGTGCAGGACATGTCTGGCAAGCGGTATGTTAACTATGGTACTTTCAAGTGACTCTGAATCTTGACTAATTGAGGCAGTATCAACGGCTATGATTTCAACCTGGACGCCATGACCTCCTTTGAGGGTGATACCGGTCCTTATCTGCAATATGCTCACGCCCGTCTCTGTTCGATTATTCGCAAGTCGGAGCTGAATGTTGAGGAGCTGGGCTCTGCGAACCTGGATCTTCTGACGGAAACCCACGCTACGGACCTTGCCCGTATGCTGTCACAGTGGCCTGATGTCCTGCTGAACACCACCCGCACTCTGGAGCCGACCACCATCCTTCAATACCTGTTCAAGATGACTCACAGCCTGAGCTCCAGCTACGAAGTGCTTAAGGTCGTGGGCAGTGAGCCTGAGCTCAAGAAGGCTCGTATGGCTCTGTACGAGTCCGCTCGCCAGGTCCTGCACAACGGTATGAGGGTGCTGGGTCTCAGCCCCGTTTCACGGTATGTCCCTTTGAGTTGAGCACTAATTGTCGACGGTATACTAACATCTGCTCTAGTATGTGAGGAACGAAAGAAAGAATTTATGATAAAAACCGTAGACTACGGTAGTTTGATAAATACCAGCATCTGTTTCCTTTTCGTTCTTAGCATTACATTGGAGAGCAATTGATTTTGGGCCAAGAACTTTAATGAATGGCTTGTTGAGGTCTTGATCGGCTGTACTCTGCGTAGACCAGCTATTTTTGGGGCATTTGGATCTGAAACTATCTTTAGTCGGCAGCCTTAGGCCGTGATTCGCTCAATGCGGGGAACCACGAGCGGTGAGGTGGGCGGCGAGAGATACTGCCCCAGTGCCCCTCCATGTAACACCACGTGAGAGGCCAAGCGGGACGTTTCTGGACAAGGACGCCATGTGATTGGCTGCTCGCGTGACTCAGGGCAATGAAAAACCGTCCTTTGCAAAAATTTCTGCTGAATCTTTTGGCCTCCCTCGAGGCCGTCAAAGCGACTATTTTCTGGGGATCAGATATACACTTTGATAATCACAATTGCCCACCATGGCCGACACTCCCGAGCTTGAGCCTCACAATGCCTTCGATACTATCCTGACCCTGGACTTTGGGTAAGACTCTTATGTCTTGCATCCCTTCAGCGGGGATGCTGTTCGAAACGTGAAAAACCATGCAGCTCGGCTAATTCATCTGTGCTCGCTCTGATACAGGTCTCAGTACACACATCTGATCACCCGCCGCCTCCGTGAGCTCAATGTCTACTCGGAGATGCTTCCTTGCACGCAGAAGCTGGCGGATCTCAAGTTCAAGCCCGCTGGTGTTATCTTATCCGGAGGACCCTACTCGGTATACGAGGAGGGTGCTCCTCACGTCGACCCCGCCTACTTTGACCTAGGCGTGCCTATCCTCGGTATCTGCTACGGCTTGCAAGAAATTGCTTACCGTCTGGACAACACCAATGTCATTGCTGGCACTGCGAGGGAGTACGGCCTTGCGCAGCTCAAGGCCAAGAAGGTCAACGGCCATGTCGACCGTCTCTTCGATGGCCTGGAAGACGAATTCAACGTCTGGATGTCCCACGGCGACAAGCTGGGCAAGCTCCCCGAAGGCTTCCACACCATTGCCACCACCCCCAACTCGGAGTACGCTGGCATTGCCCACGAGACTAAGCCCGTCTATGGTATCCAGCTGCACCCCGAGGTGACCCACACCCAGAACGGTACGAAGCTCCTGAAGAACTTCGCCGTCAACATCTGTGGCTGCAAACAGAACTGGACCATGGCTCGGTTCGTCGACCAGGAGATCGCCAGAATCCGCAAGCTGGTTGGTCCCAAGGGCCAGGTTCTTGGCGCTGTCAGCGGTGGTGTCGACTCCACTGTTGCTGCTAAGCTGATGAAGGAGGCCATTGGTGACCGTTTCCATGCGGTCCTCGTCGATACCGGTTTCATGCGCCTGAACGAGTGTGAGCAAGTGAAACAGACTCTTGCTGAGCATCTCGGTATCAACCTGATCGTGGCCGATGCTTCTAAGGTCTTCCTGGAGGGTCTGAAGGGAATCAGCGACCCTGAGCAGAAGCGGAAGTTCATTGGTAACAAGTTCATCGATGTCTTCGAGGAGGAGGCCAAGAAGATCGAGGATGCTGCCGCTCACTCCGAGACTGCCGGCAAGATCGGATTTTTCTTGCAGGGCACCCTTTACCCTGATGTGATTGAAAGTATCTCCTTCAAGGGTCCCAGCGCCACCATCAAGACCCACCACAACGTCGGTGGTCTCCCCAAGCGCATGACTGAGGGACAGGGTCTGAAGCTGATCGAGCCTCTCCGCGAGCTCTTCAAGGACGAGGTCCGCGACCTCGGAAGACAGCTTGGCATCGCCCACGAGATGGTCATGAGACACCCCTTCCCTGGACCTGGTATCGCCATCCGTATTCTGGGTGAGATCACCCCGGAGCGCGTCGAGATGGCCAGAAAGGCCGACCACATCTTCATCAGCATGATCCGGGAAGCCGGATTGTATGACAAGATCGGCCAGGCCTTTGCCGCCTTGGACCCCAGCCGCGCCGTCGGTGTCATGGGAGACAAGCGTGTGTACGAGAACATTGTTCTCCTCCGTGCCGTCGAGACTACCGACTTCATGACGTGTATCGCCTTCCCATTCGAGCACGAGTTCCTCACCCGTGTGTCGACCCGCATCGTCAACGAGGTGTCCGGCGTGTGCCGTGTCGCCTACGACTACACCAGCAAGCCCCCAGGCACCATTGAGTTGGAGTAATTGGTTTGGAAATGAATAGACAAGTTACGTTGTTATGTCTTACTGCATGTTATACGGAGCCTTTGCTAGATTTTAAAAATATACACTATTAGTTCACGAGCAGGTTTATGCGAACACTTGAAATGTCCTAGAAAGTCATTCTCAGTATTCATTGTTCTTAAGTAGGGCAAACATCAAAAAAGCCCTACAGGGCGGTCTTAATAAGGGAGGATAAATATAGAAATGCAGATGTCCTCCTAGACAAGCCCACCTGCCCCCATTTCACATCGAGCCGCTGCTATGGATGTCTTCCGGCATATGACTTTCTTGCCAGGGATGTTCTACCGTGAGTGCGAGTGGAGAATTGACTCTGGCCGAGGTGTTCAAAGTACTATGAATTATGGCATTCCCGACCTGCTCAATGGCTACATAAGTGGATATAATTTGGTATTAGTTATACCCACCCGAGTCCTCTGCCCGGTCAGATAGGCTGAATTAGGGCATGGCGTCAAGTCTTGGCATCAAATGAACTGCATGTCCCAAACCAACTACCGAACCACCACAGGCTGCAAATGGACAGTCTATAGCGCACTGAATGGGCTACCTATTCCTGTAACCTCCAGGGGTAAAATTCAGGTTCCAACCGGGACCCGCGGCAACGCCCCTGGATCATGTACGATGCGGCCGACTATTTTTAGCCGGTCCGATGTATGTCTGTATGTACCGGGGTACTTAATATAACGTCCAAGAAAACAACCAGGCAATGATCACGCCCGAGTATAAGTTCCTATATAAGACACCCCTTTCCCTATTTATATACTATCTCATTCTATGAATTATAATCTTGTCTATCAACATCATCAATACCCAAAAGTATCCAACAACAACCCTAGCTTTCACACACATTTATACCGTTCACGGTGACCCAAACCCTAACCTACCTACCCCCCATAAACCACAATCAAAATGCCCACCCAAACAGCAACGGCAGCAGCAGGCACACAAACCTGCAACACACCCACGCAATACGAGATCCCCGTGCAAGACGCCGCCTGCGCCGTCCCCAACAACTCCAAATACTCCACAATCCTCTCAAAATGCTGCCAGAGCGCCCCCGTCTCCGCCTACGACCACGACTGCGCAATATACTGTCTCGCGGTGGGGCAGTCCGTCCAGGATCTCACGGATTGCTTGTACGATGCGAAGGTTGACTGGGGGGATGTCTGGTGTCATGGGAACACAAGTGCTACTGCCACTGGGACTCCTACTGCCACTGCTACTGGGACTTCGGGGGTGAAGGAGACGGGGAAGGAGACTGGAAAGGGGAAGGCGACGGAGACTAAGACTGGGGGTGCAGTGGAGGAGACGGAGAAGAGTATGGCGGGGATTGTGTCGGGGAGGGAGGTTTCTCGAGTGTCGGCTTGTGTTGTGGGGTGGTTGGTGCTTAGTTCTGTGGTTGGGTTCTTTAATTGAGCGGTGGTTTTCTTTAGCGTTAGACTTCGTCTATTGGATATGAGGGTTTATTGGGCTTTGTTTGGGAGGGAGAGGTTTATAATTGGGACACAGCTAGGTCCTGGATTCTTGTATATTAGGTGGTGTGGTGTTGATTGCTTCTGTACTGATATAATCTATCCTTATTGCAGGCATTGTTTGAACGGGACTTTGTTTGATTCTATTCTTCTTAGTTGTCCATACCAGTAAGGCGTAATAAATCCCCTTATTCAAGGTAAATATCCATCATATTAACATGGCACTGAAAGAGATCTACAGAAGCAGTCCAAGTTAGACTGGACGTATGTAATCCTTCCTGAAACATTTGAAGATATTGCAGGGGTTGCTTTTGCGTTTGGATAGTCGATCAAGTAGAGTGTACTTCTGTTTACTTGCTTCAGTCCTCGTGAGAAGGTTCAGAGAGGAGTTGACCTTACATCAAGGAGATTCTATTGGGGTGGATTTAGTTAGACTACTGAATGTAGGAATCCATCCCTGGCTTGAGCCAAGAGTTCCGTGGACTGTCTATTTGGGTAGGTTAGATACCAACCGGAGATGTCAGGTTCACTGATAAATCTTCCGATCAGCTACTGTACCCGTCCGTTGCATCGGCGAACATATTGTGGTCATACTTGTTTACTAGAGTCTGAACCCGGCAGAAACTTTGCAGCACCAAGCAGTTGTCGGAATGATCTTGGGCTTTGTGCCAACTCGGTTCGCCTTTATGGTTAGGTTCAAGAGAAGAGGAAGGTTGAATGACCTCCAAGTGACCATGGAACGCCAAGCCAGTCAACGACAGCACCAGGGTAAGCTCCGTGCTCTTCTGGAAAGGACATGGATCTAAATTGTCAATCTTGCCAGTCTACGCCCGATGCAATGCTTAATAATACTCCAATGCCATATCAAGTACTTCAATTTCCAAATAGTCTAGAACAAGAGATCTCGAAGTGGCGGAAGCTGCAGCAGAGCAAACACTCCAAAACCCTAACCGAGGGATCGAAGGCGCTGGCTTTGGAGGTTAAGATGCCCAATATTATATTATTAATCGGTCTGTTGGCTGACCGGCTAGCCATTGAATTGATATCCAGTTAAAAAGTCATCACAGAAAAGTACCCATAAGATATTTACGTAGCTGTTTATTTTTCTGGCTCGGGAACATCTTGACAGACCGCGGTCCGCGGACCGCGGCTTCGCATATGCTCGTTCCCTTGAAGGATTCCTGTCCGAGAGTAGCCCGCGTATATTTTGGCAATGATGTTTGTCATGTGGATTATTAAGTATGGACTTGGTTGAGACTGTAGGTTGATCGCTATTAGAGTTGGGCCACTGGTTCACTCTTCGGTGCATTGTCCGAGGGCCATAGATCATGTAACATGGACCAGGACTATAGAGACTGGCTGCCGTTAGCTTTCTTCCGTGTATGAATCTGAGCGCAGGACTTGGACGCTTTGTATGAGCTGGCGATGTGGCTATTTTACAATGATGAAGATGGATGAACCGCAAGGCATGACCGATAATGGCATGGGAAACAGCGCTTACAGCCACACACAGACGAGGTTAATAAGTATGGATACTAAATTTCACAACTAAGTAGATATTACAGAAATGAGATGGCTGAAGTAGCTCATGTTGCGTATCCTCCAGACAATCTGTCGAATCGTGAGCACTAGAACCCTATCCAGGGACAGGCCCACTAATGCCGACTAGGTTCGATATCGATGCCTAGCGCGCCAATAAGCCAGAGTTCAGCAACGCGTTAAAAATCCCGGTCCGCGCTGCCACTGAGCCAGCAACGGCCAAGGCAAGTACATACAGCCAGCCCCTTGTCCGGCGCACCTTATTGCCCTGGCGGTCGAAGGGTGCTTTAGCGGGTCGGTAGAGCTTGCGGAGCTTGTCGGACGTGTATGGCGGATAGCGTGCGGCCATGAGCCTTTCCATCCACGTGGGAGGATCGAGATGCGTGCGCAGGTGCGTGAATTCGAGAAAACCATAAGGGCCATGATATTTGCCCATGCCGGACTGGCCAACGCCGCCGAACGGAGCACCCTTTGCAGCAACGTGAAGCATGCAGTCGTTGAACGTCACGCCTCCGGACAATGTCTCCGCCAGGATTCGGTCCTTGTCCTTCTGTTGCTGGCTGAAACCGTAGATGGCTAGCGGGTGTTCCATGCTGTTGATCACGGATATCGCGGTGTCCAGGTCCGCTTCAATGATTGGTAATATGGGGCCAAAGAGCTCCTCCGAGAGGAGACTGTCTCCGACTTCTATGTCGGTTACGATCGTGGGGCCGAAGGAGAGATCCTCTCTGTTCCGCTGTCCGCTGTAGACCACATTGCCGGATGTATTTTGTAACATCCGCTCGAGACGGTTGAAATTGCGTTCGTTGATGATGTGTGTGTAGTATGCTGGCAATGTTTCTCGGTCCCCGCCGAGGAATAAGTCGAAGTACTTCTTGAGATGATCGACAAATTCGCGACGCACAGATGGGTGCACGAAGACATGGTTTACATTCAGACAGATCTGGTTAAAACCAACGCACTTAGTTCCCTTCTGTAACGGATGCAGAGCGACACGGTGAAACGAGCTGGAAAAGGGATGGAGAGGGCCTTACCTGACCGGCGTTCATAAATTTGGTTGCCGCAATTCGCTTCGCGGAGAGCTCGATATCCGCCGAAGGGCAAACGATGGCCGGGCCTTGTCCTCCCAGCTCCAGCGTGACGGGGGTCAAATGCTTGGCTGCCGCGGCAGTAATAAATTTGGCCACCGCTGCAGACCCCGTATAGAAGATATGGTCGAAACGGTGCTCCAGGATGTAGCCCATCTCCTTGCTCCCGCCGAGATACATCGGATGGCGTCGGAGTCCAAATATTTCGGGATGATCTCCATCAACAAGTCCTGGCTTGCGGTAGCAACATCTGACGGCTTCACGATGACCGCACAGCCCGCCGCGATCGCGTCAAACAGGGGGCCCAAGAGGAGCGTGAAAGGGAAGTTCCATGCCCCAATGATCAAAGCGACTCCCTTGGGCTCCTTGCGAACCGTTGCACCGCCCAGAAAGTTGAGAGGACTGGCCCGTTCCGGTTTCTCATCTCGGGTCCACTCGTCTAGATGCTCCAGGGTGTTCAGGATATCCGCTTGGCAGCCCGCTACCTCGAATGGTAGTGCCTCTTGCGCATGCTTGTTCAGGTCCTTGTGTAGGGCCTCTTGCATGCGCTCCTTGTTGTCCTCAACCATCCACCAAGCCTGCTGTAATTGCCGCTTGCGCCATTTTTTATCCTTTGTTTTCCCGTGCGCAAATGATGTCCGGACGCTGGCAAGCGCCTTCACTAGTCAGTAGGAATTGAATCGGAGGAACTCAGGGCCTACCTACATCGTCGAAGTCAGTAGCTGATGAGAAGGGCATGTTGTTGACTGTTTTTGTCAGACTGAACTCCCCTTCTTTGGAGCCACTTGTATGTTTATAAAGTGAGCGCTCGGACCGTTGCCTAAGGGCCAAGATGTGGGGGTCGTTGGTAACTACCGAGGCAGCTGACCGAGGCAACTAAATGTTTATTAAGTATTCATGAAGGCCAAGTGAATCGTGTGGGGCCGTTGACTTATTGGTGTGGACAAGTTGGTCGCTGGTGGTTCTGCACGGAGATACCAGCTCGATGTTAATTTTCACTCCTGCCGGCCTAGGCTTATGCGAAACGAAGGGTCCGCCTAGACCCTTACCCACCTAGTTTCGTTACTACGAGCTTCATCTGTACCGTGCCTTGAATAAAAGGTTACTATGAAAATGTCGTCCAGGGACCAGGGTCTAGCTGTGGTTCCATAAGATATACCCTTAGCCAAGGGTCTCCAACAGTTTTCCCTTATATCTTTACTGTAATCGGTAGTGTGTTCCAAATGGTCTAGCAACCTTGAATCTAAATCGCGGTTCCGCCCTGTCTTACCCTCTGCTAAGGTGGCTGAAGTCCCTAGGTGATATAGCCCTAAGTCATCAAGCCTTTGGAATTGATCTAATGTCTAATCCGTCTGTCAGACTAACCACATCTAGTAACGAACTGGTGTCGGCACTTTGCGGGCGTCAGGGTTTGCCCAGCGTCGGAGGCCCAACGTGGGCTGCAAACCGACTCACGTCTAGTTTCGAGACTAGACAAGGATTGAGAGACATAGGTCGTGGCTTTTCGACATGGGCAGCAGCTAGCATACTTGAATGCTGGGGAACAAAGGAAGGATTTGGTAATATGCACGTTGCTGTACGTAATACGATTGTCAAATGATTTGAGCCCACAACGCGAAAGCAGAATCTGGCGACGGCCACCCACAAGATTAAATGACTTTTATTGACGGAGGTATCTGGTTTACAAGGATAGGGATGTATTTAAGTCTCATGATACTGCTATTGCTTTACTATTGCATCGCACAGTGCTGAGGATATCGCCCGGGATGAAACATTGGACCGGTGATTCAGACTGATGGCCTGATCTTTTCGGCCTTGGACCCTCAAGCCAAAGGGGAAAAAAAGGATAGATAAGATTATCAATCTAATCTCTGCGCACTAGTGGACGCCCATTACTTAATTAGTCGGTCTTATAGTAGCCCGATGTAACCCAAACGCCTTTTGAGTTGCACCCGACCACTAAAGATAAGATGCTTGATTATATCAGGTATAATATGTGTTCACTAGTAAACACGATAGCCTATGAGACTCTACATAGCATCCTTGCTAGGCTCTTCCATTCCCTGACCTCTACATGTCTCACAATCCTTACGTAAATAATAAGCTCTACCCAGTATCCTGTTCAATTGGGGGTTGGTAAATTTTCGTATTCCGACCGGCCGCCTACAAGTAGTCTTAAAACCCCATCCGGCCGGCTCTTGATTTTATCTGGGTGTTTCGTTTCAGCTCTCAAAACCAAATCTCACCGCACAAGCATGCTTGAAAAGGTCGCGCCCTCAACTGCTGAGGTCCCCGCTGCGACAGGGCCTCAGGACCCGGTGTTGGAACAGCAGAATGGTGTGCGCATCGCAGAAGCTGTGACCAAGTCATGGTCCAAAAGCACTTTGATCCAGGTGTATATCTGGTCCGTACACGATGGGTATACCCTCCGTGACAAGTGTGCTGACTTCTGGTAGCATGTGGCTCATGTACTTTGTACGAGCGCTCAATGGAAGCCTGACAAGCAATCTAGCCCCGTACATCACAAGTGACTTTAGTAATCATTCGCTACTCCCTGTCATTCAAATTGTCGTCAGTATTATGAGCGCGGCGTGCACGATGCCAATTGCCAAGCTGCTGAACCTATGGGACCGCACCGTGGCGCTGAGTCTCATGCTCGTCGTTGCTATCATCGGCCTTATCGTGATGGCATGCTGCCACAATATTACCATCTACTGCGTTGCACAGGTATAATATGCCTCGTATGGCCCCTGACCCAATTAGACTAATTGTGGCTATAGGCATTTATTACGGTGGGCCTTACTGGCCTTATATTCTCGCTAGATGTGTTGACTGCAGATACCTCCACGGCACAGGATCGAGCGCTTGCCTTTGCCTTCACCTCGTCGCCCTACATCATCATGGCCTTCGCCGGAGCGCCGCTTTCCGCATCCTTCAATGGGCTCAACTGGCGCTGGGCCTACGGCACTATTGCAATCCTCCTCCCCGTGGTGACCGTCCCACTGATCATCATCTGGGAGCTTGCCAAACGCAAGGCCCAGCAGACGGAGACACTAACCCCCGTCCACAGCGAACGCACCTTAGTCCAGCACATCCGCTACTACATCATCGAATTCGACATTCTGGGCATCCTCCTCCTCATCGCAGGCTTCTCCCTGTTCCTCCTAGCCTTCGCGCTCGCCGGCTCGCAGCCCCAGAAATGGCATTCCACGCACATCATCTGCATGATCGTGATCGGTGGAGTGACGATCATCGTCTTCGCCGCATACGAGCGCTTCTTCGCCTCCAAACCCCTGGTGCCATACAACCTGCTCGTGTCGCGCACGGTGACATTCACCTGTCTCCTGAACCTTACCTACGTGATCGCGGCGGACTGCTGGGCCAGCTACTTCACGTCCTTCCTGCAGGTGGTGTACCACGTCTCCCTAACGGAAGCAGGCTACGTCGTGGCGATCTCGAACCTGATCTCCCCGCTCTGGCTCGTCGGCGTCGGCTTCCTGGTGCGCTGGACCGGCCGCTTCAAATGGCTGCTCCTCTGCGCAATCCCCGTCTACCTGCTCGCCATCGGCCTGATGATCCACTTCCGCTCCCCGGGCCACAGCATCGGCTACATCTGTCTCTGCGAGGTGCTCATCGGCCTGGGCACCGGCACCATCATCGCGCTCGAGCAGACCGCCGTCACGACCGCAACCGAGCACAACGACTACGCCTCCATGCTGGCCCTGCTCGGCTGGGTCGGGAGTATCGGCGGCGCCATCGGGAATAGTATCTCCGGCGCCATCTGGACCAATACCTTACCGCAGAAGCTGAGGGAGTTTTTGCCCGACGACACCAAGGCCCAGTGGAAGGAGATTAACGATTCCCTGTATGTGCAGCTCAGCTATGAGGTCGGCTCGCCCACGCGTGTGGCCATCGAGCGCGCCTATGCGGTGAGTCAGCGCAATATGTTGATTGCCGGGATTGCTTTCATGGCGTTGACGATTGTGTGGGTGATGGGCATTAAGGATGTGAGGGTTAAGGGCAGGGATAATAAGGGAAGAGTGCTTTTTTAGGTGCGGTTGTTGGGTGGGGGATGTTAGTTATTGTCTGTTTTGGGGAAGGGGTTTGGTTTCTTTTACAATAGTTCAGTACGGCTTGGTTGAGTCTTAGAGATGAAACGGTGGCCTTAGAGGTCTTGCCTGGCCTAGTATTACCTATGTGTGACTTGCGCTATGGGAAATTGACGGAATAATTAGTTCAACTACTTGGGACACACGCACGCATTCTAGAATCCGCCATGATCGGAAGTTCTCAAACTACCGAATCCACACGCCCGGTCAAGTGTATGTATAGCAATAGCCATTCTCCATCGGGTCCATCATCTTCTCCACCGCCCGTGCAGGACTCAGCTGCCCGAACTCAACCAGAGTATCAAGCGTCACCAACGGGGCATCCGGCGGATCGTAGATAACGGTGGTGCCGTTGAGCGCGTTGCGGCGATTGACGGGGTCCTGATCCTGCCATTGCGCCCACAGCCGGTCAATAAAGGCATGGTGCAACATGAAGGCGGGATCCTGAGGCGACGCGAAGAAATCACCCATGGCACCTCCGATGCCGCGGTGGCCGCCGCTGTGCGAGCCCGGCCGATCAGCTTCACTCGGGGACATGACTTCGAGCCACTCTTGAATGCTGGTTGCCTCTTGCATTAGCTCCACGGCAGTCTGGTTGTTCAGCATCTGCAGGACCGTGGGGCTCAAGCTTCGCGTCAGACAATGCGGATTGTAGTCGTACGCATTGTCGGGAATGGGTCCGTACGATTGAACGAACGTGGGACTGATGGGCCCCATGTGGACGACGAAGTCCTTGAACGGTCCTCCCTGCACACATCCACCGCCCGTTCCTCGGGGGAGGCATATCTTTCCCGGGGAACAGGGAATCGGCTCGTTGGGATCGTACTCTCCATTGCCTGAGAGGGAAGTCTCGCTGTCGTCGAACAGGGGGCTCTCGAACATGTTTTCTGTGTCGAGGGCCCAGTTCCAGTACCTGTGGCATTTGGTCAGCGGGCGATTCTAATCTGTGGGATGATCGTTTTTACTCACGGTACACTGCCTTTGTATCCACATTCCTCGCGCAGGGTCCTTTCCCAGAGGAAGAGGAACTGGCGGTGCCACGGAAGGAGGATCCCATTGAAATGGATTTTGTTCGTGTAGTTGATATGAGTCCTTGGCACATGAGCTAGAGGACGCAATAGTTCAATCATGCATATAGACTTACGCAACAAAATCATCCCACCGGTCAAAGACCCCCGGGAATTCCGCATTGGGTAGGATGGCAGGGCGATCGCGTAGGCACCAAATCGCATCGATATAGTCCTTGCGCTCAGCATACTCTAGCTCTCTCCTGGTGCTGTCAACACACACGCATTGAAGTGGGACCGCAGAGCGAACATACCATTCTTTCCGTACCAACGCTTTCTCTGGACTGCACGCTGGCGACCCAGCGAGAGCAGTGCCGCCGATGGCGAAAAGAGTAAGTAGGAATGCCCTCATGCTGCGAGGCACAGCCTATGAGCAAAAGGATCGTGATATGGCCTGTTGAATAGTGTGCGGAAGGGTGTTTTGTAGATACTTGATTGATTGAAGTGATTGGACCTGCTAGCGAAGATAGTCGGTCAGTCTGGGCTATCCCACATATATATATAGATTGCAGGAGGCTTGGCTGATTTCAAAACAGAATAAAAGACATGTCTGCATGGGAGGTACCTGCGCATGAAATACCCGGCCCGGAGGCAGAATCTCGTATCGACCTTTATTCAGCTGACATCCAGTTCATATCTCGACCCTGTATATAAAGACAGCGGTTAAGGACAATATGAACAAGCATTACAGGACAATGCTTAGCTCATGCTGGGTATGCCACCGCGACATAGGAGGAATGTGTTCCGCTGGCCCAACGTGTTGGGCCGTGTCGACAGTGACGCGATAGAGTTTTGTCCCTCGATATGGACAATGGATACCAGTGTCGTATTTTGTTCTCGGAGAAGCCGCAAACAGCGGTTTCATAGCATTCCCGGCCTCCCCGTCGAGGCCGAGTTTTGGTACCGTGATCTTACTGGCGCCGACACACCGCTCGGTTTTAAACAAATCCTCCAACAAGACGGCAAGTAACCCTAGATGGGAGGTCGCTCGTGGCTAAGCGACGTGGCATTTGTAACCCCGTCTCGTCCGAAGCCTCGCAAGGTAGGACTGACTGAACTGGTTTCGGGACCCTGCTGGTGACAGCCCGATCCACCCACTCCTCTCGGGAAGTTCTTTTGTTTTGGTAAGATATGAACACCGGATACCAGTGGTAACTCGTGCAAAGGTTGCACCACCTGAATGCAGGGCGTATTCCATGTGGAGCTGAATGCCCGTTCGCAAGACCGCAGAGACGCTGCACGACTCGCTCTGCATTACGTAAGGCGATGGTGGCGGGCCACTCGAACAACGTTTCCGGAGAATTTCTATATACGTACTGCGCAGATGAGGCAGACCGCCATCATAAACGGGAGCAATGTTGATTGGCGAGTGATCCCTGCCGCCACACAGACATCTCTCATGGCATTTTCAATGGTGCTGCAAGGCCAGAATCCACATTGTAGATCTGATGCGCACCAAAGTCAGGCACCTCGGGACGACGACACAGCGTCGAATCGACCACCGGCATCGACCATGCTCTTGGACATGCCATTCATCCCTGCGCCAGAAAGGGACAGGTTTCCCAGCTGATCGCTGTTCAAGCGAGATATTCAGGATGCCCCGGTCTGCTGTGTAACACGATGAGGTGCCATGATCAGACCCTGTGTCCATGTGTCCTACGCCCCTTGCTTCCCCTATGGAGCTTATTGGTGCCTCCGCCAGGTCGAGAATCCAGCAATTGTCTGGGTAATGCCAGTGGGAGTCGGGAGTTCTCGCGAAGAATACTGCACCTCCCGCCTGTTTCCCATTTGTCAACGCACCGACAGGGAAGACAGACACCCGGGATGACATCTTCCGTATTCATCTTCAATCCCGTGTTGAGTCGTCGTTGCCATTCGGATTGGAAGTGTGTGCCGCTGTCAGAGGCTTGTGGGTCAGTCCAGTCACTGATCCTTTCCCATATGGTATGTGCCTCTTGCTTTTTCTGGCGGCACCGTCAGAACATGTATGCCTGCTTTCGTATTGCTCCACACTTTCATTGGACCCCCTTACTTCTTACCGAAGTCATGCGTGGTCTAATTCGACCATCTCTGATTCGCTGCGCCTTCATGCTGGTTGCTGCTGCATATCGTTGAGAACAGACCCTTCTTTAGCAAAAGCGCTGTTCATGACTAGTACTAGTGCCAACAATGTCATATTGCAGGGTATTTACAATTTTGTGTTGGTCGAGTCGGCGACACGAAAAGTTATGTAACCTGGTGAGAAGAAACAAAGACGTACAGACAGACAGGGACAGAAATTGAGCCAAACAAGGATTCCATAACAACCCATTCCACATCATACTTTCCGACCGGCGCGCACTTGTTGAAAGGTTGGCGATAAGCGAACCGACAGCACCCAAGCTTCGTCGTTGAATGCCGAAGCTTAGCAGAAACAGAAAAGAAAGACGAAAATCACTGATGCTCCAAGACTGTGCTCGACATGTACCCACAGTTTGCCTTTAACGGGGCATACCAATGTCGGAACATTGAGACGGTCAAGTTTCTCATTTGAACCGCCGTGAATCTTGGGAAACGAGCATTCCGCCCCGGCCCGACAGCGAGACTTCCAGTCCAGCTGGGAATCAAACATGCCCCAACTCCTATATGGTGAGCCCAGCCAGAGGATGAACTTATGCATGCATGCAGGAGGGGAGACGCAAACACTGTGAAGAGGCTCTGCAAGCAGAGGATATTCACTAATATAGATATTGATTGCGGTATAGTATCTCTTTTCTATACACTAGAAAACGGACAAAATCATATTATCAGGATGCTCATCAAGTATAGTATATCTGTTGCCTTGGGGACTAGACAGTCCAGGCCTGCTCTAAGATACTGTAATATTTGCAATCAGATTAAGAAAACTCAAGGTGGCCCAAACTCTAGTAGATATTAAAATACTGCATAAAAGGAATAGGCTCTGTAGAAGGCAGTGAACAGATACAATATAAAGCCAATGGCACTGATATTATCAGAGTCTAATATACAGCTCATAGATAGTAAGAGTCAAGACTTCCCTTTCTATTACCATCTAAACTGGATTTCTAGAAAATATCTCTACTAGTCGAAGGAGAAGCTCAAACCTCAGAAGATAATACTGTAAAACATATCTGGACTAGAAATATACTCAGATTCTAGTGCTTTTTTAAAACTGTTTTAGCTAAACTACCTGGTTGAAGTTTCTCCTAGATAACGAGTTGTAGATTCATATTTCTATATCTAATATAGTATCCGACAAGAAGATAATACTTTTTCTCTAAAGACAGACCCCTAGTCAGTCGCTTAATCAAGGTTACTTTGCTAAAGCTTGTTTCCATTTAAGAGACCCAATCCAAGGGAACAAGCCGGCGTTAGCACAAAAGACTCTGTGAACATGTACTGTATCTAACCTTATTTATTCCATTCTTATAGCCATCCAACCCCTAAGCTTATAGCAGATACACGAACCATCGGATTTTGATACCCATGTCTGAAATCATGACTTGCTCCAGCATATACGTGGGATACGAGAGCTGGCGGAAATATTTGAGCAAGCTTTCGAGAGTTCTTGTTCTACGACCTGTGTGCACTACGAGTACTGAAACTACTAAGTATCATATAGTAGAAGAATTCTACAATAATGACTGCTCGTTCGGATTGTGTAAATTAACATCTCTCTTTTTTTGCTTTTTCCGTTACATTATATTTATGGGTCTAAACAAGATCAGATCCCCGAATTAAAAACTTTATACATGAAGATATTAGAATTCTCACTACTAAAAAATCTACTGTACCTCGTCTTCCTCTTGTGCTATAGACGACAAGGTTTTACAGCTACCAAAGATTATAGAACAGACCTTGAACTGGACTTGTGGGTATTCTCACTCTTGACCTCTACCTCCTGTTAACAAGTCCTGACATGCTTTGAGGCAGAACTATGGCCAGGCCTATAATACATGCTGTCTATGCTTTTGGATGGATTCAAATAAAACATGGTAAAGCTGATATATTTTCTATTGCTGAATGCATGTCTAGAAAGACGAGGAAATAAACACTTCTTTTAATTTTATTTTTCTTTTCTTTTCTTTTCTTTTCTTTTTTTTCTCGTTTATTTAGAGACCCTGGAACAGCGTTTAAACTTTACTAATACACCGGCCAACGATATCTTGTTCAATTTGCGAAGCCTAGCCTGCAAGGTCTTTCGAGCCTTGCCGAGTGGTAAATTGCTGTTGACTTATGCCAAGATAGTCAGTCCGAATATAGCCAAGGATCTTTTTGGCTTGACTCGTATGCGACGGACTGGTGCGACGTGGTGGCCGAGGAAGGAGGGTTGGTTCGAAGTAGAGGTAGGCTTGAGGGAGATCACAGAGGAAGAAGAGAAGGTGATAATGTACGGTTGGCCGACGGACGGAGTGTGTGAACAAGTACCAGAAGATTTTGGGAGAGTAAGTCTCGCGATAAATATAGAGAAGAAGAACAGATCATGAGAGAGTATGGTGCTACATTTGTGGAAGATGTCACGCAGGTGGAGGAACTAAACATCATTTGAGGTCTACATATACGGGTGGCGAGGGGAGCACCCATTAGGCTGTGGCTAGTATGGAAAGGAGCCTTATTTTGTTCTTACTAGTAGCTGACATTGACTGTCAGGGAGCTCTGTCAAATTCACGAATGTGGATACGACAGCCGATGTACGAAACAGAGGTAGGGCTGCCCACTGATTTTACTGTTGCATGGGAGCCGTGGGTTGGAGACGTTCTTGTACTTGCCATTGCAGTGACATGCAGCTGTAGTGCAGAAAAAGACCTGATGATAAAACTCCTCACTCGGTTCGGGTCTGACATACGGTGACGCTTGGAAAGCTCCTTAGAGTGATCCATCTTCTTTTGTATACTTGGTTTGTTATTGTCTAGTGCGCCTAGAATATTAGTCAAGATGGATATTAACTAACTATAGGACCTGAACCTGTCCTTTCCTGTACCGATGGCCCACTTATTAAAGGTATTATTCCACAAGAACCTGATCTATAAAAGCGATTTCCGATAGTTTAGAATATCCCCTGCAGTAGGCGTCATATTCTGCTTTACAGGAGAAGAGACCTTTGTCAATACCAGTTTTACATATTCTGAATGCATTCTTTTAGAAAATACGATGTCATCGCTGGTTGTCTATACTTACTCTATCCAGCGTTTTCTATACACTTTGTCTTTTCGCGGGTGGCAGCGTTGTAGGGTCGATTAGCGTTATGCCCTTAAGAAGGATTGGTTAAAATATGATTTCGTTATATTATATGTCGCTCTGCACAAATATTGTATATTTCCTGATCTTCTACCACATATTCAAGTCCTCGGCTAAAGCCTTGAATATAGAATGTGACATCCTGCAAATATAGTTATACATCAGCAGCATAGCCCGTCCCTGAGCCACCCAGCAAATGAACTGGCGTATAAATTTAGACGGCCCGGGGGGGATCGACAACCCCGGCAAAGGATCGCCCCATCCACGACCTAGAATGGATTTCAGGCGTCCTGGAGATATATAACCCGTCATCTAATTAGGTTCGGCGGTCCCGTCGATAAGAGTAAATGGCACACACACGCACCCTCCGCAGCATATCATCCATCCTGCCAAGCAAAGATTTAGCCTCGAATATGTGCCCAGAATCAACCTTATGATAGAGGAAACGGAAAATGGCTCAAGAATAGCCCAGAATCGATACTGGAGCACATCAACCAATATCAACCTTTCACCTTGTACCGGCTGGCTGTGCTGCGCCGCATTTTCTCTTCTTGGCGCACTGGCTGCTGATAGATAAGAAGATGAGATTGATAGCAGAATCAAAGATATATAGGAGGCTTCAACTTCTCGCTGAATTCAAGATTATATCCTCAGAAGACAGACATCGATTAACCCACCAAAGCACACTTTTCTACGGGCTAGACTTCCTACAACTTCAAAATGCAGTGGACTACCATTCTGATGGCACTCAGTGCCCTCTCTACCCAGGTAGGAACCCATCCATAATAGTCTACGCTAGCTGCATTCAACTCACAGAGCTCCTTTCTCAGGTGTACGGAGCTGCTACGGGCAGTCCCTTCGAGAAGCTTCCCATAACCGCCCCGACTTGGGAGGTGGAGGTTACTCCAGGAGGTGACAAGGTCACTCTCAGTGGCACCGTGCAAGAAGTGCACGCACAACTCCTCAAGTTGAACCCCAACTACGACAACGACTTCCCCGCCAAACGGAGCGGAGAAGAGCCATCCAGCCTGGCGAAGCGAGACTTTAAATATGAGAAATATTACTGCTGGGGAGAAGACGGCTGGCATTATTCCCGCAAGCGCGGCGATAATGGCGACCTACAGAATGGGATCGATTACCTCAACAGCATAGGAGGCACACCGGGACAATCCGCTGGCTCCTGTGGTCGCGTCAGTTGCTCATACAATATGGCCATCTATTGGTGCAACGCTGTTCGTTATTGCTCCTTTCTGGCCTTCTCAATTGGAGGGCTGCATTGAGCGTTACTAATGATTGTCTGATATAGAATTCGGAGAAACACTATCTCAAGTCCTATGCTACTATCGCTGATGGCGCCCAGTTCCTTTTGGACAAGTGCGGTGCAGATAACAAGCCCCATGGGGAAGTGGTTGCCCCTAATCATTGGAGCGTCCGGGTTGTGGCGGATGCCTGCTAAATATATGTAATATTTGACCGCGGAGTACCGGATTCACCACAGAGAGCTACCGCGAATGTACGATAAGATAGTACAGATTGGGTGCGAGGGGAGGTAATTGTGTACAGTCAATCTATCAATGCCATTGTTTCTTCTAGTCCTCATTATGGTCACCTTCTATGTTGTGGAACATGAGATATCTTGGCTTTCAACAACTGACGCAAAGTGCTTGAGAGACGTGTAATGAGTTGTATACAGTAACGACGCAGCGTCCTGGTCGTAGATTAGGATGACGGGTTTGTGGGTGAATTAATATAAAGGGATTTTAGTATATCACAGACAAAAGCAGGCAGATGGATATGTTGCTATGTTTAATTACAGAATGACACCGAGCCATTATGTGGTCTATGAACTTCTTTCTTTCCTTTATTCACTCTGCTGTTGCTCCAGCCGCATGTTGATTGAGCAGGGAATAAGTCCTGCAATCTGTGGATGATTGTGTTAATACGCCTGGCAAGGATGATGAAGAATGTGGTTGTATCTTATTCCATGTAAATAGGACACAGTCATGTGAACGTCCGTTAACACTGTATATAGAAGGTAGAGTAGTTGCTCCTGCTTTTCTTTCTACTCCCACCCTATAACCGCCGCAGCCTCCTAAGCGAGCATATCCCTCTCGGCGATGTTAGGCGTATCCTCTCCAATCGCAATATACACTTCTTGAGGATATCCCTCGTGGAATGTACGCCAAGCTACGACGACTTAGCCGAGCCAATTCAAGCATTACAATGTCTGGCACGCCAGCCAGAGAACGGATTGAGAGAGAGCTGGCAGCACGTGGCACGAAGAAATACAGGCTCTTCTTCGTAGCCATGATATCGACATTACCACGGTGGATATTATTGATTGGTGTCTCGCGCAGGGTCCCCCCATCTACCCATGCAAGTCGAGCGACGCAATCTTTCCAAAGTGGGACACGGTTCGCAATCGGATTCTGCAAGTCGTTGATGTGTCTGGGTTTCAGCTTCTCGGGTGTTATCGCATTGGGTACGATTTTGGTGTTGAGAACAGCACCCTTTCTGTCCTCGTCACGATCGACCCGAAGCACAAGCGAGACTGGCGTATTGTTGAGCACGATATCAAGGATATAGTAACAAGTTTGACCTTCATATGGTCGATATGCGCATCTTCAAGGATCGTGGTATTCTCTGTGCCAGTCGGTCGTCGACCGGAAGACAAAGCGTCTGTCTCCCGCCTGTTGATGAGAAATGCCCCGTCGAGGTGACCATAGGAGATAGTGTGGGTGCTCATCATAGCAAGAACTATGGCACCTTCGGGAGTTGGCTTGATTTACAATAGAACTTTGGCTCTGAATGGCAGGAATTTGGGTTGACTTGTCGCCATTGCGTGCTTGGTCACGTCTTCAAAGATCTTGGTATCTTCGAAACGAAGGATGAAGCACTAGGATATATGGCCAGGAGGAAAGACAGACACAAAAGTTCGACTCCGGATGCTACTGAACCCCCCATACAAATATAGGTGGACAGTCCAAGCTTCGTCAGAGTACAATACTTCATTGACTACTACAGGGACAGGATTGATCAGCAGAGGAACTCAGAGTCCTTTCGCATTCTGGAGGAGGCCCAAGCGGAAGGGGACCTCCATGGAGATCTGGAACAAAAGTGGGGAGCCCTCAGGAAGCGCCTTAGAGTCCTAGAAAGCCATCTTGCAGAGCTAGAGGCCTACAAACGGGCAAACAGTTATGAATTTGGCGAAGTTTGGGTTGATTCTGGTGATGATACTCGAAGCACGACAACAATTATGGACTGGGCACTGTTTCGTTGATGGAAAAAAATCTCTCTACATGGCTCGCCCCAATCAAGGGGATGCCCTAGCTTAATCGGATATGAATTGCATGCAGCTGACCGACGGAATTGTATTTATTCACCACCTATACCTATCGATCTAGTTGCTAGCGATAGTCAATTTGTCCCCCACTACGCTGGCCAGACCCAATATATTCGTCCTCTTATCCATCAGATCCAAAAATGGCACATCTACCCCCATCGTACCATAGATATACTGACGGAGTTCCGCTGCCAACATACTGTCCATACCAAAATCCAACAAAGGCTTCTTGACATCGATCTTATCCACCGGCGTGAGGATGATATTAGAAAGCTTCTTCACCAGAACTGCCTTTACCGCGTCCGTGAGTTGCTCTTTATCATTCGAAGCAATCGCCTCCTGGATAGCTGACGCCTGCGTCCCATTGCCTTGAGCAGACTTCCCCGCATTACGCCTCAGAGCGCACGTCAACACATCGAACCGCGCATCGTTCAGGAACTGCCAGTACCCCTCATAGCCCTGTTTCCGGTGGCCTTGCAGACCTGTATCCTCCAGCCCAGTCAGAATATGCGACTGAGGCATGAAATCATTAGGATGAAGCGATGTGGGAGGCTGAGTGAGACCAAAGTCGAAAATCTGGACCAGCTCGTCTTCCGTGAGAGGACGGATGCCTTTACGGAGAAGCAGGGCCTCGATTTCTGGGTGCTCGTGCAAGTACCCAACCTCGGAGACCATTCCCAGGCCAAGGGAGACGGCCTTCAGACCGAGTCCGCGACGGTAGCGCGCAAATGCGTCCAGAAAGTTGTTGGCGGCGCAGTAGTTGCTTTCGGTGGCTGTGCCCAGTTTCCCGGAGATGGAGCTGGTCAGGACGAAGAAGTCGAGCTCCTTTTCCTTGTCTAGTGCGGAGAGGGCGTTGTGCAGGTTCCATGTGCCTTGGACTTTGGCTTCGGTGCCATTGAGCCAGTATTCGCGCGGCATGTGTTTGAAGATCGCCTCATTGAGCCCCATGGCGGCTTGGATGACACCACCGAGGGGGGTTGATGTGGCTGCGACGGCTCTGTGGACGTCTGAGTAGTTTGTAATGTCGCCCTTGATGACGGTACACTGTGCGCCTCCTGCCTCGAGTTCGTCGATGAGGCGCTTGGCAGCCGGTCTCTGTAGTCCTGAGCGGCCGAGGAAGACGAATTTGCGTGCTCCTCGGCTCATCATCCATTTGGACACACTGCGGCCGAGACCACCGAGACAACCAACGAGTAGATAGCTCTTGTGGGGATCTAGCTGTGTCGAGAATTTCTCATGTACGACTGGTACCATCTGCGTTTGGTCCTCGAAGGATATGACGATTTTACCCATGCGCCTCGCGTTGTTGAAGTAGTTAAAAGCCAGCACGATGTCTGAAACGTTGAATACGGAGAGTGGCTCAATAGGACTGATATCCTCGCTTCGCAGAAGGGATATGACACGAGATATTAAGCCTTGGTAAATGCGATGCTGTGTTGGAGATGTTGACTCGGCCAGCATGCTTATATCGAACGCCGTGAATGTCGTGCCTCGGGAGAATCTTTCCATGTTAAGACGACCCTGGTCGAGAAGATCCCGTTTTCCAATTTCGACAAAGCGGCCAAAGTCTGCCAGGCAGTCCCAACTTTCGTGTAGGAGCTCACCGAGTAGCGAGTTTAGGATGACGTCGACTCCGCGTCCATTTGTGATGTAGTTGATACTCGAAGCAAAACTCGAGTCACGGGAGTTGAAGATATGCTCAGGTTTGAGTCCAAAGTGGTCAATTAAGTACTGCTTCTTCTCGTCCGTTCCAACCGTTGCGAAGATCTCTGCACCAATTAGTTTAGCTAGCTGTATCGTGGCGATACCGACACCCCCTGCAGCGGAGTGTATGAGGATCGACTCTCCTGGCTGGAGATTGGCCCGGTGATAAAGGGCGTACACGGCTGTCGAGAAGACCATCAGGACAGATGCCATGGTTCGCAGGTCCTCGCCATCGCGGAGCTTAACGCAGCTCCAGGCTGGAACAGTCTCGTACGTGCTGAAGTAGCCGGGATACATGACAGCGACCTTGTCACCAACACTAAGGTCGCGGACGTTCGAGCCGAGAGCAACAATGTGGCCTGTGCATTCCAAGCTGCACCGTGCATCTGTGGTCTGGACATGCCCTGCCAGTGTATTAACATCTTTGGCATTGAGACCGACACAGGAGACTTTAACCACCACCTCATTGGCAGCTAGCATTGCAGGGGCTGGGTAAGGTCGTTTTACAAACTGCGTCGTGCTCAGTTGTCCAGGCCTTTGCACGGACAAAGAAGCATTGCCAACACTCCCAAGTGGCATAGGTGATGCGAGCCCGTCTTGTCGTGTACGAAATTCTCTGTTCATGCGCTCGTCCGGGACTATACGGCTGATCAGGAGATGGGACCCATTATCAATATACTCGCAATCGTTGATTGAGCTCTTCCCACTTTCAACTATTCTCCTGACGTCCCGTGAGATCACTGCAGCGTCAGTTGTTGGATCCAGCTCTAGCGAAAAGATCTTCGTTGAGGGCTGCTCAATCACCACAGCACGAGCAAACCCTGCGAACAGGGAAAGCGTGGGATTGAATTCTTCATGTACTCCTGACCCTGCAATCCAGACAATCCATGCTGCATGCTCGATCATTTGTTTGAAGCCATCAAACTCCTTCTGTGGGACGGTGCCAGCAAGAAGAGACCTTTCCAGCTCAGCTGTAGAGATGACCAGTGAGTTTGGAGAGATTGACGTTTGTGCTAGGTCTGCTAAAGCGACCCGCTTAACCGGCATGCCTAGATCATCGCTCAAATGGCTAGCTAAGTGTTCATCGGCAGGATGGATTGGTGACCGGCAAATAAGCAGAGCGTTGTCGAAATCTGGACTAGAACAACTGTTCAGTGCTGGTGTTGGTCGGAGAAGAAGGACATTGTAAGTTGCTTCCGATTGAGAACTTAGGACTGAAAACCTCTCAAGCCTTAAGGTGCTGTTGACATCAAGTGAAAGGAAGATCGTTTGACCATCTGTATGGGAGCCTATATCGTCCACCACGGCGATATCGTCGCCTAAAATTACCAGGCTGAAGTGGTCACTTGGTGATGCATTCCGGTACTGCAATGACCGAAGCCCTAATGGCACGCTGTACTTGTGGACCTCAGCAACCTCGAGTTGACTGTCTGAGGTCAGGCGCCCCAAAGAAAATGAATTGAAGCGCCTGTAAATACTAGATGCCTCAAGAACCTCCAAGAATGCCAGAGTAATAAGAGATAAGTCAGTCGAGAGGCATAGGATATGAGCATCTGGGTTTTTATGCACGACTAAGTCAATGGCTGCCAGCATGTCGGCTTTGGAACCGAAGGACCCCAAATCAGACTGCGCAATAATGTGGTTGAGTGCTGATGAGAAAGCATCATTGTCGCGTACTTGACTAATGTCGGGCTTCCAGGTCACTCGTGTTATGGGGTGTCGCACCTCCATCTTTTCGTTTCCTATGTAGGCGGTGACGTCTACATCTTTGAAATGCGCTAAGAGCTGCTGCTGACCATCGAACAAGGCGCTGTCAATCTTGTTGGTAGCTTGACCTGTGACCTTTGACGTAGAGCGAATTGTACCTTCGTCAGTGGGACTAGAGGGCAAGGTGATCCTTACACTTCCGAGTCTTGTCGGTACTTTACCAACCATTGAGTGGATTAAACCCCCTGTGCATGCAATAAGAGCAACCTGAAAGAGGTTATCCAGCAATACAGGATGTATGAGGTATCGGGGGTGGGACTGTGCTCCCTCAATAGCGGGGGCAAGAGTCCGTGTCCGGGCCTCTGCATACAATACACCCTTGGGATCAGGTGTGTGGATGTCATGCATGTGTTGGAAGGTCGGTCCAAATGCAAGACCAGCATTAGCGATACTCTCATACCACAGCTTCCTGGACTGGGGGGCCAGGTGACAGTCTCTGGATGGAAGCTGTGTACTGCTGGCAGCTATAGACTCCAGCCTTATCGAACCCTTGGCCCGCACTGTGGGGCCGTCGTCGGAGATGGAAGAGATCTGGAATTCCCACCAGACCTTCGAATCTCTAATATTCGAGATCGGGAGTGGACGAAGCTCCGTATAGAGTTCGATCGACCCCTGCTCTGGCACTGGCAGAGCCTTCAGTAAGTCAACGTGCCGGAGCACTACGGACTCACCCGCACCATCCGTACCAACAGGTAAAACCCTTTGCATCAGCGCCTCCACAGCCATGGATAGATATCCGGTGGCTGGAAAGACGAGAGTATCACCGAGCTTATGGTCACGTAGCCATGGAACATTTTCAAGTTGCAAGAGATTCCGCCATCCGAACGTGGTCTGGTTTCCGCCTGGTACTTCCCTACCCAAAAGCTCGTGTCTAGGGTGTGTGGTATTGCGCCATTCGCGGCTAACCCGCGATTCATTCCATGGTGGTTGTTCATAATGCCATGGATATGTCGGTAAGTCATAGATGTACCTAGGTGTGCCATGGTTGTAGGTATGATTGAGCTTTGAGAAGTCCACTCTGAAACCCTGTACGAAAAGCTTGCCAACAAAACCGAGTAGGGAGACCGAAGAGTCTTGACCTCGGTTAAGGGTGCTAAGGTAGGATGTAGAATTTCCAAGGGTCTGCATGATGGGCATCTTTAGGGCCGCATGTGGTCCGAGCTCAACGAACGTACAGTGGCCCATCAACCCGGACAGGAACGCAAGGCCTTCGCTGAAACGGACTGGCGATTCCAGATTTGCACGCCAGTACGCTGCCGTGCGGACAGCCCTCCCTTGGACTTCCTGGCACATGGCAGTGGAGTACATGTGGATGTTATGGTGCTTAAGGTCAGGGGAATCCTGCGCCCCAAACGTCAATGCCCCCTTGAGCAGCTTCTCGTACATGGTGCCAATGGCAGCCATATGGTGGGAGTGATAGGCCTTACCATCGGTCTTCAACTTACGAGCAAACACGCCTTCACCCTGTAGTGATACTAATATGCTATCAATGCATGCGCTATCCCCACTTATTGTCACACTTTGTGGCGAGTTTATGCATGCGATCTTGACATTGGCGTTGAAGCCAAGCCTAGTGACCCACTCAAGTGCATCATCGGAGTGCAGGCCCACGGCAGCCATTGCCCCTTTAGGTGCTGATGTCGCCACAGAGTATCCTCTATAATATGCGATGATGATAGCTTCCCGAGCTGTCAACAGATCTGCTGCATATGCAGCCGCAATCTCACCCGACGAGTGTCCAATGACGCCCTTTGGAAGGATAGACCAGGATTGCAAGATGTTGATCAGACCGATCTGGACAGCAGTGGTGATAGGTTGTGCGAAGGCTGCCAGATTTAATGGACAGGTCTCTGAATCATCTATTAGAATGTCCCAAATCTTCCATTCAGGGGCATGGGGCAGGATGCTCAGTTCGTGATCGAGCTGCCGAATGGTATTTGCGAAGACCGGGAAGTGCAAAAGCTCGCGGGCCATTCCTTTCCACTGCGCGCCCTGTCCAGTGAAAACAAATGCAAACTTGCTACCTGTCAAGTTGCTATCTGAGCTGGCTAGTGTCAGGTTGTCAACATGGAGATCTTGCGCAAGGGTTGCCTGTCGGGCAATGACATAGCCACGGAGGCCGAGATGTGATCGCCGCTGCCCTAGAGTGTAGGCAAGATCAGCAACGGAGACGGCTGAGAGATTCAATTTAGATAGTCTCTCGACTCGTCCCTGCAGAGATGCTAGTTTATTTGCGGACAATGGGAGCAAATATGGCATCGAAGGGGACGCACTTTGCCCATTGACTCCGTTAACTCCATAACTGGCGTGACTATGAGACTGACCATCGATCGAGCCTGTTACATCACCGCTCCTCTGAATGACCTGCCTACAAGACACGTTGTTAGTCTGACGACCGGCTTCTTCCAGAATTCCATGAGCGTTGGCGCCGCCGAAGCCGAAGGAATTAATACTGATGCGACGTGGGCTGCCTTCCGATGGAAAGTCGGTCATGCGAGTGACAACTTCAACCCCCCATTCCTGTGCTTTGATCTTGGGATTCATTTGCTTTACGCTGATGGTAGCGGGAATCCGACACCGCTCCAGAGATAGACAGGCTTTCATGATGCTGAGCAAACCACTAGAAGCTTCTCCGTGTCCCAGGTTCGGTTTCACACCACCGATTAGCACCGGCCGGTGGCGTTGATCTTTGTGAAAAACACGAGAAAGTCCTTCAACTTCAATCGGGTCTCCAACACTTGTGCCAGTACCATGAACCTCGACGTAGGCAGTATCTGCTGGACTAAGTCCCGCGCGAGCGTAGGCCTTGCGAATAACTGCCTCCTGCCCATCGACACTGGGCTGCGAGATGCCCGGTGTTCGGCCGTTGCTGTTTACTGCAGTGGAGCGGATTATGGAACGAATCGCATCTTTATCACGGATGGCATCGTCCAGTCGCTTAATATAGAGTGCACCGACGCCGTCAGCTCGAGCGTAGCTGGCCCCAGCATGGACTTGTCAACCAGGTTCGTCCGTTGGGTAGTACCGGACAGAGGAGAGTGAAGGAACTTGACTCACCCATCAGCGGAAGAATCAAATGTTTGGCACTTTGAAGTCGGTGAAAGAACTCCACCCAGCGAGGTTCCAATGTGCACCTCTGGAGTCTGAATAAGGTTAACACCAGCCACCACGGCGGCATCACACTCCCCGTTTTCCAATGCAGAACAGGCCATATGCAATGCATATAAGGATGAGGAGCATGCCGTGTCCACCACGCAACTCGGTCCTTTCATATTAAAAACATGGCTAATCCTATTTCCAAGAAGAGTCGGCCCCATGCCCAGGTGAGTGAACCTGGTCATGTTCTCCACATCCTTGGTCTGCATGGCGATGAAATCCGGCGTAAAGGAAGCGACTTACGTCCTGTCAGTCGGTCGAACAATTTATGGGGATCCAACTGGCTGCCCACGCACCATAACATCCCACATTCTCACCCGATACATCGTCCAAAGTAACTCCAGCACTCTCAAAGCTTTCGAAAACAACCTCAAGGAGCTTCCGCTGCTGTGGGTCCATATCTGCAGCCTCTCGGTTGTGAATGCCAAAGAACTGGTTGTCAAAGTTCCGAATATCTTCCCGCAGGAAGCACCCGCCCGATGCTACTGTAGTCGACGGTTCATCCTTGCGCCCGTGAAAGCTGTCAATATTAAACCGTGACTTAGGCACCTTTCCGGCTGCAGAACGTTCTTCCGCTAGGAAATCCCATAGCTCGGAGGGACTGGAAATGTCTCCAGGAAAGCGGCAGCCTGCAGTATAATCGTCAATTATTGTCGCCGTGATCATAAAAGAATACTTACCAATGCCAACTATAGCAATCGGTTTGTTTCTCGAGCCAGCCGGCTTCGCGTGGCCGTTCTCTAGCAGTGTCGCTTGATTCAAGGGTAACTGCATCTCCAATTATATGTTATGGTCCTAAATAAAATATTTTGTATGAAATGTGCCAGGGTTATAGGCCTGGTCCTTTTAGCCCTGTCTGCGAGTGCGCATATAGCCATATTATAGAGGTACATGGCGAATCCTATTGTCAAAGTGGACCGGTGCCCTCCGGCTCGGCAATACCCAATATGACGAAACATGGCGCTCCAGATCAGGAAGCTGAGAATTTGAGAAACGGCGAGGCAGATATGGGCGCTTACACAGTTGCATGCGCTGACGGATCGGCAGCTTGGAGTCTTCAGCCCCCACCCTAACCCGTTCAGGGTGGGGGCCATAATCCTCAGGCACTCCCTTGCAGAACTTCACAGCCTACTCATCCTTAGCCTACAGAATGAATACCTTAATATAGCACTATAGTGGCTACTACTAACACTGAAAGACCACCAATTCTAATTTGCAATATCTTGGATTATTCAAGCCAATGAAATTAGATGAGGGGTACGAGTAACCGTATGCCTTACGTCATCTAAGCACAAATAGTTATAAATATATATATAACGGAGTAGGTATCCAAGAGATCAGCAGTATCAAGTCAGATAAAGCACATGAAAGCTTGGCTCACCACATAATGTTCGCGTAACCATGAAATGGAGGCTTTTCACGCAAGTCAAAAGACAAGGTCAAGTAATGTCAGCAATCTGACTCATATAAGCCTGCATCATTCTTAAACCCGTGAAAATAAAGTTATGTATCTCGGCGGTTACTTTAGCCAAGGTTTTAGTTAAGAAAATAAAAGAAAAAACAAAAAACAAGGCATTTTCATTCATTCACGATTTAATAAAAACATTGAGTTTGCTGTAGGTATGCAACCACAGGGCCGTTTCTCGTGTACCTACGTCAGCTGGAATTCTATTTGAGGACCTCATCACGCCAACAATTCCTCGATCAAAACTTTCTGCACCTCCTCTAGGTACATACTAATGTGTGCTGGCTCCTCATACCCATCGTTGAAGCTGTAAACGAGATGTAGCTGGTCGCGGAATGTGTATATGAAAAGCATGGTCATGCCGAGAACAATATCGACGCCGAGCTTCACGTCCAGAACCCTGACCGTGCTGCCATACGTGTGTTGTATATACCGCTCGGCGACTCCCAGGCTGCTGACCTGGGCATCTCCGGGAATGGGCCCTCCCTGGTACTCAGGCATCTGGGTAGCTTGGCAGAGAACGCGTGTCATGTGTGCGTGCAGGGGCAGGATCTCAGGGTCATTCTTAACAGTGGTACGATAGTAATTATCCAGTGCGTGAGCTGTCTCCCAGAATTGCGAAGGCAGATCCATGTCTAACGGAAGAGGTGTGTAGTAGACCGAGGCCGCGTACTCATTCGTGCTATAGGGTTTTGGTAGATATGGTCGCAGGTTGAACAGCCCTAAGTTTGCATAGCGGGATAAAGTGCCACTGGGATTAGCATGTTTGATAATCGCCTGGATGTACGCTGCGTGTACGGCCGAGGTAACGCTGATGCCTTTCTCTTTGCATGTCTTGATAATTGCTTCCGTCGTCCGCGTGGGGAATGTCATTTCGGCATTCTGGGACCGGCCGGCGGGTACGGTGCCAACTTTAGACACCGGGCCAATGCCCGGAACTTTGGTCGCATAGCGCATGAGGAGAGCCGTGGCTTTCTCAGTCTCTTCTGGCGTCGGCTCGGATACTTTGAGCACTTCCTCAATGGAAGGTGCCAACCGGGTATGCTCGTCACCGAATGTGGCCTTGACAGGAGTTGTCAAGGCTGTCAGATAGCGGTCCCAGAGCAGCAGTGTACCGATCCCATCAATTGTGTAATGCTGAGCACGCAATACAAGCTCCGATGACTTCGGAATATAGTACAGTGTAACCTGCTTGATCGGCTCAACGTTGCGGTATAACTGCTCTGCATCTGCAGCAGACGAGACAACAAAGGTTGAGGCCAGCCACTCCTGCACAGCTGCCTCATCGGGAACCTCATAGACCATCGTCGTGCCATCAACTGTGGTAGCGATCTGGGGCTGCTCAGAGCGTAATTGCTTCCAGGCGTGCTTCAACGCAGATTCGATGTCAGCTGGGTTGATATCGAGATCAACCTTCAGCTTAGAGAAGATGGTGTACTGGTGGCGGCCATCGTAGAGAGCAGCTGACATCGCTCCCGTATAGACAAAATATCCCTCCATTCCGGTGACAGGACGCTCCCAGCGGCGCTCTGATACTTTCGTCCAACTCATGGCTGCTCAGTACTCCTTGTTTGTGAAACAGAACGGGATAGGAAATTTTGGACTTAGAGACGGAGAGAGATGACGAGAGATATGGCGGGTGATATATTAGGATTATGACAATCTTAAATCCGCCCCGTGCATTGCGAGGCAGTTTATCTAGGCAGACTTGGCTTTGCACCCATTTAATCTATGCTTTTCCTTTGTTGTTCCTGAGACTCCACAACGGGCCGTGCTGTGATCTCCGCCCATACTCGGTAGTGCATCCTGGTTCAAGTTGTCTGATGGTCTCCTCCTCCTCGGCAATCCAGTCAGCACGAGCTGGTGGTCCAAACGAGCGCGGATCGGCACGTCGCCTGACTGTGGCGTCCCATTAGCCGCCAGCGTGTTTTTGTTCTCTGTTGGCCCTTGCTTGGTATTTTAAAAAATCTCAGCAAATTACTCCATAGTCTTTCCACCTAGTCTATATACCCTTTGCAGCCTTTGCAGAGTTGGCAAGGGAGAAAAAAAACGACCATACATAAACAGTAAAGAATACTAAGACAAGAAACCATATTATGTCAACCTAGCGACTTGAAATCAGAATTTTGATATTTTAGTCCTCCATATTGGAGTTAGTAATTGGAGACCTCTGCAGGTCAAATTGGCGGCAGTCTAGTCTGTAAATTCAGATAACATAAAATTTATCTTCATTCCCTACTCTGTACTCCGAAGCGTGATGGTTGGGAGCATTATTAAAATAGAACAAGGATCTTCCAAGCGAGGCCGTAAGCCGACCCACAACTATCCCAAGGCTGGATTTGACAAAAGAATCGCCCCCACCGCAAGGGGCATACTGTGTAAGCAATGAGATGCTGACAGGACGGCTAATTAACTCTCATTTGCTCACACTCTCTCCAACCCTGCCCCTCCCTCGTCAGAAGCAATGGAGGGGCCAGACGAGGCGCAAGATAGCCCAATGGGGGCTGATTCTACAGGTTAAACAAGGACAGCCATGCATGACGACTCACTCCTCCGTAAATGCCAGTGCATGGCAAGCTGACCGGCTTATCTTCACGCCGGTATGATCCCTCTACTTCTCTTTTTCGTCCACCTACGTTTTGCTTCCGCGTCGCTTCCCTTCTTACAACCCTGGACGGGCACGACAAACCAACATGGCCCTAGACGTACCAGATGGCACGCCCGACCGCGGGCAAGGCGTTGTGATATTGAGTATCATCCTTATGGTCCTGATAATCCTGGCTACTGTCACGCGTATTATGAGCAAGGTTGTCGCGCACCAAAACTGGTGGTGGGATGACCTGTTCGCAATCCTCTCTGTGGTAAGCCCCATCACTGGCACAAAGTACATATCAAACCCGGAATAAAGGTCAAGTAACTGACCTTCCCATCCACAGATCTGCGAACTAGTCGTGCTATCCCTGGTTCTAGTATGGCGAAACATCGGCTTGGGCTACCACATGTCAGTCGTGGCGTCCATTAACCCAGAATACCTCATCACCGGATCCAAATACCTCTTCATCGCGATATTCTTCTTCGATGCCTCAGTTTGCCTCCCCAAGATCTCCGCGGCCTTCTTCTACGCACGTGTCTTCCGCTCCAACAACCGTGCCTTCCGTATAAACCTCTGGATCATCGGTGCCCTCGTCTCCGGTTGGCTCATCTCCGCCGAGATCTCAACCATCTTCCAGTGCAACCCCATCGCCAAAGCCTGGAACAGCAGCCTACCAGGAACATGTATCAAACAGTACGACTGGTATCTCTCGACTGCTATCCTCTCCACCGTCATCGACTTCTACATCCTCATCCTCCCGATCCCCATGATCTGGTCCTTGAAAATGAGCCTCCGCCGCCGCATTTATCTCCTCATCTGCTTCTTCATGACTTACTCCGTCATCGTGCTGTCCCTGGGCCGTCTTGTCGCCGTGGTCAATGTCGTCCCCATCATGCCAGCCGATTTAACATGGGAGTTCCCGCTGTACCTGTACTGGTCTGTCTTAGAGGGCTCGATTTCCATCGTCTCGATTAGTGTTCCGAGTGGTATCGCCCTGGTCAAAGCCATTATTCGACCAGATGGGAGTTCCTGGGGGTCCAGCAATGGGAGCAGTGGGAAGCGTGGGAGCTACGGAAACACCACTGTTATTAAACCCGCCAGGGAACTGACGATACGTACCTATGGCGATAGGGACAGCGATGACCATCTCGTCTCGGATGTCGAGACTGCCAGAACAGTGAGTACGGATGATATCGCCAACATCCCGCTAGGTGGAATCAAGATCCGGACAGATATTCGAGTAATGAATCGCGAGAAAGACTAAAATCAAAGAAGGCAAAAGAAAATGAAAAGAAAGAGCAAAAAGAAAAAAAAAGAAACAAAGAAATAAGGATGCCCGATGAGTATCTACCCAGCGTGGATTGGGTGAACGATTGGCTTCTACTGATACACGACGTTTTGACCACCATTTAGCTATGTATATATCCCCTTTGTATAGTGACGGTTCAATGATACCTATTTTATGTTTACTCATCTGCTATTTTCTACTTTTATTTGTTGACAGAGCACCCCTTTCTGCCACAAGGTTTCTCTACATATAGGTAAAGCTTTGCTGTACTGACCTTTTCAATTTGATTGTTGTCAATCGAATTGCTTTTGTAAAACGCATACACTCTAATATTGTAAAATGGTATCTTTTGCTCGTTGATACTACAGGGTACTATATAGAGGTGTTATACTATTTGTTGAATAGAATGTTCAAACATTCACCATAACATGCATACGTAAACCAGATAAATGAAGCTCCCCACATATATCTCGAAGCCTGGCTAATCTTAGAACCACCCGGAACCTGTGTCTGAAAAATACCAGACGGGTCATACTCTGGCACCCTGGCAAGCAGGCTCTTCTAGATTATGGTCCCCGGAACTGCGAAGCGGGTTTTTCCCTGTCCCAGCCAAGTTCAGATAGATATACCGGTAGGCAGCTTGTTCCACATACGCCCTGAACCTTAGCTAGAATAGCAAGGAAACCAGTGGAGAGCATCATTCTGATGGTTCGACGTCGATGGAATTGGTAACCAAGTAAAATCCACAAATAAACCCCTGCGAGTGAGTCGAAGAGCACTCTTGTTGAACACTTTGGAGCACTCCATCCCGTACAAGTTCCCTGCATGGCGTGCTGCCTAATGTGAACGGTACACCTCAGCTACATACCATTGCTAACCAGGACAGCGCAAAATAAAATCTAATTGAGAATCGAAATATATGCACGCAAGGGGAATGACCTAGCTTAGGGATCCACTTCCCACGGGGTTGACCGGCTCAAACTCGACTCTCGTCCCGCTTATATAAATAGACACGGGCCGGTGCCTCACGGTATCCCGTAGAGCCCGTGTGTGCCAAGTACTTGGTGTATGTGCCTTGAATGGGAAGAGATGCATATAATCATTTCAAGGCCCACTGTGCAAGGGTAGGACACCACGTATTGTGTGACATATGCGACCGAAATAATAACGTGAACTAGAATTTTGGTCATCAATGATGGAGAGACGACATCTTCCGAGGAGTACTTAGCTGAATTGTAGTACCCATACTTCAATCGGAAACGGTAAAGAAACAGTTTATTGGCAAGCTAATTAATTTGACATAAGATATTCCCAGCCATGCCCTTCTGAGCGACGGAACTCTCCATAAGATATCTTAATAATAAATGTTGGGGGCAGTAGTTGTAGGGACTGCCGTACTCAATGGAATCTCATATCCCACATTAATACATAACTCGAGGAGGATATAGTATATACTAGTACTTTTATTCCTCTTATTCTTCCGACGACTGACTCCGATGAGTGACCGGAATGACGTGAATGGCGTGGATGCAGTGGCAGCCATCACGTGTTGCAACTTGCAGACCGACCGTGAACCCCGTCCTCACAGTGATCACCAGATGGCTGTATCCTGTCCATAAGTCCTCGACATTCAGCTAGATTAACTGCCAGTCCACCGACGATGTCAACCGAACCACTGCTACCCTCCTACTCCTCCATTCTGGAGAACGAACGAGAGCGGCGTCCCTACCGATACAGGCAAGGTAGTAGAAGGGCTAACACAACCCCGCCCATTCCTCCAATTCAATTTCTCAGCGCCCTATGCTTCGCCGGCGCTGTGATAGCCTCTACATACTGGGCCTACAAGAGCTATACCGCTCCGGACCGGGTATTTGCTTTTTTTTTTTTCATCCGCATCTGACAGTCCTGACCTCTCTAATTGTATTCCCAGGCCCCACTGGAGCCAGCTCCTTTGCTCCCTTACTTTGCGTCGTTATCCCTGGTCCTTTCGTTCTGCTCATGGATCGGCTACCTGGTCTCTATTCTCTATGATCAGGACGACCTTTCTCTCTTCCAGCGGAAACTTGTCATATGGATCTCAGTCGTCGGAAAGGTAGTGTTAGGGGTCGCACACGCAGTCATTTGGTTCGAATACAAACAGGTCTTCCCCGGCACAAAACAACCCAACTGGCTTATTATGTTTCTCACAATGCAAGCATGGTGGGACTTTCTACTATTGATCGGGTATTCTATGCTGCGAATAATGTAAGCGACGGCTAGGGTAGACTGTTCAAGTATTTTCATGAGTACAAAGGGATGGGATGCATTTGTTCGATCGTTGTCATGGCCGAGGGCTGTTCTTTTGGTCAAATATAACTATACCTATTTAAAGATCCATGGATATATCAGCTTCATAAGCTAAGATCTCGGAAGATTTATCTCTACCGGCTCGAGCCTAGGAAACGGATTGAATCTCAGCGTTTTCGACTCCTTCGGTGTTCTTCTTTGGCCGGCCAGATCGTTTAGCGTCTTCAACGTATTCCATTTTGATCCTTCTATCCTTGGCAGGGTCGAATCCTCTGGCCTTTGCACGTTTATAAATGTCCTGGACAGTCCGCGGGGGAAGTCCTAGAGATGCAGCAATCTCTTTTTGAGGAATACCCCAGACTACGAGAGTTAGGGCTTGAATTCTTAATTCAACCGGATGGAATCCCATGGCTCCTGAGGTCCTCGATAGGTAGGTAGGCAGGTAAGCAGGCAGAAGCCAGATCACTAACTCTCAGAAAGCTGTGTTTTGCCAAAAACATGCTCAGGGACGCGCCACATAATAAAAGTTACTAGGGCGGCCCGAAAAGTGGGTCCTATATTAATGTGTACTTGCGCTGCGGCAAACTTTTGGTGCATGTTCTCCGTACGGAGTTCCATATCCCACTAAACTCTCTTCGGCTAGCTGGGAGTGGAGCCTCGGCCCGCACGAGACCTTCGTTGCTCCTCAGGCTGCAGGGAAGCTTAGCATTCTTGACACTGTCTGCAATGGTCTATCGACCTCGTATCAGCAAAGGGTGTGGCAATTGTCGCACCCGCAGAATCAAAGTATGCTCTTGCTGTTTTACCTTATACTGAAATATTTGCTAAGCGTCGGTCAACAGTGTGATCGAGCAGAACCAACATGTTCGCAATGTGTACGAGCATTCTTCTCTTGTCCAGGCTACCGCGATCTGCAACAACTGCATTATCGCGATGAGAACGAGAAAGTTAGGTCCCGGGTGCGATTTGCTCAATACAGTACTGAGCGACAAGTCAGTGTGGCCAAGGAAACAGGACCACAAAGTCGCCGAGCCTTCAAAGATGCCGTTGTTGCTCAATCTTTACAATCTCTCCCGGCGTCTCTTCCATCATCCACGTCCGCTGAGTCGGTCGGATTTTTCTTCCGGTACTACGTTCTTGAAGATGGGCACAATATCCCCATCTATCTGAGTGCCTCTCAGATGGAAGTGTTAGCAGCAAACAGCCCATCGGTCATGCAGAGTCTGGTTGCAGTGGGTTTAGCAGGGCTGTCTAACATCAAAAAGTCCCCTGATTTGATGAATAAAGCGACTCAAGAATATACACGAGCATTGCATCTAATCAATAGCGCCTTGAAAGACGAAGCTCAGCGTAAGAGTGACGCTGCACTAGCGGCGACAATGCTTCTCGGCATGTTTGAGGTAGGCTGAGCGACCTTAGTTCGAGTAAACATATTGATTCCAGTAGGTCTTGACTTGCAACACTCCTTCCTCTTTACAGTCATGGGCACAGCATATTCGCGGTGCCACAACCCTTATAGAAATGAGAGGGGCCGAGCAGATCAAATGGATTGTGGGCATGAGAATGTTCACCCACCTGCGAGTGCAGATCGTAAGCACCAATGAAGCTATCCTGGGAACCTCTATCGCAACTGATACCCCAGTTAGATAGCCAGCTGCTTGCACTGGCGCCTCTCCGTTCCGGCATCGATCGTGCACTGGTCCCTCCAGGCTATGGCAGAGAGATCAACAGCCGACGGGAAAGCGGATGAGCTGGTTGATCTCGTTGCCCACGTTGCCCGACTGCTATCCCAGGCACAAATGAATTTGGCATCTGATAAAGTATCCTCGGCAGCAACTATTGACAGATATCTTCGCCAGTGGAGACACACTCTTCCATCTCGATGGGCTTACCAGACCGTACCAGGGCCTCCCGTGCGCAACCGGAGCCCGTCTCATATGAAATTCTACTATAGTCAAGTATATCATATATACCCTGATCTTTGGGCATGCAATATCTGGAATTTTTATCGGACCGCTCGCATACTAGTCAACCAATTAATGCTCAACAGCGCAGAGATAGGTGGCCAAGCAGAAAAATCCCAGATAGGAGAAACTGTGGCCCAGTTGACCACAGAAATTGCAGAAAGCGTCCCTTTCGCACTCAAACTTGTAGACAGCAAGGCCACAGAGTTCCCATCGCTTGACCACTGTATGGGGGGATTTACGATTTTATGGCCCCTATACGTGGCGGCCAATACAAGCCCCCTAGGCTCTACTTTGCGGGAATGGGTGGTTGAACGATTCGAGGCGATTGGGAATGACATGGGTATAGGGCAGGCACATTTCATGGCGAGGAATCTACGAAATACGTGCGCGCCTGTGCCCTGATCACGACAAGTCCCCTTCTGTCTTCTTCTATGAATATTCTAAGACAGTGGGCTTAATATACTTGTTCTCGGGTAGGGGGTGCCGTGTTCTATGCCATATGTTGCATCTCTCTGGGTCGTTATCGTATAATAATCGACTATGTACAATATTGCACCTTTTCTACCACACAGCCTTTCAAGGCCTCCCGAGAATGCAACAACATTACATATTCCCGGGAAAGACTGCATTTACAAAAGGCTCTGTGGGGGTGCAGATGCCCCGACCAATCTCATTAACCTGAAGAGCAGGCTCATGTCGCCCTCCGAACTGTTATCTGGGATGCTTCCACGCCCATTCAATATCTCCACCAACTCGTTCTTTGTGAGGGTTAGACGCAAACCGGCTGTGCCAATCGACATGTCCTGACCCGTTGTAATGCGATATGTCAATGCCCCATTGCTCAAAATTAACCGCCAACTTTGCTTTTTGTCATGCAGATGCAGGTCTATTGTGAACGATTCCTCTGCGGCTTTGGGTCCATCCAATTGAACGGACAGAAGAGTAAGCAGTTGTTCCATTGATAGTGCAACCCTGTATTCACTTTTCGGGTGTTCCAAGCGATCTAGTGCAGGAGGAGAGCACATATCCTGGGCACCCGAAAGATAGAAGTTGCGCCATGTCGCATTTTCACAGCCATATGCCAGTTTCCTGTATACAGATGCCAGCGCAAGTCTTGACTCTTTGTGTTCGGGATGAGCGGCTATGGCGTGGCCCAATAGTGTCACCGCGAAGCGTGAATCGCCGTTACTAGCATACTCTTTTGCCTTCCGAACAACCTCGTCTACACCTCCCATACAATCAATGTATCTTTGACCAGCTTCAGCCGCTGGGTACTCCCATAGGTGTGCTGGATTCCCATCGAACCAACCCAAATAGCGTTGGTAGATGCCTTTGACATTGTGACTAACAGAGCCATAGTAACCCTGTGTATGCCACGCCATTTGCAATGCCGGTGGGAGGGCGAACCTTTCCGCAATCTCGACTCCCGTTAGGCCGAGATTCATCATCCGCACCGTTTGATCATGAAGGTAGGTGTAGAGGTCTCGTTGCTCCGATATGAACTTTACGATATCGGCCTGGCCCCAGGTCGGCCAATTGTGGCCAGCGAAGAGCACATTGGCTTTCTGTCCATATAGCACTGCTGTTTCGTCGAGATAGCGTGCCCAAGCCTTCGCGTCACGAACCAGAGCCCCGCGAAGGGTGATTATATTGTGAAGGCAATGAGTCGCACATTCAGCAATGCAAAGTGCCTTGTGGTCGGGAAAATAGAAGTTCATCTCCGCTGGCGCCTCGGTTTCAGGGACCATTTGGAATTCAATCCGAACGCCATCCACCGTCCGTTCCTCGCCTGTGTGGCAGATAGAGACGTTTGGAGGAATCAATGACATCGTCCCGCTAGAGGGCATCATTCCCAAACCACAACCAATGTGACCATCTGGCCCTTTCGGTAATCGCATGCCATACATATACCCTGCACGCCGGCGCATGGCGTCGCCGACGTAGATGTTTTCGCTGGTCGCTTCGGCCATGAATCCCTCTGGGGCGATAATAGGTATCGATGCAGTTGTGCCTGATGGGAGCACGCCCTGGGCGCCACCAAAGTGATCTACATGCGAGTGTGAATAGATCAAACCAGTTACTGGCCGGTCTCCCCGGTGTTCACGGTAAAGCGCTAGTGCAGCCGCTGCACATTCGACCGATGTGAGAGGGTCAATCACAATAACACCTTTATTTCCCTCAACGACAGTCATGTTCGACAGATCGAAACCTCGGATTTGGTACATTCCATCTGTTACTAGGAAAAGGCCCTGGATTGAGTTCAATTGGCCTTGTCGCCACAGCTTTGGCTCGGCCGTTGCAGGGCAGCCTGCGCCTCGAAGAAAATCGTATTCATCGTTGTTCCACACTACGCGGCCACTGGCGTTTCGTATGATACATGGTTTCAACGCATGGATAAACCCTCGGGTAGCGTTCTCAAAGTCGGCTCTGTCGTCAAACGATGGCGAGAAAGTCATAATGGAGGATGTTTATGATACGTGGAATCTGTCGTTTGGTTGGTTGGTTTCGGCGCTACTCTTCCACGACTAGACGGCAGGGAGCAATTATATATTTTACTCTGGCGGGTAAAAAGAAGTGAGAAAGTGAATGATTCCCAAGCCTCGGTTCGACCAGAAACGCCCATAAAGTCCATTGGGGGCTCATCCATGGATGCTTATATAACCTCACGATTCACTTGCCGAATATGGTTTAAACCGCAGACAGAGCTCCATCAGTGAAGGAACGATGGTATCCACTTTCCCCACCGCTAAATCTACAACTAAGCGGGGACCAATGGTTGCGCACAAAGCACTCGAGATGGCTTTGGGTGTGCAACATCGCCCTAGAATGATGTGATCAACGATGCCATGAAAGTACGAACGTTGAACCGAGGTGAGGCACAAGAATTGTTATAAAAAGGTTGAGGGGGCTGCAGCTCGAGATGTCGACAGCCGTATCAATCTAGCGGGAACAAAGGCGACAAACCAGACTCCATGTCGGAAGCTGAGACTTATCTGGAGAAGAGACAGCTGGGTGGGTCTCTATCAGGCACAGACAGTCTAGAAGATGATTTGGATAGGGATGAGGTCTACCCACTTAAGGAACAGAGAAGAATCTTGCACAAGATCGATCGAAGGCTAGTGACAGGCTTAGGGCTTCTCATGTGTGTTAGTTTGGTGGATCGGACCAACCTGGGAAATGCTATGATTGCTGGGTAAGTTGTCATGTACGGCATTCCGGATGAATATCATGTTGATGAAACCAAAGCATGGAAGAGGAGCTCCATCTCTATATTGGCTCTCGCTATGTGAGTGTTACATATCTCTCTCTACCCAATGCATGTGCTAATTGTTCAGTAGTCCATCACGCTCCTCACATTTTTCATTCCCTATGTCTTATTTCAATTCCCGCTTATTACGGTAATTCGTAAGGTTGGGCCGAAGATCTTCCTTTCTGGAATCACATTTTCCTGGGGAATTGTTATGATGGTATGAGGTCCCGCCCTTGGGTCCGAAGGACTGGTTAACCATGGGCAGGGGTTTGGATTTATACATAACTGGACGGTGCTCGTTGGACTTCGCATAGTCTTGGGGTTCCTTGAAGCTGGGCTCTTTCCGGGCTCAGTGTATCTTCTTTCTATGTGGTATACTCGATGTGAGTGTTCGGCCTTTTTCGTTGGTGTAGATATCCGCGGCTTACCTTGTCTAGATGACTTACACAAGAGATATTCATCCTTCTACTTGATTAGCGTCATTGGGGGAGCTTTCTCCGGAATCCTCTCGTATGGCTTTGTACACATGAACGGCCTAGGTAATTTGAGTGCATGGAGGTGGATCTTTGTTATGGAAGGAATCCTCACCTGTCTTGTCGGAGTGGTCGGCTTCTTTTTAATTGTCAATTTCCCTAACGAGAACAATCTCTCTTGGAAATTTCTTTCCAAAGAGGAAACCGCATTCGTTATCCGGCGACTGAACCGAGATAGACGCGACTCCTCTGAAGCCGCGTTCAATCTAAAGGAGTTCCTAAAGCCTGCTCTGGACCCCAAAATATGGGGCTTTGCCCTTATTTTCTTGTGAGTTCGTAAACGCGCGCACCACTTTGAAAGACACTCATTTTCTATAGTTCTGCAACAGTTGTGTCGTATGCGATTACCTTCTTTCTTCCGCTCATTCTCCGGAGTGAGCTCAAATTTCCCCAAGCAGCGTCACAAGTCCTCACAACACCACCATACTTCTTCGCCGGTATCTTCATGTATGCTCAGGGCTGGATTGGTGACAAATACCACATCCGCGCTCCATTGATTGTGTACAACTGTATTCAATGCATCGTGGGTTTAGCCATTCTTGGCTGGGTCCAAATCCCTGGCGTGCAGTACTTCGGGATCTTTCTCGTGACTTCGGCATCCAATGCTACCATCCCAGCCGCCCTGACATATCAGGCAAATAACATCCGTGGGCAGTGGAAGCGCGCCTTTTGCAGCGCGAGTATAGTCAGCTTTGGCGGTACTGGCGGTGTAGCTGGGTCCCTGGTGTTCCGGTCTCAGGATTCTCCCCGCTACCTCCCCGGTATCTATGCCTGTATTGCGTGAGTGGACTCTTCTACCTGTCTTAGTCTTTTACTGACACTTTATTAAGGTGCAATATCATGTCAATAGTAGTAGTAGGTGTGCTCAGCCTCTATTTCTACATCTCGAACAGACGGGCAGCAAAGGGCAAACTTGTCATTGAAGGGCTTCCAGAGTTCCGATATACACTCTGAGGCGACATGGGAATTGTTCAAATTTGGGAGGGTTAGTCCTTGACAATGAATGGAGTATGATATGGATACTTAGGTAACTCTTTTGAATTGACGGAAAGTAATGAAACAAAAAACACCAAGTTTACAGTTGACTCCATTGTACCGAACTGCAATACTGTAGCTCAGAATTGTAAGGGCACTACCTTCAGTCTCCGACAAGACCTGAGAGCCGAAGAAGCATCGTTGGACGGGGCTGCTTGCATGCAGGGCCAGCCAATTGATATCAATGGTTTTTAGTTGTTACCGAAACAGCCAACGTATACAGAACAAGTAATGCAAGCAGGAAGCAACTTGCACGGCACCAAAGTCTCCACAGGATAAGAGGAGAGAGAGCAAGTATCGGCCCAACCCAGGTGCAATACCGCCGCTTATTTATTGTATGCTCTAAACAAGAAGTCGGAGCACTTTCTATATGGATGTCTCCTCTGAATTCAAATCACACCACTACAGCCTCTAAGCCTTCACAAACCACACTGGCCCCGTCTTGGCCGCCCTCGTCAGACCCATAAACACAGCGCCAACCGCCAAAAACGTCCCTGCAGCCATCTGGGCATCCAAAAACCCTCCACCAGGCCGGGCACTGACCAGCGCCCCAGACAACGGCAACCCAACCAAAGAGGCAACGCCCACGATAGCAAACACCATGCCCATCCCTGTTCCGATACGGGTCTGGTCATGGGTGAGACGGGTGACCACCGCCGGGAAGAAGGATTGCACGCCGGCGGCAAAGAAGCCATATATCACTGTGAAAGCGTAGAGGCCTGGTATGGAGTGCACGCCGGCCCAGGAGTACATAAAAGGGTGAGTCAGAGACATAGTAGTTTAATGGTCCGTACCTTCAAAATATATAAATTACATCAAACTTTCATCAGGAAAGTTTCCGCCAAAAAAAAAAGAAAAGAAAAGAAAAAAAAGGAAGAAACAGCTCGGTAAACCGGTATTAAATACATCTACGGCAGATCCTACATCAACTGTAGATATCCCTCAAGCTAACCCTAATTAAACGCCTCAATCGTCCGATCGAACTCCCGATCCAGCTGCGCATTACGATCCCCAATAGAGTCTCTATCTTCTGGCTTCAGTTTCTCCTCCAAAGACCCCTCAAAATGGCGACACCGCTCCTTGAAATCCCTAATATGCTCTTGAATGCGGTCCACAATCTTCGCCTTTTCAAATTCAGGCCTCGAAGATAGCACACAGTCACGTTATCAGCCCCCGATGGTACAGTATACAAATAACCAACCATCCAGCAACCCCAATCAATGTCGATAGAATCATACTCTAGTAACAATATCATGCAAATACCCCACCCAAACTGGCTGCATCTTCACTGCCACGTTGGCTACGGTGGAACTTTCCTGTTTTTTGAAGGGTGGCGAGGCATGCAAGGCATTCATGGATTTGATGATGGATATCTCGACATTGGTGCGCTTGCGTTTGAGGCCGAGTTTGTTTTCTTTCTTGGGCTGGTAATGCCCTGGCGGCTTTTGTCGAGGAGGATAAGGTTTTCGCCGATTAGGGCGAATTCTTTGAGGATTCCTGGGACATTGCGCGTTTCAATAGGGTGGGCGGTGCTGGGATTGAGTACGAGGCAGAGGATTACGAGGAGGAGGGTGAGAAGGGTGGGGAGTTTCATGGTTGTGTTATTTGTTTGGAATATAGTGATTTCGAGGTGGGGTGTGTCATTGAATAAAGTGGAATGTAGAATGATCAATGGCATATATGTGAATATTATGTTTGTCTCATGTCTTTCTCAACCTATGTAAGTGAAAATGAGGACATAGTCCTGCTTCGCAACAGATCGTTGTACAATGCATGGCTTCATGGAGTATTGTTTCGGCTGGTATTTTCACCGATTATACAGGAGCAGTCGATAGCTACCCTGCAGCCCAGCATTGAGCGTGAATCTTTCACCGTGTTTCGGCTTGAATCTAACCCCGGTCCGGGTGCATTTCGCAAAACACTGTATTTGTTCGCTTCGATCTGATTATCAGATACTAGTGCCCTAATATGCCCCAACCTAACGCCTTCCGTAATTACATACGATGCAGCTGAATCATAGACCTAACTCAAGTCCTCCTCAACACCAAGGCGATATAGCCAAACAATCGGTAAACGGCAATGATGCCTATCAGAATACCTACCCACTTCCCTGTCCGACCCGTGGCATACCCATATTCCTTCAGAACCCCGGTTCCTCGGATCATACACTGATCTGCCAGGTCTGTCTGATACATACATTGACACCCCGAGCCACACGAATATGTCCTCTCACTAAACTCATTAACCATCATCCCTTGAAAGACATACGCCTGCAACCGAGTCAGTAAAGCACCTTTAGTGACGCAGAGTTCAGAAAGAGTAGCATACCTGGTAATCAATATAGTGGAAAACATATTTCCAAAATGGATTCAAAATGGTCGGCGAAACGAGGAACCCGCCCACACTCATCCAGAGCCCGTTGGCAAACGCGACGAGCGCCAGGCTGATCACAAAATTCGGGAATATGGCGGTCACGAACACCACGAGGGATTCGGCGGCGACGAGGTCCAGGAAGAGCCACATCACCCAGGTGAAGAATGCGGCGCCTGTGGGCCGAAAGTTGGAGAGCCAGTAGCTGACTATTGAAAAGAGGACTGAAATTATGACTTTTGCGGCCATTGTTAGCTTAGTCCAAACAATGATCTGGCAGTTGGGGGAAGGGCGTACATAAGTACGGCAAGCCGATGATGAAGTTGGAGATAACGAAGGGAAGGGCGCCGTAGAGTCCGTTTGCTCGTTCTTTGGTAAAAGTTGCCCGGTCCTCAAGGAAGGATGGGACGTAGGCAACGGCCATAAAACTCATGAAAGCCGAGCCGAAGAACTGATTCTCGTTAGGCTATAGTCCGGGGGGAAGAAAGATAATAAGCTTACAATTGCATTGATAAATGGTTGGATATACTCCTGGGAGGTGTGAAGACGCAGCCATACCGTCCCCATCATGATTGCCAGCCCTGGATAACATGTTAGTTATGTGCGATCGAGAAAGGTAAGGGAGGCTTGTACCTAAGTACATGACAATCCGAATACCGTAGGCTACAACGTCGCGATAACTTTTGATGAAGAGCCGATGGAGAAGAGACATGGTAATTCGGGGAATACCTGGGCGGCTTAGTTCGTCGATGTTGATTGTGTTCACGTTCTTCTCGTTTGCGCTCTGTGGTTGCTTGCTTAATGCGGCATACTCGGCGGACTGTGCCCATGCGGTTTGGATTTTCCCGACCTGATCCTCATGGACTGTAAAGTCAGAGCTGACCGCATCCAAGAGGTACTCCGCTGGATTTGTACTGGAGGGAATAGGATATCCGATGTTATTGAAGTAGCTTGGGACCTCGGAAACGGGTCCAAAGTAACATGTCTTTCCGCCTGAGAGAAGGAGGAGGTTGTCAAACAGCTGGAAGGTTGTTGTCGATGGCTGGTGGATACTGGCAATTATGATAAGCTTTAGTATGATCTGTTAGTCGTCTGTGGTATGCTTGTAAACCCCTCCCCAGAGCAACGTACATTGTTTGCTACCGCAAGCCTTTTGACGTATGAGATGACCTCGTAGCTAGCAGTCGAATCCAATCCACTTGTTGGCTCATCAAGGAACAAGATCTTGGGACATGTGATAAGCTGACTGGCGACGCTGACCCGTCGCTTTTGGCCTCCACTGATTCCCTTCCGGATTGGAGTTCCCACCAGAGTCGAGGCCTGGTTCTGGATTCCGAATGCGCTCAGCAGGGTCTGGATGCGATCTGCTTTTTGAGATCGCGTCACCGAGCTAGATTGTGTCAGCGCATGAATACTCCGACGAGGTGATACAAGTCGTAGGGGTCCATACCCCGGCAGAGACAGATCCGCGGCAAACTTCAGTGTCTCCCGCACCGTCAGGGATCCGATCAACGCATCCTCCTGTTCGACGTAGGATGTGATCCTGTTGAAGGTGTCATTGTCGAGCTTTGCTCCATTTACGTAACACTCCCCCGTGTTTTTCGCACCGGCGGAAGCTGTGCGACGCGCAAGAACGTTTAAGAGAGTTGTCTTTCCGCAGCCGGAGGGGCCCATCAACGCGATCAGTTGGCCTGTATTTAGTTAGTGCTTCGTTTGACTCCATGAAGTTATGGTGTAGTGCTATACCATGGTGGGCAGTTCCGCTGCATCCTTCGATCAGATTCCGAGGTCCTTTTGTGCGTCTATCCTTCACCGTTACGGTCAGATTATCCCACGTGAAGGATTGAACGGTGTTGTTCATCAAAAACTGATGGTCATTTCGTTCAAGATCGAGGGTATCCAAAGCGCTGGCCTGGTCGGGCTCCATAGTGCACAACGGTCGTGATCGAAAGGTCGAGTTTTACCACAGAAACACCGTGCATGAACCGATTGTGGGCGAGGCTAGGGAAATTTATAAGAAATTGAATTACTTGAGCGTTGGCGCACCGTGACAGGATCCCTGTCGGCGTCCAACAAGAAGCAGGTCAGGTGCAGACGCTTATCGAAGGTGGGAGGCGATGGCAAGCGAAAAATCGCCGACTCGTGGACGGACTATTGTCTGGATCGTCAGCGTTGCATTTGCAGCAGTTATTTTACTACTATTACTACTAGTAGTTGGTAGTACTTAGTAGGTACTACGTACTCGTAGCCTCAGGCTGTCGATCGGTGGGCCCTAAAAACAAGGGTGATCCCCGAGGGTTGGGAAAAAGTGGATGAACGCCGTTCTTCGCCTTCCGTCCGATCTGAGTCCCATGGTACCAGGAGGATTTTCCCGAGAGGAAAAATTCATCTCTTGGGGAAGGTCCCCGATTCGTGCGAGAAACATATAGCACTGTATGACATTCCAGCCGAGGGTTACATTACCCATTTTGTAAACGATTGTCTCGTCCGAAAGAAACCAGAGGAGAAGAAAGAAAAAAAAAAAAAGAAGCAATTCGTCTCATAATTGTGCACGGTCCCTGTTTGTTCAGCTCCCTTTACGAACTGGTCCCCCTTGACTTTTTGTCCTCATTAGGTTTAGTTTCGCCAACGGTCCCGTTTGTAACAACCCGTCACGTTCCTTGGGCTGATTCACGTTGGAGGCGCGGCTGAACCATTCAGCTCCCACTACTTCCCATTCTTTTTCAACTCTGTCTTAGTCGCCTATATTTTGGGGGAAATATTATCCTGTTATACTGTATACAACGAAACATACCTACTAAAATAAGTGACGATGCCAAAGACCTAGACCACTGACCCTGTGGTGGTACCAAGTGAGAGATTTGATATAACTGCGACACTAATAGGTCCAGTCACAGTCACACAAAACATGGATCGCATCAACTTGGCCACTCGTGTATATAATGTCTGGTACTAGCCCTAGCGGATGGTTACTCATTGATTTGGAAACAGCTCGCTACTACTAGTACTCGCTACACAGAAACTCTGGTGATTTTCAGCCTGATTTCATATAGTACATCAAAGCACCAAGGAATAAGAGTGGACGTCGAGATAATCTACGAGGTGGGGTAGATCTCAACGATCGGAAGGCACAGCGTTGCGTGATTTATGCACTGGGTTAGCAACCATCGTGGCACGGTCGACTAGGGTTGGCAGAGTAACAACCTCCACCAGTTTCGTTGACAGCAGGGGTGATGTGCAGGGGGGGGGGGGGGGGGGGCAATTGTGTGAGGAGCAATGGTGGAAAAAAGGTCTAGATGGAAGATGATGGGGAACAGTTTGATCATCCTGTGCTGGCCTTTCACTAGTGTTGCAGGGAATCAACGCTTGCACTGCATAAATATATCGAGGCGTCCTGATCGCCGACATTGTTGTCATAAAACCTCTTGCATACTTTTTGTAGGTCCCAGAGGCGTCAAGCTCCGCATACAAATCTGCGTTATGGTTCACTGTATTTACATAAGCAGTTTAGTGGCTTTCAGACTCGGAGATCTAGATCATGAGCGTCTAGTTCAGACCAGATTATCTCCGCCGCATGGCGCCCTTGGCATAGTGACAATATACGGGCACCCCGAATGGATATGAAGAGCAATACTAGGTTCTCAGAAAAGCCTAGAGCAAATCATCACTTTGCTTTTGTCGAGCCGTGCAATTGACCGGGGCCAGGAGCGTGCTCCTGGTTGGTGGGTCGCGGAAAGCCAATGAGAATGATATTTGAGGCATTCTGGCTCAGTACCCAGTGGATACTACTACTAGTAGTAGTACTCACAGCCAACTTGAAATCACCACCACCGCCAACTGCCAGGTTGGAGTCTCGATTTCGAATCAAATGTTTGCATATGGCGGATTGACAAATGTCGATATCACATAGATAGATGAACCAAACTACGTAATGTTACACAAGTAGTACCGTTTCCAGCGGTGGCTGGCTGAGGAGTAGCAAGCTTTGGACCGAGTCCGCTACCGGAGTTGAAGCGCTGCAAGAAGCGCCTGGTCACGTTGCCCGCAGCCTACATGATGTGTTGGCTTTGATACCCCGCTTAGATCTTCTACTATTTAATGTGGTACTGACGCTCCTACATTGTCTCCTGTTACCTTTTATCCTTCGCCTAGGAAAGACTTTGCCCTGTACACCTAGAACAACATAGCACAATGGCAGGTGTCCTCTACTGAAGTATGACTCTTAGGGCCTCGACGCTGACATCTCACAGGCTTCAGGTATAGGACTAAGCAGTGAAGCCTTGGGCGATTTCCAGGAGTTGAAGCTCAAGAAGTCTTACAGATACATTCTCTACGGACTGAACTCTGCTCGGACCGAGATAGTCGTTCTGAAAACCTCAACAGCAGAGGACTATGACGACTTCATTGCTGATCTTCCTGATAGCGAGTGCAGATGGGCAGTCTACGATTTTCAGTTTGAGGTGCCGACAGGCGGCAAACGAAATAAGTTAGTCTTTATCTCATGGTATGCTCGTCAACACCTATCGGCAGCCCTTGCATGGTGCATGTAGCTAATTCCCTTTGTAGGGCACCAGAGACCGCAAGAATCAAGGAGAAGATGCTATATGCCGCGGCCACGGATAGACTCCGGACATCACTAAATGGCATAGCAGTTGACATATCTGCCACAGAGCAGAGCGAGGTTTCATATGAAGCTGGTACTGTACCCATCGCCTATTTCCCCTAGTAAATTGACTGTCTCAAGTCTGACGAGCTAACTCGTGGCGTGATTAGTTCTCGACAAAGCAAACCGCTCAGGAAGGTAGCAAGGGTATAATTTTGCACATCAGCCTTCTCACACCCGCTCTAGGGTTTGCTGTGCTGGATATGCCCATTTATATATGCCTCTTGATATATGTGCATAACCCAGTAATATATCGTCTTCGATCTTGAATTCTTTTTCACGTAAAGGACTTTGCTTCAATATGAATATTATCCGTCTACTTGCTTAACCTTCTGTAAGGTTCGCAGTAGTATCGGTCCTTCGGAGATACCCCCACCCCAACTTCCTGAATCCCTCCCCATGGAACCACAGCACAGTAAACAGGGGCAAAAATATCAAGGACAGGAACGCCAGGAGGGAGTTTCCCCAGCCCAAGCCAAGTGAGTGATTTAGCGACGGGCCAGCGAGGGGAAAGAAAGCCCCGAAGAGCGCACACAGGGTGGCATTCGCGGACAGAGCGGAGGCAGAGACACCCTGCTCGTCGAACGCGTCAACCAGGTAGTTTTCCGTGGGCAGCTTGGTCAGAAGCATACTAAACCCGACGATGCCGGTGCCGATGAGGGGTACGATCCAGTGGACGTGTTTGTCTGCTGACCAGCCATACAATAACAGGCCGACGGGCAGCATAGCCGTGCCGAAAATCATCAGCGGGAGGCGATGTTCCGGCTTCGACTCACCTTCCATCGCACGCCTGTGTTTCACGTAGCGGTCAGAAACCAGTCCGTAAACGCATAGTCCGACTATGTTGCCGATTGCTGGACCGGGGATGGTTAGTGAGGGGGGTTTCGGTGCGTGAGTGGGAAGAGGTTGGATATTCCTCGGCCGAGGAAGGTGATGCCCACTGGGCCCTCTCCGAAACCATACGTTTTCTGCATGATCTCTGCCAGAGTTGTCAGAATTAGGTAGGAGATTCCGTACGTCAACGCTGTGTAAAGGGACGTGACGAGCACCACCGGAGAGGAGAAGAGTAGCCGCGCCGGGCGGGCAAAAGATTTTAGAACTGTGTCTCGGGGTGCAGAAGGGTGGCTGCTTGATGATGGAATATTGTGATTCCCATCGCTGCGGTCTTGTTGCTTTTCTGTCGACTTTCGCGATTGTTGCTGGATTTTGAATCGGTAGGTTTCCTTGAACACCGCTAGGGACAATAGCGATACAGTGCCGACAGCTATCGCCATTATCCAGATAGTCCATCGCCAGCCAAGGGCGCTGCTGACGAATCCGCCAACAATTGGGGCTATGCAGGGCCCGATTAAAGGAAGAGCGATGGCCACCGCCATTGCGGCGCCTCGTTCCTCCTGGACGAATAGATCTCCGATAATGCTCGGAGCGAGGGTAAGGGAGGTGACGGCCATACCATTAATGAAACGGAAAGCTACCAGCATGGAGACACTTTGACTCAGTGCGGCCGCAACAGAGCAGAGGATAAAGAGGATGTTACCGCCATGGTAGATGACGTTCCGCCCGTACTGCTCTGACAACGGCCCGACTACAAATGATCCGACACCTTCGCCTAGCTCCCAGATAGAGACGATCAAGGGCTGATAGAGATTCCCTGAGGCTTGAAACTGCGACAGAATGAGTGGTACAGCTGGGACGATGATGATAGTCCCGAAGTTACTACACTAAGAATGAGTAATGGATACGGTCGAGCAGCGAGCTCTAATAAGATGTACTCACGCTAACATATACATCACAGCAACGCAGCCCATTATTGACCACTTTCGCCAACGAGGCCAGCTTGTGAGATCCTCGGGCTTCTCTGAGTACTGTGAACAGTCATAGTTGTTCTCCTGCTCGGGTCGGTGAGGAGATGAATCGTTACCTGCATCGCATGTCGTTATTTCCAAGTCACTGTCCTTCATGATCCGGGCAGTGCTTTGACGTCTTGAACGCTTTACGAAGGTCTGATCGGGGGGACAACGACAGCTCTACTTTGTTCATTGAAGCGGGGTTTTGTTTCAGCAGTTGAGGCGACCGAGAGATGCATTTGGCAAATAGCTAACTAGGTGGGCTTATCACGACCAAATCCCGAACCATGTATTGAGCAGGATGGTCGATACTTAGCGGGAAAAGCCGTGAAAATTAAATCGAAGTGAACAAAGAAGAGAGTAGGACAGTACAAATTTCTACCAATTGCTATCTTTCGATCGGTCCGGGATTAATGCCATCATCCTTGTCTAGCGGGCGCTTCGCCACCACCACCACCCGAGGATGGACAGTGCAGCCCCGTCGACACACTCCTGGTACCCAGCCTGAATGAGTTTGAAAAAGCTTGCAGCTGCCTCAGTCTGACCATTTCCCAGCAGCTTGGACGCAAACTCCTCCATGGTCAACAAATGTTGGTCGTTGAATGCCCGGACCAACTCCGGCCCTTCATCGTAGTAGTCTAGTTTCGCATCCTTGAAGCCTGCTTCGCTGAGCAGGCGCGGCAAGTCCAACACCCAATCATGCCGCCCATTGGCATAGGAGGCAACACGGATCTCCTCAAGCGCAGGCGCTTGCACAGACGGGTTCACCTTCTTGATTTGCATATTCACGCAGTCCAACTCATCCCACTGGATGTAGCCGCCAGGTTTCACTAACTGGAACAGCCGCCGGATGACAGGCATTGGGTCTACGCCTGAGAGCACCAAAACAAGCAGTCGGACGTGGACGAGATCATACTGCCGCTCAAGGCTCGCTGGTATGTCCGCAAATAGATCCCAACGTCGCAGGGTAATATTGGAGGGTAGCCATCCAGGGTGAGGGGCTTGGGTAAGATCAATATCTAGTCCATCTAGCCGGCTGTGGGGGAAGTCGCGGGATACGTCGATCAACCACAAAGCAGTGCCTGTAGCAATGTCGGCAATAGCAGGATGAGAAGGGAGGTCGGTAGAACTGTCTGAAGGGGGGCATTGAACCGAGGGATGGATGTGGAAGCCAAACACTTCCCGCCAGAGAAAGTGTTGCAAGTTTAGGCGGATGACAGACCGGTGGTTCTGTTGCAGGGCGTACCCAAGGCCATCGGCAAGGCGAAAGCTGGCCGGGGATAAGGCTGAGGAGCTTGAACCATGCATGCTGGCGAGAATGGATGAGGATAAGGCTCCCAAGTTAGGTGAGATGGCCATGATCAGGACGAAAAGTAGCGATGGATCATGAATCAACTATATAGGCGTCGGAACAAATGGAATCATCGTTGTGCCGTGTAGTAGTCTGACTAGCAGGGGTCCTCAGTGTAAGCAAAACAAAGAAAGAGTGAAGCAATACGCACACCAGCAGCTGAATGGCTGGGAGGTAATCTGGAAGACCCTCCATCAGCCCTAAGCTGCTCATCTAAGACTTAGCTGTGCTTGGCAAGGTTACCAGCATCTGGTACAGGTCATGTCGGAAGTCAATCGTGGGGCCCGACAAAATGAACGATGCTGCTGTCAAAATGCAATCCACATTGCTTGGTGCAAGTCAAATGTTCCTTATAGGTGGATCAACTTGGTTCTGTGTGAAGGTCTCGATAGACTCGTACTATTTATGGTCGCCTTTAGCCAACTCTCACACGACAATCCCATAAAGGTTCGGGGAGGATCGTGATGGCAAGGGAAAAGAGTGCGCGATGATGACCATACAAGGATCATATTGCGAATCCAATCCTTCCCCGTTTAGCCGAGATGCGTGCTCGTGTGTCATATAACAGAAAGGATTAGAATACTACCAATGCTTCGAGTGTCCCCGTACAGAGCACGGAAGAACAACCCTCGACCTTATTAAAAAGAAAAAAAAAAGAAAAAAAAAAAAAAAATGGCCTCCGCAAGGCAACGAACCCCGACCTTCACAGCAACCCCGGCCACAATCATACAAGATACCAAATCTCTAATCGAGCGTGCCCGCGAAAGCCAAAACCAGATTAAAAGGAACATACAGTGCAACGCCGCAACATTCAACAATGCCATTCTACCCATGGCTCACATGGACAACGCTCTGGCTTCTAAGTCCCATATTCTTGTTTTCTATAGAGCGGTATCAACCAATCCCGAACTGCAGAATGCGTCCATCGAGGCCCGGAATCTGCTAGATTGCTACAATGTCGAGACGATGATGGATTATGGTTTGTTTGCACTGGTTGACGCTGTCTTTCACAAAAATGAAGAGTTGGATCTAGAATCCTATCGCCTGCTGAAGAAGATTTATACGGGTTACGTTCGGCATGGGCTGAGATTCTCGGCTGGTTACCAGAGGGATCGATTTCAGGAAATTCAGTCGCGGCTTAGTTGGATCAAGTCTGAGTTTCAGAGAAATTTAGTTGAGGCGAATAGTGCGGGTATCTGGTTCTCAGTGGAAGAGTTGGATGGATTGCCGGAGGCTTTTCTATCTACGTTATTCAGAGGAAAGATAGGAGAGGTGAATGACGGCAAGGTTCGAGTAACGTTTAATGATGCAGACCTCTTTAAAACGTTGAGGTATGCGAGCGACAGTGACACGCGGAGACGCATCTATATCGCCAACGAGAATAAATGTGAACAGAATGTGTCCCTTTTCAGGGAGGCTATACTGCTTCGTGATGAAGCGGCTCGTTTGCTTGGATATCCTAGTCATGCTGCTTTGCGGATTGAAGATAAAATGGCGAAGTCTCCAGAAACTGTGAATGCCTTTCTCGGTGATTTACAAACTCGATAGAGAAAAAATGGTCAGAAAGAAGTCCAGAAGCTAAAGCAGCTTAAGCGTGCCGACCTTAAGTCCCGGGGAGAATTATTTGATGGCCGGTATTTCCTGTGGGATCATCAATACTATCATCGAATGATGTTGGAGAAGCAGTACTCGGTGCACCAACAGAAGATTGCGGAATATTTCCCTTTTCTAAGCACTATTGTCGGTGTGCTGAGGATCTGCGAGACTTTATTTGGTCTGGTTTTCAGTGAGTTGAGCAGAGACGAGACAACGAAGCTAGCTGGCCCTGGAGATGCACCTGTCTGGCATCAAGATGCGCAGGTCTTTAGCGTCTGGAACAGTGACGAGGACGGTGGTTTTGTCGGGTATCTCTATATGGATCTTTTCCTTCGGGAAGGTAAATATGCAAATGCAGCCAATTTCAACCTAATACCCGTCTGTTATAATCCTTACGTCTTCACGTAAACCAATTCTGACTTCCCGTAGGGATTTATCCAAGAAAGCGGTACACGCCAATATCCTGCCACAGCATTGGTGTGCAACTTCTCTAAGCCTAGTTCTGAAGCCCCCTGTCTTATGCGGCACGACGAACTTGTTACATTATTTCACGAACTGGGCCATGCAATCCATGACCTTGTGTCGAAGACAACCTACTCGCATTTTCACGGTACAGAGACAGAAGTCGACTTTGGTGAAGCCCCTAGTCAGATGCTGGAGAACTGGTGCTGGACACCATCAGCACTGCGGTTATTAAGCAGACACTATTCATACTTTTCCTCGGGGTATTTTGACCATTGGAAAGAACGAGTAGATGGGGAATCTCAGCCTCAAGAGCAAATGCCTGACGCAATGATCGAGAGCATTGTCCGAGCCAAACACGTAAACGGTGCACTGTTCCATCTGCGCCAGCTGCATTTTTCTATCTTTGATATGATAGTCCACGAGCCTGACAATCACCACACGATCAAGGAGTTAGACATCTCAGCAAAATATAATAACCTCCTGGCTAAGATTCTACCAATGGACGGCCCAGAGGGTGATGGCTGGGGCCATGGTCAATCACGTTTTCAACACTTGCTGGGGGAGTATGATGCAGGGTACTACAGTTATTTGTTGTGAGATTCATTCTTTTGACCCGAGCATTGACTTGATTACTAAGGTTATGATACAGCTCGAAAGTCTATGCCACAGATATGTTCTATACCGTGTTCAAATCCGACCCAATGAACTATCTAGAGGGTCGGAGATATCGATATACTGTCCTTGAGAAGGGAGGGAGCATGGACGCGGTGAAGATTTTGACTGACCTCTTGGGGCGCGAACCCCGAAAAGATGCCTTCTACAAGGAGCTTTGTCAAGATTGACTGTTAATAGATGTATTCTAGTGATGACGAATATCTTCATAAAATCGATCATAAGGCAGTTTTATACACAATACCGTAGCTATGAACTAAACTACGCATCGCTAGGTGAAGGCGAATACCCAACTAATAGAGAACTGCAACGCAAAAGGGAACGCTAAGCAATAACGCACACTCTGTTAGGCCTAGCCCTCTAGTTGCCATAAGAAAGCTGCTCTTATCGCTCGAGCTTCAAGGACAGAGCTCGAAGCAAAGAACGAAGTCAGGTAATGGGGCGAGGAGATATGCTACAATAAGAGCGATTAAACATACGATCAAACATATAAGTAGTTGAGTAGCTGTCATAGAAAGGATATCAAGGAAAACAACAAAGGTCATCAATAAGACAAGTCATGGTTGGAAGCGTACATCAACACCAACATCAACTAGAGCACGGCATAAGAACATGTAACATTAAGCTCACGCAGAAGATACAGGATCAAAACAACGACAATGGGGTATACCTCTCTCTGCCACAACTCATTTCTTCCAACTGACAACAGAGAACCAAACAGACGAAGAAACAAGAGGCTTCCAGAAAAAGATGTTACAAACGCTTAGGGCATCAAGACATCAAACAGCAACAACATCAACATCACAACATAGTACCGTAACATAAAAAAACATCAATCATGCAGGTCGTCAGAATCATACAATCATGTCGCCATGATGGACGTGATCGGTCAGAGCCTCAAACCCGCCCTTCTCTTTATAATTTATACCCGAACAAGCCAAACCAGAGCAAGAAAATCCGAACCCAGAATGCCTCCTATAACCAAAATCTTTTCAGCAACGAATCATCGAACTTTTGCGCGCGTTATCACATCTTGTCTTTTTCTGTTTTTCCTTTTCATTGATCCGCGGCCAACCCAGAAACGAGAAATGACGAACTTTTGGCAAACGACGTCTTTATCCAGAGCTCACAAGCAAGCACGGAAGTGAAACATAGTACCCAGTAAGAGGCAAGCTAGTATCGACCGCTGTAGGTCGACCGACTCGACCGCCGACTGGCGCGATCGGACCGTCGGTCGGGACGAGCCCGCCGGGGGTCTTCTAGTTGTCTCTGACCCACGCTTCCCGTGTAGTCAGAACCATTCGTCAGGTACTTCTTTGGTCGTTTCCCTTCGATGTTCAGTTCGACTGCACCCGCGTCGCCTGTTCGGAGACTGATCTTCTTTCCGCCAACAGACTCTTGTGTAAAGCTCATCGTAACGCCATTCATTGTCATAACAATATTGTTATCTTCCTCTACCTTGGCCACACTGCCACTACCGTTTTGGGTCCGTGCATCGCTACCACGGCTGCTATTTGAGCGACTCTTCTGACTGCCGCTGTCACTTTCTGCACGAGACGCCTTAGATTTGTACAGGGCATCCTCCGTCAACGGCGTTGGCACTACTTTGCCAGAACGAGACGCCTGGTACTCCTCGGCCGACCGTTGCTTCTCCTCAATCTCGTCACCGTCGTCTTCCTCATCCTCTTCATCATCGTCACCATCCTCGTACTCATAGACGGTCGGCCGTCGGCGACGGGAATTCTCGACCGCAACCCGTGAAGGGCGCGAAGATTCATGGTAGGATGTGGGGCGTCGACTGTCTCGAATGCTACGGGTTCGCGCAGGAATCACGGTCTCCCGGGATGACCGTCGATATCCATACTCTGGCAAAGCATCTCTCATCTCAGACAGGTCCATCGAGCGAGATGGGTGGCGATCGGACGTGATCGATGACGTAGTCATCATTTTGCGGTGGAGTTCCGGTCGTTTCTGAATAACGTGCGGCGCGGGCTTGTGCTTCACGGGCGGCGGCGGCATGCGATAATAGTCTTCATCTCGGTCATGGGAAGAATGGGAGGGAAGCCGTGGTCGGGGTGCGCGGGGCGGCCCGAGATCGAGGGACTCATCATCCTCATACGCCGAAGGCGGATCGTAGTCGACAACGGGTGGCCCGTAAGTGGATCCCCGCCGTGGTCTGCCTTGGTCCCGCGTCCTGGAGGCCGACCGTTCTTGGCGATCGGGCGCACCATAGTCGGACATGGCGGCAAAATACGGGGACGGTTGGCCGTAAGATGGAGCATAGGCTGGCGTATTGGTGTAGGCGGACGAGGATGGAGGGGGTCCATGTTCGTAGCGGCCCATATGGCTGGGGGGATACATAGCTCCGCCACCCATCCCTGGAATCATGCCATGAAAGCTCACCGGTCGGTTGTTGTTCGTATTATAAGAGTACGAGCGACCGTTGCGAGGCCGGTTGCTGTGGGAGACATGAACATCCTGGACGGCGGAAGGGGCATACCGCGGACCTTGTGGTGACGGAGGGGGGTAGTCGTGGGCGGACGACGTGGTGGATGGCGACATATAATAGGGGTAGTCGATGGCTCGCGGTTCAACGGGGGTCGACCCATGATACAAGCCTTGATCACACTCCCAACAGGTGCCAGGAAAGTGCCGCATCTGGGAATTTTCCCGTCTGCGGGACCGCGATGGCGACCGCTGCATGGAGGCGTGGTGATGGCTCACGGCTGGATAGGTGCCAACTTGCATTTTCTCGTCCCAAGAAGGGCGAGTAGGTCGTTCTTTTGGACGGTCTTTGCGGTGGGAGCGAACACGTTCGAGGTCGGCCCTCTTGGGCGCCGTGTCAATTTTAAGAGGGACAGGGTCTTTCCGGCCCGACGGGCCAGATTGGGTGCTGTTCGCAGTAGCGGCAGTGCGACTAGAGTAGCCAGAATCGCTTGCAATATCAACTAGGGCTTCGCCAGCTGATCTCAGGTCGAGTTTCGAACGTTTGGCAGCGAGGTTGGCGACTTGACGGGTGTCCGGGATGATAACATGAGCGTCCTCGTCGTATTCCTCACAGAAAGCAGCATGAGGAACTTTTCCAGTCATGACTCCTGGACGGCCAAGGCCCAGGTTGGGACCCTAAAGGGGGGTGAGGGGGGAAGGGGGGGCTGGTTTGGGAAAGGTGCAGTGTGGATGACGTGAAACGTGGTGATCCAACAGGGCTTCGCTTGTAGATTAGGTACAGCAGCCACCAGTGCTGCTGCTCATCCGAATGACTCAATAATATTTTTAGTCGCTTCCACCTCTTCTTTTTTTTTCTTTTCTTTTTTTTTTTCTTGTGTTCTTGTTGGGTACCTGTTCAGTCGCTTCTTTCTTTTTCTCCTATCGTGTTTCTCGGTTCCCTCTCTTCCCTGCGATACGTCTCCCTCCCCGGTTAGGTCGCTCTACCGGTAACCCACTCTCTCTGTGATAGTGTCAGAGATGGAGCAGAGCCTGCAGATCAATCAAGTAATAGTTCGATGGCGACGCGTCTAGATTGCTGTATGTCAACGATGAGCAGTGGGTGCAATGTTGCAGTCGTCCTTCGCATGCAATGTATCCATCGAAAAAAAAGACGAGGAAAAAAAGAAAACCACTAAAAAGCGTCGGCCGTAAGCTAATTTGGCAGGAACACTGTGGATGGTGGAAAAGGCGGCAGTCGGTTGGAGAGTGGATGAATACGGCGTGCGTGGGTCAAAGAATGGAAAAAGAGAGGAAGAGCGAAGAGGAGTCAGAGAGGAGAAAAGCGCGCTGCAGCGTCGCTCTGGCACACGGTGAGTGGAGGACTGAGAGGCGAGAAGCGACGGGGCTGCAGTACGTAAATGCAGAAGAGGAAAGAAGTGTCACCAGCGAGGGTCTGGTTGGTGAAGGATGAAAGACAATGAATGATGAATGGAGGAGTGATTCTGCGCCTGACGAAGGGCACAACAAGGTGGGGTTAATAGTGGGGATTGGGAGATAAAAACGACAGACAAACCAGGCTGGAAGGAAAATTTTAAATCTGGAAGCAGAGAAAAACGATACTTAGGACTAGTAGGAAAAGGAAACAACTCAGAGAGACGACCCAATCCAGATACAGTATTGGATTCAGAATCAATCAATCAATCAACACTACAATGGAACAGACGAACGGGCTGATAGGAACAAAAGCAACAAGTAGAGGAAGAAAAAGAGTGGGCGATCGACACATGAAAAGGGACGAAAGGCGATGGTTTTAAGTTCGGGGGTCGTGACCACCGGAAGAAATTGTAAAGAAATTCAAAATTCAAATCACATAAAATGGCGATTCAACACCAAGTTTCTTCCTGGATCGGAATCTCTCTGAGGCAAATTGTGGTTATTACAGATCTTGCCTTCCGGGGGATTTTTTTAGATAAGAATATGAATTTTTGTTTGTCCTTTTTCCGTTTGATTTGATTTAGATTTTCTATCTCTTTTGATCAAAAATCGATTGCTCTGTCAAAGATTGAAAACACGGATCAATCAATCCACAATCCAAATAACACAAGAAATAAAAAGAAGATGATGAAGGATAATAACAATAATAATAATAATAATAATAATAGATTAAGATTATTATCTGTAGGGTGAGACTTTCTAACGAACTGTTGAGCAAATGGAAGAAGAAAGAAAGTCGGAACGGAAAGTGGAGGAAGTGGAGACCAAATCCACTGGTGCGATTGATGCCTGATCGACTTTTTGCTGATTTATTACCCGTTCTGATGGGCGAAGTACACATACATACATACCCGTGACCGGTATGTATGTATATAGTACCCTGACCGATGGCATGGAAGGGTACTAGTACTTAGTAGTAAATCCACAGGTCCCGAATTGTTCCAGCAAAGTCAAATCAAGTCAAGATTCATCCTTACTTTCATGTCGAATCTTTTTCTCTTCAACGCCTCTTTAACAATACCAAACAGTCGTACAGACGACCTGCGGATGCGTCTCCGCCCATCCATTGACGTTTTAAAAAGGTCAGATTTGAACACAGCAGGAGACCGGGATGTTACGTATCATCTAATAATAACCCAGTGGTTTTCAATATGCAAGATATTGGTCTACCACAGTTTCCTTTCTTTTCTTGTTGGTTTTCTGGCTTTTTGTCAGGTCTAGCCCAGTATACTACCGCTCTGGCTGGGAACCGTGGTTCTCGACGGACCCAACCCATGGAAGTGGGACAAAGATAACCGTCTTTGAATTGAAGTATATACCGACGACTAGTGTCACCTTCAGGTACCTAATACGCTTCTTCCACCCCTCTTATTTTCAATTCGTTTTCCTATGGCCCATTCAAAGTACGATTGAACACACGGCTAAGCCTATTGCCACCATCACTCCCACGGTTATATATGTAGAACCTCACCTCAGCCGGTACGATAATTTCACTCCGCAATCGCTGCCCAAAACCTCGGAAGCTGCAGAAGGTAGCGGCCCGATCATAATGTATCGCCTCCACTGAGGCATATTTCGTAGAGAAAAAGTGGTATTAATAAAAGAAAAAAAAAATATTCCTACTTTATCCGGAGTATTGTCAACGCAAAATGTCGCAACTGGAGGGGCAGAATCTGCAGAGTCAGCAATAGATTTCTCACTCTCCATCATTTTGCATTTAGATCATAGTCTTCCTTGATTGGCATGAACCCCACTTACTATGTACTTCCAGGTGATATATACTCAAGTATCGAATTTTCTTCCAGCCATCTACCCATCAGGCCTTCAGTGGAGCGTTCGTTGTCTGAACGGCATGGAAGCACGCTAGAAAACTATCTTCGACAAATGTCGATCCAAGTTCACGAGTACTTGATTAAATACGAGCAAAATGTTTGATCTTTGTTTCAAGACTTAACAAATAGCCATTTGCCTCGGACGACTCTCACCCGATACTTCTACTGTCTCTGCAATTCAGTCAAGAGTTCTCTACAAGGGATGCTGGAAAACTCGGGGCACACGACCACAGCATCGTATTTGGCGATGACGTCTGACTATGAGCGGTTCAAATAATGAGGCCTTTGGGCACTAACGGGGTTCACTCGTCACATTCTATCACATTAACGGGCTCAGGCTGGAGACCTTCGAATAACAATCGTTATTCTAAAGGATCGATTTGATAATGAGTCATCTGACTAGAAGTAAGGGATGGATGTGCTTTGGCAGTCAGCTACTACATGAGTCCCATGCAGCCAGTGGCTTAGTTTCCCGTCCGCATGGGATTTGCTGTCACAGTTGCAGACTATGGAACACATTGCCGTACATTCACAATGACAGGCTAAGAGGCGCATTTCAAATCAGCCGACTATCCTGGCTCATTTCCCAGCTGAGGTTGTGTAGATCTAACCTTATCCCAAGCTTTGCATCATACTGTCTCCTTGAAAGCCGTCCCCTTACCGATTGGCTCGAGAAACGCAGTGCATCGGGACCAGGGTGTTGCTTTTCGACCAAGCAGCGCTCCCTTGAGCAACGGAACTGATGGATTCGGTCACTGCGAGTTGCTTTATCAGTTGCACGATGCCAAGTGATAGTTACTCACTCTCATGGTAGATAATGCTAGTATTGATGCCCAATGTCCGAGACGGTTGTAGTATCTCCCGTAGCTTGTTTACCATTAACTATACGCAGGGAGCTGTAAAATGATATCACTATGCCGTTGTAGTCACTCTAGGCCATCCGCAGGTTCGGCGCGGCTTTTGGACGCGGGGCCGAAACTCGCAGTTTTGTGATCTAGACTCACATTAGTGCCTCCGAAAGCGGTTCCGGGAAGACACCCATCCCCTGGTCTGGTAAAATTATCGGAAAACGAAGATCCTAGAGATCTTTTGTTGACTTCCTTTTGGATCGATATCTGGCGCGGTCTTGTCTCGATAAGCACGGATAAGATAAGCAGTGCTGACTCAGCAAGTTGCCGGCCCAACGCGATCACCCAAACAAAAGAAAAGTGTCATTCCCCAGCCTCTCGATTTACTCCAACCACCGCAATTTCGGGCAGCGATCGAACTGTTGCTGCTCCCTCAGACCTCAATATCTACAATTCTCCCTTCTTACGTACTAACCAAGAGTGAAGCGTCTATTGACACGAGAATCAAACAGTGTACGAATACTTTCCAACATATCGGCTATCTGCGATCCCGATCGAGCCCTATCTACGATAGTGGAGCGCAACCACCATACCAAGAATTCTGCCATTCCTACACTCGCCAGCGGGTGGTACATTCACACTCCCTTGCAATTTGGAATGCCATATTTCCTCATCGGACATACCAACTGACCGCATCAGAGTTCCGTCTTGAGCTACGCGCTCTTGACTACTCTATTCGCCCCAACATGCCTCCAGTTATACAAGTGGGGGACGACTTCCCCAGCATTCCGATACCCGACAACAATGACGTGCTCAGAGAAATTCAGCCGTCACCAGAGGTTGAAGCTCTCACTGACCGATCGGTGACAGCATCACTCGCAGAAAAGCCCCATTCCCTCGTAGCACGGGATGACTCATCGAAGTATATCCCAGGTGATGGTGCGGTAGACCCGCATAAGATCAACATGCAGGGCCTGCTGGCGCTTTTTGCCCTCATTGGAGCTGCGTTCGTTCTCGCCGCCATCTGGTTCTTCTTCTGGGCCAAGAATGGTGGATTCATCTGGCGAAAGGGAGACTGGGAGGACTACAAGTCGACAGTTCTGCGACGCAAGGGACCCGACGGCGAAACACTTAGTAATGCGACGAAGAGTACCAAGCTGGGCGGCGGCAGTGTCGTCGGTAAACGCTATGATGAGGACGGCTACACGGTCTCAGGATACACCGACACAGCGACAGAAATAACAGAGAAAGACGGACCGAGGCGCAAGCGCGGACTTAAAGAGAAACTCCTTGGACGACACAAAAACGAGCGATATGAGAACGAGGCGGATGAAGACGTGCGCGCGTACCGTAAAGAGAAGCCAGCCCGAATCGGCGGTATCAACGCCGAGGCCGACGGCACCTACTACGGCAGTGACTACGACACTTCCAATCCCCCCAGTTACTACCAACAGACCGAGATGAGCCAGGTTCGCGATTACGCCTACGAGCCGAGCCGTCACAAGAGCACGCGACGTGATTTCTCTTTCACTCCAGGCACCGAAGAAGTCCTCAGCCAGCCTCCAACAGAGCATCACCGCACCCGCGAACCCTCGACCCGCCGCCACAATCGTCGTCGTGAAAGACGTCACCATGCACCCCCGACATCGTCGTCGCGCCAGAGCAGTCCCCGCAAGCGTGAGAAACGGTCCGTGCCGGGTCATTACACCGAGCCACTTGACTTTTCGTCCGCTCCCTCGCGCTCCGAATACCAGTACTCGAACGTTGATACGGAGGATACTGGAACCAGGAGCTACCACCACCCGATCCCCGGGTTGAGCAAGGGATACCGTCGTGATGGAGGACGGAGCCGTCGCCGCGACAGTCTTAGTGACAGTGACGGCGATGAAACTCGCTACTCGTGAGGTCTGCATTCCTCTTATTCACAGAGCTTTCACGGTAATCTCTATTGGTAAATGTAAATAGTATGCTCTTTCTCTTTCATTTTGATCTTTCTTTCAAACAACACGATAAGCGCATGGAATACGAATGGAATGGACACAAACACAGGAATATCGGTAACACTGTCTATTATATTATGAATGGTATGGATATGGATATGGTCATGGTTAATGTAACTCAATCGATGAAATAAATGCGTCAATGCGATATAGTTCATCAAGGACATCTGTTTAGGTGTATTATATACGTTTATACCTACCTTGCTTTCTTGAACTCTTAAGCAGTATCCATGGTTATAGGCTTACAAGTGTCCTGAAAAATAATAGATGCCTGATCCATAGATCGATAATAGATAGAATGACTGTGGTGGATAAATTAACCCTTTGGCACTTGCAGGCATTTGAAAAACAAACAGATGGCCGAATGGATGGAAATAAATGAGAACTTCCACCGGTAATTCAACAAACACCAACAATCCCAGTCTACCAAGTTATAGTACAATGTGTACATAGCCCAAAACCAGCGCGAATAACGATCTGATATGATCATGGATAGCAAATTGCAAGCCCAGATTCGGATGGTGAGAACTGATAGTCAGAAACGTCAACTAGAATAAAAAAGCCAACCACATGCTGTAAAATAACAGAGAGAGAGAGAGAGAAAAGAGAGAGAAAGAGAAAGAAAGGAAGAAAGGAAGAAAGGAAGAAAGGAAGAAAGGAAGAAAGGAAGAAAGGAAGAAAGGAAGAAAGGAAGAAAGGAAGAAAGAAAAAGAGAGAGAGACGGAGGAGGGAGTTTCTCTGTATGGCTGTCATACCAGACGCTCTTTTGTCGATTTGGTACCAAAGAAACACCTCCTCAAACCGAATGGCTTCTGGAAGCCGTACCCCTAACACTTCCAGGCTCCTGAACGCTCATATCACTAGTGATTGGTGGTAGCGGGGGAGATACGGTGGCCTCGTCCTCAAACCATTGTTTCAGTGACAGCTGACTGACCTTTTCCGCATCGTAACCCTGATCACATAGGCTTTTGATCTCGGGCAGGGACTTGAGATGGCCAATCTCAACGCTTGATTGTCGAAGCCGGTGAAGGAGCCATTTGTTGACGAATTTATTCTGACTGACCTTCTCCTCGATAGGGTCAAAAGGAGAAATATCCTCTTCCATGGAGGCCTTCAGAGGATCCTCCGACTGATTGGGAGGAGCAGATGGATAAAGCTCGTATACGAAGTCACGGCCCTGGATGTGCTCTTGTGTCAGGTGTCCTTTTTCAAAACAAACTGCCCTCAGCTGATTCATCTTCAATTGCATCTGGAATAATTCGTCGCAGACTCTCTCCTTTCTTTTTCATATGTGCGAAGAAACTCCATAGATTCATCGTCCATGGGTATATTTAAAGGCTCTCGTTCCTCTTTCTTCTCCCGGATGATCAACCACTCCCTGTCCAGTTCAACTAACCGCTCTTGAATCATGCGTACGTCAGTTCCACAGGATACATAATCCGCTACATCAGGCGGATCCTCTGGGGCTGAGCTGGTAGTCGACCTCACGTCACTCAAACTATCATGATCAATTAAGGACGGCTCGTTGGGCGTCGGAAGAGAATGATGGCCAGGCGATAAACGGGCAAAGTCTTCCATAGCCCTGATAAGCGTGTACTCATCCCGCTCCAGCTCACTCTCTGCCTTATTGTATTCTGCTTCCATATCCGAGTATATACCAGTGGCGGAAAGAAGAGCCTCGTTGTTCTGAAGCAAGGATTGAATGCTTGTCGGGGTACCTTGGGCCACGGTAACATGTCTGATAAACTGTGCTCTGATATCGGCCTCTTCCTCCCTCTTGAACCTTAGAGCCGTGCGTAGCTCTTGTACCTCGGATCTTTTAAAGGCAACTTTATTCTGCAGGGATAATAATTTATTGTTGGTGCTCAATATCTTAGCGATGTGCGCAGCATCGGGTCCATCTGGCACAGTCTGGTGTTCCTGTGGGTCTTTAGATCTGCCCAGAAGTGAAAGACCAGCATTGGCGCCCTTACTAGTTTCATTTTGAGACGGATTCAAGGGGGAATTGACACTGGGTGAGTCCTCATGGGGATGGGATAGGGATTCCATAGCTTCAACATGGCAGCTGGCAGAGGAGGAATTCTGGGTAGAAATGAATGGCTCCGATCCATTTACCAAATTCAATCCATGTGGACCCTCTGGAGTAGTCGGTGAGGGCTTTCCAGCAGGATGCGTGGCTGTCCCGGGCATCTCCAACGTTTCCGTAGGTAACGGTTGCGTAGAGCGCTCGTCACTCCGATTCTGATAGGCGAGAGCACATATGCAATGTGAGCAATAATTAATTGTGTGGCAGATAGCAATGCTTCAGCAAGAAGAGATACAAGAATCCATGGCTGTCACTGGGTTTTTATGGTATACATCGACATGCGAATTAACGGGACTCACCGGCTCATTCTGCTGGGACGAAGAATGCCAATTCCAGTTCAAAAATTTGCGGACACTATCCGCCAAGTTTGGCATGTTCTCAGGTATTTTCCATGCGAACATGGCTGGAAGAACCACACCGTTCGCGCAACGGGAAGTAAAACAGCGCCCAAAAAAACGACTTCATTAATCCACTGCGGGACGGGCCGGGGCTATATTAAGTATTTATTAAATCATTTGTTGAGGTCGGTTCCTTTTTCCGGTTTTCGTGTGGTGTTGTCAGCGCCCCGTTTTGGGTTGCTCTTTCCTTTGACGTTTTTCTTTTCTTTTCTTTCTTTGTGGTGGTTGTCTTATTTGTTTGTTTGGCTCTCGTTTTCTTTCTGCATGGATTTGACTCAGCACTGGAAGGTGCCTCTGTATGACACGTCTTCTGGATGAATCCGAGATCAGCAAACAAAAGTGCGCTGTGCAACCTTCCAGCAAATCCACGGGCAGAAACCGTACGGATTACATATAGACGGTGGATGGTTACATCGGGAATTTGAGTCTCGAGAAGGACGATCCCTACATATGGGAGATTAGCGGATGACGACAACTACTGAACCACGTTTCATAATTCATTCCTTCAGTTCCGGATTAACGGTGAGACTGACTCGTATATATGGATTGGGATGGTGACTGGCGCGCGGCCGGTGTTGGTTAGTGACGATGACTAGAGCATTAGACTGACGCTAGAAGGAAATAAACCAAAGGTCTATTGGCGCTTCAGGCTGACCCTCCATGTCTCCGGCGGGGAACCAGCAACAAAAGAAAGCACTGTGAATGCTGTCTAGCGATCCGGGAGTCCAACTACCACCATGGAGGAGACCAACCGGAATTCAAGAAGACACAAAACCCTCCGGCCCTCACTAAATATCGATTTTCTGTTTTTCTTTTTCGGAACCGAGCGTCAGGTGCATCCCACGGCTACGACTCAGCGTGTGCCAACAAAGACCCTGCGGCATATGGCGTGCAGCTCGACTTAATGTCGACAGGGAATGCACGTTCAATTATATCGGAATGGCTATGAATGGGGCAGAGAACCAGAAAAAAGAGCCGCATATCCTCTCCTACCATTCCAAGTGTCCAGCGAAAATGGACGATCGCACTTCCTGGAAACATTTATAGTCCGATTCTCGTCCGATGATTGCAGGCACAATGCCAGTATTTCAACTCTTCTTGATCACACTGATTCAAACAAAGTCCAACTTGGCACCCCTCCAACTGTATCGTCTCTTGTACGTTGCCCTAAGGAGATGCTGCGACCATGGCTTCCGACCGGGACCCAAGAAGAGAACCGACCCGCCGCCGTCAGAGTGGTAAGGGGGCCTAGCTTGACTGCTCCCGCATTAAGCATCTCGCTAATAGCATTGATTAGGAGCCTCTACTTTACCACAAGGGGGCCGCGACTTGTATGACCAGGCCTTAGCCACGAGGGGGTATGGCAACTCAACGCGACTTGTTAAGGCAGATATGTTTGCTAAGACGCCTAACGACAGAGAACTACCACGTTCCCCACCAATACTACCGTCTAACGAGTATGCACATTTTCCCAGGTATCAGGGTAACCATAACCTGCCCTTCCAGGCCCCTAACGAGCAGCTTTCACTACCAATGTGAGTCAGATAGTTGCGAGCCCCATAAAGCGATACTATTTCCTTAATGACTGATATAAGTCAACAACCTAGTGCCACCCATCCTGGCGGTAACTATACTATCGGGCAGGGCCACTCCATGGGCCAGCCTCAGTCAGCACATGCCAATATATCTCATACTGCTCACCACCTACCTTCACTGACTAGCCATGGCACTGGAGGCGGTCAGGGTTACGTTGGTTGTCCACCTTATCCACAAAGTATGGACAATGTGACACATGCGCTTTCCAAAGCAACGATTGGACCACCTTCTCCCGGCTATACCAGAGACAATAAGGGGTATACATCAGCCACCAATGCCACGACTGTAAGTATAGAAGGATTGAAAGCGGCAAGATGATTAATTTTGACGATTGTAACAGAACGGACAATTTTCTCACCAGAATATTCCCCCACCTGGCACTTCCGGCCCTACCCCTAGTGAAACGCTTGATAGCCGTACGTTTCAATATTCGAGTAGCTACCTATATTTCAGAAGAGCATGGACTGATTATAACCAGGTTATAGAGTCCAGGAAAATCCCAGGACGTTTTTCAAAGTTGGAAGAGTACGGATGTCTCTCCCGAGCTTGTTTCAGTCACCTAACTGGATATACAGGTTTTTGCTGTCGTGTGGCACGAGGGTATGGGGAATACAGCGCCTCTGAAAGGAGGCACCAAAAGCCTTGCAAGTGATCGTGAATTGATGACTGTGGGAAAGTTCGGCGCCAAGATCTTCACTGATATACGCCGCATGGTGGTCTTCAAGGAGCAAGCTCAGTGTGCATGGTGCTTGTAAGTCGCTTAGAGGATGCTCATATCTAGCAACGTATACTTATGCTAAGCCTTTAGCCCGGTGCACACTTACGGCCGTCTGGGCGTCGCCAAAGCGAGTGTGGATCCCTCGAAGCATGCAGTCATCTATATGAAAGGCGCACGACCGGGGCATGGTCCCAACGAGCCAAAAATGACAAAGGACCCCATTGAGGTAACCCCTGAGCCGTACCAGAAGCTACACACGATGTCTCGATTAAATTTTGGTAAAATTTACACAGTTGAACATAACCAAAGGGTTCTTCCCGTTGGTAAGATCAGCGAAGAATCCATGGCCAAGTTCCATTTATACGCGAAAAGGGAAACCGAACTTGGCTATTAGGGAGCCTCGAATGGAGAGCTCACATGTGGTTCAGTGGTAATATTTGCTTCATCTTCAATCTTTCTATTACTTTTGGCTACTATAACCGACTTTCTTGCGTGTTCTTCTTGACAGCCACATTGTTGACCCCTTTCATCAAACGTATGCCATTGCTCGAATGGCCTGCTGATATGTGTTCAAGGCAAACTTGATTTGCCTTGGTTACTCCCATTGATACGTTTTATTATTGCTATGCATCATATCTTTAAGAACCTGTGGAATTTAATTTTCTTCCTCTATCATGCTACACCGCTAGGGGTTAACTTATCGTGGCCGTGTTCAACCATGGCCCACGAGTGGATCTATTGTCTTAACGGATGCAAAGCGTGGTGATATATTACTATCACACATCCCTCTGTTAGATACTACGAGACTTCCAGTGATTACACCCTCACATGTTGGAACCATCATTCTGGGTTTATTTATCTGTGCTGCGAATTTATTCCTATCAACTTGAAGTTCCGAGATTTCACCTTTGCCTCCAAAAAATATATTGCTCTACGTAGTAGTAAACACGCCTACTATTCCTTATGTAGCAGTCAACAATCACTGACACAGCTACTAGATATGAAATGAGTACTACTTTTCTGCAGCATGTATCGATTTTCATATGACTCTACCAAGGACCAGGACAGCATGTTCAGATATGGAGTAAGGCGAGATGGGTCAGGCAATGTTTATGACCTCCCGAATTGATAACGATAATAAAGTTCTGTAGCGGTGGGGCCGAAAAGAAAATACTGCCACCTAAAGTCTCACCGCCCGACAGATTTTCTGAACCGCCTGATGAGGAAAACTTTCAAACAGACATCCTCACTACCTTGAAAGCCACCAAAACCAAAGACACTCGAGGTTTCTTGGATTTAATCAATTGACGCCATGAAGCGGAAGCTCGACGCAAACGATGTTCCCTCTCCGGAGACCGCAGGCAAGAAGGAAAAGAAGGAGGACGACAACACCGACTTCGAGAGCCTTAACCTGGATCCGCGATTGCGCCAAGCTTTGATCAAGGAAAAATTTACGAAGCCTACACTTGTTCAAGCGAAGGCCATTCCACTGGCGCTGGAGGGAAAGGATATCTTGGGTATGTGTTGCTCTGAAAAGCGATCCGTCGGAGATTACCAGACGCTGATAAGATGCAGCTCGTGCGAAGACCGGATCTGGCAAGACTGCCGCATATGTACTTCCCATCCTGCAGACAATTCTTCAGAAAAAAACTGTTAGTAACCGTTTTATCATGTTTATCTTGAGTTTTTAAGTATAGCTATATTAATCCTACGAACTATAGGCCGACCCTTCATTGAAAGCGACGACAGGCCTTATCCTCGTCCCCACTCGAGAGCTTGCGGAGCAGGTCCAGAATGTCGTTACCACTTTCGCTGCCTTCTGCGGAAAGGATGCACGCTCGGTGAATCTGACACAAAAGGTTTCGGATGCAGTCCAGCGCACTATGCTGGCTGATTACCCCGACCTGGTTATTTCGACGCCTGCTCGTGTTGTCACCAACCTCGGCAGTTCCGCTTTGTCCCTAGAGAACTTGACACATCTTGTAATCGACGAGGCAGACCTGGTTCTGTCATATGGATACGAGGAAGACATCAATGCCCTGGCCAAGGCTATCCCACGTGGCGTGCAGACTTTCCTCATGAGTGCTACACTCACTGACGAGGTGGATACTCTGAAGGGTTTGTTCTGTCGGAGCCCTGTAACCTTGAAACTAGAAGACAAGGATGACCAGGGTGCCGGTGTTAGTCAATTTGTTGTCAGGTGAGATTCATGTCAGTTCCTTGATATATATGATTCGGTGGCTAATGTTGTCCACTTTAGATGCGCGGAGGACGAGAAATTCCTTTTAACTTATGTCATTTTCAAGCTTCAACTGATCAAAGGAAAAGTTATTATCTTCGTGGACGATGTCGACCGTTGTTATCGTGTGAAGTTGTTCCTCGAACAATTTGGAATCAAGAGTTGCGTGCTGAACTCAGAATTGCCTATCAACTCCCGTATACACGTGGTACAGGAGTTCAACAAGGGTGTCTACGACATCCTCATCGCCGCGGACGAGCAGGAGGTAATCGGAGCCCGGAAGTCGAAGAAGTCGAAAGAAAACGCCGATGAAGCAGGGTCCAGCGACGAGGATGAGGGAGAGCCGGAAGAGAAGTCCAAGCGCCGCAAGGTATCAGGAAAAGAGAAAGACTACGGAATCTCCCGCGGCATTGATTTCCAGAATGTTGCATGCGTTCTGAACTTCGATCTTCCCTCCACTTCCAAGTCCTACACACACCGAATCGGCCGTACCGGAAGAGCAGGCAAGACCGGCATGGCTCTATCATTCGTCGTCCCCAAGGACCAGCACGGAAAACACAGGCCCACCTCCACCGCAACCTCCAAGCATGATGAGTCCGTCCTCGCGAAGATCGTCAAGCGCCAAGGCAAACTCGGCCACGAGGTGAAACCATATCACTTCGAAATGAAGCAAGTCGAAGCCTTCCGGTATCGTATGACCGACGCTCTCCGCGCCGTAACACGACTCGCCGTACAGGAAGCCCGTGCCCGGGAAATCCGTCAAGAGCTGATCAAGAGCGAGAAGCTCAAGCGCCACTTTGAAGAGAACCCCGAAGAGCTGCGCCAGCTGCGCCACGACGACGAGCTGCGCTCCGCACGTGTCCAACCTCACCTCAAACACATCCCAGAGTACCTGATGCCGTCCAAGGGTAAGAAGGGTTTGTCCAGTGGAGACGTCGGCTTTGTGAGTTTCAGAAAACAAAACGAGAACCGCATCAGGAAAGCAAGGGAGAAGAATCGCGGCAAGGGTAATGGCCGGAAATTTGCCGGCGTGAAGAAGAAGGTAGATCCGTTGAAGACGTTCAACCGGGGCCGGAAGTAAAAACAGGGATAATCGTTCTGCTTCAAAGAAAATACCATCATGCTGTTCATTTTACTGTACATACTGGGTTGGGAAATGGAAAAGTTACTATAAGCCTTTCAAAGCCACACTCTCTCGTTGTATTCCAGCACAGCCTCTGATTGCCGTCTGACAAGTCTAGCCCCCCGCAGATATAAAATATGATAACCTAAGAACGCAATGTGCATGCTAGTCGGTCCGAATTTATGATCTGGTTAGTTAATGACTAGGTGTAGATGCGCCAGGCCCCTGCGAGTACTTTCTACCCTGTCCTCCTTAGGAAGCAGGATCTATGCTGAGCATCTATTCTACGTAGCTACGAAATCAGCAATCCATGTGACCTGAGTATCCAGGCAGACAGACAGGAAAACTATAACAGATAGAAGCCGAAATGCATACACATCGGCGGTTAAAAATGACTCTATTCGGGTATGTATGTGACAGAGCCGTGCAACGGCTTTTGGCTCACTATATTCCCCTGGCGTTATTTACCAGTAACGAATGTATGTATCTATCTACAACTGGTCTTATCGCATCAAGGTAGAAGACTCAGATACTCCTTCCCGAGCAACCGTCTAAGGGCATCGTCTTCTAACCCTTCTAATCCGAAAGAAAAATGAACCCACTTTCCCTTGCCCGCCTTTCTCACCCGCTGCACCCGCTGCTGAACTGCTTTTGCAGCTTTTACGGCTTCCCCATATCGTTCCAACTCCTTCTCGCGACGATACCTGACCCGTTCCACTTCCACGTCCCATGGGAGATCATCAGAATCCGTCGGCTGATCAGGAGACGGAGCATGCATTGAGAATGCTAGAGAACGGGGCACGGAAGGTGGCGACGTGTGAGATGAAGATGCAGCGCCATATTGTCCAGAAGAGGGGGGAAGAGGTAGTAGCTCGCTATCATCAATATGAGGAAGCCATCCCGGGCCCAGACGGACAAACTCAATGTCTCTCCATGACCCATTCCATTCTGGACCGGCGACGTACGCCTCACCATCTGGCCCAACGCCATCCCAATTCAGTGCTGGAACCCAGTCGCCACAGCCTTCCAGGTCGAGCCATTTCAGACAGTAAGTTGCGCGGGAGAGCCGCCGCAGGATACCGGCTGCTTCGGCCCAGTTGTTCTCGAATGAGGAATATGCGTCTGTGCCACCGTAGGCGAAGGTTAGGGACCTTTGTGCTGGGTGTCGTACACTGGCATTAACGGCATTGGGCGTGACTGTTGGAACGGGCCAATGTGCTAATGATAGATGCGTTATGGTCGAGAGGCGGGAGAGGAGGTTGATGAGCGAGTTCCAGTCAGTAGCAGATGGGATTGGATGTGCTAGCGAGAGATAACGGAGATTCTCAAAGCGCAGTCCTTGGGTGAGAGCTTTAGGGAGGAGCGTATCTCTAGAGATGGCAGGACCATCATCCTCGTTTATTTCATCGTCCCAGGACGCTGGGATGGGCTTTTTCGTAGTATGTTGCACGGTCCTGGGTTTCGCGGACACAAGCAGTTCGGTAGAGAGTTGTTTCCAGGTCATCCAGCGTCCCACCGCACCGCTTAAATCCAAGCGGTTTATCTCCAAATCACTATCCTGCGATATATTGTCTGCTTCAGGCTGATGTTTCTCAATCAGCGGTCTTAGACCATGCATCATACCCCGCAATGGTTGGTCTCTCGAGTGAATGCTGATATAGCTGAGTAGTAGCATCTTGATATGACTAGGTAGGAGTGCAAGGAACTGCCCATCATATTCGAGATGCCAGACCCAATGCAAAGCCATAGATTTCAGCAGCATATGTAGCAGGGTGCTTCTTCGGGGAAATGTCGTCCCCGGGAGGCGATCGAGGCGATATATGGTTCTCTCGGTTTCCGCCGCACCGGATCCCACACCAGTTTCCTCTGGATTCTCATGCGAATAGTTTCCCAGCAGCCAGCTCTCAGGCGGCGGTGGTCCAGGGGTCCTTCTCACCCGTCGCCCACCAACTCCGGCGCGGCGGGCATCCGGACGAGGGCGGGGAGGTGGTGTTTCGGGGAGTTCTAATAAGTTCCGCAGCGAGGGATGGACAGATCGCGGTGCGACTGTCCTGAAGGGAGTTCTGGTACCATCGTCGGAAGGAGAGCTGGATACCTGGGTACGGCGGAGGTGGTTGATCAGATCGTTGACGGATGGTTGCTCACTTGCTGACGACCGGAAACGATCCTCTCGGAGGCCAGAGGAAGCTAGGGTATGGTGAGCGGTGCTAGCCGGTTTGGTGAAAGTAGACCTATGATGCTTTTTGGGCATCGAGGGATGTGTGAGGGTGGAGGAGAGGGAGAGAGTTGGAAATGAAGCTGAGGTGCGGGACGGCAGCTGTTAAATCTTATCGGGCAATCTGATAAATAAATTCGCCCCCACCACTGAGTCACTGTCACGGAGTCACTTGATGTAACAGTAAGGTAGAGCTTGAGCCAAGTTTTCTTCTAGTTTGATGATTTACACTTCCGGCTGTCTTTCTGCCTAATATACATTGACATATGAAGGCCTTCATATATCACGAACCCACGATTCATCATCCATCTTCCCTTCCCGTTTTGGTCCTTCTTGGATCCATGTCTCTACTAGACCTTCCTTTGGATCCTCATCGGGCAGCCCCCTTGACCGTCTTACATCTAACACAAGGTCCCTAACCTTCTTGGTGACCTCTTTTCGCAGCTCAACTGCCTCCTTTCCGTTAAGAAGCTCGTCGCTCAACACCCCGACGGGGAGGTCGCGGGTCTCCGGAGCTTTCAATTCAGCCTTGGCCTTCAAATCCCGCCATCGCCGCCTCATATCCCCGAACACTGCGTCGGTGTCAACTTTCTGTCCGAAGGTGACACTAACGTCCTTCCCTGGTCGTGGGAGGAACCGTGGAAACTCTCGGCTCTCATGCATGACCTGGTCAAACCCTTCTACCCACATAGGGACGACGTCAGGGCATTCATTGGTTTCTAGAATCAGTCGAGCAACACCCCATTTAAAATAGCGCATTGTCTTGTTCGGTGCCTGGTGGATTTTGCCTTCCGGGAAAATATGGACCCAGGAGTAAGAGTTGCAAGAGAATGCGGATGGAGCCAGATGCGAATCTTCTCCGTTGGTGGTGTACGCTATGGGAAGGTCGGAAAAGGGATCGACGCAGACGTTCTGTAGGCTCCAGTGTTGTCGCTCGGGGCGGGCATTGTGAGCGTTAACGGGGAAGGGCCCTTTCGATAACAACCGGATCGCCTGGGTTACGGCTGGTTGTGCGACACCACCGTACGGTGAGTGTGCGAGTCGATGAGTGGGCAGAACCTGACCCATGGTGAAGAATAGGGATAAGGGCCTTTCAATCCCTCGTTGTTAGCTGATATTTTCGACGCGGGAAATCGAAAACAAAGCCATACCTGCCCTGAAAGCAGATGTCATGACTGCCAAACCCCCATCTTCTGTTCCAGTTCGAGAAGCCAAAATTGTATCGCAATGGTAGGAAACCCCACATGATCGGATCATCCATACTGCTCGTTAGCGACCACGGTCAGTGTACTCTTCTTTGTCGCGAGTAATCAGGTCGCCTCGGCCATTTTGAGGCGCATCGTACGTACGTACACGCTGATATGGTTGGAAACTGTAGTAAAATAGTGAGATTAGCCATCGCCCATAAAATCATTGTTGGAAGACAATGAACAGCGGGAGTAGTAGTACCTGTGAGTAGGCCTCTTTTTCTTTGGGACGGATCATTTCGAGAGTCGAGTAACTCCAAGAACGAGTCGAGGCCGTTAACCTCGGGTCGACTCAACGTATACAAAAATGAGCGGCATAGCGCAGCGACACCAAATACCGTCGCTGAGGACATGACCCTCCAGGGTAAGGAGGGACATTCCCCTGTTGCACCGGAATCCCTATCGCCCGACATCATGAAGTTATTGAAGCCCCATGAAAATAATTGGGACGCTTCGAGCCTGGCGGGGGAGAAGGAAGGAAGAAAAAGAAAACAGGGACGGGGTAAAAAAGAGGACCCCGGATCATCGGCGTGTAAGCAGTTGGCATCTTTATTGGTTTTTTATTTTAATCCGCGGAGGTCGGACGACGCACGGACCATGTGAACCTGACCTCAGAACGGGATTTTCGCCCGAGACTACACCTTTGAACACTTGCCCTTTGTTATCGCAACCCATATCCTGTGGCACACAAGATGTTCAAAGCGTCGTCTCCTCTTTTCTCTGGCCTTCTTTGGTATGTAACCCAATTATTCTTTGCGAACTCTCCGAATCAGCTGCAATTGCCCCTCCCCGAACGTCTTCGTCAAGAACGTCCAGATTGAATTCTAACCATCTCTTCTTAATCCACAACAGGAAGATCCCATGGCGAATCTCGCAGCCCCAGAAGGCTCGCCAGAGGAAGCGCCTTCGCTCCGTCGATCGCGTGGTAGACACTATTAGCGCAGCCCTTGCCCGTAACGGACAGAAGGCGCGATCCGTTGATCGGTGGTATCGGGAAATGCCTCGCGAGGAGGAGATGCTGCCCAGGGATAAATACACTCTCTTCGACAAGAAGGAAAAGACATACCGCAAAGGCATTCATAGTACGTTGCCCCTTATCGTCCGTCTTTTGATTGTGCAATCCCTCTTCGCCTCGAATGTCACATCCTTGACCTGGGAAGCGCGAAGAGGAAAATCCAGAATAGAATGGAAAGCAAGACATCGGGATATGTGACCTTGTAGCTGATATCTTTCGCAACAGAGCTGCCGAAATGGACACGAGTCAGCCAGCGCGTGAACCCTCCTGGTTTCTAAATAGGTGCTTGGAGCACTATCTCGAAGCAATTCGATGCGAACACTGCCACCAGGCTTTCGGGGCCGAACCTTGCGAGTAAATACTGGGATTCATATTGTACGATACACTTTGGCACTCATTGGCCATGCTTTCGCATGAGAGAGCGTCTTAACTAGAAAACGGATACACGAGGGATTACCGGAGTTTTGGCAACTGGGCAAATCGCACCATGACTGTGTTGAATTTCCTTGTTTAGTTACAATCATAGTTACTTTTAGTCTCGAGCGCATGTACAATTACTTGGTTTGTTTCCACAAGTTTACCCGTACACCCACCATTTAGTAAGAACTGGCGCCACGGTGAACTGGAATGGCATGCAAAGGGCGAACATGGCCTGAAGGGGGGTTTTTATAATGATATGGCAGGGGAGAAGATTAACATCGTTACCTGTGTGGTAAATTCGCTATTTCCCACCTAGCGAACCACCCAGACTTTCTATGCAACTGCTGCCCCAGGGCAGTTGTTGAGGTAAAGTCACTGGCTCAGGTCTGCTGGTTCTGTCGCCGATACCACGCTCTTTGGTAGAACCGAGTGAGACCGACTGCAACTTGCTTTGCTCTAGTTCTGTTGGCCTTTCCTTCATAAATTGCCTTGCGGATTCGATATCCACGGCGGATATTTTGCCAATCATCTAATTTTTCTTGCCAGCCGGCCCCTCCTTCATAGTATGTGGTATTTTGTCTGGCAGACAGCTGATTTCCTTGTGGTGGCTTTCGAATTAACCAACAAGCTGGGTCTATATATCCATCCTGAGGATCATCGGCAGAGCCGTCATATAATTCCACTCGTTTGACAAGGTCTCTCACCCCCGATGCTCTTCTGTGTCGGTTGACAGCTATTCTCCATGATTCTATCCGCGGCGTGTTGGCAACTTTACGAGGGACTGCAGGATGCTTACGCTTAGGATGCTGAGACGTGGGGGAGGGCGTGCTGAATCTAGGATCCCCGAACTGCCGCTTTACATTGATAGGGGCACGCGATGCGGGGTCGTAAACGACCCAAGTCCGAATATTAAGCCAATGGTTAGGAAGTAAGGGGAAGTGAAATGGTCTTCGGCCTGGCATAAGTTGCTGAGAGAGCCATCCGAGTCTTCGGTCCAAGCAGTCTATCAGAATGATCTCCCAATTGCTCAAATGCCTCAATGGAATAGTGATTTGTGCGGACGTTGTTCCAAGTATGTTGGCCTTCTTGCTCTGGGGTCTTCCTTCTTTATCACTTCCCTGAGACCGTATTGACTTTCGTAGTCGTGTAGATGGACACTGGAATCTATAAAACTGAATGTGGTTTTGATGCTTAGAAATGGAATGAGTAGTCTGCAATTGGCATTGATCTTGCCTGTACAGCATTGTTGCTGGTTGCCAGGTTTTGGCAGTGGTGGCTTTTGCTTTGTAGCTGATCACATTCGCTCTTTTCACACGACGTTTCTGAGTGCTGGAGATACTAGGGCCACTCGAACCACTTAACGAGCTCCAGACTGCGGTACTCCGGTCTTTATTTATCATTTTAGCGAGAGAAGTTCGATGAGATGAGAAGCCCATCAGTAGCTCGGGCCTCGGACTACCTGGCGGAACTGGAAATCGATGCTTGCTATATTTCTCACACTCCGGGACATTCAATTCCATCCGGGCAGACCAAACCTGGTATTTGCGTGAATATATTAATGCTCGGAGATTCCTTGCTTTTCGTTCCTGGCGAGTGGGTCTCTGGGAGTTCGAGGAAGCTTCAGAGCGTTTTCCCACTCTTCGAAAGGTAATCTTGAGATCATCTGATAGACAAGGAAGGGAGTGATTACGTTTTGCTAAAGGACCGTTATTTGAGATATAGAAAACGAGGTCGTTTCCTGTAAGAGCGCAAGCAGACTGATCCAAGGAGAGGAACCTTTTATGGTTGAGCGAGCGCGCTGAGAGTCTGCCTGCTTGAATAGTACAGTGGTTAAGAACCATTGTAGATTGATTTGCTCGGGTCGCAGGTGCTACACATTGCAGATCATCCTTGAACAACTCCTTTGCAGAGGAAAGTTTCCTGCGCTGTCTCCTTCTCGGTAGTTTGTATCTTTCAACACCAGTGTTGACCATTTTATCCAATTGGAGAACTCCGGCCATCTTTGGGGAGGAGCACGACCCGGCGCCCTGGCCTGATCTAAAGACGTATCCACAGGGACTGCAGATACCATTTGCTGTTGTAGGTTTATGCTTTTTGAGATGCGTTCGCAAACGTTGCTGACACATTGAGTCCTGCTTGCATGCTTCTAGCTCCGTATGTTGAGAATTCCACCAAATCGAACAATAACTATTCTTCGCTGAGTTCCATGTGGTCCATTGTCGGACCTTCGCAAAACATTTTTGCATTATGGACCTTTTGGCCTTTTGAGGTTCTAGTGGCACCCACCCGTACCAGGCCTTTACGTAGCGACGCGCAGGGCTGTTTCCTCCTCCAATGATCTTTTCCTTAGTGAAGCGACGGAAGAAATTTCCAAGCTTCCAGATTAGAACGGCAGCAACGAATATGCAGAATGTCCCAGTGAAGAGCTCGAGAACAGCCTTGAGAGTTATGGTCTTTGGCCCTGATATAGGGATGGGGGGTGCGCCTCTAATTGGAGGGTAATAGCCGGGTAGAGTATGAGAGAGTCGGGGAAGGACTGGTGCCATCGAAGGGGTCTTCAATGATCATCCTGATAACAATATTGGAATATAAGTGAAGCTGCTGTGGGATTTGTCGAGAGAGGACAACTAAGCCGTGAGTAGCACTTGGGAGCCGCACGAGGAAGGCACGACTTCAGTCGGGTGGGCTGCCTCACCTTAGGTACCCTAAAGTAACCCTGCTTTGGCAAGTTGTGTTCTTCGAAATCATTCAAGGCATGAGTGAATGCTAAGTTATGGATGACATTGCTTGCAGGGTTCACATCCCGTCAATACCACAACGGGGCCTGTTTCCCCAATATCAGTCAATCAGGAGAGAATGCCCCATACATTGGAAACCCATGTTCAAACGGATCCATTCCAATGCTACTTCCTTATTAGTATGAGGACCCAGACTCTCATACCAGCATATACCCTATAGCACTCATCGCTTGTGCAAGTAGCGCAACCATTGACATGACAATCGAACAGCCATGCTCCTCACTTCCCTCTTGTACCGCCATATATGTACAATATGGACCATACTCGACATCTGCAGGCCCTGCAAAGCCGATGTAGACATTGCTAGAGCTTCATACTTTGCCCATATGCGTAAGGTACTTCCTGCACGCGAATATCAGACAGCTTGATGCATGCAAGGTTTGGGTCCTTGTGAAAGCAAGCTATGATATATCCCCCCGTAGCCTATCCAAGTATCCAGGACCAAAGTTCCCTCCAAGATCTCACTTGTAGTATTACTATTGACCATGCAGTTGCAAGCTCCCTGCAGTATTCATGAAGCTTCACGACCAATACAGTGACCCAGTGATGTGTATCACTCCAGACATGCCGAGTCTACAGGGAATTACCTGCCTGGGAAGATATACTTCTCCCTTGCTTAAAGATCCGGAACTCTACCCTGCTTCCCCAAAGGATATACGACCCTAACGGCACCGAGTGAGGCCGACCATTCGAGGATTCAACACACTCCATCTCATACTTTCTCCGAGAAAGCACCGAAAGATTAGGACCCACCATTGCAATCTTACCAGATCGAGTCGTCGCACGAACTCCGTGAATATGCAGCTTCGGGAAAATCTGACAGCATGAAATGTTCACATACTTATGCTACATTTGGCATCGTTGGGAATTTGGCTTTCGGCGAGCCATCTGACTGTCTTTTAGCCATCTACTATAATCCCTGGTGGAGGCTTCGGTGCCATTCTCACTAGGCTGCTTCTCATAATTTCCGATCGATCGCGTATAGAGATTATGCTAGAACTATCGAATAGAATCATAAACAAGTGTTTTAACTTCGGTTAAGAAGGAATTCATCGTTATCCGAGCCAGGAGACATATCCACCGGAATGTATGATATATATATATATATATATATTTTCAAGGAAACATATGAGGTTGATCACCATAGAGAGTGGGACAATAACTACTCTACTAGTACTTCCAGGATACACATCTTATCTCGCTAAGCATCCCACAGGACAAAAGATTGCCTGAAAAATGTAACAGTTGCATCTCTTTTACAGTACCTACATTTAGCATACCCATTGAACCTGTTGGGATAGCCTTGTGTATACAAAAACGCGGTTGGCTTTCACAAGAGAATTGAAAAATTTTAATATGCTTATTGAGTCAAAATGGTATAACTGGACCGATCCAATTTTTTTCGCTGTCTGGCTGAAAAGCTATTGATGGCGAAGTTGTCTCCCGTCTGTCGATACGTAGATATTACTGTCTACTACTACTAGCAGTTGTAGTACTAGCCACCTGGCAGACAATACTACGCCCCAACGAGGGGCTTACGAGTTTTGAAAACGTTCAATTGTTTCCAGTTCGCCATCAAGGCCATCACACTTCTACCTAGATTGTTTGGATAACCCACACTCATTGGACAAATTGCATTTTAATAGACGTATTGCAACCATTGTTTGAAACGCCATAAAAGGGACACCACGATCGCGAATTGGCATTGGTATTTGTGTGTTTCGGGATCTGTGATAGATCCTACAATATAATTTTGTTTTTCAGCTTCATTGCGTCACTTTCAAGGTTTCCAAGTGGCCAAAAGAGCTCTTTTTAGCAGAAAGCGAATTTGTGCTTGGATCTCAGTTCAGCTTCCGCAACGAACTTTTCCATCTGGAAAATCCTATAAAACGCCAACTATAGACCAGCTACGTGTCCACGTCCCGCCACTGCTTCCGATTTATCCAGTCTGCACTCTCATTTCTGGAAAAAAGTAAACATTCGGGTTCCGTTCTCTAATCCCAGGCAGAACAATAAATACCCCTGTCTATCGGTGTTTAAATTAGCCTAAATTAGTTTGGTAGTCCTTTTGCCTACCACATCGTTTACCAACCCTATGGTTCATCATAAACAAATGATCGTAATGCGAACGCCACATTTATTTGCTTCTTCTTTGCCTATGTCGTTGCTTTTTTTTTTCCGGGAAAGTTTGGTTTGAGATCTGATCCAGGAATTCTGGCGGATCTTAACGTCAATGTCTTACTCCCCAGTGTAGTATATTGGAATTCTTGATTCAGTGACCACCACTAAGGACCAAATCAAGGAATCGTGTCAATACTGTGTGACTATGGTTCAGAAAAAGCATATTCAACAATAAAGTGAAATCCTTCGCAAGGCCAAAGTGGGTCCACATGGACCATGGGTGGTGATGGAGATAACTGGGATATGGAATATGAACCAATGGCCTATCCTCTGTGACATGACAAAACAGGTAATGCAGTAGCCCAGGGACACTCTGTCCTTCTGATGTCAGATACTAAGTAATCGGCTTGTTGCCACCTGCGTACGCGCGGTTGGGGGCGGTTATAACGTTTACAGTTAGGAGCAGATCGAGACAGCACCTGCATAAGATATAGTTTGCCGATCTTGGATCTCTCGGCATTAGTTGGGTAAAGCGTCATTTTACCAAGGATGAATGGCTAGTCACGTCATCAGATGTTCAACCCCGGCCAAAACCGCGAAAAAGAAAAGAAGAAGAAAGGGGGCGCGATGAGCATCCTAACAATGAAAGGAGGCGACCAAATCTTGGTGTCACGTTGAGTACGGCAACAGAGAAGCAGAAATCCTTGGTGAGAATGGGAGATTGGGTAGCATCCAGGATTCCAGATGGGGAGGCCTTAGCGGCACATGGACACATAATTGACCAAGTAAGGGTCCGCATAGACTGATCCAGATGCTAGCGCTGGATAAGATCAACTCCAATCAGTTTCTCACCGACAACCATGTAGTTATGTTGAGTGAACTGATTCAGCAAGGAGTGTGATGGTTGTTGGTGATGGGAGGTGAATCCTCGATAGTTCACCGCCACAGAATGAACGTTGATCAATAGTCTAAGCCACCTGTGGCTAGTGGGACACGGACCAATCAGATGAGAGTGCTCTCACATGGTTGAGGGCCGATTCACAAGAAAAATCTGATGGATCTTGCATGCTCTGCAGGCAGACGCAAAATACGGTCCGAAGGTCGGTACAGGAAAAAGCAATGACCTCTGTGTGCGTGGCATGTTCCGCTAAACTGGGGACCAAGAACCGCCAACCGGGTAACACAAGCTTGAGACTGATCTACAGCCTATGCCTTACTTTTACCCCTGTCTTGACATACTGAGTATTGGCCGGGAATACAGAAGCTATCCATCCGATCATGGTGTTAGGTGACTGTGATCGAAGAGGCCAGCAGACGCGCCATTCCCATTATACCCCTTCGCTCCCTACTTTTTTACGCTTGTGCACCATACTGATCACCCAGGGTTCCACTCAAGCAGATCGCTATACTTGTTTATGCACGGCTGCTAGTGGGTCCTTTCCCTCAATCACGAGGTTATGCAACCGGGAATTTTAACAAAGCAGCTTGTTGGCCTTGAGCGATGTAGCCGTGCCGGTAACCACGGCAAAGAGAATAAAGAAGGACCCTGTCTAGACTTTGTGTAGATCAGACGGCAAATCGATGATTGGTCGATCTAGACAGCAAAGGGTGAAGGACCTGCAGCCACAAACAACCTCGTGGAGACCCACCGATTGTTGGTGTGATCAGATCCACGGATCTCAAAAATGGGGATGCTGGGCGGATACGACCAGTCAAGGCAGCAGCAAATGGTAACTTTGAAGCTTTGGAATCCAACCCTATAGAGTTTGACTTAGAGAAGATGTTTTTCCGGCTGCCTGGTTCGCATAGTTCATGAGGCTGAGGTGGAGATCCTTCGGCATTGACACTGTGGCTCGTATCCCCTCCTAACCTAAACAGGCAGAGGGTGTGGCGAAGTTGTTGAGGCGGGTGTCCATCGGACCCACTCTCATTGTTCCTCTTTCAGTATTCTCACTTCAACTCCGTTGTTCCGTTCCAACCCTCCTCCTTCACAGATCAAGATTTTGTACTGGTCGTATCCCATATCTTCCGTTCTAGACCCGTCGCTTCCATTTTGTGGGTACGGTCTTGGAAACTTCATCTCAAAGAGGAAGCATCCATTGGGTCGGGATCCATACCTGATCTGATCATCATGATTTTTCTACACGAAGAGAATGGGCCAGGTCTTGCATATCAGTCGCTGCACAGGTTTTGCTCACCTGCTAGCCTACCTGTAGTGTGATAACACAACTGCCGCTTAGGCCACAGCTCCAACAAGAGAACATGTCGGTAAGATTGAGAGGCTTTGACACATTGTTTTAGTGTGTATATTCCACGCCGCTGCTGCATATCCAAGATCAAGATCAGAGTTCTTCTGTCGGCGAGGTAATAGAAAGCGATGGAAATGATTCCCGGTTAGTCTACGAATCTTTAGCTCCACCGATGAGGTCGATCGATGCAAGGAGCCCGATTTTGAAGATCCTAGCTCCATGGCCTGGCAGCTAAACGGCAAGGAACGCCTCGCTGGGAAAACCAAAACAATATCTTTGCACACAGTAAGTGGGCCTAGAAAGGAGGAAGGAAAAGGGGAACGCAGTGAATAATTCTCCGAGCTTTACGGACGCAGGCTCACATTCCAACCACATTAAAGGGAAGGAGCTCATGGAAAGGCCACCCAAAAAGAAAAATAAATAAAATCGAAAAAAAGTAAAAGTGGATCAGCGAACCAATGACCTTGAATTCCGGAGGCGCTAGCGTGGTCACCAAATCCCTAATCTTGTTGCATATCCCGCGACTGATCTGATCGAACCTCACAACAATCAATGGAAAGTTCGTTCTTCATTGGAACATGTCTCATTGCACTTTGCCTTCTAGGCAAGAAAGAAGCAAACTCAATTCGACCATAGTACAACAAACCTAGGTCACATTTGATCTCATTATTGACGCGTAATAATAAGACAGCAGCAGAAAGAAAGATAATTGTGGGAAACGTAAAATAAGAACGTGCGTCAACCAGAAATCAATAGTCAGAGCCCACATTCCGGGAGTGTTCCCCACCAACGTCCTGTTTGCAGAATCTTGCAGGTCTTATCGGTGCAAACCCTACCCAACCCTAACAATTCCGACATCCTCTCCCCATACTATCCGGTCCTTAGCTCGCTCTACAGATCGGCGTCATCTGGTCATTCAGATCTATTGATCTCTAGTCTCCTGTGGTGGCAAACATGCGGAGTTCATTAGAGTAACCATGGTTTCATTCCACATTGCATCTATATTACTGCCTATTATTATGCGGAGCTCTTTCAGGTCAGAGGTATATGAATATGTTGTGGAAGCCAGGAATCTTCATGCTTCATCTAATTTCAACATTCTTCTAATCAGCGTCGCCTCATTCAGTGTAGTATCTATTGCTTATTACTCCTCCCAAGGCGCATGCTCCTCTATGCTGTGTTATTAAACCCTTTGTTGAGTCCTCCAGTCACACTTATATCAGCCCTACATAAAGCGACATCACCCCCTGTCCACCTTCACTGCCACCGTTGTGAGAAGAAGGATAGCCCAATATGGTCCAAAGCGCTACAAGAACCAGCTCCGGGAGTTCCAGTCGTGAATATGGCATCACATTCGAATGTGCGCCTCCCTCTGCCGTTCGTCCCGGCGTTCCCTTGACCCTACCGGTGATCGTTGCGGTTCAACCTGTCGGTGCCCCCAGAGACAGTTCTGTGCAGCAGCTGGTTGTGAATGTGTCGCTACGGAATGAGTCGGGAACCGCAGCTTGTCCCGGACTAACCGGCACATTGACGTCGAGTGTACGCAGCCGTCATGGAAACACTACAGCTGGGTTTGGAAGATTTAGCCGACTTACCATCGCACAGCCAGGACGATATCGACTGCGAGTAATGTTGGGCGCTGCTTCAGCCAGTGGAGTAACGACGCGAGATTATATTGATTCGTGCGTCATTGAGGTTCATGCTGGTGCTCCGCCAGTTCAGCGGCCAAGTAAGTTGACAACTTCATCCCTGGCACCTTAAGTTCTTCTGCGAAAGTTCCCTAATAGCTAACTCTCTTAAAGCCCCATCACAGATCACAAAACTCCAAAGCCTGATCCCAGAGAACATCGACCTGTCGGCAGGTGAGATTGCAGCCTGGCAGCAAGCTTAGTCCAACCGCCCCCAATTGCATCGGACTAGAGGGAGTGAGAGGAGTTACATTGGATATCGGTCTAGCATTCATATCTTTTCAGGGGCGTTGCTTGGGAGCATGGATACATGGTAATAGCGACATAGAGGGGGTTTTTTCTTTTAGTATTGCTCTGTGGCAAACGGCCTAGAGGGATAAATGTCTTCTACAGTGCGATGATAATCTCACCCGCCTTTTTTCCCGTCGGGTTCTTCAATGATAGAATTAGTAATTTTCCTGACATTACTGAACTGCCAAATATTCTGTTGTCTTAGCCTACACTACACTGTAGTATTAGATTAGGAACATCATGTCTATCCGACATCAGTCATTGGTCGGGGTATAATCCCGATGAGCTATTTATTGGAAATTATTTCCGTGGTTGTGTCTATCCTATCCCCACTCGTGATCCAAGCCCTTAGACCCGCAATCCAGCTTCGCAGCAACCATTTCCAAACCGGTGTACACGAGATCCACCTGCCATCCCGTGTGATTGCCCCTCATCAGCCCCTCAGCTCCCGTGAGTCCAGCATACGACCAGGCAGGTCTGAACGTCTTCGTCTTAGGATGGGACTCGTAGGGCCTTACCGGGACTGGGTAAATGAACTCTTGCTATCATCCCTCCCCTCTTCATTTGAACAGGTAGGTTCTGATTGACAGCCTGTGCCTGCTCTAACATTATCCAACTTCGCATCAGTTCTCATAGGTACCCCACCATGCGCCCCGTTCTTCTTGAGATACATTTCGCTCGCCCTCGGGAGAATGACAAGTGACACTTACCAACACAACAATCCCCAGTCAGACGTATATATTCTTTGCTACACCCAGCTACCTAATCTACTCCTGTCTAGAGCAATGCGCCTCCCTGGATAGCAATCAGAAGTGTCGATCAAGTAGCATAGCCCCGATGCCGAGTGTTTCCGTTAGTCCATCCCAACAGACGACCTGAGGATACATAACTCCCTGATATAATGCAGCGTAGAAGTTCAATACAGGTTAGAAACTTCGACGCTGACTTTATGCGGGGTTACATAGGAGTTGCACCCATTCTGGGAGGATTCGAAGAGTATTCGACTCATATGCCACAGTCAGCGGATTCTGCGACAAGAAGAGCGTGGCTTAACACTGACAATCATGACATTTATTATCGCCAATGCTGACTGTATGTAACATTATGATTTTCACAGCGGCAGTAGAGCAGTAAGGTGACTTTTAGACTTCTAACTCGACCAGCAGACTCATAACAGAATGGGGGATACTAGAAAGACGAATCACACAAACCAACCTCAGGAAACACAACGAGCGATTTCCACTGAGACACCGATGAATAACATAATGTTATTATCGACGACCAAGCCGATATGGGAACGCGGTGCAAATCGAAACTAGGATCAAGAAACCCTCAGTACCTGACCAAATATGATAAAATGGACCCACGCACCACAGACCCGGCGACCACTTGGACAAGAATCCATTTTCTGTCTCTAACCAGGCCTTAAAGTTCTTCGGACCTGGATGTATTCTTCTCAACGCTGGAACATCGGCTTTACATCCTGACCCGTAAAACCACCAATATATAACCCTCATTCCTTAAACGCCCACATGAACAATCGTATTCCTTGCGAGAATTAGTCATAGGTTCTAAGCATATCTGGATTTTTGGCTGCAATTCGAAGGATATCTTTGAACTGGTGCTAGATTCCGCTGCTTCCGCTCTTCCTTGCGCGCCTAAGAAACATTATCCGTCGTAGCCTATTCACGTAAGGCGCCAATCGCTGATAGTAGGGTGTGAAATATTGGTTTATGATGTTAGAGAAGTCCACCTCATCGGCGATTATTCCTCGTTTTAAATTTGCTAGCGTCTAATCATCGTCATATTTTCAGCTGTCTAAGCCCGTGGGCCCGATACACTTGCCAGGTCCTTCATAATGGATGTATATCCAGAACAGAACCCAAAAGAACGGCTTCAGATCATGCCAAAAGGAACACATCTCTCCTAGTAAGAAGCCTGTCTTCTTTTATAGCAAGATCTAAGCCGATAAGGAAAGCTGACCATGAGTGGTTGTCCTTGTTCTCGTTAATCACCGAGTTTCTAGTGGAGATATCTCTTTGGAGCACACCTGCTTTTATGTGAAGAGACTCATAGCCTTGAAAAACGTCAAAACTTTGTATCTAGGATAATGGACATTCAGCACTGGCAATCTCACCTTCAGAACGCCCTTCTCCTGGGCATCATGAGGCCAGTCTCTCCAGCCAGACTCGTCGCGATATAATGCATCGTTACCATGCTTGCATCTCTGCAAAAAGGTTCCCGCTGTTTTCTCCAGCCCATCGAGATTACGAAAGAATGTATTAAAGAAACTAGGGACGTCAATGTAGGTGGATCCTAGTTCTTGCCTCAGTACAGAATCAATGTCCTTTCGCTCCCAACTAGGTATAAGAAGGCGCCCTACGTGAAGTAAACGGTTTTGGTTTTACCTCGAACCAGGTGCGATACCTTGCAATAACAAAGGCGTAGCGAGTCTTGACTGGTACTGTATCAGGGAACGTAAACGTCTTCACTAAATCACTATCATCATTGAATTCGTCGACGGATGTAGCGAATTTGAACTCTTCAGATTTTTGGACTTTCTTCGTCCTTCTCTAATTCCTCTGCTCGACGTTTCTTGGCACGCTCCATTCCCGTTATACACGCGATATGTCGATCGCTTTCTGAACGCGCTCTAGTAAGCTCAGTGTCAACAGAAAGGAAAACCCACATGCCTCGTTGATTTCCACGTTCAACCTAACCCAGGAAGGAGCACACACAGACACACGCGCAGGAAGCTCTCCCCAATGTTCTCCCCCAGAATCAGATATCAATTTAATGATCAAATTCACTTGAAATAAGAAATTTGACGTATCCCCTGTGTGCTGTCGAGACCCTTCTACCCAGGGCTCCGGAAGTGTTAACAACTTGATAAATGATACACTTTAGGAGACTTGATACAAGTATAGCGGAGCCGATTGGAGCAAGACTGGAGCTCTTGCGCGAAAGCTTCGAAACAATTTGTAACGACCTGGGACTGACACGAACGTTAGAATCTATAAACAAATTTGAAAACCAAGATAAAGTAATAGTCAGTGCTTGAAATCCCACACTTTGTTCTAATAGATATAGATATTCGAAACATGGCCTTGGATCTCATATCGGCGTTGCGAGCATTTCCAGAAACGCGAAAAATTCTGTCTCCGAATCGTTGAAGGAACCTCTTGGGTGACCTTTCCGGTCTTTATCATATCATCAGTTCAGACGCGTTTGATTTATTCCGTTGATTAAAGCTATTTAGGATAAAGAAACAGGCGGAATCATTCGGATAAAATATATGCAGCCATAATCGAATCAATGCCTTTTCCAAAGCCTACACTTTTCTCCGAGTAGACGCTATACACGCATATGCCCGGAAGCTTCGTGAATTCTTCCGAACATCGTGTTTGCCTGGATCGCGCGCCCTCAATTAATTCTGAATCTACGGGTAGATGGTGCGGGATCTTAAGATCCTAGATTCGAATCCTAGCTAGAACCCCTACCTGTAGTAGATAGAATACTAGTTAATAGTAGGGTCTTATATACAGCACAGGGCCCTATAACTAGGTTATATAGTTAGAAGAATTATATTAATATAGATATCAGAGAACAGTCTGGGGGATTTAGATATCCTGTTTGATTTTGAACCATACCTATCTGCTCATAACCTCTGGGGGTTGAGAGTCTATATCTATATAAATATAATATATTTAGACAGCTTGGTCGGCTCGGGACAAAGTCCTCGACATTTCTTCGACTTCTAATGTGATAGTAAGACCGTAAAATAGAATGAGATGTAGTCAATATGAGAAGGAAAGAAGCAAGACCAGGAGAGGTTTTTGTAATAGATTATAAACCAGTCTTTTTTATCACATCCGTGGTACTTCTAATCGCCTTTATTCCTTCGGCCATAGACCAATGTCTTCCAATTTGAATCTTTCTTCGGGTGGCTAACAATACAAACCCACAGTATGCTCATCGTCAGTTGGTAATCGGCTCCACTCTCGGTTTTGATCTCAACCCCGACGCTAAAGTGCACGATAAGATTATCCAAGCTTCAGCCTTAACTAACTCACGCACATCTTGGTAAGCTTCAAAATACTTTCAAAATTGATAATTGAATAATATTCCTTAATCTAGAATTACGTAGCTAGTACGACAGTGTCTGCAGACAAACGCAGGGCTTGCTCCTGGTGCACCGGTATCCAGTTCTTCGAGTTAACAATTCCAGGAATAAAATGAAGCGTGGGTTCCAAGTTATCATATCTAATTACTACCATTATTTTTTATCCTAAGTTGTACCAGGTGAATATTCATTTTTTGTCCATGTTTCACAGAAGCAAAAGTACAGAGTTTTCATGCTCTCAGTTCCCTAGCCGCAACTCTGGGTTTCCGAATATTCTAAAACTCATAGTCACTCTGAATATTCATATCCCTCTAGTAAATTGAGACAGAAGGCCTCAAGTACGGAGTAGTAGCAGGAGGCATATTAAGAATCTCGCACAGTGATGGCAACATATCTCAATGAGATCAATGGATAATAAAGTTCACAAATCGTCGAAGAAAACATGATGACATAATAGACACAGGACGCCAAGCGATTTATACCAACGTCAATTAAATGTCGATCAATGTGGAACCTCCTTGAAACACTAACTGACAATGGTTACAATACATGCCCATACCAATGCCACAAATTAGCACAGGATAACCGTAAAATGCTGTCCGGAGTGTAACAACCCTCCGACTACGCAAGATTACTATGCCAAGCCACCCCAAAAGTGAGGCCAGCAAGCGCAGCTGCAACAACTGTCGCCAACGGAAGGTCCGATGTGATAGGAAATACCCCTGTGAGGCATGCTCAAGGCTGGGGAAAGAGTGTGTATTCCCCGGGGCAAAGCGGGCGTCCCGGAAATTGAATAGACCTCCGGTTTCTGAATTAATGGCCCGCTTGAAACAGTTAGAGGATGCTGAGAGGCTTCGATCAATGCATCATGCAGGCAAGGATGACTCCGGGTCTAATCTAGGAAACTGCGGTGCAGCTCAGGTACATGGTTCGACGAGAACGAATTTTGAGAAACCAGAACAGAGTGGCCGACTGGTAGTAAGAGATGGGAGGAGTCGGTACGTCGATGATGATGCTTCTGTGATATTTGGAGATAAGGTGGGGGAGTTGGTGCCCCTTGAATGATTCATCGGTGGTGGATTGCTGATCATTTACAGATCCAAGAGCTGCGGGATGTCGTTGAAAGTTCATCGTCCGAAGACGATATCAAGACGGAAGATATCCTGGGCCCATTTGGTCTCCCGCACGGAGGCCTTGTTGGAGATACTAATTGGACCAACATGAGTTCAAAAGGATTCTATCCTCATTCAGGCCAATTGTGCATGTTATGGCATATCTACCAAACTCGCGTTCACCCGTTGATTGCCGTCCTGCACATACCGTCAGTGGAGCGAATCGTGCGCGACGCAGCCGATGGCATCGCTTTAGAGCCCGGCAATAGATCCCTGATACTATCTGTCTGCTTTGCTGCCGTTGTTAGCATGACACCTGACCAGTGTGTATCAACGCTTGGACAATCGTATGAGATGACTATTCAGGGTTTGAGTGTGGCTGTGAACAGGGCCTTGAAGCAGGCCAACTTTATAAGGTCCCAAGATATCTCTATTCTTCAAGCAGCGGTGCTCTTTCTGCTGTGCTTTCGCGTAGTAGGTGACACAAGGATTATATGGGCTGAGGCTGCGTGGTTGTGCGTGTCGCTCAGGGCCAGGGTATTCATCGTGATGGATCAAAGTTTGGCCTAAGCCCTTTTGAAACAGAAATGCGTCGACGATTGTGGTGGCATCTCTGTATATTGGACATGCTTGCTTCAGAGGATCAAGGAACGGATACCCAAATCAAACCAGACACGTTTGATATGCGTCTCCCCTCCAACGTCGAAGGCCAGGACCTAGTTCCAGAAATGGCAGAGCTACCATCCGAGAAAATAGGGTATACTGATATCACTCTCTGCATTATCAACTGTGAAATTGCGGCTAGCGTCTCCCAATTGGGTCCTTCCTTCGGTCGGAATTCGAAGATATCAATTAGTGACCGGGAGGCCCACATCAAAGCTCTAGCATGTCGTCTTCAGGACCGCTATATGGGTCATTTTGACCTCGGAGTTCCCATACAATGGATGGTCGCAACGATCGGCCGGCTCATGCTGTCGAAAGTATGGTTGGCGATCCAAATACAAAAGACATCAAAAGTCAACGAGTTGGCTTCCACGAGACAAGCAGTCGACCCTATTTTCCAAACTGCAGTCGAAATCACCGAGTTTGCTTATTTCCTGCAGGAAAATGAAAGTACTGCACATTTTGCCTGGTTATGCCGAAGCTACAAGCAGTGGCACGCCCTAGCTTACATTCTTTCAGAACTCTGCGCTCGGGACATCGGACCGGAAACTGACCATGCCTGGAATGTAGTAACCAAGATGTACAGCAAGTTTGTTAAAGAAGCGCCTGCGACATACTCCATGTTCCAAAAGCCCCTGTCGCGGCTGATGGAGCGCGCGGCTACATTCAGGGCTGAAGAGCTTGGAATTCCTCGCGCGGTCCTAGATAACCAATCTGTAGGGGCTTTGGAGTCAAATATGGGGGGCCTGAATAGTGAATTCAAACAAAGCCTGTTCCCTCCCATGCCAAACGTTAGCCATTCATGCCATATTCCTAGCAGTGACGAGCCTACCGAATCAGTTTATTTCGATAAAACAGGTCTGATCCACGGAGAGTCTGCTTCTGGAATAACCGACGATCTTTACTCTAACATAGATTGGCTTTTTGAGCCCCTGATATGAGAAGTTGGCTAAGCGACCTACAATATTTGCTTTATCTGCCAGGCTCTTGGACCGTATAGTTAAATGATATTTAGATTATCTAACCACTATAATACCGCGATCAATTCTGCAGGCAGACGTACATGTGCTAAAGTACAAGGAGTCTTATTTATATACTGACTTCTTTCTTATAATTAAAGCATTATAACAGAGGCCCGTCTGAGTTTGACCCCTCTGGCTGTAAAGTTGATCTCTTTATTTCTGAGTCTACTGTATACTGTCGAACAAAATTGAAGGATTTGTGTCGGAGGGATGTTATCTCAAAATGTTATAGATTAATTCGAAATAGCCAATCCGCTGTTTAGTCAAATCTTGATATATACCTTGACAATAAACTGTCGTTCAATACTATTCTTATTAAATATATCCCAAGTTTTGCAGTAAATAGATCTATCTAATTTTTTTTAAAAAGAATGCCTAGCTAAACTCCGCGAGATTCGATAATATTTAGAAGGCAAAAGTGCTCTATAATAATCCAAAGCTCCGTAATATAATAGGGTACTATACATAGACTTGAATTGCGCTTAAATATTTCCAGACAGTTGTGATTTTTTACCAATACAAGAAGGATCGATTAAAGATGGATTTGAGATAATAGACTATTTTGTTAATACCTTAGTAAGTTCTGGTGTTTCAGCAGTATCTTTCTTTCACTGGCTGTCAAACAGACTCAGGATTTCGAAGAATGCAGACTGGTTCGCACAATTTCTTACTATTACAAGTGGTACAAGTAGGGAAAATAGCTTGGTTGATTATCGTACTCGGTAAATAAACATCAAAGCTTGGTGCTCTCAACATCATTAGTTAACGTATACTCAAACGCGTAACATTTAGTCGTTAGCTCTTACACTACTTTATACATGTGGGTCTATAGTTGAACCCCGCTTGGCTGTGGCGTCCAGCATCCCACACCTATTAATTGACGGGAAACACATCCCCAATTGTGCGCTTTACTGAACGAGGAAACAGAAGGACTACCTATCAGGCCAGATCCCAAGATGGAACTGCCCGTGACAGATGGCTACGTTCATGTCCAGCTCCTTAATGGAGGAAGCATGACGGCGAAATCCCATATACTCCACGCGGGGGAGGAGCCAAAAGAGTTTCGGCTGTATAACTGGGCGTTTTTCATCCATCACGTCAAGCAAGACCGACGCATGCTCTGGGATCTGGGGATGTCATCGGTACGTCTCTCTGCCTCTAAGGCTCGATCCCCGGTCAGAAACATAAGTATTCACAGGTCAAAGATACCAGACGATTTTCCACCAGCTATCGTAAACGGACCATTTAAAGAAATCAATCCCCAGGACCCTCGCGAGTCAATTGAAAAGCAAATCGAGCGTCGTAATGAAGTTACCGCTGATGAAGTCGACACCATTTTACTCAGGTTCGAATACAAAAAATGTCCCGTCGGCTGACTGCAGCGCTCACGGTTTGGATGCACTTTCTCATCTATATGTATAGTCATGCACATTTTGATCACTGCCGACCAGTAAGCCAGAGCTTCAAAAATGCGACTGTCCTTTTCGGCCCTGGTACATCTGAATATTGCGCCCCAGGCCATTTCATAAACCCATCCTCTACATGGGACGGAAGATACTTCGATCCGGAACGGGCGACAGAGCGATGGGAGACGTTACAAGGGCCGTGGACGCGTTTTGGGCCGTTTGAGCGCGCGATGGACTTTTTTGGAGACGGGAGCTTCTGGGTCATTCAGGCTCCGGGCCATATGCCAGGTAATCTGGGTGCTTGTGCTAAGCTCGCAACAGGCGAGTGGGTTATGTTGGCTTCCGATTGTTGTCATTCACGGTACATAATTTATTGCTTTTCTGAAGACCTAAACTAACTCTGACATAGGGCACTACTCGATGGTACAAAGGAGTTTGGGACTTTCGAGGTCGGCGGGAGCATGGCTTGTCTCCACACAGATGTCACTGCAGCAAAGGATACGCTGGCACGGATTAGATTGCTGGAAAACGAGCTGGGGGTCCACGTTGCCTTAGCGCATGACCCTACCTGGATGCAGGAGGAGAATGATCCGGTTTTACTATCTCTCCTGGATGAGAAGTTTGTTAAGGATATGCGTGCGGCCTTTCCACAGCAAGAGCCGTTCTAGTGGGGCTTTTATCGGCCATATAGTGTTAATTTGAAGTATGAGTTGTTGGGCCTGTAGTTGTAATCACTTCTAATTAGTCGAAGCTTTGAGATTATATTATGGACTGTAACCCTTACCGGAGGGTCCAGCTCGAATGAAATTCAACATTTATTGCTTTAAATATAGACAGCAAGGCATCATTTTGCATGACACTACCAGTCGTATTGGGTTTATGACAACGTGTTTGGATTGCTAAGCGGGTTCGAAAGGGCCGAAGGAGCAACAGGCGCACTAGAACCTATGATAGGTAAGGCACTGTGTCCAACAACGTGAGAAAACTAGAGTACATGAAAGAGAGTTGTATATCTCACGTACATGGGCAGGAATATGATGCCTGATTCTCAGAACCGTGAGACTAGTTCCTACAGTCTGTCACAGAAGATCTCTGCAACAAAATCCCCACGGATAGGGAGATCTTTGAGCTTGGTCTGGATACCCGGCCGTTCAGAATGCTCTTGGTAGCCAGAAGGGAACTCAAAAGCATTCTTTACTGGATCACGAGGAGATTGGAAGTCTTGACATTTTAGCAGCCGTGCTTTGTCCCAGAAGACGTAGCCCCGATTTCTCAGCTCATAGTTAGCAGGAGGATCGACATCCCATTTCCAACTCGTCTTCGTATTCCCGACAGCCCATAGCCAACTGAAATTGCAATGCCCAAGACACTCGCCATCAGGAATGTCCTCTGGGTGCCCTTTATTGGATTCCCTTTCTCTTCTTCGCTTTCCTCACGAGAATCCGACCCGTGCAATCCAAGCAACATCGACTTTTTACGTCTAGCTTGGAGATCTGATTTCACAATCTTCCTTCTCGCAATTGGAAATGGTGCGCTGGTCAGCTTCCGAATGGATAACATTCCTCGCGAGACTAAATACTCTATATATCATGACTGCTGGCTTGGCTTCCCTTAAACGATTCGTCATACCACCATAGGCAGAGCCAATCCAACATACCCCCAACGTCATCTTTCTGCTTACCACCGACCTCGGCGTGCGCAGCCATTTTCTCCTTTGCAATTGCCACAAAGTCTTCCTCGATCGCATCGCTAAGCTCTTCCATAAGAGCTTTATAGAACTGAGCTACGCAGGATATTTCCTCAACTTCCCAGGGACGAAGCATGCTGCAAACCTTGGTGCTGGTTCAGTTGAAGGTGCCGGGCAGCGAGGATCAACACCAATAACCTGTGATTTCTGGAACAGGCATGTATAAATCTCCCACCGAAAAAAGGTTTGCTGCAGACGGGTCTGCTCAGTAAAGGATAGCAGCACATCTGAGACAGAGGAAGATTATTGTAGGTCTGAGAATGCCCTGGTGCCGTAGGAAAGTAGAAGTTATTCGAAACTACTGTAAAATTTCCATATATCCGGTAAAAGCACCCGATCAGAGAGTAACTTGTAAGGTTGATCGCCTTGCCCATACTTAAACTGGTCAAGGATGGCAGTGGATTCTTGATTAATACTATCGAAAAGCTTTGCCTACCTGCTGCGGCGATATCCGCCACGCCATTCTTCATCTTCAGGAACCAACTTCCAGATTTTCTGTGCACGGTACGCCAGGACAAAGTCTAGTTCAACATCCTTGGGTATAGTGCATAGTAAAATTGCGGATAGAATGGAATGCCGATATGCTGCATAAACCCGATTAAACTGCGATGATGTTTTGACGATCGCGTAAAGGTCTCTTGACGAAGCCAGGGACTGCAGGATCTTAACCAGCAATTCCGGTGACAATAATAATAGATTTGGAGACAGCTAGACAGCATAATGTTCAAACTAGAGAAACGGAGTTTGAGGGGGTTACCATCTTAACTGCAGCTATCCTCAAAGAAAAGAGGGCATCTGACAACATTGGGCGGGGTTTGAAGTTGAACATATGTCACATGATATAGATGCCCTACTGTGGCTGGTAGTAATTGTTTAGGTTCTATCCTGATCATGTCTTTCCATGTTAAATAAGAAAGTGTTGTGAGAGGTGCGAGACCAGTATTAGTTCTTCCCCTCACGTATTTATGCAAGGCACGGGCCGCGTATTTCCGCCAAGGCCCAAGGCTCGGTCGGTTTTCGGTTCTACACCGACCCTGATCATTGTATAATACGCGCTAGCTGCCTGGATTCATGAGAGCTTCAGGAACATGTTGCCTATCTACGTGATATGCCGATTTTAGTTTAATTAGGTTCATTATAAATGATTTCCGGACGAGACATCCATATTGCGCAGTCTCTATGTGTGCTATGTAGGCAAGCTCCGACTGTTGGGTCACATATTCTCGGTGCGTCCTGCTTTCTTTGCAATTCTGGCCCGTCTAACCCGTCGACAGACCTAGATCAGAAATTGCATACTGTTCCCGACTGTAGATATCCATGCGCACGCTGTTTAAAGTCGCCGTACCCTGCAGTCTGGTTTCATGCAGCGTGCTATGACGTTCTACAGAACAGCTACGAGCCCTCCAAGAAGCCTACATCTGAAGATTTAAGAGGGTTCGCTGATGCAACCAGGCCCCTTTATAATGCATTGTTTTTCCGATATATCGAAAGAATATAGAGAGTTCATCGATTTGATGAATCAAAGGATGAATAACAGTTACAAACACTGGATCTATTTCCCGTTCAATAAAGATGAACTTATTAAAGCAGCTTGGATTCGGAAGTTTCGGATTTGCCGTGGACCAGCATCCGACCCGATCTTAGTAGTATGTCACCTTTTCCTCACGTATCATTCATGACTCACCAGTGGCTTGTAAGCTCCAAACTTCACTGGGTAGAACCATTACATTTGGACCTCAGTTTCCAACTCGGATTATCGATCAATATGAGTATCACCCTTTGGTCAGGGATGGCGACGGCGCTATTTCAGGGATTTTTCATGATGGATTAGATCCAGCCATAAGATACATTTCCGACATTGGAGTTACCTGCAATGACCAGTTTGATGTCGGGCCGTTGGAGCCTCCCCCGAGGAATACACGCTTTGAACTCCCAGCAGTCCCTCCCGGTCGAGGGTCAATATCCAGTACTTGGTATATAACAAAAGCGTCACTTAAAGGCCTTGTGAAGGTGCATGTATGCAGGGATAAGCAACAGCCACACCGTCCATGTCTGGGTCTTCTACTATACTACAGCGATGAACATATTGAATCTATTGGACAGGTACGATGGGACCACGATCTTAGCCAGGAGACTATTAAGCCTATATACATCGAGAACGGTGTCGTTGATGGACGAGATTATATTAAAGACATCCGAAGCAGATACGAGACTGTGACTAAGGAGAAACAAAGTGGATGGCAAAAGTTACCAGAGAATGGAATCATCATTTGGTGGTTTAGCCAGCTAGGTGATAGAACAATCGCATATGATGATTAGGTAGAAACTCAAAGTATAACTTTCCATTCTGAGAATAGACAACAAAGGATACGTTAGAAAATAAAACCTAGTCTATAAGCTTCCATAACTCTATTCAGATGACGATATGGATTAGATCATCTGGGCCGCTTGTCTGATCGGCTAGGCCACTGAGGAGGGAAGCATATATTGTAATCAAGATCTGTGTAGCTGCAGACACCGTAGTGCTAGCTGACGTAGGGAACAATCAATAAGTTTTAAGATTATTCTCCATTCAGGTCCTCAACTCTGAGCAAAGTATCATTAGTATATTAATATAAGGCCCAGAAGCAACGGTATGTATACAACATAGTTCCCTGGCGCCAAAGTAGTAAGCCAACGTAATGTAAACTAACGATACTTCCTAATTGCAAATCCATACCCCTGAACTATTACCCCTGACAGTCCTGGTCTCGTTTTCGTTTCCTACGATTGTTATATCTGATCTCTGACTTGAAACAATGAAGTAACTCCCAGTAGCTATCTCTGACCCGCAGAACAACTGGATCTTCGCATGACTGGTCAAACATAAAATCAAGAGGGTATCCCGCAGCTTTCAAGTTTTTCAAAAACTCCTGGAACAGTTCCTCAAACCTCTCTGAGCAATGGCGGCTATCAGCAGCCACGTGTGTCGCGTATTGATTTACAACCTCAATGGCTCCGGTGCCACCTATACGTCAGCATGTTAGCTGGGCCCTATCCTATGCAGTAGTTAACATGTGACATACCTAACATGTCAATGTCTTTTGGGTTGGCCCTTATAGCTTCTCGAAGACGTCGTAATCATGTCGATCCCCATCGTTGGAAAGCCGGGCGTCAGCCACGACATCGCCTTCGTGGACTTTATTGTTCGTCCGACTGATAATTTGACAGTCGTCCTTACTGGCACAATGTAGCTTGTCACGTTTGTATGTTAGCAAAAAGCGCTCCCTAACCGTCTTTTCATACGAGCGCAGGTTTATTCGTTTTAATCCTAAAGAGTTGCCAACGACAGTATCGTCGCCCTCATTTGTCACTTGGAGGGATCCATCTCGAAAGGTTAAGGAGTCCTTTCGCTTCATCTCGTCAGTCAGGTCGGCGCGTGTGGCAGGAGCCGGAAATTAATAGGCCGGTACAACACGGACTGCGTCTTTGTTGGTCTCTCCGGCGTTCCCTTTTGAAATTCTGGTTAGATTTTCGACCCATGCTTTACTGCAGCCGGTTCTGTTATATGAAATACTCACAAGGTAGAGAGGAAAGGAGAGGAAAGGTTTTTCGCTGGTGTATATATCAACGAAAGTCCTGTGTCGCTGGGGGATTTCTTTGTTTGAAAGGCAAGGGATAACAGCAGGCAGCAGAGAGGCAAACGTATACAGGAGCAAGTGGGTTAAAGAATATGATCAGTTAGGGGCTCCGTATAATGTTGAATGAGCGTCTTATATCCCCAGCACTAGGCCTTTCCAGTAACCTTCCTAAGTGAATGCGTGGTGTGAAATATTCACTACCACAAAAAGTGCCCTGTGATTAGCATGGGTGGCAATCAATTAAGTCAGGTGAAGACTGCAGAGAGACAGGTGAGTATCCCAATCTCCCAGAATGTCCTGTCAACAGTCTACATGCAGTTATGAAATTTTGTGTAAAACGGAGACTCCCCCCCCCCTCTCATGTACTGAGCCACAGCTACAGTTCTTGTCACAGTGAAAAGTGTCAGGTGAGTATAGGATATTGAAGTTACTTTATTTTATAATGGACAGGGACATGATGATAAGAATCTGATAATATCATAGTAAAGGTGTTTTATCTTTGATGATATAACATTTTTGTGGAAAGTACATTGACAGTAAACAGCTATTTCAACACACATCCGATCTGGATCTAAGTATTGATTTAGAGCTTAAACTTCACGTCCAATTCCAGTACAGAAGAGTCCATTGTGCCAACAATATACTAACTAAACCAGTCAACAAAAACAGCCAGTTAGTACCCTATCAACACCTGGGCCACGGTAGGCTGAGCAACTCTCCGTTACTAGGTATAGTAAGCAGGGATGCTAAACGCAGCAACAAAATACATCATGTTAGTGTCAGTTGTATTGTTTTTAGCTTAAATAGCTACCTACCCCCTAACATAGGCATAAAGATAGCCACACGGATATCCTTCGCAGATCCCCAAAATTGACAGATCAGCTGTAACAATGGAAAGCTTTCTTCACTGAGTCACCCATTGGTTCAGGTATGGGCTCAAACATTTAAATATAATATTTTACTTTAGGAGTATTTACTACCATCTAGTCGACTGGAGAATGCAGGGCTCATCCTGAGCCACAGCTCAGGAATAGATTCCTAGTGTTGGAGTTACCTCAAGCTAATCATCTAGGTAGAGTTATCGCGAGGAATCGAAAAGCACTACCTTGTTGTACCTTCTGTGATAACATACGACAGGAAATCTCGATCATCTAGATTCTATTGGTCAGGCTGTTTATATCACAGATATCTGCGGTCTGTTGTAGCTCCTAATTGTAATATTCGTGATATAATCGCCATATTCTCTTTCCTTAAGTCCAGATAAATACTGGTGGGATGCGGGCGCCATTGATAGGTGGATTGGCGTTACTCTGCCAGACTTTCAAGCGGTTAATCACCTTGTCGCTTTCTCGCCAGAAGTCGTGGAGACTATAGCTCAGCTTGGCGCTCTTTTCCCTCTTACTGACCAGCTGGTGTAGGACTTGGGAACACTGCAGCCTCGGTGGCTGAACCCCCACACTAACGACCATGGCGACGCAATTCAATGGAGATGGTTTTCTTAATGATGAACTAAGTAAGTGGTGGTGAAGATGGCATGGAAATAACCTGGACATGTCAGCCGGCAGTTACTTGTAGTCACCAGTACAATCTCTCCACTCTTTACCCAGTTCACTTGTGGCGTCCCCTGATGACTGTCTTTCATACATAGCACGCACGAACAATATCCGAATCCATGGCATCAGCATGCCGGCCTTTCATCTCGTGTGTTCATATTGCGTTCACTCTTTTATTTTAATTTTTAAGGTTTAAATTAATACTTTCCTATACTTTAATTTAATTATTTACTGATTTCTCTATTTTCTTTTGTTTTTTTCGCGTGGGAAAAAGGCTGCGTATGGCAGACACACATTTGGGCATGGGAGTAATGGGCAGTAGGGGTTACAGCGAGTATGATCAAAACATCAAGACATGCTTTATTATCTCACTAGGTTGCTATTTGGTAGAGGATAACTTGATACTCTTCGATTAGACTACCTCCATTGTACATGTACGATAATCAGCTAATCCGATTGACATCATACAAAGGCAAAGTGCCCGTTCTCATTGATGACCCGCTCAGAAAGGTTAACATCGCTTCCAACTGCCTCTCCGCTTTCATTGAACAGGTCTGCGCGTAGAACTGGCACTTCGCCGTCTCCTTCAATCTCGAATCTAACATTTTCGGCCGACCCGGAGAAGTTCTCACCGTCCCATTCAAAGGATCCTAGAGAAAACCGATGTCAGAATAGCTTGACCAGATTGGATATTTACGTGTCACCCACCGTCGTTGTTTCCGAGGAAGTCATCCAAGTTGATCTCCGATTCCTGGAACTCTCCGTCTTCGTCCTTAAGACGCGCGAAGAGGATGTGGTTATCCCTGATCTCGATATCCTCGGCACTCAGGTGGAAGCTCATGGTGGATACAAGGAGAGTATACGACTATAAAACAATATATGAGGGGTGAAGAACGATGGCTGTTGTTTGAAGAGACAAGGGTGAGGAGGTTGATTGACCAGATTGATAGAGAAGCGAACGAGGAGGTCAACAGGTGGGTTTTATATCCCCCTCAACCATCAACAACGGAGTATACCCCACGTTGCACTGTCACATGGATCCAAGATGTTCAACACATGGCATTCGATTATTAGTCCAGCACTCTCGCATGGCTGCAGGCAGTGGGGAGGCGAAGGAGTACAGCAGGGGAACACAGCAACTCCATCAAGAAACGGTGTTTCAACCCGGGCTGGGAGATGACTTTCGAGTGTCCAGGCAACAACCATAGCGGAGAAACCGGGTGATCCTTGCCGAATAAAATTGACACGGGTGCTACAGTAGATGAGAGTCCCCCACTCGGCGTGGTTGTAGCAGTATAGAGGCGCTTGGCAGACAGGTCAAGAGTGGACCCTGGAGGAGAATGGGTCCATCGGCGGGCGGGGTACGCCCCGTTGGGGGTCGCTATCAACAATTAATATGGCGTCAGGTGGTACCAGACAAAGGTATTCCTATAATTGATGGTATTATATGGTCGGTTCTGCCGGATCTCTGGGCGGTTGGATGATTGAAGCGTGGAAGCTGGGGTGTATTCAACTCGTCCTGCCCGTTTCTGATGGCGACATCGCATCCAAGCCAGGGTCCGCATTTATTGGTCCGTATCAAGGACGCCAAGGAGGTTATATTGCTGCAAGTGGCGTAGGGCTGACGTGATCTCGCAGCTCATGTGCTGCATCCAATTCCCGCTGCGTGAAATTGACTCTGTTGTTGCATTATTGTGGCTTGGATACTTACATTCCGAACCAAGACCTGCAAGTGTCAAGGCGGAAGTGGGTTCCAACTTCCAACTTGCAACCAGCCACTGGTGCCTCGAAGACAAATTCTTTCGTATCTTATTTGTCGGCAGTCAAACTTCTCGGTCGGGTTTCACATAGACGGTTTGATCAGCTTTGTGAATGGAGATCAGGAAATCGCGAAATTGACTGTAATGGAATATGTGTTACCCATTGTCGCCCAAGCGGTCCCCTCGTACAACGAAAACCCCGAATCGCCAGAAAGAGGGATTCAGCGACGAGGCACTAAAGCAGTGGTGAGCCAATATTAAGAGGGCTGCCACCTGTTCCCTTCGCGGTTGGCTATCCCAGTGATACTAAACTAATCGGTCCAAATTCCACTTTTACTGGGAGTCAAAATTGGCATGATGTGCATTGTATCCATTTGTTCTGTTTATCTATTGCACGTGCAAAAGATAAGCCATCCTATTGTTTCCTTTGATTTTTATTATATATTTTTTAAGCTCCAGGCATTGGCCCAAATATAACTCAGAGTAGGAGAATTGAACTCAACATGTCGGTTAATGCTGTCATTCGTTTCATTATATTATGTACTTTTACCAAAGAACCACTGGTTCTGCGGAAGCTCTGTTGCTGGTGGTCTATCCCTTTGCTCAAGTTCCATTATTCCTAGAATAAATTCCTTGTCCTCTCCGAATATCTCGTGTTCTGAAATCCTTCAAACCGGTTTTTTCTTTTCGTGCGGAATGGCTTTCCATGATGTAGGCCAGGACACCTAATGTGTCCTAGAGGAAGCTTTCGCAGTATGTCGATAAGACTGTACACTTGTCTCCATGAAATCTTTAAGTCGTAATCATCACGATCCGCGGGAACATCTGGCTTGGAAAGGAAGATGTCTCCGTAGAGCAAGGCTATAACCTGGGGTAAGGTCAAAACCGTTCAATAACATCGAAAAATTCACATTAACATACCAAGGGACCAAAATGCCATATGTCTGTTTATGTAACCCCGGCCAATTTGGTGCTGTGATTCAGGATTCCTCCATATAGGCGCTCAAATCAAGTCACTATCCTTGGCATATGCGTGAGCAGTATTACCACAAGTTGAGCATCTGTAAACAGTATATCCCCTTGGCCATAGTTGACACGAATGCTGTCGGGCTTGCTATCATTTAAACTGTATGGGAGGCGCTACTTCATTTAGATATTGATTGTACTTACCTGTATGTACGGATATATTGTCATGTGGAACCTTTAGGGCTTCTAAGATACGTTTTGCAGCATATTTGATCCCCTGGTTTGTAAGTCGTTTAGAGAGATAAGCATTCAGAAGTTTATCATCTATATATTTTTAAGACTAAAGTGTGTTTGATCTGATGGCTCAACTATGTCGTCGACTGAGCGATGCACGATTAAAATAGGTTCAGAATACTACGCTCATTCTGAAGGCGAAGATGAGGGATACTTTTAACAACCACTAGTTGATTGCTTCCGGTTTTGCTAAATAGAACTATTATAAGCTGAATCTACCCTTAGATTTGCAGTAGCTGCGTACCTAGCAAACCAAACCGTCTCTTGCAATTGTTTTTGCCAGTAGTGAGTATATCCCATGTTGACCGCAAATACATTGGCCTAACCGAAGGGAAGATGTCGTGGCTGACTGTATGACATCTGAAAAATGATTTCTCGGATATCAACAGACGTACATGAACTCTGGCTATCACGCCTGGAGCGAAGTGCATATTTCAAGTGCGGGATCTTGCGGCACGAATGGTAGGCTCAAGCCTCAGGCAGGAAAAGTCGGCTTAGGCACCCACACTTTGTTTAGGTTTGACACAACGCGTTGAACCATTATCTCCCCTCACCATCCTCATCACCAACATGCCGAAAGATCCACTTTATAAAGGTCTAGGGCATGTCTTAGGAGAAATCTCTCTAGATTCCATCCAGTCAAGGGATGGTCTTACCACCAAGGTCGATTTAAGAACATTAGCATCATACAATCTACTTTCAAAACAGCGCAAAACAATCGTCGTCCCGGGTACGTAGATCAACTCTATCTGGATTCAAGTTCTCAACGTACTAGGCTCACCCTCCATATGGAGGCCCCCAAATATACCAAGAAAGGTGAAAGTTGATGCGGGAAAATACCAAATCGACCCAAATCGACATGTCTTCCCCAAATGCTCTCTCGAGCCACTCTTCAGAGCATTATTACTCACACACCCAAGCATGAAACTCAATGACATCGATCTTGTGACAGATCGACGTAATCTCCGTCTCTTGCTGGGTTTCGTGAGTGGCAAAAAGGGTCCATTCCGTATCGATGTGGAGGTTGTCAATAGCACAGTATTGTTTTCCTGTTGGACCCAAAGAGCAGTTAACTATGTTAAGGGGTTTCATGGTTATGGACATGAATTTGAAAAGGTATCTACCCGCCATCCAAAGGCAGTCAGGGATAGCTTGACTCATAATCGAGTCATTCGCTACATGTTCGGGGATGTTAAAATTATTATGCGATACGAAGTCGACGGCTGCACCGGGTCTGACAGGGACATTCACATGGCACCGCCTACATCAGAAGTCCAAAAGACTCCCACAGGCTATACAGTAATAAAATGTGGAAAGCTAGTCGCTCCATCTCGTATTATCGAGATCAAAACTGGAGCAGTTGGGAAAAATCTGGATATCTCCAAGAACACAGAACAACTTTGGTTTTCCCAGACACCCTTTCTCTGTGCTGGTCATTATGATGAGGCTGGGAATTTTACAAACATTACGAAAAAGAACTTCTTGAAGTTGGGGAAGCTCCAGAGGTGGGAGGACAACCATCAAGAACAGTTGAATAAACTTGCAACGTTGCTTCGAGTCATTGTTGAGTTGGCTAAAGCAGCGGCTTGGAAGAAATTCGCATTAGTTCAGTCAGAAGGCGCATTAAAAATATTTGGCTTGGCGAATCAGAATGATAAAGGACTGCCTGTTGACTTGCACTCTATGTGGGAGTAGTTCGAGAGTACACCCGGTGAATTTAGGTGGACTTTTTCTGGAGGATGCTCTTTCAGTCTGTTTTTACATCTATTTGGATCGATGTTGTGCACTCCCTCATGAGTCGTCCCGAAAGGGCTGCGCGGCTGGGGTGTCATGGCAGCTTCTGCTTCTTCTTTTGTTTTTCTTTCTTCTCTCTTTCTGTCTTTTGACAGGGTAAACATGACACTGTTATACTCACTCCACAGGACATTTCGAATCAAATGAGCTGCTTCTAGCTTCTGTTGCTACAAAGGCTGGTGATATCTGTCTACAGTTTGACAACACTTCGGTATTATCTTCAAGAATATGGCTCATAATTCACCAGTGTACATGCGAGAAGCCCGTAGGGGTTAATAAAATGGATCGCCTGGTGATGTCAAAAGACAGTGCAAAACATGTTAATGTTTAGAATTTACCTTAGCAACCAATGCACATCAGGCGATATCTACGCGACAATTACGTGAGGCAAGACAATGACTTCTGTTAAATCATATAATACTATAGGTATAACTTAGTAGCCAAGATGGCCAAAAAAGGTACAGGAAGACCACTTCGATCCCTAAACAGGAAAAAGGAACCATCGGCAACTCGACTAGCAAGTCGCGAAGAAGTCATAACAACATAACTCATAGACAAAAGATGTCTCGGTACAACCGAGCAAGTGAAGAAAGCAAATAGTCCATCATCAGATGGTTGCATAACCGGGTACAATATCCCTCTATTCAACAGGCACAGCCAAGGGAATCAAGCCCGACATACAGGTGGGTAGTGCAAGGTATTCCCATAAAGGTGAACACTGATCCTCCATAAGGAACCGAAGAGAGCCCAAGGACTCGGCGACAAGATCGTCTACTCCCTCGGGAGTAAGAAGTTTTCCTCCGATCGATACCAATGATCTAATCTGATCTAAACTCACTCAGAAGTGGAAAAGGTAATCAGTGATCGAAAAAGGTGGGTAGAGTAGCCCGTGGCCACGGCCATAATCCTCAGAGAATGACAGTCATTGTTATATAACCATATATCCCGGATCTGGAAAAGAGATATAGAGGGAAAGGAGTTGAGAGAACAATCCGTCATTGCTGACGGAGCCACCTTTTCATTCAGCTCTTGTCATCGCGCTGGCGCAAGCGGTCAACACCGCCACGGACGGTGTCGCGGAGACTGAATCCTCCGAACAACCAGTCGTTCGAGTGACGACCGTAGTGATTCACGGTTCCGCTGTAGCGACGGTAGTCGTCACTCGATTTCCGGGAGTGGTAGGAGTCGGATCTGCACTTTGTGGAGTGGGTCTCCCTGATAGAAGAAGGGGAGGCGGGGGTCGACATTTCGGTGGGACTGGCAGAGCGACGGGGAATGCTGATGCGAGCCATTTTGTCGCTTTTGAGGATATAGGTGCTCTCGGAGTCGGAGCGACGCGAGCGTGTGGTGGTTGGGATATCGCTGGGAGCGGGTGATTTGGACCTCGAGCGAGAGCGGGAAGTAAAGAGTCTTCCTGCTGTCAAGGAGAGTCGGTTGGATTTTGTTTGAGATTGAGTTGAGGTAGCAGGCCTTTCTGGAAGGCTGGAGGAAGAATTGGATGAGGTAGTGGTTGTATGGGAGAGGGAATGCTCAATGCTGGACAACTGTTGTTGCAGGATGTCTACTTGGGGGATAGTAGTGTTCTGATCTTTCATCGCTTGAAGCAAGAGAAATAGGGAAGCTTGGTATTAAGATATGTATCTAAGAAGCAGATATAATTGTTGCTGACTAGAGGAAGAAATCGCCGAGAAGCACGGGGTCCCGAGGGTTATTTATGTTTCCTGTCGGCCCCCCCCCGAAAGGATTCTCCTTGACGACAGTTTATCTTTTAACCCATTCCCCTCCTCGGCCTATCGCGATGGGACACTGTCAAATTGGCACGCGGCCCCCTGTCGGAGGTGACCGTGCGACGAATGGAAGGATGCCAACAAGGCTTCGGGCCCCATCGATAGGGCTTTAGCGTGGATTCTTGTTTCTTTTTTGACTCAAGTCGGTGAGGGTCGTGGGGAGACCCACTCCTCTGCCCTACGAGGTACCCGACCTAACCAATCACCAGCTGCGACGGACCCGCACAACCCATGAAGAGGCTCGAATTCACCGCTTCTGCCTGGGAGAGTCACCCTTCCCTTAGTCACTCTCAACTCCCTACAATGGAAATGATTCTGCCTGATCATAGTGGTTTCCTTCCCATCCCGAATACGAACTGTCGTGGTTCAAGACAATCTGTCACTATACGACGGACAGCTGTCCTTTTCCCTCCCTTTCGTGACTGTGGACAGAAGATCAGTCAGAAAAAGGAACACAGAACCCCTCACTTTGACAGAAACAACACGCATGTTCAGCTGATGCATTCCGGGCTAAGACAACGCCCGGCCCAGAACTAGTTTCTAGCGTACTTCGAGAAGACACGAAAGCCAAGTCATTCGTCTTGGCCCCCACTCGGACTAAATTCGAACAAACCACATTCTCACTGGCTACCGCGTCAACAAGATGATGACAGGAAATTGCTGCATGGACTGGTTTTAGGGCTGAAAACTGACCAGAATCCACGGTCGGCGTCCCATCATGGCTGACTACATACCGCGGTATGGGCCTGTGGAAACCACTTAACATTTTTGGCTTCTAATTTTGATCTCAAAACATACCGTCCCGCGGAGATAGCGACCAAGACCCGCATCGCACTTCTCTGAATAATTCGACCAATGCAACCTTGACTACTGCATTCCGCCCGGATATCGGAACAATCTTCACTCCACTTGAGGCTCTGTCTTTGCCCAATGACATCATGATTGGCGCGCCCCGGTTGCCAAGAGGGTCAGTCATCGGCACGCTCGTTCCGTGCTGGGCCGAATGGTCGGATTTGTCCTTCCTCTTCTGTACGGAGTAGTATGCCAGGATGCTTGGTCGATGGTGATAGGTCCGGTGGTAGAGCAACAACGTGCCCTAACGGTATGTCAAGACCGGGGTTACTGGGGCAATGTTAGATCCGACAGCTTGACTATGTACTGGAATAAATGGCAGACTTGAACTACTAACATATGTGTGAATTATGGATTTGTATAGTTGAGGTCCTCGATTTGTCTCTTGTTTTTTCTTTTCTGTCTCTTTATCTCATTCATTACCTGACTCAAAAGCAGTTCGAACGCCTCCCCAATATGCTGCCTCTCTATTGCAATGCAGATGACTCCATCTTCTTTCAATCCGCAACAACCAATAAAGACAAAACTCAGATTACCAACCGCAAGCATGAAATAATGGTTACAAAAGCAAACCGCGGAACAGAGCTCATAAAACATAAAAGATCATGAAGAAAAAGGAGCAAGACGGACTTCACTCCTCCGTAAGCGTCCACAAACTCGCACTCGGCCGCCTCCAAGACCGCGGCTGCTCCGAGTGGCACCGGCGATGGTTCCTATCGACCGCCAAATGCTTAGGCAGACTAGAAAGCTCCCGACCTCTATCAGGGGCAACCTGCTGCACTGGATGTTGCTGCGGCACCCAGTATGAAACCACCACGTTCTGACCGGCAGTAGTCGTGGTGGGCAGGACGAAAAGCGACCGAGCCTTATCCAACGGCGGCCGGATCATGCGTCGCAATGATCCAGAGCCAGAGCCATAGCTGTACCCGGTGGTGGAGTTGGTGTGTTCGACTGTGGTCTTGGAATGGGGCCAGATGCGATAATGAGGGCGGGTGGTCTTGGGAGGAACGATCCCAGCGGACGCAGCATCGTCTTCAAGATAGTCACCCGAGGCAAGCGGAGTGAGAAACTGTTGTTCGAGTTGGGCCTGCTGCTCTGCAACTCGCATAAGAGGGGTATTGCGACGGGGTCCTGGTCCGCAGTAGGGCCAGGAATGGCGTCTTCTGTGGTGGAGTAAATGAGGCATGCCAACAACGCAACGCTAATGGAAATTTGCAGAAAGAACTAATTCCACTAGGAAAGAAGGCGAAATTTATAGGTAGACTAGTGGGGAGAAGAAAAGAAATAATGGCCAAGCCCAGGCAGAACCGAAACGCTAATGGGTACCTTCGAAAAAAGAAAGTCCAGTATTGAGAACCCTCCTCAACGAAAGTCCCAAAACTCGCAACGTCTATTCATAGCGCAATGGACACATCGCAATAGCGGTTACAAAGTGCGTAGGCAGTCAGGATTATAAAGCAGCTCCGCCTCTATTGGTTTGGTCATGAGGCCTGCACGTGCAAGGCGCACGCGTCAAAAGGTGTAGTATACGATCGCCCGGGTGACTCGTCCGGCGACTGAAGATCCGGGGCTTGAAGACTCATAGTTCGAACTAGCCCGACCGATCACACGGTGCGCGTATGAAAACGCCCTGAATTGAGTCATCGCAGGATGCAGTGGCGGATAAAAGCCGTTGACTAGTGACGAATAATGGCGGGAAATGTTGCAGCTTACTCGGCAGGAACAGGGTTAGAGCTGGTAGTACAACAACTCTTTTTTTGGAGATCGGGCTTACATTCTTCAAGAAAGCTCTCTGCATTTTTGTTCTTATCGCTTCTCCCATGCTTCAACAATATATCTGGGGTCCCACCCGCACGCTATGCGAGATTTCCATCTCCCCAGATGGCGAGTGGGGTAACAGTCAGCGGGTGATGTGCAGTCTCTCGACTCCATCACAAGTCTCCCAGAGACCATCTTCTGGCACGAGCGGCTGTCATTGCCCCTCATCCAACTGCTGCAGTGTTACATCTCAAATACAAGTATGGTGATATTGGTCCTGGAAATGACTGCGATTATGTGTATTACGTCATTCTCAGACACTCACGCAATACACAGTTGGCAATAGTAGGCATGTTTCCAGCGATCAACAGTCGGTCTCTCTGTGACTGTCGACCACCGATTTTGGTATCGTCCAAAAATGATCGCTCTACACATGCACGAGCCTAGTAGGAAGTAGTAGTCTCGAGACTGAAAAACTCCTTGATCGTACAACCATACAAGTATCGAGGGAGTGTATCTCTCTACGTCTGTAGTCGGCAAGTCTTCATTAGGGCACCGGGAACTTGGATGCCTGGTTAGCAGGGAATCTAGGAATCTACTGGTGGGCGGCCATGTACTCCGCATCATCGGAAGCTCCACCAGTTCCTTAGCAAGGGAAAGAGGAGCGTTCCACGAAATGCAAGTCACGTGGTATATTGGTTATGCGCTATCTCACTCAGGAGTCAGATAAGCGAATCCCAAGGTAGGTCCCAGTTCGATCCCGGGCGTGACTATTCTTCTGTTTCTGTCGCATACCTTTCGACTACCTATCGGTTGTTTTTCTCCTTCTTTGCCTTGTTTACCCGTAAAAGGATAGCTAGAGTCAGATTGTCTATGTAGATCTTGATACATCTTCATTTCAAATCGTGGTCAATTGATGTACTATCCGGAAAATCCCATCGTCCTGATATATAATATACAACCAACACACATATACTGACAAGCCCGAACATCCAGACCAACGCCGCACCATATGCTAGCCCAAAATAGTTATACTCCGTATGCGGGAGGAACAGAGTCGCGCTCCAAAGCGGAAACAAAATCATGTCGGTCTAAAAGCATCACTGTTAGCTACACATAGACACACTAACTTAGTCAATCTCCTAGAGTATACCTTTAGCAGTAGCAAAGTTTATCGCGATTTGCCCACCCCGTCGGGCCATATTAGGATCTTTCGGAGCTACGGCGAGGATACCTGCCATGTTAAGGAAGGATCCCCTAGAATATTGAAGCGTTGAAAAGTCGACTCGCGTGCTATCCTTGGTCGGCTGTAGAGCGCCCGGCATAACGGAGACGGTCAGCCACTTGTCGGTGATATGTTCATCCCACCGTGACGACATCTGAATAGACGCTCCTTTTCGCCATAGCTGTACTTCCGTTTCACCTTTGCTTGACTTTCTGGCCCCGAAAAGACTTTTACCTTTGGTCACTAGGGAAACGGCGCGTCGTGAGTACAAAAGTTCGTACCCATTGGCTAGCGAGCTCATAAAGCTACGCAGTAGCGGTTCCTCGCCGAATTCTGCTGTCATATTTCCAACCTTCTTCTCACAGTGGGAGAATGATACTGGGCGGTCAGCTGGGTACAACTTGTCGACATGTGACGAGATATAATCGGTGTAGAATAGGCGGGGAAACCGGACGCGTAAGGTTTTGTCGTCATAGGCATAATCTGTGTCTCGGTAGACGTAGTAGAGGCTGCAGTATTTCCAGGTCAGACGAGACTGGATGAGCAGAATTGCTTTATACTGCTTTTGGCCCCCTGAGGGATCTACAACATCATAGACGTGACCAGAGCTGCTAGGCTGATCCCAGGAAAAACTTGATTGAGAACACATGCTTAGAATGGCCTTTTCAAAATCTTCCACTTGCTTCTGGGACCGGAAATGCAGTCCTAGCCCGATGTTAGGGCTATTGTCATCGTACACATAGGAATACAGAGGATGGTAGTTGCCATCCGTTTTGGTTGACCTTTCTTGGCATGTGTCTGACCATTTCACCAAAACCTGTCCTGACTCTTCACCGCGGGAGACCTGGACACGACTCATGGGCATGAATAGCTCAATGCATCTCGGTGCCGGCTCGGCTACCCAGGAGCTAATGACTATGCGCCGGACAGACTGCCATGCCTCTCCATAAGACCTCTCTAAAATGCGCACTTCGCAGGATTTGTGAATTACCTGGGGATTCATAGGTCTCATAATCGGCGCCTTCAGCTGTTCAAACTTTTCGACCGAGCTCCTAAATAAGACTATCTCAGAGAACTGATCGGAGTCGACTGGCTCTCGTTGCCATACGGCGTCAAAGTATGCCTTTGGCAGGTTTATAAAATACTGCAAGTCAGACGTGTGTTGGAAAGAGACAGATACGCTTTTGGTATCGAATCGTAGCACGATAGGTTCCGAAATTCTTATGCCAGGGTAACCAGAGACAGTTGCTTGCCAAACTCGTATCATTTGGGCCAGATCTTCGGGTAGAACTGACCAGTGCATTGTCAGTATTGGTTGGTTAGATAGAGCTGGCAGCATTGCTGTGTCAATTCACTTACAGTCTCGCTGCAAACAAAGCGTGCCACTCTGATTGCAGATCGTTATCTTCGGCTCGCTTTCCCCTTCTCTTGCAGACAAAAGGAGCATGTACGGAGCGCCTTTTGTTCGCATACGGAGCCTTTTGCTACCAATACCAGCGTTCACAAACGTTCTATAGAAAACCTTTTCTGCTTCATCCCCCGCATCTTCTAGGTCAACAGTAGCCCAACGCACATTGTTCAGACTGATGATTGAATCACTGCCCTTCTCAGCTGCTTCTTCCGGCTGCAAAGGTTCCCAAATATCGAGATTTTGGGATTGTATAACAGAGAATTCGGGGACATCCAATGAGATAAAATGCGCAAACTCGTCTTTGATTCCCTACAGAACGATCAGATTACAATATCCAAATGAAGCCCAACATGACTTACCTCCGATAAATCGGAGATCAGTTTTCGGTTTTCGTGGGTGAGAATGGCGTGAGAGCTTGCATCAGTCAAAACAATGTCGTATAAGATATATGATCCCTTGAGAAGATCAACATAGGCCTGGTGGCCTGGGGCCCAGGATCCTGTTGGCGGAGTCACACTGCCTCGAGGGCCGACGAGGCTCGGCCTATCCGAACTGGCAAGAGTTGATCGAGCCTTGAAACTTTATTAAATGTCGTCCGTTTTTGTAGGATAATAGAGGGATAGTATAGTTTTCGACACACCTTCAATAACCACCATACTGCGACTCGTAGCCAGTCACTTGTGTTTAGCCGCTTAATCCTCAACTCGTCTTGCACCAGGGCATCAAAGCTTCTCATAAGCTGGGGGTCAGGTTGATGGAGTTTATTGCGTGGCTCATATCGCAATGGTCGAAGGATGCTTTCTCGAATTTGTACCTGTTGAAGCTGATGAATGGCAGTTGCGACAGCACTTGTAATGGCCGTATTATCCAACTCAGATCCTGGGGACTCGGTGCGATCATCCGAAAAGGGCTCTTCTCGCAATGATGGGTGGATGTCGAGCCGCGCACTTTCAGAGCTAGGCATTCTTAGATGCCTCGACTCTGATACACATGAACCAGTGCGCCTAACAACGTAATTGTGAGACATGGAACGCTTCAGTGGGTCATTGATGGACGGAGAGGTGGTGTTTGCTGTGGTTGCTGACCACTCAGACCCGCCAGAAAGAATCGACTCCGAAGCAGAGATACGAGCATGGGTCTCAGCAGCTGGCAGGCTATTTGCCCTTATGGGGACATTTCTCCGACTAACACGCAGTGGCTCGATATGCAATGACTCCTCAAGCTGAAAATCATCACCTCCCAGTATTGGTGGTGTTCTTAGGACACGCTGCCCACGCGACAGCGTTTCCGGGGTAGCAGGGAAGCTTTTCTGTTCTAAAGCATTCGCCATCGATCTCTCAATTCTTGTCAAAGTTGAACTAAACTTGTAAGCAGACACACACATAAAAGACTGACCTGTTATACATACTTGCCAATCGAGCTCATACATAAGCTAAGGTTGCAGGTATGGACCATGATTCTAGATTTCAAATCATCCATCTGTCCTCGTTGTGCGATCAATTTGACTCTCTGCCAGAATTGTCTACCATCACCTACTCCCAAATTCCTGCACTTGTCGATTAGCTCCTTCAACTGCTGTAAAGTCTTGAAGCAGGCGTCTAAACATCGCTGTAAAGTATTTCTGCGACCTTCCTCTAGGTCGTCGAAGAAGGACATATTAGAGTTTACGTCATCTCGGAGAGCTCGAAGAGCACCTTGTAGAGAGGCTAGTTCATTCACGAGCTGCTTAAAGACTTCGGGAGAGTCGTTAGTAATAAGATAGCAGTTATGGTAAAGATCCCACGCCAGCTTTGTGAGTGTGAGAATATCGGCCGCGTTCGAATCGGGGAGAGCGGCCATGGTGGCGATCTGTTCGTCTAGTGAGGTCGAATGCATGGAAGCGACAATAGACTGGGTTGTAGACAACAATAACTCAATATGTGTGCAGTTTAATAGATAGAGAAAATTCCCAGAAATTCATCCCTGATTTGAGGGAGGATGGAATTTGAACAAGGTGGAAAGGTGGTATAATAAAAAAAGGCTTGTAGGGCAGATAAGCATGAAACTTAGTACAATGGGTGTCCTTCAAATAGAAACTATGACGAATGGCCCAGGCAATGGAGAAGATGAAGTAGATCAGAACTTATCTGACTTGACTTCTAGTGGGAGATGCAGGGTACTGGCGAGTATTATCAGGCGTGAACGCCCAGGAGGACACAGTGAAGGGTACCAAGGTCGCTTTCGCGGAGGCGCAGCAAGGCATGAAATAGTAAAAGCTGGAGAAGAAGAGCTCCTCTAGTGCACCGTTACTCTTTGTGGCTCATCGGAGTCAGGAGATTTAGGTTTCTCATAGAGGGAAACCGGAAACCAATGAGTGGGTATTAGAGGCGAGTCGACCCCACAGGGGGTTGAGTTTCTTTGAAGTCTTTCTGTCAGAACGAACAAAGACAACAGCTCTTGTAGTTGCTGGATGCGTGACTGAGGGTATTGGGGAATCGGTCTAGACTTCCCTTTTCACTTCATTTCTTCCAGATGCGGCAGGCCAAGTCGAGTGAAGTATTATAGATCCGCAACTCGAGGGTGAACAAGAATCTGGAGGGGCTGGCTCCCATGGAGAGAGATCCAAGCCATTTCCTCGTGTTTGGTCCAATCAGGCTGAGATCCTCCTTGTGCCCAAAGCCTTGCGGCTGTGGAGGAAGTTTTATGCGGGGGTGTCATTCATTGTTTGCCTTCGAGGTGACCCATTGATGGCCGCATTATTGAGCGCTCGGCTCTCGGCGTTGCTGTGTGACCTGATAAATGGAAGAATATAAAGGGCCCTGAAGTGTTTCATTGGGCAACGGATATGGCCCTCTCATAAATGAAGCCATAGCGTTATACTACTTAAGAAAGATGGAGACGATAAGATAGTATGAACTAGATCTGGGAAGTGGGTCCGCAACTCGCTGGACTCTGTATCGGCCTCAGGCACACACCACCGTGTCGATCATTCTTTCAGTTTCAGGGGCCCAACATTGAATTCATTCAGACCACGCTATAGAGATCACAACGTCTCCAGCGTTAACCCGCTGACATCCATGACAGAAACCTGATATTACTCCTCCTGATACCTTTCTCTTATACAATCAAATTCTTCCTATTTGGGACTTATATTGGTGGTGGAGCATAAACAGAAGCCCAGATCGAACGACAGACACCCAACATGTCGACCGTGGCCCCTTTCACCCTCGATGTCGCGACATGTCTTTGCATCGCATTTGCCCTTTCCTTCATGCCAGCTGCCTACATCCTTGGCCGGTCGTTAATCCCTTCCACTCACATGCGAAACCGGATCCTCTTCTTCTGGCACGCCTATGACGCCCTCACCCACATCTTCATCGAAGGCTCATTCCTCTACGAGTGCTTCTTCAGCTACACATCCCTTCCCGCCGGCTTCAACCGTCCGCCCTACTTCCTCGATCAGAAGGACCGCGTATACGGAGCCGCATACGGAACTCGTCCCAGCTCGCGACTGTGGCAAGAGTACGCGAAGGCCGATTTCCGCTGGGCGGCCGCCGACGCCAACGTGATTTCCCTCGAATTGCTGACCGTTTTCCTCGGAGGTCCTGCAGCGTTATATGTCTGTTATCTTCTGTGGAAGGCTTCCGGCAGCCGGACGAGTACCACGGCAAAGGGTTCCGCGAAGGCGAAGCTGTGGTTGGTGGCGCCCGCTCTGGCGACCGCTGAGCTGTACGGCGGGTTCATGACATTTGCGCCTGAATGGCTTACGGGCAGCTCGCAGTTAGAGACGAGTAACCCGATATACCTGTGGTTCTACCTGTTCTTTTTCAATACCCTGTGGGTGTGGGTTCCTCTGTGGGTGTTGTGGGAGGCTACCAAGGAGCTGCGCACCGCCTTTACCAAGGCTGAAGGTGCAGCTGAAGCTCGGAAGAGCAAATAATCAAGAGCAAATAATCAAAAGCATATTATAGATTGGTTCGGCAAGTTCTGGTGAATAAGACTGTTGTTTAGCGTTACAAGAGTCATTGACGCATAAGCAATGACGCTTATGGTTTCCAGATTCTTTCCCCAAATGATCATGACAACATCGCTATATATGAGCTTTCTACTGAACAATTGACTGTGTGAGACAAAGCAAACTTGGAGTTAACCTCAATCATGGTCACTGAGCGGAATAGTAACAGGATGTAGACAGTATTTCAACATCTTATGATGGAAACACCTCGCCTTCTCCAGCTCTACTCTCTGCGAACGTCAAGAGACTTAGCATATAGATATTTTAGAAAAAGAAAAGAAGACTAAGACATGCGACAACTTTGGCAATCCCAAACAATCATATCACACTCAACAACCACTCACCAAGCCGAAAGCCCATTCTTCTGCACCAACTTCCCAACATCACTATCCCTAACTCCCTCCACAACATCCTTAATAAAACCACCCCCAATACTAGGGTGTCCGCCGCCCATCTCCCTAACCTTCTCCGTCAAACCACCCAAGCCGGTCGCCAGAAAACCCGGTCCAGCACCCCAGACCTTCACCCCGTCCGCCTTGAGCTTATGATTCCAATCCAACATCAGCATATTCAAAGCCGTCTTACTACACCGATACCCAATGGTCTCGAAATCAACTTTCTTCGGCCAACCTGCAGGCAGCGGCGGTGTCGGAAAGTACGAGTTAGCAGCCTGGGTGATTTGAGACAAACCCGCCACGAAGACCAATCGCGGATCTGCCGACTTCAGAAGCAGTGGCATGAAGGTGTAGGTCAAGACATGTGTACCGGCTACATTAACGTCGTATGCTTTGGTGAAACACTCGCGGAGCGAGACCCGGCCAGCGAGGAGCTCCCCGTCAAAGCTAGCGCCTGGTTAATTTAGTGTCAGGCTTTCGTTATGGGCATCTTTGTTGATATTAGTAGTGAGGTTAGTCACGTACCGGCATTGTTCACGAGGGTATCAATGTGGTCATGTCTATTGCGCACTGTCTCGTAGGCTATCTCAATGGATGCATCGTCGGATAGGTCAAGTTGGAGGAGTTCAACGCTGCTTTTGGTATCGGGCACTTCGGTCTTGAGGGCTTCAAACGCCCTGCTACCCCTTTCGAGGGATCGACAGCCCAGGAAGATGTGGTAGGTTGCTTTGGTAGATTGGAGTAGTGCTTTGACTGTTTCATAGCCGATGCCGTTATTGGCCCCAGTTACTAGGACGATCTTAGATGCCATTGTGGCAGTATGAGGCTATGAGGCTATGAGGCTATGAGGTTTATTCAAATGGGAAGATCGTGGATAGTTGGATTGAAAGGTCTTGGGTGCCGTCGCCTTGGGTTTATATATCTATTTTAAGCTTTTTGGAATACATGACACGATGGGGATGCATTGAGGTATTCCTTCAAGCCGAACATCTGAATCGGAAACATCGGGTTTTGGAGAGATATTGTTCGATTCGCGAAATATCGAATGTCTATAGACCTACTGTCATGTTGCGGGGATACCTTAACTCCGGTGTTTAAGCTTAATATAGCCTCGCGGGTATTGCCTCTTTGGGAAATAAGCTACTGCTGCCCTACTTTCACTCAAAAGCCCCACTAATATCACCCACAAGAATGAATTAGCTGGCTTAAGGTCACTAAAGCGGAAGTATTAAGATTTCATGTGGACGATAGTGGCGGCTGTCTTCCAAGAAACGCGTGTCAAGCTTCACGAGGGCCAGAACACGTTGCCCCTACCGCAAGGCGCCCGACGGTCCAATCTGGGTCATAAGTGCAAGAGACGGCATATCGGCGGAGTATGCTATATACAAGTCCATGATTCTAGTATTTATCCATTTATCTTAATCTATAAAATATGTTCACTCCTCGCCCCAGTTCAACAGAAACCGATCAGAGCTACACCGATACTCCAACAACTTAGGCCACACCTCCTTTACATCAAGCGCCTCGGACAAAATCGACCCATTCTCAGCGCTGATAAACCCCTCCTTCACCGCATTGCGCACCCACGCCAATAACCCATCCCAGTAGCCATTGATATTCAACAACACGACCCCAACACGATGAATTCCCAACTGATTCCACGTCGTCATCTCCATAACCTCCTCAATCGTCCCAAACCCACCAGCCAGCGTGACAAACCCAGACCCAGGACCACCCTCCATAACCTTGGTCGCCATCAGCCGCTTACGCGTATGCATATCCGGCACGATGGTCGTAACTCCGTATTCCGACTCAGGGATTTCATCTCCGTCCAAGGATTCGGAGACGACTCGTTCGGCTGCCTTGCCTCCCGCCGTTGCGGCAGTCTTCTCGCTGACGTTCTTCGCAGATACCTTAACAAGTGCACGGGGGATTACACCGTGCACGGCTTTTGGGCCAGATAGGGAGACTAGCGTCTTTGCGACCTCGCCCATTAGTCCAGTGGTGCCGCCACCGTAGACGAGCTGGACATTGTTTCTGTGGAATTCGTAGGCTAGAGCCCGGGCTGCTTCGAGGTGTACTGGGTCTTTTCCTGCTGTTGCGCCGCAGCTGGATATTCCCAAAAGAGTACTAGTTAGCTTTACTCATTATCGAAGTTGTCGTTGTCCCTTTATTGAAACAATCGCCGATCATCGAGGTGCAGGAGAGTGGCAAGAACTGTTGACTCACAAGACGCAGACGACGGCTGGTTTATCTTGAGTCATTTTAAACGGCACTTAGAAGATAATGGGCGTGGGTGGCACGTGAATACAGATATATAGGATGTGCGAATATGTAAAAGGAAGAAAGGTGTACATATGGCAAAAGCTGCTGCTGTTGCCCGTACAATGGTTATCTGCTAGTGACTCATCCCTATGGGTCCACTCGGAAATATCGGACGCTAACTAAAACTGGAGCCAGCATTTCAATGGACTAAATGTTCAGTAAAGAAAGGGTGCGTAATCTTATTTCAACTCCGATTATACTGTCCAATTGCGAGTAGCTTTCCACACCGACTAGGCTTCTATGGTAGTATGCACTCTGCGCTTCACGTAGACAGTTCCTAGTATTATGCATCGCCATACCATGACAGCACATGATACCCGTGTATTATGATATGTAATGGTATTGTTGGATTCTTCTCAGAATAGACCCGTCTGAATTACTTAGAAGGCTCCTTGATTTGAACTCTATATACATAACGTTAGAATATAGACAGGTGCACCGGATGTTGTTTGGCTATGCATTATGTTACAGTACCACTTTTTAATCCCCTGACGTAATAAAATTAAAAGACTCAAGAGGGGATATGTAAGCAACAATGTTATAGGTCTGTTGATCTATCTTTATTGTAAAATTGGATCAAGATATTCATTTTCGGGATCAGTAATCACAGCTGCTGCAGAAGATCCCGAGGATGTTGATCTCTCCCCCCTGACTATTCGGGCTTCTGTACGTGCATTCAAATGGGGCTTTAACGTAAGGGAAAGTAGAGAAGGCCAATTAGAAGCTCCTTTCAAGCATCACCGTAGGCATCGGGTGGACAAGGTAGATTAGCTAAAGGTAGAATACGACCTAGTGATCTTCAGGCTATCTTGTAACTCAACCACTCTTAGATGTCTAAAAACTCAAGAAAAACTCTGAAGAGAAACACATACATATATCTATGGAAAGCAAATCGGAAGATTATACCTCAGTAAACTAGTTATAGAATAGTGATAACTGAGCAAGCCGCCCAAGATATTTAAAACATGAATCTGGTGGTATCACTTAAGTTACACTTATTAGAAAATAATAGAAGGTTGGCGCATATGAAAGAAACAGAAAGCCGCCCATCCCATGTCATAACCCCTGCCGTGCCCAAGATACCATTAATTCATACAATCATAAATCGAAAGGGTCTACTCCAGTAGAGCAACCATCGTTCGTTGGTAGTCACCGCTTGTCTCACCGCGAACTCGCTCGATCAGGTCCTTTCCATACCGATGGCGGTAAGCGCGCTTCACCTGGTCCTTATGCGCTCTATTCCAGTGTACCCTAACAACGCGGCTCACCAATTTGACGTCCTTAGTGCCCATGCCTTTCATGCAGTCCTCCAATAACTCGGCATCCCGCATGGCTGGATCCAATGCGCCACGCAACATCTGAAGCAGAGCGTCTTTCATATGCCCCGAGAATTCCTTGTCGATATGCTTCTCTAGCGAGGCATTGTAGCGGGCGCCGAATGCCTGGTTAATGGCGCGGAGTTCGTTGTCCGACGAACGCGCGAAGATACCGCAAACTTCCTGAACGTTATTCCGCATACGAGCAGCAGTGGCGGAGTGTAGGGATTTTGTTTCTTCCTCAATGGTACGCGGGTCAATTGGGAAAGATTCCTCATGGCGGTCTGCGCGAAGGACCATTCCGAAGAGATTTTGTGTTTCAAATGACAAATCACTTTGGACGTCTTTTTCAAGAGAACGGCTGTATGTGCGTTCATATGCGGCTTTGATAGCTTTCAGATCCGCATTCGATCGGCTCACTAGGACATCGTTAAGCAACCATTCCTTCGTGCCTATTCCCTTAACCGCTTCACGAGCGGAAGTCACGTCTTGCATCAGCGGGCCATCAATGACAGCAAGCAAGCCATCGCGGAAGTAGCCACTCGTTTCGGACTTGACATCCTTGTACAAATCGCGACGGATATAGTTGGCATAGGTCTGGCGGATGGCAGCCATCTGAAGCGCGTCGACTTTCGACAGTATCTGAATGAGTGATTTTTCATCTGTCCCAAAGCCTTTCATTGCTTTACGGAGTCCATCGGCTTCGCGGTGGAAATCACCTGGGGCAATTTGGCCGGGGATGTAGCCCGGGGACGGCTGGGCCGGTGGAGCGCTGTGGATGGGTTGCTGTGGATGTTGCGATGGATAGCCACCTACTGGACCACCGCCATATGGCCCCGGTTGCGGATATCCTGCACCGCCATGGGGAGGGAACTGTTGTGGGGGCGCTCCATATGGAGAGTGAGATGGGGGCAACGAGTGGTATCCGGGGCCTGGTGGGGGGTGTCCGTACGGAGGATAGCCTGGCTGGCCTGGAGCTGCTACCGGAGGTCGATCATACTGGCCCGGATGTGCAGGAGGCGGCCGATTATATTGACCTGGAGGAGGGGGGCCACCGTAACCCGGCTGCTGGGGGTACGGAGGTTGCGGAAAACCCTGAGGGGCGCCGTGGGCAGGATACGGAGGTTCTGTTCAGGCGAAAAGGACGAGGGTTAGCCAATCAAGAACATCTCGAAGAGATTATATCAGTGCGATAAGGACACGTACGATTAGTTGGAGGATAAGGCGGATTATACGACATGATTAAGAGTTTAAGGCTTCAAAAATTGCAGTGGGGTTGTCTGCATTCCAGAAGGGGGGAGAGTACGGAAGATTATATACGGCAATGACGCCAAGCGGGGCCTTTCCACCCGTTCGTCATCCATACTTCAAAAGGCAGGTACGAGTGTGGCGCAGTAAGGCTGGGCTGGTGGGGTTGAGGCGGGGACAAGGCACATTCCGATTTGCAGGCAATTTCGAGAAGATCGACTGGCTGTGCATCGACATCTGCCTACATGCATCTACCACTAGTACTTTAATTTCTGGACAACTTGTGATTTGATAAGGCCATGATGCAGGCAGCAACCGAATACAAGACCACCACTAATATTCCGCATAATGATGCAGTACGTACATTCCACCCGTCAGATCATCTCAACGTCATCATCTATGTATACATCAATCGTAAGTCATCATTGCTTTCATCATGGGAGTTAGATGTTGTTAAAAGGGGCTAGGCGATCTCCCCAACAATAAAAACATGTGTCCCTGGAAACAACCCAGTTGATCCAGCATAACACCCCCAATACCAATCATCATTGATATTCTCGGCCTCGGTAATCTCCGCGCCACGTGGAAACATCAGCTCGTCTTTGACACCATTCTCAGGATACCACGGCCATAGGGCGTGAACAACGAGACCAACGCCGCCATCGGGTGGGAAGCGACGTGAAGACGATGCATTCTGTATTGGGGTAGTGGGCGTGGAAGGTTCAGAGTATGAGTTAGTACGGTCACCGATGGTACTAGACCATGGGGCACGGATGCGAGATGCTTTTTTGCGCCGCTCCGCTCCCTCTTTCCAACTCCAGTCGCCAGTGCCGAGTTCAGGGGATGGGACAACACCAGAGCTTGCCACAAAGGTGCGTGTTAAGGAAGGAGAAGCCGGAGGGGAGGAAGGCTGAAGGTGTTCGTCTTTCAAAGCACGACCGCCCACCAGGTCATGAACGATGACCCGCTTCTGGCCCTCTTCATGATCTTCAAATCCAACTACCACCATCCGATGGCCTTTCAAGCAGCGCCGCCAGCCGTTGTGTCCATTCTCTTTACGGATCTTTCCCGTGGCCACCAGCTTAAGATAGCAGTTTGCACAAATATCATAATCACCCTCGTTGCATTGGAGACAGTGGAAACGAAGAGTGGAAGTTGGGATTTGGTTGGCGCAAATGTCACAATTTGTGGAGAAAGAAAGTACTTTCAGTGTTTCGGCTCCGGCAAGAGGAGCAGCCGAACCATTCGCTGCATCGCCTGGAAACGCTGGTATCGGGGGAGTCAAGGGGCTATCTGGCGTTACACGGCATATTGGTAGAAGGGCATGCGTACAGCATTTTCCTTCATTGACACATTTGTTACAGAAACCCCAGTCGCCTTCATTGCACTGATTGCATTTCCAGAAGCACGTATCTGCTGATGACTGACATATGTCGCAGAAGAGTCCGGTTTGCAGTCGTCGGGCGGGGTGCTCATTGGTAACCTCTCTTCCATCCCGTGTGGTTCGACGGGCTGCGTCGGACGGCCGGTTATACTTTAGAGACAATAGGATATGTTGTGGTTCCTGTGAAGGCGTGGCAAGACCATTAGAAGAAGCATGAATTTTGTCGAGATCTGCCTTTGCAGATACACCAAAGCCAGGCCAGTCTAGACAGCCACGCCCAAGCCGGTAGCACCGTAGGCATATATGGTAGTCACCATCCTTGCATGACCGGCACTTTTTGTGAAGTTCATACTGGATATTTGTCCTTCCGCATCGATCGCACGAGATAGACAGTTCAATATAATAGGTTGTCGCTTGAGGAGCGTTAGATCTGGAGGATGAGGGCCTCGAGCGCCCGTCTGGCCTGGCAGGACTGTTCATCTCAGGCGTGAGAGAAGTAGTTGTAGGCGAGTTTGCAAGGTTCTGTTCCGAGCGTAACGCGAAAGAAGCAGTTCGAGGGCTGCGCACCAATGAAGAAACTGACGTAGGAGAGTCGATAGACTGTCTGGTTGGTCTCTGTCGCCGTAGCTCCCGATCATTGCCACCTGCCACCCATATATTAGGAATAGATTGCTCAGAAGCTGTAGCTCGACGTGTTCGTGGAGCTGAATCAGCCGCTCTGACACGGACAGCTTGGGAGCCCCGAGGGCGGTCGGCAATCATGTCGCTAGACGACCTTGCTGCAGGCCTCAGGTTGACCTCCGACGACGAAGCGGAGTTAACAGGAATAGGAGATACTCTCCGACCGCCACCTTGATCAGATAAACGTCGCTGATGGCCAGAGCTACTGGGGCGTTGCACGAGAGGTTCAAGTAAGTACGGCCTTGACACTGGAGGGTGCGCTGGTGAACCTCGAGAACCAGAAGCGGGATGGGATCTCTGCACTGATTGCGATCGTGCCCGAGGGCGACTTGAGGCATGCGCCTCTTCCTGCGTACCATTCCTCTGCTGTGATCGCGAACGCAGTCTATGCCTCCGTCTATAAGCATCGGCAATGCGTTCACTAAGCTCCTCTTCCTGCGCGGGTCCGAGATTGTCCATATCGATATCATCCAACAACCCTTCTTCCAGAATTTGACGCAAGATTTCTTCTTGCATGGTTTCGGTATCCGACAAGCTCAGCAACGATCGAAGACTTGACTGGTGCTCTATCTGTCTCGTGCGTTCTGAATGATCGGACAATGCAGTCCGAGTGTGATGTCGCGTAGCGCGCCCCTCTTCTCGTTGCTGTCGAGCTCGGCCATCTTCTCTTCGCCTATCGCCATCAGCACTTTCACCTCGACGAGTTCTTGATGATCGTGCCGATCGATGCTCCGTTGTTCGTGGTCCACTCTCACGCAGACTCAGTTCACGGACCTCCTCCATTAACCTCCGATCCTCATCACCCGACTCACCAGTGCTGTTCTCCGGCGAAGCAGCAGTAGGGAAGATAGATTGGCCAGGTTTATATCTTTGCGCGATCTCCTCCTTCTCTGCCTCAGGCCTGGCACGATCAGGGTTCGCAGTGAGTACCATGTCCAACAACGTAGTCACTGTGGCATTCGGCCTTGTTTCGCGAACGACGGCGCGGCATGATGGGCAAGTGAATCGCGGGGAAGAGGATGACCGGTGGCGTGAAGCTTGGACAGAGAACCATTCTTTCAGGCAAGAGCCGCAGAAGGTATGGAGACAGTCAAGGAGGGTGAGGGGTTGGTAGAGTAGTTCTGTGCAGATCTAAATGAAATGGGCGGTCAGCAACAGTACACAGCGACTATATCTTCGGTTATTTCTATCATTTATCATTCCAAAATACCCGATCTACACAAAGAGGAGTTGATGAGAGCGGGCGAGCGATGACTGGGACTCCCCACGGTCTTCAGCCTAATCGAAAATCGAGCCACAGAAAGAGAGGAAAAGTGAAAGTAGGTAGAAAGCACATACCGAGCAGACCAGTTCTTTCTCAAGGTCCCCTAAACCAGGACCCCCGGTAGGTGATTCATTTGACATGGAGAGATGAAGCCAACGTCGACAGAAGCAAGGTGTATGAGGGACGGAGTAAACAGCCGGAGGTTTGGTTGGGTTAGTCTCAAGGCTGATTGTCCCACGGGATCGGCCTTTTCGGCTCGAGTTAAAAATGGACCACTAGTGGTTCCACTTAGCTTCAGGTTCTGATTTCTGAAGAGCCACAAGAATAGTAACTACTAACAACGGCTTATCGTTATCTCGCCCTCCTCTTTTCTGTAGGAAGGGCTATCTTCAGGTTAGCATACATGACGATACAATCAACTGTAAATCAATCACGTGCTCACACATACATAGAGTAGCAAGCAGACCCACCCGTTCTTTAAGTCTTGGAAGGTTCTGTGTCTGGATACTGCAGCCTGCGTTTGGAGCACTCATGAGTGCTGAACCACCTGTGAAATAGATAGTGCGATTAAGCACTTATCACCGAAATATGAATGATGGAACTGTATTAGTTAGAGGATAATGTATTAATAGTGTAAATAATCAACTGTTTCCAAACTAGCCCTGCCCGGGGCCGCTCTCTCTATCCTACCAGGCTCTCAGTAATTTCTATCCTATCTTTTGAATGTCATGCTACTTGTCAATTAGATCTTGGTCTACCACCAAGTAGTACGGCAGTTTCCTCTATATTTATTTGAATTGTTAAAGTTCTCAGGATATTGTCATAAATTCTATTCTGGCCGGCTCAAGTCTCGAGTATAGAAATTTAGTTGATTTGATTCTACCTCACAACAGTATTCTGATCATGCTGCTTCTCAACACTCTGTCCCGGCGTGCCCCATAGAACGGGTATCACAGAACCGATAAAAAAGGGAATTTTTCCATCTCCCATTCTTCTACGTCTGAGTTTCTCTTCAAGCTCGAACCGTCGTTTCGTCCGCGCCTTACTCGCGCGTTTAGTTGCCCTCTTCGCTCTTCGCAAGGGCGCGGTCGACTCTTCCTTTTTGGTAAACAGTGTCTTCAGCCAATCTAACATTTTGCGCGGCCCTAATCCGGTCACGCCTATGTAATGTAATCCAGACGCTTGGTTGGACTAATTCGAGGCCGCGTTAGTAATGGGTTTAAGATTGGGAGGGGTTTGGGGGTTGTATTCTACCTCATGTGATGTAATTTGAGGTTGGGGTTAAGGATGTTATAGTGGCTAGGGACAAAGGAGTAGTTCCTGTTAGAGATCTAGCTGGGTGAGCTTTTGTTTAGTGATATTTGCAATGCTACCTGTTCAGGCGTCCAACAGTGGGGGCCGAACATCCAAGGCAACGATCGATGTAACAGATCATCCAATCAAAATTACACGGGCATGTGGCTTGGTCAGGATAATTCTTATACAAAATGCTGCTAATATCGAAAGGCTACTTTCTTTTACGGCCTTGATACATGTTTTGTTTTCAAGATGCACGCTGGTAATAGAGCCATGTACGTGATCACGCAGATGTAACTTAGTTTAGGATAACCAATTAAGGAATATCGTGCATGCTTCGCATGGATAAGGCCCAGGTAAATTCATTTTATCTAGAGAAAGGAGAGTCGATTTGGGTCAGCACTGTCGAATAGTTTACAACTTCAGAGGACTAGATACATCGAAAAGCCCTATGTTCATACACGCCTCACCAAGTTGGAGGTGGAAAGATCCCGGAATCTTGCCTCTAGGCTATGATCAGATGGTCCCAGTATGAGTATTATATTAGTTAGCATCCCATAGACATAAAGTGGACTTTCTGGGCCTTGCACAGCCCTTAGAACTACATGAGTTATATGACATTGTAACAGATTACTCAGATTCCTGAAACTGATCCAAGTTGGGTGCATGGACCAGAACCCCCAGACAAGCCGAAGGGAGGAAGAACAAAGAATGGTGGGAAGCCTGTCTCACGTTGTGCTCTGCATCTTTGACCAACTCTCACAGAGTCCAAAGGCTGTGCGACAGATTTTACCAACCTCGGCGACAAGGTTGAATTTCTTCCATGACCCTTGGCCGTGATGGTGCACTAGTGCTGTGGGATCTGTGATGGGTTTAGAGCCCATGTTGCCGTACTTTCCTCTACCAGGACTGCAATTGTTTTGTTAATAAAGCTCTTGTTTACCTTTTCTTCTGTCAGGGACTTACCTGAAACTAGTAATGGGGAGTATCAACACATCGTCGACTAGCTTGGCCTTCCCGCCATCTTGTAAACCAGTTAGCGCATTCCACCTCAACCCAGCTGAGACATTGAGCCATCCTTGAGCAGCGTAAGTGATGGCCTCTGGACCCGTTAAAGTCAAAGGATCAAGAGCCTGTAGCTCGGCACGAGCGGCTGATGTTTGTAGATTACCCCCGTAGAGATTTGCAAGTTTCTGCAATTGGTGAGCGAGGTTTTCAAGATATCGGTGTAGAATAGGATGGTCACGGGTCGAGGCGAACGACCACTGAGTTAGCTGAATTGAATACGGATAGCCCATACGCCAGCATGTGCGGTCAGCAGGCAGGCAATCAGCTTCAATGCCGAAAATTGCCCTGACAGGCTTCGTAGAGTTATAGACGGATCTAGTCTCGAGGTCCGTCCATGGCAGAACATCCTGTGAGGTGATCCACCGAGCAGGTGACTTGAGTGGCACAGTATCGAGATCTCCATACTAACCGCTTGTCAGTTGCAAGTCGGATGGGGTTTGATTTGGCCTGGTTATAGTAGGACTTACGATCCCGCCAACATATGTAGCGACTAGGATACGAAAGTAGTCTGTTTTCTCAACCATTGATGGCAGCGATGCATAGTGCTCCTGGGATTCAGGCGTAAAGTGATTGATAAACTCTGCTATGCCCTCATCTTCCCAAAGGAAATATGCCACTTCATCCTCGGCCACAAACTGTAGCCATTGTTCAACACTTTGCCGCAAATCCTCTGGCCAAGTATTGATTTGCCGGTGACCCCATGTCTGATGGACGATCAATGGAATTAGTGAATGGGGCATGAAACGGCGTGCTCCACCAACGGCAGTCGCTTGGATTACCAACTGCGCGGCTTCGATAATAGTTCGAGGTTGGGGATTTAGCTGCACCCAATTTGTCGGGATATACCACACTATAGCATATCGATTCAGTGATAGTTAACATAATGCGACGAAATCATCCATTGGTGGAACGAAGGCAAATGTGCAGGATGTGTAATGTATCGCTTACCTCCACCGTGTCCTTCAAAGGTATACACGTGTTTCCAAAGCAAAGGGTATCGCTCTTTCAACGAGGTCACGGCTGGCACATGGCGATGATGACTAGAAAAGGCCAAGAGGCCAAGAGATATTATTAGAATTGCTGACAGCAACGTCAATCGGCGATAACGGCCGCGAGACACCATTTGGGCGGATCCTCAATAATCTTGATCAAGCAAGGGGTGAAGGCACCATGACTTTGACAGGACGAATTTATTCACCGAGACCTACAAAAGAAGACTTGCGGAAAGACGGAAACAAGGGGAAGAAACTGCGCCGAAATTTGTGAAACCTCCAGTAACAGGAATGTTCTTACAACAGTCTGGAAAATTGCAAGTGTGCAAAACAAAACTTGTTACTAGGCAGCTCAATATGAGGAAAGTCGGAACGCATGATACCAACTACTTCAGTAATGAACACAGCGTGACAATTCTTAACTGGGACGCGACTCACCCTGTCGGGGATATTCTCACCGGGTTGACTACTACTCGATTGGCTAGTTTAGAAACAGACTGTACAGCCAGCTCCCAATGTGAAACAAAGAACGGCCATTCTAGAGGATATCACCCAGTCTCTCAGATTTAGAGTAACATCCCCTATTTAGGGCCCCTAATTGTAGCGCACCAGTCCGCATGGTCACGGACGGGAAATGAGTGAGTTGTAGTTAACTTATAAGCATGGTAGGTAGGCAGGGGGGGAGATCTCATTGTTTCCAGGTTCGGCTGCCTTCGTGCGTGCTTCGACTGGAAAAGTCACTGCTAGACACTGCGTAAATATATTTTCCAAGTTTCCATTGGCGAGCCATGAGGGAACCTCTAATCGCAAGCCTGATGAAGCAGGCGATCCATATCTGAGGTGAATCTCTCGTAAGGATGACCAATCAGTATTCCGTATCGGAAACAAAAAGCAATCTAGGGGCACAGAACCCAATTGATGCTGGAGCGGATACCAATGTCCAGGATTTTATCAACCATCCGATACCGTGTGCTGCAAGAGGAGAATGTACCCGATATTCTTCCATATTGACCGCAATGACCCTAGATTAATCACTGATGTAAGAGATTTGGTCTGCTCCCGTCCATGCTGGCTGTTGATTCAAATGCACGCACGGTCAGTTCAAACACGAATTAGACAATGTAACGTCTCGCAGTCTCTCGGTAGGTGGGTTCATTGTAGGGTTCGAGCTCGAGTTTTTTGAGAGTATAGGCGAAATTCGATCGGAGGTCAACGAACCTATTGAATATATAATCGTTATTCTCGGATCCAGAAAGCACAATCAGAGCAACGAACTAAGTTATCTATACCATAATTGCCCCTGTCAAGCATAGATAGAGCGTGAAACAATAGAATGAAGGCTTATCATTGAGCATCTGGGTAGCGCGGCCATGCCAAGTTTACCCTGTTCTCGAGAGAATCACGTCTATCCATTTCGATAGCGATATCTCCGATCCGACGAATAGGTTAACTGCTATGGCTTCGTAGAGCTTTAAGTTTCTATGGTTAAAGTCAATCCTCGTGAAATGTAAATCTCAAGGAAAGATTCAAAGGACTGGACCGTTAATTCATTAAGCACGCGAGAAAACGATGTTCCAAGGTTTGAGACTATTCACACAGTGATACCTCGTATTCCTCAGAGCACACCATGACAAGGTCTCTCTACCCAAGAAGTCCAGAACCACAAGTACTCTCCTATCATGGTGACTCTACCATATCAGGCCATCGACAAGCACAAATCAAACCCTACCAAAACCTTCATCCGCAACTCCTCTCCAGCTACCTACAGCAAATAATCTACCCCGCAAGCTAACCAACCTATCGCAGAGAACTTCCCAAACAGCCCTTCTCCACCCAGCTGCTGCAGAGCATAAAGCAAAAAAGGAGTTTCGTACTAATCGGCAAACGACGGGTATGGGGTATGGGGTACAGTCCTGGGGCAAAGGACAAAGCTTCCCAAAGCGGGGAACTGGATTGATGAGTTGGCAGTCGCGACTTGAGCTTACTCAGTTCTAGGGTATATTGTAGGCTACAATGATAATACTTATGATGATAATGGCGATGATTCTGAGCATGTAAGCTGTTACCCCGCGCGGCTGTGTTTGTGACAACTACTAGTAGTTTCAGGGAGCCAGGCTGATGAGGGGATTTGGAATTGGAAGTGGTTCTGATGTATTTGGCGCATACGTGTGCGATGCATTGTTTACCAGGAGGAACTTTGACCTACCGGGGTATAGAAGTGCAGGGTATTGGCGATAATGTTGATATTGCATCGCATACATTGAAAGGAGGGGAATGCACACTAAGGGGGATACGATGGAGAGGGGATTCAACGCTCGGATCCCCGTTGTCTCATCAGCTGTTCTGCCCACGTACATACCTACCTACCTTGCTCACCGCAGCTACTTTTGACCCAGAGTCAGATAACGTCCGTGCGAGCTACACCCCCGGTCCAGTGGCAGGCACGGCCTTTGGAGGTCCGGGCTAATAGGAATCGGGGGACCGCGCTGTCTATCGGGCGGGAAGTGAGGAGATGCTCTGAAGATAAGAGTTCATGTGAGCTGTTGCTGTCTGGGCGGTGTTTGTTTGTTATTAACTGAATATGTAGTGGGATTAATATTGGGATAAAGGTCTTGCTATGAGCATAGGTTTGTTCGACGTGGCTGGTTAATTAGTTAGGGTTACATGATCAGAAATTTAGAACGCAGCATAAAGCATTGAGAGGCAATTCCTGGTGGGGCCTGCCGCTATAACTTCATAGTACTTCATGCATCCCAACCAACACCGGCTTATTTAGTATGTACTATGCTACTTGCTCCTATAGCGGCCTTCGGAAACCAGATAGTCGGCGTTATTGTTTCAATAGGCGAAAGCGAGCTACGGGTTCATAACCCGACACGGATAGCCGTAGATTTCTAAACCCGGATGCTAAGGCTTTGGCGCCTATCTGAGACCCTAGCGCTGTCTATGCGTAGACATACGTACTCGTAGTAGGCTTTAGTGCATTTAGGGCCGCACTTTGGAGCAAGCTTTAACTTCACTAAATGGGGCCGTTACGCCAGCTCTGGGTACCGTGGCCGATGGTTGGTTGATTGGTGAGCTTGCACGGACGTCTGAGCCCTAAGGTATACATTAGTAGATTCTACCCTTCGTTTATCTTTAGATACACTTTTCTACAACACGGGTTCTTCCGGTGAAGATATGCGCTATTTCCCCCTCATTCACTGTTCGACGACAGGAATTGTGAGCAGCCAGTGACCTTTCCCATTGCAGACCTTTTATTTTGGCAAGGTTAGAGACTAAGAACGTTGGTAGATAGCTTTCCCTCGAAGGTGATGCGTCTCCGCATGGATGGTCGCAACCCTCATGGCAAGGTCAAGACCGATCGAGACCATCGATTGCGAATTGTATAGAGTGTTTTGGGTGGGGCTTGGTGATATTGCTGTCACAAAAGGTCAATGCCACACCGAAGCCGTCGCCTGGTTAGAAGCTGTCGGGAGCAACGATCGGAAGATTATTCTTATCGTCTACTTTGTGATTGCTTCAAGGCTGAGAGTCAAGTCGGTTTGATATTGAGCTGGGTGATAAGGAGGTTTGTCAGCATACGCTCCGCAGTGAATCCCTTATCAACAATCCCCACGGGGCATTTCGACCCAAGCATGAGAGAGCGCTCCACCTTGAGTTCGGAACCTATCGCTGTCCCGACAGTGCTAGAAACCCCTCCGCTCAATGCGTGGGGGATTGACTCTACATACATCGATCCATCCGCAACATGCTTACCGCTAAGGACTAGATAGTAAAGGATGCGATCGCGTGCTTCGGACGTGATCCTAAGACCGTCGAGTTGAACAAGGAGGATGCAGGGTTAAAACTCTCCAGGAAGGACGTGCGCATTACAGAAAAGAATTCTCACCGCCGCGCTCTAGTTTTCCTAGTAGTTGTTGATGGCAACAGACAAGAAAACTCTAACGGCCCATATAATGTTTGGGCAATACGGGAGACAGACTTCCGGAAAGACGGGTCTGGAACACAGCCGTATCTGTCGATCAAAGGGCGAGCGTGCAAAATTTTGATAAATCGTCGCCGATTACCCGCTCGGGCCCCAAGTCCCCGGTGACGGACCGCATGGAGACGGCGTACGAACTAATGAGTCGTACTCGTTAGAGGTCAAAGTAGACTAGTAGAAATGGGGCCGGTCAGTAGCGCTTTGAACGACAGGGTGTTGATCGAAACGGAATGTTCAGATTTATTCGAGTTCATGAAGTGTGATTTCCAAACAAGCAGTTCATAAAAATCTAAATTCCTGCGACATGATATTGTGTAAATTTGTTAACATTATTACTCTTTATTTATGTAAGTTTTCTTCGCGTGGCGGTGCGTCCAGTCAGGGGAAGCGAAATTGGTCACATCAAACTTGTTTGAATTTCCTCAGTTTGCGCGATAGACGGTCAAAAGTGTACCGAATTTCGAGGACATCTTTCATAGTGTAGATAAGCCAGCCGATCATGGGTTCCATCGTGGTCACTTGGGCACTCTCTCGTCTGCAATGTTGTCACTGCTAATTGCGCAGACGATCGGTATCGGGAGTTCGGAAGGAAACCTGAGTCTCAAGGGCCAATCCGCTGCCGAGTCGGAGACCAATGTTACCTAAGATATTTTCCCGACGTCTATAAAACTATTATTGATAGGGTTTGAGTATATATTAATTACTCGAGATATCCGCGACGCCAGCGACAATTAAAATTCGACTACCCTAGCAAAGGTTGGTGAGGAGCACTGCTGTGAAACCTGGACTATAGGATTCATCCATTGCTGTGAAACATTAGTCGCTATGCAATTAGAAAGCAAATATATTATGATTTATGTGCACAGACGGCGCACAGTGAGCTTAGGATGAGATTTTAGGTCGCGACCGATGTAGGCCCAGGGGTAGCGAAGCTATATACTCTGTACCAGTGTTGATAGTAGGTACCTTGGGATGCCAATGGAATGGGGCAGAGGTCTAGATGGAAGAAAGTGGGTACCGAAAGGATGCATGCAATCCAACGTTACACAGACCCAATGATAAGGCAGTGGATATAAGAATTCTTAGACAAAGAAATTAGCGAACAAATTCCTTCCTAGGTATACTTCGAATGTTGGTAGTATACTAGTATCTCCTCCATCTAGAGTACTCTACGACTGACCACTAGGTATATACTAGTAGTACGTGCATGAGTAGAAGACTTAATTTCATATCAGTATCAATACACCCAGTTGTGCGCCAATAGCTCCCGTCTATTGTATATGCCGTGAACGGCAATTAGGGGCTCTTCCGACCAGTAAAATGCCTATCTGGGAGTCATGCCAAGACCGGACCGCATGGAGTTCGGTGGCTTGTTCAAGGAAGAAATCTTTCTTGTGTACAGTATGCACGGACGTCAGTCGAAAGTGAGTGAAGAAAGGGAAAATTTAAAGAAAAAAAAATAAAACAAAAAAAAGACAAGAGGAAAAGGAAGTACTACAAAGGGAGAGGGACTGAGCTCGGAATCAAATCCTTGTGGGAAGAAGATCTGATGTCATGATTGCACGTTCCAAGGAAATAACTTGTTGGGAGGACGACGCTAGTCTCCTAGTCGATTTTGTCAAGAGAATCAAGGTTTAAGACTGAACTTGAATTAGTCGACTACGTTATGTACCTTAATCGAGTGGGTGCCAACTCCAGGAGGACTGATTCAGTCCTTCCCGTCAAATTAAGGTGTAATGACAGCAATTGGACCAAAAGTAACACACCGAGTGTCGCAAAAGGCAAAAAGAGGTTCAATTTTACCATCACCAGAGTGCGCGATAATTGGTTTACATGCTGTACGTCAGGAGATTCGAGACTGCATCTGCATAACATTCATGGGGGATATGTCTCTACTACTGACTAGTGCGTCAAAGCAAGGGGAACAATCACAGTCCTAATATAGGTAAAGTAACAATATTCTCCTAGCCTCAGACCATCGCCTCTATCTAGACCGTTGAGGGCCATCGCGAGTGAACATGCGCAGGTTTCATTGGTCGCTCCTGAAAACGATACCGGCGCTAAATTGGGTTCTGGAGAATGCAGGCTAAAGAGGGGGGGTGGAGAACTGATAGGACACTGACTTACTTTAGGGTGCGGTGACTAAAATTGAGGGTAAGTTGTATCGCACGTCAGGCCCCATATACTGCTAAATACTTTGGTCCCAACCAGAAATTGACCCGCCACCGCCGCAAACAGCAAGACAGCATTAACCAGGGTGGTAACCCTTTTTACCGTTATTCCTTATCAGTGGAACATGTATTAGAGAAGTGTAAACCCCACCTCAAGTTAGGGGCACCCCAAGATCAAGGAAGAAGGGCAAATACCTCCCATTATGATGTACAGTAGAAGAGGATTAAGAATTCAACCAGGTGAATCGGATATGTATCGCGACATCATTTACAAACTAGACCTGCAGGGAGCCACGTATTCCTTGATTTAGGACATTCCTGGGCAGTGACACTAGTGGACGTCCGACCTCCTCGGAGACATGCAGACCGATGGATTTTGTCAAGGTGCTAAGTACTACTCATCGTACGTAAATATACCTGCATATTAGAGATGCATACACACATTCAGTCTCCGCCATTGAGAAGGCCCTATTCATTCCGGAGATGCAGCCTTGAAGATCACCTGCCCTTCCTATTGACAACCACATGCACATACTGGCAGACAGATAGACCGACATGCATCATCAGCACATACGGCACCCGATCGCAAGGGTTTGCCAAATGCCACCGTGGAAAAGACAATGCGATATCGGGGATGGCGGGTAAAAGTATTCTCAAATAATTCAGTGGGTGGATGTATAAGTATTATAGAATGTATGAAGTAGATATACTTCCGATTAGATCCCTTAAGGATTTGCCACAGAGCAAGCCACCGTGAAACTGTGACTAAAGGAATATTAGACGGCGGTCTGGCCGACAGGAGATCGTGGGGGGCAAATCAAATGTCGTGAGAATCTGGAACTATAACCTGACCGTCCGGTACCCTCCATTTACCTGGAGCTCTACCCTTCGACCCACTGGGTCGGAACGCACTGACTGGTCTGTTGGGGGATCGTCCCACTGTCCCAGACCGTTCGATCGCCTATTTTAAGTTGTTGTATTACCGCTAATACCACCTCCTCGTCTTGTCGTTATCCATTGGTTTTGGCCGGTTTCCGGGTACGGCGGCAAACCTTTAGCCTTAGGCCACAAACTTATCGCCATGTATAGTAATGGTCATGGTGGAAAAGTAAGAATAACACTAAAAATTGAAAATTGAAAAAAAAGGGAAAAGAAAGCACTAAAAAGTGGATTGCTTGAGTAATCGATTGAATATCATTTTTTGCCATCAAGGGGTTGATAATAAAAAAAATGATGAAAAAAAAAAATTTTTTAAAAAAAAAACCACTTAAACATAGAAGAGAAGAAATCGGCATGGAATATTAATTCGAAGGAAAGATAAAAGAAAAAGAAAAAGAAAAAGAAAAAGAAAAAGAAAAAGAAAAAGAAAAAATCCTCCCCGTCTGTCTCAACTTAATTTCGTTTTCGCCCCTCTTGAATATTAGGAACAGTAACAGTCGAAAAATCCAAAATTCTCCGGTCATTAGGTTTCTTATCAACGATCATCTCATTGCCTTGATATATTGTGTACTGCGGCTCCGTCTCCGGTCCCCATTCTCCTCTCTCATCATCATCTCCACATCTCCCATATATTTCCTTTCTCCCTCCATGATTGATCATCCCATCTGTCTCTTTCAACGTCCGGGTTGAGTCTTACTAATTCCCCAATCTCATCCTTGTTTTCCCTTCCCTTTTCCTTAAACTTGAAACTCGATTGCTTCACTGGGATTATCTTACATTTTCTTTTTTTTTCTTTGTTTCATCTCACTAGATGTCGAGCTTTCAAGGTATGTGCACATATGTTCATCGAATCGTGATGCAATCTCCTTCTATGGCACCATTCCCCTTATCATGCCACAGCGATTGTTGCGTCGGTGATTTTCTCGAATCCCGTTCTTTGCGATTCCTTTTGTATCACCACAGGGAGTGATGGGGTGTTGTGATACGTCCGCCCTCGCCTCTATTTCCCGAGTACGGGACTGATGTCCAACGCTCCTTCTTGTGGTTTTTTATTCAACATTTCTTTCGCATTTTCCCTCCTGGTCGTGTGCCAATCTTTCTTGAACACAACAGTTCTCTCTTGATTTCAATTCACTGTTTCTGTACGACTTGGCTATATGTAAACCTGTTGCCACCCTTGTGCTCAGCTTCAACCTCATGCCTCAGCATTGCTTTCCACTACCACGCACTGTACTAACGCATCCAAAAGATCGTATTGACGGGGCCAGCTTGTATAAGATCCTCGTCTCTTAATATCTGCAACTTTAAGAGAAGCCAAAGTTTCCCTGTTGCTCAATTAGATCGCTCCTTGTGTTTCATCGCACAAATCCGGCCGGATGCCATATACTGCACCGCTCAAGTCTTCGCCTTTCGCGCAGCATATTGAGAACATTGAGCCGGAGTCTCAGTCCTGTCCCACGTCACCTACCTTGGTTGACCCGCCGGCGGACGACCACGCCTGTCTCGGTCTTACTCTTCCACGGCCTATGTGCGCAGACACCGCAGAAGCCCATCCACTAGCAAATCATTTACATTCTCAGCCCCAGAGAATGTGCGGAAGTCCAAGCAGACGATAGATTCTCATGCTACCATCAGGCAATCTCCACCTCCACGAAGTGACGCTTTTATCCCTCCTGGGGCAATGATCTCTCCTCCAGAGTCTGCCCAAAACTCTAGTGATGAAGAATCCACGTACGGTCACAAGGAGGGGCTTCGCCTGCAGGAGTTGGAGGTAGCTGTGAGGTCTATCGAGCAGAGGCGTGTTTCCTCTCCGGAGCGAGAAACCCAAGAGAGGAAGCCATCGTCCAGCGTAACACAGACAACTAATCCTACTAAGAAGCAGTCTCATCCACCTCTTTCTAAGGAAGCGCGCAAAATTTCCCATTCACGCTCAATAACAGAGCACGCCATTGATCTAAAGCAAGAGGAGGCAGTGACGAGCTCCCCCGATGAAAGCGATGGAGATGACGACCCGCGGGCGAAACAACCCATGGTGCGTAAGAAGTCGGGGGAACTCGTTAGACCGGCTCTCCGTCCGCCTTCAGCGCGACGACGCCCGTCGAGCATGCCTGGGACACCAACATACGCTAAGGCCGTTCACTTTGATGCCCAGCTAGAGCACATCAGGCACTTTTTGCAGTTGGATAAGCCCCAGGCTGTGAGTGCTGGCGGATCTCCAGTAGACGATTATGAATCTGAAGGCGGCTTTCCGTTCAACAAGGATCAGCCGGACATGACTTCCTTTGAATGGGATATTAGACTCCCAAACTTCCCTAGAGATGTTTCAACCCGAGCGCATCAACGAGTTCGGCTTGAACGTCTGTTTCTGTCGTCGGACAAGAACACCTTGGTTGGTGTGGTGGCAGTTGCTAATCTAGCCTTCCACAAACATGTCGCAGCTCGTTTCACATTCGATCATTGGAAGACGATCTCTGAGGTTATTGCAGAATACAGTGACGATGTTCGCCGTAAGCAGATTAATGATGGATATGACCGATTTTGCTTCAGTATCAAGCTGGACGAGCAGGCAAACCTAGAAAAGAAGACCATGTTCCTTTGCGTTCGTTATTACGTCGATGGACAGGAATTCTGGGATAACAACCGGACAATGAATTATCAGGTTACCTTTCTTAAGATTCCTACATCGAAGCCCGATTCTCATGGTCTGCCTGTCAAGCCGATCACAGTGTCTCGCGCTCCCCTTCCTCGGAGCAAGACCTTTGCCGGCTCTAGCGCCAACAACCAAGGAAAGTCTCCGTCTTTCGATGACTTTTCGAGTATGAACGACTATCTTTCCTTTGACCGCAACACACGAGGTACTAAATATCGGCCTGCGTATGGAGTTAAATCACATGATGACGATACGGTGGCTCCTGTGCGTCGTGACAGACAGTCTTCCCAGATATTTGGTAGTCGTTATGACTTCGAAACATCTTTGAATGCTGCGATGCGCACAAAGTCAGCACATGACCGGACCACGCTCACCGCTCGGGCAAAGTCTGAAGTTTCCCCACCAGGGGCTGAAAAGTACAGCCCTGTTAGGGGAAGAGGGGCGATTGTCGACCGGCCTCTGGGCAATAGTCATTCACAGCCAAGAAGCCAACCTCAGACTGAACAATCGAAGCCGTCCTCTTTATTGTCAAGCAAGCCTCATCGAGAGTCCTCCGTATATAAGGAGCTTGTTGACCGATATTGCTTCTTCGGCTCCTCGAACCCTTCCCCCAGCACTCGCCCCATATCAAGCTTGGATAAGTCTTCCTCTCAGTCCTCACCAACAGCGTCTCCCAAGATGGACGCAGCTACTGGTGGCAGCTCCCGCAATTCTTCACCCACCCCACACAGTTATCCATATATCGAGCCCATGCAAAGCAGTTTCCTCAAGGAAACACAAAGACCAGCAGTTATTCAAGGATGAATGAATCTGCACCTTAATGACGAATTATATTCGGTCTTACGCGTATGACGAGTTGGACGTTTCGTCATCTAAGATAACATCTACTAATATCCAACAACATACTACCTCCATCCATCAGATACGAGATTGATTGATCATCTTCTCTCCGATGTTGATACTTACGCTGTATCGTGCAGTATGAGATGTGTCATTTCTATTGCAACCCTTAATGTGACCTTTGTGATACCTCTTTTATCTTTATTATGGTTGTGCCCTTTTCATGGTGTTGAAGCTCGAAGCATGGCCTTTGCGATGGTAATAAACCGCGGGTTCCCACTTCTTGCGCCAGCTTTTCCCACTGAAGGGGCATAAAAGTCATCATCACATGGTGTTGGTACCTCGATTTGTATGCTCTCGCCGATGTGTCAGTTTTTATTTTTATCCTTGTCTTATTTTTTCTCATCATGATCATGAAGTTATGTGTCTCTAGTAATCCATTGGTCGGCAGCATTCACTGAGAGCGTTTCCTATGATAAGGCACCCACACGAGGATGTCGTTAAAAGAAGTTGATTGCATTTAGCATATTGTTAATTATCATTTATTCAACTTGAGCGTTGTACGGAGTTTGATCGCACATTTTCGTCCAACTCCCCTCCAGAGTTCCTTTTTCTTTCCTTTTCTAAAGGCGTCTTGGTATGATATGTGATAGCGGAAGGATGTATGACAGATACAATACAGGTTTACAGTCAGATTAAAGAATAATTTTGACATGAGCTACAAGGCTTCGATGATATCTTGCGAATAGTACTTCCGAAGCTCTCTGACCTTGCAGTGGGTGTTACCAGGCTAATTCAACGTAACATGACCAAACAGTCCACCTTGCGGGTTGAAGTTGTACACATGGTTTGGTAACTGTTGGCGGTGGCGCGTCCTCACTGGAGTCGGTATGTAGGCGACCCGCAAGGAGAATGTCAGGTATGAATAGTGGGTTTTCTTTATCACCAGAAAGTCGTAGGTGTAATAAATTGAAACTTTCAAGCATTTCTCCGAGTGTTACATACATATAATAATTGCTTTGCCTTGCCTTTCGTGGAGAATCATGGGTATAAGCTATTCTGAAAAAACATCGCATTTGATGGGGTTGAGATATCCGACGTTATCGTCACGTGATAGGCGCCCGCTTCCCCCCCCACGTTCCAGCAGGTAATGCGCCAAAACAACGAACGCCCAAAAACACGGGCTTGAAAGCGGTCGTTCATAACGCCCTTTTTCACCCCCGCTACCCGCCAATCAACACACTGCATTGCTTTTGACTGTGCCAGGGCATCCTCCTACGATTAGTCATTAACCCTGTGTGAAATTCTAGGGCGAAATCACCCTTTCCCTTGCCGCCCGCCCGAAAAAGCTATATAAGCTATAGCCCCTCTCCTTAGAAAGCCTTTCCTGACGCTCTTTTCCCTTTTCCTCGCAATCTCTGATTTCAGCAACTGGCCCGCAACGCGTCGCGTGTTATCATCCTACAACTCACCATTTCCATCTATATCTCATCGATTTTTATCTCTTTTCTTTCATCTTGAACTTTAAACAACATGTCTGGACGTAAGTACTTTCCTGTCGTTCTCCCTTGGTTTTCGAAGACTCCCTCAGCGTCGTCGGTATCCAAGTTGATGATGCACGCCTGATGGCACGTGATGTCATGTGGTAGCCTGAGGCATTTATTGCCTTGGATCCAACATCCTACCTGTGGACACTCCCTAGCCTACTCTACTCCCCCCATCTGTTATTAACTCTTACTGACATCCATCCAATTTAGGCGGCAAAGGCGGCAAGGGTCTCGGCAAAGGTGGCGCCAAGCGTCACCGCAAGATCTTGCGTGACAACATCCAGGGTATCACCAAGCCCGCCATCCGTCGTCTCGCTCGCCGTGGTGGTGTCAAGCGTATCTCTGCCATGATATATGAGGAGACCCGTGGTGTTCTCAAGTCCTTCCTCGAGTCTGTCATTCGTGATGCCGTTACCTACACTGAGCACGCCAAACGTAAGACCGTCACCTCGCTGGACGTGGTCTACGCCCTCAAGCGCCAAGGCCGCACTCTGTACGGTTTCGGTGGCTAAATTCCTCGCCTTCGAGTCCTTTTTGTTTTGTTCCTCGTCCAACGTGTAATGGCAGCTGTCGTCACACGATCGATTCTCGCTGGCTCAAATGGACGGAGGTGCTGAGCGCTTTATGGTGTGATACTTGTTAATTTTTTTTTTACGGAATCTGAATCATGATTACCACTGGGTACGGGGTTTTGGGACGGTCGGGTTTCTTTTTTGTTCAGAAGGATGGTATCTGTCGGGTTTGGTACGGCTTCGTTTGGAGGGAGCAATGGGTTGAACTTTTGGTAGACTCATTGAAATAACAATCCAACTACCTAGTAACATTTCCTTTTGAATCAGATCTCGTAGACAGAAAGTAGTACCTGAAGAGGATCACATGCCGCGACCGTTGCATGCACGGGCCACACGTGAGCATGACGTTATCCCCAATCCAGGGCTTTTGAACCTCGGCCGATGTCGAACGAGAAGACCTCTGCATACTAATCATCTGGACATTGCATGATAACGAATTCTATTCATTTCTACTTCATATCTATTCGATATGAGCCCATACTCAGCCGCCCTATATTCAATTCTGATCCCACAATCCACAGCTTGAGCACTATCATCGACCTTTACATGTACTCCGCATAATTCCCCACTTTGACAGCCTTCCCTAACACTGCAATTTTCGCTGTACAAAATGCCCGAGTACGGGGTGTCATATAACCCCGAGCTGGTATGTTGTCGCCGTCGTTGCTTACTTCTCACGGAATCCTATTTTCTAACACCGTCGCCATTGAGCTACAGGATACCTACTCCCTTTACCAGCGATATGAAGAACCCCGCCCGAACAAAGACTGGAAAACAGCCGCCCTCCGTGGCCCAGCTCTTCCAGCTCTCGGAAATGCAGTAGCTGGTGCTGTTGGAGCGGCTATATCCAATGTCGCTACGTACCCGTTGAGTCTTATCATTGCCCGACTGCAAACACAAAGCCAACGCAACCCCAAAAAGACGACGAAGATTGAAGGGAAGGGTGAAGAGGAGAAGACGGAAGGTCAAGACAAAGATACGGAGGACAGTAATGAAGAAGACCAGGAAGAATACACCGATATTCTTGACGCAGTACGCAAGATCTACGCCAAAGAAGGACTCGGAAGCTTGTACACTGGTCTTGCCCAAGACACAGTCAAAACCGTAGCCGACTCGTTCCTGTTCTTCCTAGCATACGGGTTCTTTAGACAGCGGAGGATTAATGCCCGGTATGGTCCCGCCCGGAAAGGCGGGAAGCATGTCGTCCTACCTATATTTGATGAACTAGCCGTCGGTGTTTTGGCGGGCGCGTTCGCCAAGCTGTTCACGACGCCGTTGGCTAATATCGTGGCGCGAAAGCAGACATCTAAGTCTTCGTCTAGTACTAGAGATATAGCTGCTCAGATTCGATCTGAGAAGGGGATCAAAGGGTTCTGGTCGGGTTATTCGGCTTCTCTTATCCTTACGCTGAATCCATCCATTACGTTCTTCTTAAATGAGTTCTTGAAATATAGCCTTTTCCCCCGGGAGAAGCGCGGAAAACCGTCGGCGGCTGCTACCTTCCTGTTAGCTGCCATCAGCAAGTCAGCGGCATCGTCAATCACATATCCGATCTCAATGGCTAAGACTCGAGCCCAAGTCACCGGCTCGAGCACCACCCCTTCAACTCATAATGGGGAGAAAGACGACTCCGACGATGGACTGTCATTGATACCACCTATCATTTCCAATGTGGTTAGTATAGCTCGTACGGAAGGCATCCAAGCTCTCTACGCAGGCCTACCAGGCGAAGTACTCAAAGGCTTCTTCTCCCACGGGTTCACCATGCTCGCAAAGGACGCAGTATACTCCATCATTGTACAGAGCTACTATCTTCTCCTCATCGCTTCTCGGCGATACCCTACACCGGATGAGTTGATCGAACGAGCCCGCCAGCAAGCGGAGGAATGGGCCGAAGCTGCCCGAGAAGGTGCCCGCGACCTCGTTGAGAAAGTCAAGGATACAGATGCCAGCGTTCTTGATCACAACGCAGGAAATATAACTGTTGAAATGAGTTCTAGCGGCTCCGTTCCCTCAACACTAGACCTGCCGGAAGGGAACGAGACGGCAGAGTTGGTGGGAGATTATGTGGAAGATGAAGCGACCGAGTGGAGGAGCTTATACCATTGGTTCTGGGAGAAGGAGAGATATGGAAAGGAGTAGGGCTATCCTCTATCTTACATTTTTGTGTATTTTGATGATGTTCAGCGAGATTGTAGATGTGTTGCGCAGTCAATTTGGTGTTAAATGCGTGTTCGTCGCATTGTGTCTTAAAAAACATATATTTCTCGATGTCAGTAATAATAGTATTAGTTAGCAACATGGAAGTAAGTAGTATATGCATCCACCTTACAAAAGGCATTCTTTCAAATTAATGGTCCTTTATGATATAAGTGGTTTATCAAGTTTTCGATATACGCTTACTAGGTAAAATGGTTATTGTTGTACAGTGCTTGACTATTATCATGGTTATTATCCCTGCTCCAGGCAGTTCAGTGAAAAGAAGCGCTACATCAAACCAATAACAGGAACGCAGAACGCTTTGGGTTCATCAAGAAGATTAAACAAAAAACAGGAGGTAAAGATGTTAGACAAACAAATCAATGATAAATGTTCAGACAGCCTCCAGGTATGCAAGCATAACGCACAGTCCTCAGACAAAAGAACAATATGCACACATGTTAAATCTTCGAAGATCGTAAACCGTCTGTAGCTCAACGAGAATCAGAACATAGAACAAAGCCAAAATAAAAGGTATCATAACAATCTGTTTTTGTCTTCCTCTGACCGTTGCCGGTAATGCGTAGTAAATTATCAGTAATATTCGTGACAATTGAAACCCCGTTATATCAGTTCGTAGGATATTAATGAGAATAAAGTAGTTCATAAATCGTCAATTTGTCGTTATTTATCATGAGATTTCATGTATAGCAAGCATTATCATCTAAACGCTTGCTGTTCTGCGTTTCTCGCTCGGCTTCTGTGCATATGCGATTACGAGGCGGAACCCGGTGCCTCTCTTCTGGCATTCACGGAGCACCTTCCTGTCGGACCAGATACTGAGGCCTGCGTCGCCGTTCGCCAGGACTGGTATCTCATAGCATCTTGTGTACCACCAGCGACCGACTCTGGCGACGATTTTTCGGATGGATTCGTCGTTGGAAGGGGAAGGGGAAGGGTCTGAAAGGAGGTCGCCGAGCGATAGGTCGGTGTCGTTGGAGGATGATTTGCTATGGGCTTTTGTCTGGGCGCCAATCGATGAATTGGAGGGGTGTGACAGTACAGTGGCGGAGGTGGCTGTAACCGCTAATGTGGACGGATTCGATGATGATGTGGATGAGGACGAGGCTGATGATCTTACAATCACCCCTGCCACTGGAATCCGTACTATACAGCGTCGTAGGTTGTCGAACCCGTGTCGTCCCAGCAGGCGTTGTATGCTGTCGCTCGAAGGCTTGAGGCTGATACTGGGGTCTGTTAAGTAGGTCCTCTCCTTAAGGTTTCTGACAGCCTTTCGGGTGCGAATTCCCATGTTCACCATGTCGAGATCAAGTAGACTCATCTCCATGTAGCCCCCGGGGCGCAGCACACGCTTGCACTCTGAAATGATATTGTCTTGTACATGTTCAGAGCATGCTGCGGGGAAGCGTAGAACAGTCACTGTGAAGTATCGTTTAGGAAACGGGAACCGATCCTCAAGGCTTGCATGGTGGATAGTGTGGTGGTTGGATGGCGGCTGCCAGGCGTCTGGATGTTTGGATCCTGTTGGAGTCGGTGCATCGTTCAGGTTGTACACTTCGGCATTAGGATATGTCAAAGCACAGTAAAACGACCAATCATCGTTTCCTAGCCCATCCACTACTAGGATCCTCTCTTCCTCTCCATTTTTGATGTGATTATGAGCGGGGCTGAATAGAACCCTTCCGAAGGACAACCATCGACTAGTCATGAGTGATCCCGATCTGATGTTGGTTTGCGCTGTCGGCCCCTCCCGATCACGCTCAGCAATATCAAACAAAATTGTATTCCGTTGCCGACAGGTTTCGAAGCTTGGCGAGGGATTCAAAGAAGGTGATGTGAGGAAACTGGACTGCTGCTCAATAGACAAGGATGGAGTCGACAAATTATTCAGATTGTCCTCATGCAGATTTTCTACACTTTCATCATTGTGGTAGCAGGCGATTATGTCACTAAACGAAGGCTGACTAGAAGGCACAAGTGACGAGTGTAGAGTTGGGGCAATCTTGGATCGCCTCAGGTGGAAAGACCCGGTGCTTGAAGTTGGAGATGCCGGAGTGAGTGCTACAGCAGGATTCTCGACAGCTGTGGGAAAGGCCTGGCGATCGGAGAGCCCGTTAAGTTCAGCCTGAAGAGCTCTACTTGCCATGGCGGCCAGTTCAAACTTCTCATCCGCCTCTGAATCACCTGGGCAAAGCGGCCTCGCAGTTTCAGGTGAGAGAACATGGTCAATGAGGTCATCATATTCTCCCCACACTTCATCTTCGGTTAAAGCGGACTCAGGCTCTGGGATAACAGCCGTGACTGCTGCTAGGCTCTCAGAGCCACTTGAGCTTGTTATGGTCGTCGTTGACTCCTTCCTAGGATAGAATGTCAAGAATTGATCCGAGGAGTAAGGTCCAGCAATAAAGTCCAAAACACTACGGCTCATGGGGTCGCCAAATGGTTGGGTAAAATCAAAGCCAAAGCTTGACGGATTCCCATGATACGTCCCTTTTTGAGCCTCTGGTGCAGGCAAGCCCGGCGGTGAGAAGTCAAATAGCTTAGTCTCCACGGGGGCTGCGATCGAAGGAGAATCGGCCATACTGAATGGCCTTGAGAAGGATTGCAAAGCTGGTCGGTGCTGCCTGTCTCTTCTCGAGACTACGCGTGGAATCCGACCGACCGAGGCGAGGCGTGTTGGGCGCTGCTCTTCCATGAATTCTACTAGACTTGGGGAGCTGGGAGGCATCTGATCCTTATTGAAGTAGACCTTCGTAGAAGCCTTGAATTTGCTGTTCAACTTAGGAGGGGACGGCAGCAAAATAGATTCGCTGGGCTTCCTAATATTCAAGGCCGCTGGAATCTCCACTGGAGTATCGGGCTTTTCTTCCTCGGTTGGTGGTGAATCCTCAACATTCCTTATAATATCCTCTAAACCTTCAGAGTCAGCATCAACCAAAGCATAATGTGCAATAGGCCGGCGAACTGCTGCTGCTAGCGATACCGTAGCTTGGACACGATGGGGAGGTGGGAGTGGGGTTTCACTTCTCGCATGTTTAGTGTCGCGGCTTTTCTGGAAAAAATTCCACTTTAGACCTAATCCTTTCTTGGGTGACTTATTTGGCTGACTCGTCGCTCCATTTGTCTTCACAGAGTTGGGTGAACCCTTAGCACCTGGGCGGGTTTGCCCAGAGCCAATTGTACGGGCTTGTGGTCTCTCAAAATCGACATTCGAGCTCGAGATCGGCGTCTCTAAGCTCTCAGTATTGCGAGTCTTTGACTGGTGGATAGATGCAGGGGATACCAGCACATTGTTTTTTGGCTTACTTTCTCGACCAAGCTTCTCGAATTTGCCAATGGTATCGGTCGAAGACGTCAATGGCTCCCTGGAGTAGCCGTAGGGCTTTGGGGCTGCGGCATTCTGGGGTGGGCTCGTGACGGAGCTTGTACTAAGATCACTTGAGCTTTGCTCACTCTGTGTTCGAACCAGTGTCGCATCGTCAAAACCTCCACCATTGATAAAGACAGGATCGAGACGATCAAGCAAGAAATCATCGAGTTCCATGTCTGGACGACTGTTCATGCTTCCTTTACTAGAAATAGATCTAGATGCACTTCTCACCGTGCTGGTAGACCTTGTCCTAGACCTGCTACTGGTGGTGCTTGTCCTTCGACCGCGTTGTGCGTATTTGCCGTATCCTTCGTGCCCTGTTCCCGCAGACGGACCTTTGCGAGCCGTGCGACTTCCTTCAGACGATTGTGCTTCCAATTCAGGCTTAGACTTTTTAGCGAACAGCCCAAATCTTCGAATCTTGGATGAGCTTGTCAGGGTATGAGGAATCTCCTGCGCCTTTGTTTCTCTTGTCGAGGCCCGGGGGCTTTTTCTTGAAAGCTCAGGTGATAGACGATAAGGCAGTTGAGCAGAACTCGACTGTAGTGAATCCACTGAAGTCGACGCTGATTGAACGGAGCCTAGTGGACGCCCTCCAGAAGTGAATGAGCTTTCCACTGAAGGCTGTCTGTTGTGGCTTGTCACTATATCAGGTGACAGGTTACTTCGGACCACAGGTGATGGTTCCACCTGCAACCGATGTGTTCCTTCTCTACTCGGCCGTGCTGGTGTGTACGTGGCATTACTTTCAGTGCTCTCGGGTGATCGAATAGCTTGGGAGTTCTCTTGGCTTAAGGAGCCTAACTCTATATCAGCCTTCTCCCGTGTCTTTCTCGGGAGACAAGATTTGGCGGCTACTTTTCGGGAGGGAAGGCTTCCAGAAACAGTGGAAGTATCAACTACCAGTCCTTCCGCTGCAGAGTTCTGGCTTCGGCTTTTACAGGAAGAAGTTGCGCTCGGCTCTGGGACGGAACCAGGAGACTTGATAGCCCTCGGATGGACTGAATGATCTTGTGATGTTTGTTGCACCCGCCGCGATGAGACAGGAAGTTTGGTTTGGGATGGGCTTGGTTGTCTGATACGGGGTACGGCCTTAACCGGTTGTACAATTCCTGGTGAATAGGAAGATAAGGATGTGGGTGTTGACGTCCTACTCCACATGCCTGGGGAGCCAGAGTATCTTGTTGACGGACTGCTGGCCGAGGCAAATATAGGAGTTGGAGGAGGTAAGTTTTGCGTATTGAGAGTAGTTCGTAGACTTGCAAGCTCCTTTGGTACATCGTGAGCTTGCTGTTCGGGGCGTCTTCCCACAGCTGTATCCTGAGGTGTGTATGGTGAAACTGTTTCCTTCGTCGACCCGGCTTGACTCTGCCCGGGTGGTGAACTTCCACCCATGACTTGGCCCGGATGGGTAGTATCTGGGATCATAACATTTAGCTTTTCTGTCTTTATACCCTCGGTAATTGACTTGTTGTTCCCAGTGTGTTGCCCAATACTCGGTGCCTTCCTCCGAAGAACATTCCGTGGCTTACCACGGATAGGCTGTTGAGCCAGTGAGTTGGAAGGCGTCTCAGTGTTCACTCGTAGTGGTGGTCTTTTCTCGGTATTTAACACACTTGGAGTAGAACGAGCTACTGAAGGCAATGGATGGGTAGCTGCTCGCGGAGGCAACAACGAGCGAGCATTGTGCGTGGATAGTATTCTAGACGGCTTCGATGGTGCTGCCGGATGTCGTGAATCGGCGTCGGATAAAGATGACCCCTTGTGGGACCCGGCCTTAATGTTGGTGGGCCTTGTAATGTGCAGCGCTGATGATATAGAAATTGAGGAATTAGAAACTCTCGCCGATGCATTGATAACAGGCAATGGTGCATTCCGCGACTGGGAGGCAAGGTCCTTTAACCGCGGTATTCGACCGCTCTCAGACTTGTGCGACGCCATGGTGCTACCTGAGTCCAATTTCCAGCTCCAGTCCGCAGACTAATAATCCAACCGTGGGTGAAATACAGTATGGCCATGGAATCATCCCGGCTAAATAATGATCACTGCTTCTAATATAGCCGCCAACGATGTAAGCATTAAACCTAGGTGCAGTATGAGAGCCGAGATTTACCTACCTTCAAATTATATCACTGAGATTAGAAAAAATTGGCCAGCAATCATTAAACCCATGTTAGCATTTCTGAAGGCGTCATATAGTAAAAAGAGAGAGAAAAAAATAGATATTAATTGCGTGGGGGGATCTATTGGTGGGACAGAATAAGCACCAAAAGAAGAGCAAGCAAAGCAGAGCAAAGGTAACTTTGCCAAAAGAAACTCGGTGACCTCTTTTCTATACGAGGGGAGATGTGATGTAATAATATCTAGGATAGCGAAGTACTGAAAAGCGGTCAATTTCTTCTTTTTTTAATTTTTTTTTAAAAAGAATGACCAGACAATTTGCATGTACTCCGCCACAGCCCACTGTGGCTAACATGCAATGCAAAGTTGTTGACTGTTGGGAGCTGTGTCTGCACGACCACGTCAGAGGAGAAATTTTTAAGACAGACAATAGAAGATGATAGTGATTTAGTAATGTTGACACAGAGACCAGCTGTGCAAGAAAGAAAGGAAATGGTAGAAAAGAATTTTAACGAACCGAATTTAGATCATGGAGCGAGGAAACTGGGGACAATCTGGACTTTTCAAGTTCAAGGATGTGCCCAGCGCTAATTTGGACCATACCAAGACAGACTGGTACAGCGGGGAGACATGGTTTCTATTCGCAGATTAAGTGCCCATATAGAGGCCGCAGAGAGAAATCCTGGATGGTTCTGTGCGATCGACATTGGACCCGTTGTCGAGCACAGATGTGACCGGGGAGACTATTGGTGCGAGGACAGGTAACTTTGTTTCTGTTAGCGATTGTATTAAGCCTTGGATAATTTAGAATCGCCAAGAATCGATGAGAAAGGCAAAGATAGTGCAATGCCCTCTAAAAACACGACCCCGACTGAGAGTGGACCCCCGTCAACCGTAAAAGGAACGTGCACGATAGTACGCAGAAAACTGAAGTCAAGGACAGGTCTACTACATGGACCCAGTCGGGTTGCTCTGACTGGTAAGCATAATAACCTCAGCGGATTGGATACACTGAAACATGGCAGTTGACAGGTTGGAATGGGGTTAAGTGGCGTGAGATAGCGAAATAGTCCGTCGTATGCGCAATCGGCACTTTCGCCAAAAGCCCCTCGTCAAGCACACGCCCAGATGGCAGATGCAGGCATCAGCAAATCTGTTGGTAATGCGGTGCTGCAGTAGTCCAGAGCTCTATTTGGTCTGTGTGTTGGTATGCAAGCTGTGATAGGACGGAATTCGGACAATTTTTTGCGAAGAATTTCTTTTCTTAGTAATGGATAGTTCCCAAGTCATGTGGTGATCAGTGACTTGCGATCGTCCCCCCGGCGAGGCCGAATACCACTAATTGATCATCATGCATGTACGACGCTCAGTTTTGCCTTGTTCAACATGACAATTTACAATTCCTACACGAGCCGTTTCGTACTTTAACAAGATAGCACTCTTGCCCACCGTTTTTTCTCTATACAATCCTATCCAAGATATATACTGAAAATCAACCATACCTGAGTGGCAGAATGCTCCATGCCTGCCACATCGGAATGGCTTTTGCTCTCCCGTCACTAAACCGTAGATTCTACTCTTCTGGTACGCCGAAAGGTTCGGGGCGACCCTTTGAACACACAACAAATTCTCCATGGTATCCGTGGGATGACGGATAAGTTCACGGCCGAAACGGGCTAAATAGATGGGTCTGAGAGAATCTCATAATATAACAAACAAGAGCCACTCATAGACATGAAAGGGCATCCCGGACAAAGAAGCTGAGACCCCGGGGTTTATTAGGCCGTGCCCCAAGTGAAAAATGGCACCGTCCTGTATGTATCCTTTGTGTGTGGGGACGCTGAGCCGTGGGTCCTGATCCGCCGCTAAATGGAGAACCAGCCATGGGCGATCCTGATTGACGGAAGACGGCCTGACGGGAACGCGCGAGGCGACATGGGTTCAATCCGCCAGCCTTAGCACCGATGGGCAAAAGGCAACTGCGGTGAGGGATTCGCCAGACCAAAGCAGAGCCTCCGTGATACTTCCGGCCCCTGTGGGGACGGCGGTAAATTCGAACATGCTTTAACGGGTGTGAAAACACTGTCGCTGTGCCGCAGTAAGTACGGGGGTCTAGACAAATGTTCCAAGTACCAATCACGGATCGGCGCAGAAAACTCGAGATGTTGGCCCAGCCTACGTGACCGGACTGGTTGAGAGAGGAAATTCGATGTGAGCATCCAGGCAGGCTAAAGAGAGTAGTTGAAGTAAAGACCAACCCTGTACGGAGTACTTCTGTCCTTCTGCAATAACGATCATTCTACGGAGTACGCACTTAGCGAGCGAGTTATCGATCAGATCCGATCAGGAAATTAGTTGGCATACTATTTCGAGCGAAGTGGGCGCTGGTTTGCTGCAGGAACGGAATCCGCTCCTGCACTTTTCAGCTGACTCGTGTATTTCGCCACTTCCACGAGTCTTACACCAATATGACAACGTAGGACAACATACGGTATGCTACGGAAGAAAGGGGAAAGAAAGAAGAAAAAGAAAATATATTCTTTCTGTGACGCTGATCGGTCGATGTTCCCAACTCAGTTACGTTGTCTCCATCCTTCCTGTCGATCCTTTTACCTATTACGGGTTGTAAACCAGGCTCTCCATATTTGTCTAATAGCGCACTCACTTGTATGTATGTACGTACTCTGCAAGTAGTACGAGTGTCTCGTATTGCTATTGACTACTAGTATTGAGGCTGACCCCATATTGCTGGCGACTTTCTAAATGAAATAAGAGAGAGAGAGAGAGAGAAGAAAAGCAAAAGGGAGAGACGTTCCGTGTAATATGGTAAATGCATACACTAAGATTCCAGTAATGATTCCCTCAAAACGCCTATGAAATTGCACCAGATTTAAAAAAAAAAAAACAAAAGTGGTAAAGAAACATGGGACTAATCACGCCGCAGCCCCAAATCGCTTCTTCCTAGCCTCCAAAGCGAGCTTATCCTTTTCACTCAAACCACTGCTGACAGGCTTCTCATTGCTGCGTTGGTTTTGACCTTGGTTACGGTTACCCGGACCCCGTCGCCGGTTTTGATTCTGACTCTGATTCTGATTCCTGTTCCTCCCACCGAAATCTCGTCTTTTGCCTCCCCGCTTGCCTTGATCATTCTCGCCGCGACCCCTCTTGCGGGTCTTCTCGCTGGGAAGTGCCTGGTCCAATTTGCTAACTCCGGTTGTAGTTGGTTCCTCGGGAGCAGCACCAAACCGTTTAGCCCTCTCGAGTTTTCTCTCCACTTCTTCGATAGCAGTCTTTGAATCTTCAGTAATGCCAAATTTCTCGGCACGAGCCTTGCGCTTCTTCAATTCCTCCTCCATGTCAGTAACGGAAAGGCCAATGGAGTAGTCCGGCGCGGGCTTCTCCTCAGCCGGAGCTGCCTCAGTCGTCTCAGCGGCCTCAACAGGTGCTGCCTCGGTCCCGTCTTGTGCAGTTGGGGCAGCATCCCCATTAGACTCTACCTTAAGATCGTCTGTAGTAGCGGGGTTGATGTCTTGCTGCTGGTTCGGAACTGCAGTCGGGTTAGATACAGCGGCCTGGCCGCCAGCAGCGATCGCGGCAGCACCAGTCTCCGTCGACGGCTTCGCTGCGACAGCATCTGCGGCAGGGACATCATCGTCTTCCCAGTCAATCACATCCTCTGCATTATCGGCTTTTGCGGCTGGCGCTGCAGTCTGAGCCTTGCTGTTATCATCCTCCTGGAGGCGGGCAACCATCTCTGCCTTCTTGCCAGTGTGAGGCAAAGAGCGAGACTTGAGGATCTCCACTAGCTCGGCATTAGTCTTCTTGCCGTAGTCGGTGGCCATTTTTGATGTAATGAATCGTCAATGGTCGATAGCGTCCGGAGATGAGCGGCAATTCGTTGAGCGCGATACCCTGGCGACGGAGATGAGCGGATGGAGCGGGTCCAGCGCGTAGGATTGATAAATTTTATTTTAGTTGCCAGCAGTCATGCGACCATGCGACAAGTAATATCGTTGATTCGGGCTGGTATTGGATACTCAATGGATGGTGTAGCCAGATGGCAAGGTTGAACCGAGCTCTTGGTAGAAGCGTCGCGTTGACGCGGTAGCGGACACCTGACCTATCTGCGGCTGACTTCCCAATCAGGATATTTAGTCACGTGATCTAATCCACTTGGCCTTCTGTGTCTATGAGAAAAGGATTTCCTGGTTACTCCTCAGACACGGGATCTCGAAGCTGAACATTGGAGTAGATCTACTGCGGTCTCACAATATTACTGAATAAAGAGGAATGGACTACGCAAGGACCGTTTAGCTCCTGTTGATGGTGGAAGGTTTCCTAGTTTTTGAGTCATGTTCATAGCTTCCAATAGCAGTTTGCCAACTGGGCAGTGGGAGGCACTGCTAGAATGGATACAAGAAAACTTTTGGCGTAAAAGGGTCAGATCGAAAATTTGAGCTCATCAGGGCGTCTGACAGTTGATAGCTGAAGGGCGAGAAGCTGGAAAGAAAGTAATGACATGGCAAGCAAGATGTGGCTGTGGCAACTGTCGGTGTTCCGCGCCACGGCGCCACCGATGTCACCATCATGTGATCTATAAACATCGTGCGACGCCCTGTTTAGGCCCCAGAGATCTGTACTCCATGTTACCTATCCTTCCATGATTAAAACTTGTTAGCTAGCGCCGATTGTAGGGTGTGGTTTATCATGTTAAATGGCCTGCTGAGCTATATCGTGTGCAATATTACCATGAGTACTAATACTATGGCTAACTACTAGAGCTGCTACGAACCTATCTCAGAGGCTCAGACATTTCTGACGAGGAAAAGGTCTGCTTAGTTACGCTGCCTAGAATTATATAACTCCTAACCAATCAGAGCGCAGGCCCCCTTCCCTCGTCAAAACTGTATTACTACTAGTAGTAGTGGGTTTATTTATGGACATAATCACATTATATAAACAACAGATGCATAACTAACTAAAAGCCAGAGGGTCTGAACCGGCTGAGATAATTACAAACATACCTTCCGTCAAACCCTGTAGCATATGCTTTTGTCTATTTTCTTTCTTTCTTTTTCTTATTTATTATAACGGTCTATATCCGTGAGTAAAATTATCCTGTGACTGTAACCTACTTAGAGAACATGGCAGTGTCATGGTGGTTTTCCTGCATTACTATCACTAGATTCACTACGCCTATAATAATTAGCTTTATCCTTTGTGGGATATCTACAGGCTGCATCACCCTAAAGGTCCACTCTTGAATTGAGTATGATACAGATGTCTAAATACTCCAGAGTACTGTTGAAAGAGAAATAACGCCAAGTCGTAGATCTTCTATTGCTAATGTGCCTTTGTATATGTTGTTCCCGAGGGATTGTTCCAACCGAAGGAGTATGTGGGTCACTGTCATCTGTAGCTTCAAGGAACGGACGAAACCCTCGCTTATCACCTTCGCTGTAGGATTTTAGTTATCCTCTATGATCTGAGGGAGCACCTAGTCATTCCTTAGGAAGTAATACTGCTGTGCCTGTCAGAATTGCCTAGGCTTGAAAGTTCGTTCGTAGACTGATCACAAACGACAATAAGCAGCACTGCTGTTTATCAGCGGTTAAACCCCGAGTACATTCGTTGGGCCGACAGTTATAAGAGCAAGCAGACCATGTTTATATCTTTCAAGTCCTACATTAACCGAAGCCAGCCCGGAGTTCACGAGGGGTGTTTCTAATTGCCCCAGATACGGACCTGAGTACGGAGTAGATAATATGACTATGGTTTCTGACCATACTTTACTGGTTTACAAGGATCAGTAGCAGGCAGTCCAAGACATATTTAGCGTTTGGAACATCAAGGCAGATCCTGCTTTACCTGCGCTGACAAGGCTGGTAGTGCATTCTAGCATTCCCTTTTGTACCCTGATGTACTACCTTGCATGATGTGCGTATATATCCTGCAGTACAAAAGAATTGGCAATCATAACAGATGAAAATCTAAACCTCAAACACTTACTCCGTAGATACACACCAAATAACGACCATCAGCCCTAGTCAGTAATAACATCCATACAAACAGGATCGATGTTGTAGTTCAGTTTTAGCCGAGCTTTAACTCGGTAAGTCTCTGGAAGAGATCCCGAGCGAATGACCCACGTGCCGATTACCCGATCGATATTTCAATCTGACAGTCAAAGCAAGCCTTTTCACTCCACTTCCCTTTCGGTTGTCGTTCAGGCATATCAAGCGAGTCAAAGATGAACAGATTCGACTCGAAACATGTGCCCTAAAGGAGGTTGAGATTGAGCACTGTCCCTGGAGTCTATTTATCAGCCTTGAGTTTTAGTACCCCTTGCAGGAATGATCAGACGCAAGGGAGTCCCTTCGGTCCTACGTATGTTGGAATGTGGGGCATCACGCAAAGACCATTTCGGATCACCTGTGGGATTTTTCTTTTTGCCATGTTGCGTTGCATTGATAAGTCACTACTAATAAGAATACTCGAAACCCCCCACTGAAATGTAGAGTACCACTCATTTCTCATCAAAGAAACATCTACTTCTACCTACGATTGGTTATCAATGTAGAAATCTCTTTCCACATTCTCTGGCTTTGCTTGTTTTCTATTTACCTTATCTTGATACCCCTGACAATCGCATGACTCTCGTTTAAGATACCCTCTGAATTAATTAATCGTGACATAGAAGCACAAAATGACTGCGGGTGATATAGAAAACAATCCCAACGAAAAGGTTCTCCCGCCGGGGGTGTACCGAAGCAAAATCCCTTATTTCCGCATGCTTATTGATCAAGGGGCCATCACCCAGGATGTCCTCCACTTTGACTATCCCGGCTCAGGAACGGAGGAGGATCCATATGTCGTGTCCTGGATCTCAAACGACTCCCGCAACCCCCAACTCTTCAGTTTTGCCAGAAAATTGACCATTACTCTGGTCGTCGCGTTTTCAACTATGGTTGTCGCCTTGACATCGTCTACATACAGCGGTAGTGTTGGGAGTATAGTTGCAGCGTTCGACGTCAGCACGGAGGTAGCGACCCTGGGACTATCACTGTTTGTCCTAGGTTTTGCAGTGGGTCCCTTACTGTGGGCGCCAATTAGTGAGGTCATCGGACGCCAGAGACCCTTCTTTGCCAGCTTCCTGGCCATGGCTGCATTTTCAGCTGGCTGTGCCGGCGCTCAGAATATCTGGTCACTAGTGATCCTGCGCTTCTTCGCAGGCGCATTTGGATCTGCACCGTTGACCAATGCTGGGGGCACGATATCTGATATGTTTACAGCCCGTCAGCGCGGTCTAGCGCTCAGTTTGTACGCCGCAGCCCCCTTCTTGGGGCCCGCCCTCGGTCCAATCATCGGTGGGTTCCTGAGCATGAACGCTGGGTGGAGATGGGTGGAGGGCCTTCTGGCCGCTTCTGGAGGACTCGTGTGGGTCATGATGGCGCTCGCAGTTCCGGAGACCTATGCGCCTCTTCTATTACGGCAACGTGCTGAGCGCTGTCCCATGTTACAGGCAAGGTCTACCGTAGCAAGATTGAGCTCGACAAAGGCAAAGTGGCGCTCAATACCTTGCTTAGAAGGTCCCTCTCCAGGCCATTGGTACTACTTTTCACAGAGCCCATTGTCCTCCTCTTTGCCGTCTACATCGCTATCATCTACGGTACATTATATATGTTCTTCGCCGGATTTCCCATTGTATATGAGCATGGTCGAGGATGGAGCCCCGGAGTTGGAGGCCTAGCTTTCCTTGGTATCATGATCGGCATGCTAATAGGCATCATCTTCACTCTTCCCGCCAACATACACTTCATAAAGATCCAGGACCGACTCGGCGGCTTCGCACCCCCGGAAGCTCGACTTCTCCAGTGCATGGTCGGGGCTATAGCCATCCCAATTAGCCAGTTCTGGTTCGCCTGGACGGACTATCCTTCGATTCACTGGATCGTCAGTATCATCGGCACGGCACCATTCGGCTTTGGCGTCATCCTCATCTATCTCGGTGTTATGAACTACCTGATCGACTCGTACACCATATACGCAGCGTCTGTGCTTGCTGCCAACACTATCCTCCGATCTATATTCGGCGCCGTCTTTCCCCTTATTACGGGATACATCTATGACGGCGTTGGCATTCACTGGGGGCCATCTATTCCAGCATTCCTATCACTGCTGTGCATGCCCGCTCCCTTTTTGTTTTACCGCTATGGCGCCAATATCCGCCAGCGGTGCAAGTATTCCGCTGAATCATTCCATTACATGCAAAAGCTACAAGAGAATACGACAAACAGGGCCAACACAGAGACCAAGCAACCAGTCGTGCAGGCGAATGATAATTCTTCAGAAACAAAATAGGCAGTTGATATATCTGCTGACAAGAGCTGGCCTCTTGACACTACGTTAATAATGGTACAGACATATGTAAAAGTTTGCATATACATGCGGATCATAGATACTAGAACTAATACTTTTAGACAAAAGTTTAGATTATATTAGATCAGATGATTATTTATTTTAACATAGTTCAATTTTCCTTCTACTTTATATAGAGTGTTTTACAATGTTCATCACCACTGGACAAAACATCGACATAATGAACTAGTTATCAACAATAACTAGGTTATACAAGCTCCTGGGCTGCACGTCGCTAATAGGCACTTGCTTAGCTGAACAATTGGGGTTACCGTTGTGTAGTCCCAGGTACGATGAAGATAAGCTTCTGATATATTTCAGCCATCTGGAAGTTCTAATTAGTCCGTGATGGGATAATTACAAGCTTACATATTTATGCTAATAAGTGCAGAGCATCTTGAATCATATATGCAAGGCAGCGATGCAAATCATCTCCAATTAACCAAACACTACCACTCCTTAGAATCAAGATCCCTCACCCCAGTTTACCTCCCCAGATGACTTAACTCCGAGTCACATCAGTTCACAGCGGATGCCCTCCGCATCTCGGACCGGATCCGCAAACAACTCCCCAATAAAAACACGCGGGGCAGATCCGAAGCGGAACAAGCCGAAAGAAAAGCCATGACTACAGTACTATATAATGCTCCATACACACCAACAACTATACCCACCTCAATCAATCCAATTGTACTCAAGAAAAACAAAACAACAACAAAAACAACAACAACAAAAATGGACCCCCAACAAGAAAAGAAACACATCAGCGCCGGGGACGCAGAATCATTCACCACAAAAGTCCTCACAGCAAACGGCGTGCCACTCGAAAACGCCACAATAATCAGCAAATGCCTCGTACAAGCCGACCTCCGGGGTGTAGACACCCACGGCATAAACCGTATCCCATCGTACATGGAACGGATCCGCCAGGGCGTGCTGGACGCCAAGGCCCACCCAGCCCTGAACCAGATCACACCCGTCGTCGCACAAGTAGACGGACGGAATGGGTTCGGGTTCGTGGCCGCGCACATGGGGATGACGCGGGCGATTGAGATGGCGCGCGAGTACGGCATCGGGTTCGTGTCTGTCAAGCACTCGAATCATTTCGGTATGTCGGCGTGGGTAGTGCAGCAGGCGGTGGATGCGGGGATGATGAGCCTTGTGTTTACGAATTCGTCACCTGCGTTGCCGGTTTGGGGCGGCCGGGAGAAGTTAATGGGGGTTTCGCCTTTGGCGTGTGGGGCACCGGCTGGGAAGGAGAAGCCGTTTATTCTGGACATGGCGCCCTCGATTGCGGCGCGCGGCAAGATTTATAAGGCTGCCCGACGTGGGGAGAAGATCCCCGCTGACTGGGCGTTAGATGGGGAGGGTAGGCAGACGGAGGATCCAAATCGGGCGTGGAGGGCGTTATGTTGCCTATGGGGGGTCCTAAGGGGTCGGCGTTAGCGGTTATGATGGATGTGTTTTCTGGGGTTTTGTCCGGGTCGGCGTTTGCCGGGCATGTTACGGGCCCTTATGATCCGTCGAAGCCCGCGGATGTGGGCCATTTTTTGGTGGCTATTAAGCCGGATTTGTTTATGGGGCTGGATGACTTCAAGGAGCGTATGGATTATCTTTATCAGAGGGTGGTTGGATCTGAGAAGATGGCTGGTGTGGACCGGATTTACTATCCTGGGGAGATTGAACAGATTACGCGCGAGGAGAGAGTGAATACGGGGATTCCTTTCGTTCAGGCTGAAATTGATGCTTTGAACAAGGAGGCAGATAAGGTCGGCGTGGAGCATCTTGTCATATCATAGTTTGCTTGAGTTTCATACTGCAAGAGATTTTATATCTGTAGCATCATCACTGTTTATGTTTAGGATTTTTAATGAAGATATTCTTTCCCTGGTCATTCAAAAACCACCGCGACAGTAGCATCCTAGCTAAGCAAGACAAACAAGGCGAGGAACAGTAAACAAGGATAAAAGAAGTACAGCACATAAGTTAGCATAGCCAGGGGCCTTCAGGACATAGAACTAGAGGTGTAAGAATCAAGCGAAGGCAATTCGTCAACCGTAGAACCAATACTCTGCCGCATAGTCTACTTGGAATGTACCTTTACGCTTTTGACAATTGGTTGGAGGCTGTCCTCCCACTGTATGCAGGCGGTAAACTTCCTGAGAAACAGATCGGCATCAACATACCAATGACAAAGCATATCAAACTTACTTTGATGCCAGTTCCACTAACGGAAGTGAGCTTCAACCAAGGCACGTTCACAGTGCTATGGTCGGGTGCATCACTACTCGCAGCCCTTTTGGTTGCCATCCAGTCGCTCCCACCAGCAAGTCGCAGATCGAAAGTTGGCTGGCCAGCAGCATTAAACTGATGCTTTCCCAAGATGAACTTTGTAGATGACGAGGAGAGCTGAGTGCCAAGCACGGCAAGGAAGGGAAGTGCCTCAGATTGTACTGCCTTCACGACAGGGGTGAAGTTGTGAAGAAGTGCTGGATTGAACGTTGCGAGACAGGAAACATCGAGCAGCGTTGCAACGGCACCTACGGATTGGGGCACCGTAGTGCTGGAGTCTTCCTTGCAAGTGTAGCTTTGTGTTCCTCGTCCCACCGTAACGTATTTGAGACTGAGACCTGGACTGGGCCCAGGAAGCGATCCATGAGGTGGGAGGTTGGTTTTGGCGAGAGGGCAGTTGGAAAGGTGGACGTTGTCGAGGTAGTGGGAGATCTGGGAGAACATAGTGACGAGGTAGGGGAGGGCAGGTGATGCTTCTGCGCAGAGTATGGCAAGATAGAAGAGCAGTAGATTGATGAACAACATATTGAGTGGAAGCTTGGTTAACGTGGGGCAGGAGAGAAGTAACAGACAAAATATTTGAGCTAAGCAAGAGTAGGAAAGCTGCATGAAACTTGAATTGCAGGAGATAAACTCACCTTATATAAGATTTCTCTGCGTTTGGATATTCACTCTGACCACTTAACACATCCAACTCACCCAGGCGTATCCTTCCATAAGTCCTCTTAGATTCATTATTAGGTAACTAGTGAATGGTGAGTTCACAGTTTATGCCTTGGCGGTTCTTTTACTTGGATACTACTATGTTGAGTAGTTCTGCAAAAATACCATTCCATAGAGCATTAATTCTATAGAACCTGTTGGATATATACACTGCCTCCCTATATAAACCCTGACTCGCGAATAGGTTACCAAGGCAAAATCCTTCAAGGCTACCTCAAGATACCGCATCTGCTAAGCCGCTCAGCGAGGATAACAAAATGTCTGGCTCATTGCAGGTTGTTGTACTCTGAATGTCTATTGGTTCCCTTATATCTCACTTAATTGAAGCTCTCAATATTGTTTCAGAAACTTTTCCTTTTCTCTACTCTGTTACATTGTAAGTATGGAAGTTTGTATAGAATTCATAAACAATATACAGCCGTGCATGAGATCTCGAGAAGAACGTGCCTCACCATTCGAGTTGATAATAAAGTTTTATGCACTATAAAACCAACAGGGGGCGCAGTGAAGAGTTGGAATTGAGGCCGAGACGATAAATATGCCGAAGAGACATAACCAACCGCATACGTTTGTTAAGCGCCGTACATCGACACGTGTCATAGATTAAATTGGTACACCTATTCATTTTGCTTGGTAGATTCAGAGATAAAGGAAACTTATTGTTGGTGGGCGCTTAGTGAAAGCGAATTCCTGTATGACGTGTTTCTGGACATTCTCTGATAGAACGGGATTCATCTCAATCAAGCAAGAACGGAATTGAGTGACAAGTTTGTAAAGAACGATGTATGTAGGGTAGTATTCTTTAACAGTAGGTCATGAGATAGATACAGGTCAGCAGACTAGGATAGTCATCGGGGTTTCATCGATGCACGGCACAACCCTATGAGCTTCTACTTCTGCTGACCTGCATAGCTAGATGTTACAATGTATATGTCTCATGACATCAGTCAGAACTTGCATGTCAGAAGGAGTAGTATTTTCGGTAAATCTCAGTGTATATATCCGCGATTTGCGTTATCTAACATTCTGCCGTCTGTAAGGGTATCAAGTCTCTATTCAGCTGGTATCTAATTATAAGTCGAAAATATGTTATGCCAACGTATTATAAATAGCCAATGGCATAAAGCACGCCCCCCTTCTGAGAGCTGCATTATCATATCAAACTTGTCTGCTGCAGCACGGGCGCGTCATTAAATCTTGTCATCCTTGGTCTCTTTAACCAGATGGCCACTACTGCTCTCATCGATTTCCGTATAGCCGTGCATGGGCCGTGAGCGACGTTTAGACCCGAGCATGGAAGTTTGTCGGAGGTGGCCTCCTGGTAGTGGCTGCATCTCCAATTCAGGATCTCGCGAGATTGTTCCTCCGCGCCCCAGTGACGACTGTTGCCGAGTCGTTCCTTCGGTGGTCCTCGACCGAGATGCCTCCCGTTCTCCTCGGTAGAATCCATATAAAACTGGTGCATTAGCCACAATTGCTGCCGCGAAGAGCTCGACAGATGCCCAGGTTGTGCGATTCACCTGCGCTGTGGAATGCTGGGCATTCTGAGGAAGACGGATGACGGTAATCACGACGATAAAAAAGCCAACAGCGAAAAGGGCTGCGAGTTGCAGTTTCCTGATACATGTAGTAGTCAGTAGGTGAGGCTGACAGAAACCCGTTGCCATAGCACGGAGTTCTTAACGCAATCCAATGACGCTCTTACTCCATAAAAGGCCGTTTGACCTTGACCAATAGTGGGACCGGCAAAACGATCAACATCAGATCTGTAACGATGTTCAGGACGCCTATCGTCACCCCGCACGCTATTAGTCTCCCTCTCTACCGGAGAGAATATTAACTTGTGTGTACCCACCTAGAACTATTAGCTGCAGCTGTGCTTGGGAGCAAAGCCCTGTCGGTCCTGGTTAGTGAGCGATCTGGAATGTCCAAGGCAGGGGTCACACGTACCAGGATCTGGCAGCACAATCCAATAATGGTCGAAAGGGTCACATTCTGTGAAGGTCACAATCTGAACTGTCACATAGGTGGCGGCAAATATGAAGACATATGTGCCCAGGGTTATGCGTTCCCAGCTGAGGTTGCGGAGCAAATGACGGTACGTGTCGAGCAAGATGAACTTCTGAAGCCAGAGACTGAGACTGGAGCGTCAGCTGCCGCGGTGTTTTTCAACGGACAGAAAACATGTGCGTACTATGTATTATAGAAGACTCGATTAACCAGGGTGAATTTGCTCGCGGTTTCTCGACGGTAGATCTCCTCTGAGGTGAAGTGGTGCGAATATCGAAATCCAGGCGACATATTATTCGTGCCCCAGATAATGATAACATGGACGAGTGCCAAGCGGATCAATGCACAGAGAATCGCACAGAGCGACAGATAATCGCCCAAGACAAATGCTTTCCCACGAATTTTCCGCATCACCAAGCGTATCGAGATCAACCCGACCGCGCACCAGGTGAGAACCCATAGAGACACCAGAGTCGCGTCGTCCATAGCGGCTCTATAACTCTGACATTATGTCGGCTGTATCGAATGCGATCGAGTTTCACTGCCGAACCTGGCGCAAACCTATATGAACAGATCGCAACTCCCGGTCGGCCTCGGTTCTTCACCATTTTTCACACTCATCTCCGTGCAGAGGCCCAGTTTCAGGATTCCGACGATGAAAAGTTAATTCTTTAGGGCTCACTAGAAGTGTTAGCCTGGCACCGTTCTTCTTGTATTTGGACGCTAAGTTCCTTATAGCAAGGTCTGCATCCGCCTTGGGACAGTTCTGAACGAATCATCATACAATAAGAGTACAAATAATATAGGGGAATTGTATGACTTGCATTTTCAGACCCACTAAAGGGAGATGTTCAGTTAACCTTACCTCTCATAGTATAATGGGATGGAACCGGTGTCTCACAGAGAGCTCCACTATTCCACCGGTAAACCGATGGCCTGATTGCTCTCTGCCGAAGATCCCCCGTCTTCTCTCCCTACTTGCATTGATTTTTTCTTCATATCCTTGTCAACTGTATATTCCAGAAGCAGCCAAGATGCGGTTTGGTAACGCTCTAGCAGGGATCTTGATCTCAATTGCCGGCGCCAGTGCCGTGGCGCACACCCCCATCGTTTCCAACGCGGAGGTAGCTTATCACCGCAATTATCTGTACGTCGGGGGCCAGTATGTGCAGGATAGCTCAGGCGGCCATGTCTTTACAGATCAGATGTACGTGGAGAAACTCACTCCCACGCAAGGTGTGACCAAGGAGCACCCGATTGTGTTTATCCATGGTCAAGCGCAAACCGGCACGGTAAGCTTCAAATGTCCCGACCGCGGGAAGGCTGCTTGACTAACTCTGATGCTATAGAACTGGCTGAATAAGCCCGATGGTGGAAGCGGCTGGGCCTCCTACTTCCTCTCTCAGGGCTACGAATGCTATCTGATCGATCAGACCTTCCGTGGCCGTAGCCCCTGGTTCCCAAGCAATGGCACCCTGAAAACCTACAGCGCTGAGATCCTGCAGCAGCGATTCACAGCCGCGAAGCATTACATGCTTTGGCCTCAGGCCGCGCTGCACACTCAGTGGAACGGCACCGGCATGATGGGTGATCCGGTTTTTGACCGCTACTACGCCTCGACCGTGGAGTTCTTTGGATCCAGCACCGGTCAGCAGTACACCATGCAAGAGGCCGGTGCGGCGTTGCTGGACCTTATCGGTCGCCCGGCGGTTCTACTCTCCCACTCGCAGGGAGGTCTCATGCCATGGATCATCACCGATGTACGCCCAGACCTTGTCCACGCCATTGTGTCCCTGGAACCTACCGGTCCGCCCTTCCAGGAGGCTGTATTCAGCAACACCTCTTCTCGTCCGTACGGTCTCACGGACATTCCTCTTACTTTTGATCCCGCCGTGTCGGACCCCAAGAAGGACCTTGTGCGCCAGGTTATCCCCAGCAGCTCTACTGCGCGGTCTCCTTGTGTCATTCAAGCCGATCACCCGGCACCTCGCAAGCTGGTCAACCTGCAGAAGGTGCCTACTATGATCTTGACCACCGAGTCTTCGTACCATGCTCCCTATGATTGGTGCACCGTCAAGTTCCTGCGCCAGGCTGGTGTGTCCACGGAGCATTTGCAGTTGGGCGAGATTGGCATCCACGGTAATGGTCACATGGTGTTCATGGAGAAGAACAGTGATCAGGTCGCTGAGGTCATCCAGAAGTGGATTGAGCGTCAGTAACTGGTCTCTTGAGAAGGATCAATGTGGCTAGTCTTGGCCCTGTTGAACAAATCTCCTGGCGGGACCAGTGGAAATAAAACACATCAATGTATACTCATGTATTATATTCCCCTCGTTTATGAATCCATCCAAACATGTACAGCATCGCACCATGCTTTGTGCATGAATGCCTCACCAAATATGAGGCACAATTAATTTTCAGACCCCTATTATCTTCCGTGGCCATTCCAAAGCCTCTTCCCATACTGGGTCTTCACTTATAATCTCGGCCAACAACTCAATTACCAAATCCCTGCCACACCCCTTCGCCCACCAGAAATGACTCCCTAGCTCATTCAACAACACACCCCAATGCATCAAAATCAACAGTGGAAATGGCTGATGCATTCTCAGCCCATCAATAAAATCCTTCTTCACATAGACCAACCAAGCTAGAATAGCCACAGGATGCGACGAACGAGCAAACTTAGCAAAACAAGATTGTAATAGGTCAATCGCCTCACGGTTAGTACTACCTTGCTCGGCATCGGCGATGCAGGTATTCAACCGGCTTAGTTTATTTATAGCAACAGTCTTCTCGAAACCCAAGTCTCCTGTTTCCATCATCCAGAAGTCGTATTTAGAAAACATACTGGCTTTAAGCCATGGCCGACTGATGCGGGAGACCTTAGTTGAGCCTTGTAGGAGCTCGAACACGGTGATCATGTTCTCGATCATGCTGAAGCATTCGCCCCTATGTTGGGCATTGAGGCGCGGTAAGGCAATGCCAATGACGGTTATTACGGCGGATTGGGCAAAGACTGCGTCGCAGTTCAACGGGGTGAGGGCATCGAGTGCTTGTCGGAATGGGGCGAATGACATGTTGTGGTATTGAAGCGCAGTGTCGAGATACGACAACACGCTAGTACGCTCTGTGGCTGTGGCTGCGATATGCAAGGCTGCGAGTGCGAGGATGCCATGGAGTAAGAAAGTATGCTTTGATGCTTGTTGGGGGGTGAGGACCTGCCAGTCACCCATGTCGGACTGGTCTCCACATAGACATTGAAAGGTCTCGGTCGAGAACTTATGCATGAGTTCGAGATCACGCAGGACAAAGCTTGGCTCGGCAGATCTTACGGAGCTGATAGGCTGCTTGTCATCGTTCTTTGACTGCGATTGTCCCTGGCGTGGTGGGTCTGGAGAGCGATTGGTCACTGCATGAGCTGTGCGTCCCGGAGCCGAGACTATAGGGATCTTCAAATAGGTACAAATAATCTCCCGAGAGGTGCAATTGGAGCATATCGGATGTTTCTCATCGCACTAGTTCGGACAGGTTAGGGCATCTGAACAGGGCTTATGGGACCCACCGGTTATCTTGGAAGCTGGGTTCAATATTAAGAGACTCCAGTGCATTGCCAGGACATAGGTTATTCATACCTTGACTCTTCTCTCCTTGCATTGATCGCAACCATTTCGTGATTTCTTGTGCGACCGTCGAGGTGGCATGTTGAGGACCATGTAAAGACCACCCCGGCACCTGGAGTATTACCGTGTGGAGGCCCAGGAAAGATAGACCACGCTCGATGGGTTGAGTGTCCCCCCACAATCACGCGTATTAAACTATGTGTGAGCAGCACTGTCAACCTCTATCGATTCTTGTCTTGTCTTGTCTTCGTGGCTGAGATACTGACGTGAGTGTGGTCGATGGTCAGACTGTAGCTAGCCCTGGACAAGATGTTGGGGTGACACGACAACGAATACGAGAACGAGAACGACAACGACCTGCTTTTTGTCAGAAAACAACACAACGTCATGATTATTCCCATATATCTCCCCCTTTTCAATTTTCTTATATCATTGTTCGAGGTAAGGCTCTAATCGGAGACACTTGGCATGGTCAGTACAAGAGGCAGATACAGTATCCTCTCCATACCGCTCTTCGCAGCTTTGAGCCAATATCTGGCTTATACTGGATCTCGGCTGGTTTCCAAGAACAACAAGCAGGTCTGAGAATCTGCGTCTGCTTACTGGTGCAAGTTTGCCGTATTTCAAATATTAGTACAAAACAAACCAGAACTGCATTGCAGCTCAGCCCTAAAGAACTAGCAGAAGTTTGTCTTTGAATGACGCTACGACAACTAGCAGACCGGAGTGATTCATAAAACGAGTATAATGACCATGGCGAAAGAAACTGCTCAGTCGTCCATAATGACCCCAAGACAGCCTCAAGCTACAACAGATGCTCCTGGTCGCAGTCTCCTTCAGACATCTATTGTTATGTCATGTCTTTGTGCCGGAACATTTGTAGCTGCCTTAGATGCCACTATCGTCACTACTTCTCTGCCTTCTATTGCTGGCCATTTCCACTCAGCTTCAGGATACACTTGGATCGGCAGTGCCTACATACTGGCCAACACAGCTTCCGTTCCCTCGTGGGGTAAGCTGTCCGACATATGGGGAAGAAATCCGCTTCTGCTTTGTGGAAATGCGATCTTTTTTGCAGGAAGTTTGATCTGCTCCGTAGCCAACACGATGGCATTATTTTTATTTGGCCGTGTTATGCAAGGTCTGGGCGCGGCAGCGCTGATGACATTGGTCAATATTTGTGTCTGTGACTTATTTTCTCTGAGGGACCGAGGCCTATATTTTGGTCTTCTGTCCGTAGACTGGGCTTTAGCTAGCGGCATTGGTCCCATCTTAGGTGGTGTGTTATCGGAGAAAGCAACGTGAGTGCTACTTGGAGATCTCAATTAGCTTCTTGACATACTAATCAATGGACACGTAACAGCTGGCGGTGGTGCTTCTGGATCAACTGTATGGCATTTTCTGCTTACCCATCACCAAACGCATCGTGCCCGACAGATCGCTAACTAATCGATACTGCTATTTTAGTACCAATCACCGGTCTTGCATTCCTATTATTATGGTTGGCCCTGAAACTCGACAACCCACATACACCAATCTTGGACGGTCTCAAGGCCGTCGACTGGATCGGCTCATTGTTCGTAACCGGTAGCAGCATCATGCTACTCCTCGCTCTAGACTTCGGCGGCGTCACACACCCGTGGGACTCAGCGACAGTCATCTGCCTAATCATCTTCAGCATTGTAGTCCTGAGTCTATTCGCCCTAAACGAATGGAAACTCGCCAAATACCCAGTAATACCACTAATCCTCTTCCAACATCGGTCCGGGATCGCTGCCTTCGTCGTCTGTTTCTGCCATGGATTTATCTTCATGGGCGAGGCATACTACCTACCGCTATACTTCCAAGCCGTCCTTGGTGCCAGCCCAATCATGTCCGGTGTCTATCTGTTAGCCTTCGTTATCGCCAGCACATTCTCAGGAGCCTTCACGGGACTCTTTATCCAGAGAACAGGCCAATACATTCACTTGATGTGGCTCGGTCTTGGCCTGTTAACCCTCGGAGTGGGACTCCTCATCAACCTAGAAGCAACAGCCAACTGGGGCAAGATCATCGGATTCCAGATCATCTCGGGTACAGGGGTAGGCATGAACTTCGAAGGGCCACTGCTCGCACTACAGGCTATTGTCGGCGTCGAGAACACCGCAACAGCCACCGCTACAATCGGGTTCGTGCGAACTATGTCAACAGCGATCTCGGTGATTATCGGAGGAGTCGTGTTCCAGAACCAGATGGTGAGGGAAGGTCCTAAGCTCGTGCAATCTCTGGGTGATAAACTCGCTGGTCAGTTTGGAGGCGCGAATGTTACGGCCAATATACTGCTGATTGGGACGCTTCCGTCGGACCAGAGAGAGGTGGTCCGGCAGGCGGTGTTTGGTTCGTTGCGGACTACATGGATTTTGGTTTGTTTCTCTTTTGTAGTTGGGTGATGCTTGCTGACTGCGTCATTAGTATGTTGCTTTTGCGGGGGTGAGTCTTGTTGCTGGGCTCTTTGTTGGTGCTCATCATCTCTCAGAGGAGCATGAGGTGGCTGTTTTGGGGCTGCATGGCCAGAGCAGTGACTCGTCGGAGGATACGCCTAACGATACAGCAGCTACTCGGGCTATTGAGATGCAGTAATTCTGACTGTTGTTTGGTATGAGTGGCTCAAACCTAGCCCATCCAAGCAGAACGATACAACCGCCACATAGATTTCTATCAAGCATGAAACCGAAGACATATAGATACAAGATACAGGACACACAATATAAAGACATCGCAACTCCACAGTCAAAAAATCAATCAACCTCCATACCCGCTCTAGAACTCAATTAACCACCCCCTAGAAAAACCAAACACATCCCCAACCCCAACCCCTTACTCCAAACGACTCCATATCCCGCAAACCAAAAGCACCATACCCCAAACTCCCTTCTACCTAGCCAACCCCACCAAAACACAACCTCAATCCCAACCCGAATACTAGCACCAACACAAACCCCAAAGCAAAAATAACCAAACATACACACACAACTTAAACACCCATCTAATCCAACACACCTTGACAAGGTAAAACAATGAAAACACAAGCCATACAAGATTTGCCACTGGGTAAGACCAGGCTCCTTTGGCCTAGTGGTTATGGCGTGGCTCTTATGTGGCAACTCCGTTTCTGGATTCCGCATGCCGACTAGCTGAAGTCGAGGGTTCGACTCCCTCAAGGAGCATGTGTTTTTTTTTTCTTCTTTCTTCTTGTTGGTCGGTACATACATTCGCCCAAAGAAGGGTGGTTATTTTATGTTGGTGTTGATTTATGGGAGTTATAGACTTGTCTGGTTTGGCTCATGAATGCTGTCTTGGTGTCCCATGTTGAAGTTCTAGGTGGTATAGTATCGATGTGGTTGATATGCCAGCATACTTGTCTGGAAAACATCATTCTAGTTGCGTCAATGTATCTACAAGCCATGTAGTAGTACGTACCTAAGTCATAGTATTGCTTCCTGTAGAACTTTTATAGCTATAATCAGCTTCGATATTACCAGCTAGTTCATAATCTATTCTACATCTCCTAATATCCCAAACCGCACATGTAGCCCCAGAGCCTATGGATCAAGTTCAAACTAACCACATATGTGGTCAATCAAGATATCCAAGAAGTCCCCAGATCCAGAGGACCCTTCTACCCAGGCTTTTTTGGGGAAGTCACCCATTGACATATTGAAAATACTGGCGCTCTTGTTAGATGTCAAGCAAGACCTAATCAAGCAGTCCAGATTCAATTCTACTACGTTACTCTTTCGTACCTTCCAACACACTATAGCTTACTGAATCGTTGATTATGGGCGAGTATTTCTGGTCTGGTTAGTTTGTTATCGAGGATGCATGTACTGTACTCCGTATGTCAAGCCTATTCGCGAGATATGTTCAGTATCAACGGTGGCTGACAGGATTGTTTTACAACGGGACATGCATTTTTGACATGAATCAATGTACTCCGGAGTATAGAATAAATCACAATTGGTATGCTGACTCGTGTAAGTCTGCTCTACAGAACAAGACCAAATATATAGATCGTTGCTTTCTCGGGCTTCTTTCTCCTTTTATTGGATTTGGACTCTGTCCGTGGTATCTGAATGGACGTACATCTAACAAATATTTATAAGGATAAGGAAAATCACGGTTTCAGAGCGAATCTGTATTAGACAATAATATGGTATAGTAGTAGCGACCGTAAATGACACAACGTGTCTATTCTGAATTCCAAACCAAACAAAACCCCCAAATATTCCAGTCCATATATGCTCCACTCAATTGCAACGGGTATCAGTTCCTTCACGTTCAATTTCACCCGATATGTAAAAACTTGAGCCAATTAGCTACTGGTCGTAGCATCACCCCTAGAAAGAAAAGGAGAAAGGAAATGCTCTAAAAAAAAAAGGGGACAAAGAAAAGAAAACGATTGCCCGCTGCGCGTATTTTCCGGACCCCAAACAAGCGATGCCACGGAAACGCAGAAAAGAAGTCAAAACATGTCACAACCCAGTTGGTATCTGAAGATTCATGTCAAAAGAAAAAAAAAAAAAAACCAAAACCCTAGTCTAAGCGAGAGAAAGAAGTAGAATCACCATCCGGAAAACAACCAGTACCTCTATGGTCATAACGTGGGGAATAAAGAGACATCATTGCGAATTCCCGTTGCCCTTGTGCCGTGTCCTGCCGATCCATGATAAAATGAAAAGCGAAAAATAAAAGGGGTATCAATTCCCCGCGTGTTGCGGAGACATAAAAGAAGAGAAGTCACGAAAATTGAAGTTGTTGTACAAGGGGTATACCCATTCCGAAAGAAAAGAAGGTCGCGCAGCGCAGTCCGTTGAGTATCTCGATGTGAAACTCTTCGTTGCTTTATGCGAGGACAAGGCTCAAGGGAAGGGCAGTAAAAGGGAAGGTCGAGCGAGGACAAGATTTACTTATTCTTCATCCTCGCCTGAGGCGCCTTCCTTCTCGCCCTTGTGAACCTTCTTGTGCCGACGGAGGTTGGAAACAACGGAGAAGTGGCGACCGCAGCCCTCTACGTCACAGGCGAAAGCTGTATCCCAAATTATTAGTATCGCTTGCGTACCACGCCGGGTTTTTCAAGAACTTACGTTTTTCTCCAGTGTGACTGTACATGTGAGTCTGCAAAGACGACGGGCGGGTGAAGCGCTTGTCGCACACCTTGCACTTGTGCTTCTTTTGAGTGTTGGAGGGCATTTTCGAACTGAACTGGCTCATCATGGACTGCGGGCCCGGGGGGGCACTGCCAGTCAGGAGATTCGATGGGCGAGGAAGAGTTCGCGACAAGTGTCCATTCTCGTAGGACTCAGAAGTTGTGGAGCTGTAATCAGTCACAGAAGACTCGACGGATGCGACTGAAGCGCTGTAGTAGGGGTAGCTGCCACCAGAAGAGATCGAAGAACCAGAGGAGTGTGTAGAAGGAAATCCATAAGAATCTGCAGAGCCCCGGGTGTTGCGAGGGCCGTAAATGTTACGAGGAGTCAAGTCCTGGCTGAGCGCGACCATTCCACGACTGGCGTCCAGGGCGTCACCGAAAGTAGGAGCCGATGAGGGCTGCGATTGGCTGGCACGGGGATCACTGTAAATCAGAAAAGTGTAAGCGCACTGTTCCAAATTCCAAGATGCGCAAAACTTGTGGCTCGGGGGCTCTTACGCATGAGATATCCGGCGACTATCCTGGTGGTGCAAAGATGGGGCGTAGCTGAGTGGCGCATAGCTGGCTGGTGCGAAGCTGCTCATAGAGGAAGCAGTCGTGTAGGCAGGGGCCTGCTCGAAAGACGTGCGAGGCAAATCGTGGTGCAGACCCATCACTTCCGGTGCTGGGTAGCTGGTCGCAGGTGTAGTCGAATAGGTGCTGCTGGTGACCATCGAAGGTGCGGAGACGGGGATGCTCGAGTAGGGCATGGAGAGGGGGGACGGGCGGCTCACTTCCTCCTGTTTGGGGTGGTTCAGGATCGGGTTGGATGCCATGGCTGTCGCGTAGACGGGAGGCGTCGAATGCGACGTTGTGTGGGCAGCGGTCCACGGGTCAGTGAACTGCGGCGTGTTGTGGTGTGGCATATTATGTTGGTAAACATTGTCAAAGCCCATACCGCCGTATTGGCGGTTCTGGTTTTCAATAACCATAGTCATGGAGGATAATTTTGTCACAGAGATATTCTCTCGGTTCTTGTTTTATTGTTGCGCGATTGGTGTTGCTGTGGAAGCCCCTCAGCAATTCAAACCAACGTGGGTGATAAGGACGATCAAGGGCAGGATGATCGAAGCCAAGTAGAGTAAGAGAAGAAGCGTGTGTATGATTGACAGGCACGGTGAGGGGCACGATATGGAAGAAAGGGGAGTAGGAAGGGTGAAGATCAATTGAGACTGATCAGCGCAAAGGTAGAAAGAAGAAGGAAGGAAGTCGGCGGGTAGAAGTAGAAGTAAATAGTGATAATCTTTCGGCGGGAGGGAGCCAGGAACAAATAGATCCAGAGACAGAGTAAAAGAAAGGCCCTGAAACCCGACAGACAGGAAGAATGAAAGACAGTCTGGGGAAGGGCCCGAAGGGGATCGGCGAAGCTTATGAGCAAATACAGGATCGCAGTATGAGTGATGGAGCGCAGGGACGAAGGGAAGCCCTGTCGTTGCCGTGTTGGTGATGGGCTTTTAGTGCCACTGACGACGTCCCGTCGGAGACGGTTGCAGATCGTTACTCTGGGCCGCTTAGGCTTCGAAACGGCGCCAGTGTTAAAAAAAAAAAA